AGCCGCTGGGCGCTTCCGTGTCGTCAAACGTACTCCAGGCATCTCGACAACCGATCTTGTTGGCCGCATGCTGCTGTGCACCAGGAACCACTTCGTCAAATCTGTGAAGGGTACACTCGCTGGACTGGAAGGGTATGGAAGTCCCGAGGAGCGCAAGGCTTCTGCTGTAGATCTTCTGCAGAGAATCAAGGATTATGCGACGGACGAGAGTGGTCTTCAGCCTGGCCCTCAGGTGTGGACATGGACTGGCTCAGGCTCCGCGAAGATGGAGCACTTCGTCGAGGAGGCTGGCCTGTTCGAGACGTTGGTCGATGGAAAGGGACCCAAACCCGGGCAGAGGGTTGTTTATGTTGACGGAGGGTTCGACCTCTTTTCTTCCGGTCACATTGCGTTCCTGCGCAAAGTCACAGATCTCGAGGAGTCCGAGGGCCGGAAACGTGGCTGGTATGAGCCAGACCAGGTTGAGAAGAGGTTGAAGGACTACGGCGAGGACTATGCACCAGCCTATATTGTCGCAGGTATCCACGATGACGATGTGATCAACCATTGGAAAGGCCTGAACTACCCAATCATGAACATTTTCGAACGGGGTCTCTGTGTTCTTCAATGCCGCGTAAGTTCTTCTTGGTTTGCTTTCATCTGTTCCATTAGCTGACCTTCGCCAAAGTACATCGATGCTGTCATATTCTCTGCGCCATTTACCCCCAGCGAACCATACCTGAAGGCTATCCCATGGGGCACTCCCGATGCTGTCTACCACGGACCCACGACCTTCATCCCGCTAACATATGATCCGTACACTGCCCCCAAGAAGATGGGAATCTTCCGGGAGGCTGAGCAGCATGCCTTCCAACACGTGAACGCTGGCGAAATTGTTGGTCGCATCCTGAAGAGCCGTGAAGCTTATGAAGCCAGGCAACGCGCGAAGCTGGACAAGGCCATTGCCGAGGATCTGGTGAAGTCGCAAGAGGCAGCTGAAGCGGCTAAAGGAGCTCAGTAGGCTGGCTGTCGGTTTTTTCCCCCGAAAAATATTAATATGAAGATTAACCGTACATGTGATGTGAGACTCCATCAACTGGGGTTTCTTCTTATACAAGCGTCTGCCTCATTCGTTTGCATAGCATAGCGGCTTGTGATAATTTGGTCTATTGGAGCAGATAGATTGGAGATTACCTTCCATTTGTCAAATCAACAAGACAACTATCTGACCAGCAGGATATTAGGACCAGAATACATTAGAGACAAATAATTTTACAGAGACAGCCATCTATCAAATTGATAGGCTGACATCTTCCACTCGGGCTCGGCTGCTATCTATTCATCCGCCGCAACCAGGACACCCTTGGTCTCCAGAAGTTTGGCAAGCTCGCCGTTTTGGTGCATGGACATCAGGATATCACAACCACCAATGAACTCCTTCTCAAGGTATAGTTGGGGAATAGTGGGCCACTCGGAGTATTCCTTGACACCTGTAAACGCAGCACGATTAGCAATCCAGTCCTAGTAGGAGGTTCATTCAAGATAACCCCAACATACCTGAGCGCAGCTCCGCATCCTCCAGCACGTTGAAAGCAACAAACTTCTTGGGATCAACACCCTGCAGGCCGAGGATTTGAATAGTGGCACGGGAGAAACCACATTGGGGAGTCTCGGGTGTACCCTTCATGAACAGAACGACGGGGGCGGAAGAGACCGCTTTATCGATCGCCGACCGGGTCTCATTGGACAGAAGGCGTGCATGGAGGACAGAAGGAATAGAAGGGCCCGAAGGGAATTGGATGGCCGAGCGGACGGGGCGCAAAAAGGTTGGTCGCGAGACCGGGCGGAAAGCCTGCGGAATTCATGTGAGCTAGGATCTTACGTAGAATATTGAATGTCTCATACGTACCGATGCAACTGCTCTGGAAAACATGTTGAAAATGATGGTTTACAAGAGAAGAGGTTCAATGTAAAGTTACCTCGGGGAACCTTAGAAAGCCCTGGAGGTTTAGTATTAATTAATCAGCGGTTGGTCCGCGGGTCTCGTCGATCCCCACACATCTAAAGCTCTCTAGGGCTCTATGGACCACTCATCTTCTTTTCAGGTTCACGGTCTTTTTGTCTGCCTTTCTGTTACAATAAAGATATTGTAATGAATTCTCAAATATCGCCTACGCCTTTCACTGCTCAGCAGTATGCAAATGACAAGAAGATCCATGTGTTACTCGCAGCCGCTACCATTAAGCTGCCCAACATCGCAGAGGCGCTATGTCGTAATAAGAACATCTCAGTCCGCCTCCTAGTTACCGAGCCAGCGGAGAAGTTCCTCATTGGACAGAGCTCAGAGGAACTGGTCCTCGACAATCTGCTTCAAATGGATGGCGTGGACGCTATCTACCGGGACAAAGACGAATGGTCTCCATTGTGGACGCGCGGAGGACCAGTCCTGCATATTGAGTTGCGCAAATGTCAGTGGCTATGTAGATACATGATACGACGAACCAACTGACATCATAACAGGGGCGCATATTCTACTGGTCGCCCCGATGTCTGCAAATACCATGGCGAAAATGGTTAATGGAATCGCCGACAACCTGCTTCTCTCGGTCATCAGGGCCTGGGATACGACTGGAGTAGTGGATATGGGATTCAAGACCCAGAAACCAATGATCTTTGCAGCGTTAGACATGGACGCATGTATGTACCGACATCCAGTGACCGAGAAACAGCTTAAAGTCGTACGTGATCAATGGGGATGGAGTGAATCAAACCCGGAAGGCTGGGTGACTGTGCTGCCTCCCATAGAGAAGAGTCTGGCCCGTGGAGATGTCGATACCGGAAGCATGATGGACTGGAGAGATATCGTCACGGTCATCCAAAACTACGTGGCGGGATCGATGCAGAAGCCGTGAAAAAAGGAACCAAGCCTTGAACGCCTATTTATATTGTTATACATGGTTATTGTGTTGACTCGGCCACCACGCGCTCCGGCTCCGTCGTATTGTACAGACCAAGGTACTGCGTCGCATACTCAGCGAGCAAGCCTAAGGAAATCCCTCCACCGGTCAGCAAGCATCCATTCTTGAACCACCACCAGCAGTTCCGAACACTCTTCAACTGAACCTTCCAAATCATGAGACCAAGCGACAAAACAGCACTCCCGCAGCTACCGACGAAGAAAACAGGCCCGCAACCAGCAGCGACTCCTGCAGCGGCGAGGAGCGAGACCTGAGTCACCGCCAGACCACTCAGAATAGCCTTAGTGTTGTGCTCATGGCGGAGGGCAATTGACTTGATCCCGGCCTTGACATCGTCTTTAATGTCCATGTGTGCATAAATCATATCGTACAGAACTGTCCAAGCAATACAACTGGAATAAAGGGCACCTGCAGCCATCATGGCATCATGATTGGCAAGCAGGTCCACCCCCAACGCCGGGAATCCCATAATCGCTCCCCAGGAAAAGGCGAGGCCAAGTACAGCTTGCGGGTAATTGGTGACGCGTTTAGCAAGGGGGTAGGCTACTACGATAGGCATGCTAGGAATCCCATACCAAAGGCACTGAGCGGGGAACGAAAGAAGCACGCCCAACCCAGCCACCAACTGTGAACCCGTAAAGAGGATTGCATTTTTCGGCGAGAGTGCACCTCTGGCAATGGGTCGGAACTTGGTGCGTTCGACGTGAGGGTCCAGGTTTCGGTCCCACAGGTCATTGATCGCGCAGCCCGCACCGCGCATGATCAGCGCACCGGAAAAGAACAATGCTGCTGTGCCCAAGACAGGTAGAGGTGCCACACCAGCCATTGGCGCAGCGAGCAGGGTGGAAAAGAGAGTCGGGAAGAATAGGTAGTATGTGCCCGTGGGCTTGTCCAACCGCACCAATTCCGCATACGGTATCCATGAGCTCGGTAGGGACGCGATCAAGCCTGTTTTCGGTGGGATGTAGTGAGTTGCTGGGTTCTTCTCCGCACTGTCCGTCTCGATTGTTTGTGTTGCGGGCGATTGCAACTGCGAGCTGTGTCGGACTTGAACTTGTGTTGTTCGCAAGGGATTGGATGAAGCAGAAGCGAGAGATCGGCTGCCTTTCATTTGCGCTGAGGAATAGACATTGTGAGCGAGTGTGGAAAGGCGCCCATTGTATAGACCAGCGAGGTTGACCTTTTGCCTGTATGGGGATAGTCGAGCGCGGAAGAGACGGGAGCTGGTGGAAAGCATGGCGAGAGCTTGGGATCTAGAAACTGAACATTGGTGTGTCAATTAAGGCAACTGGCAATTTTCATATTCCTCTCAGAAGCCTTGAAAGGTCTGGCTATCTGAAGATCTGGAGATGTCGGAAATCACATCGTCATGCAGGAAAAAGCGGCTTCGTTCCTCCCTCTAAGCCTAATTGGGGCATCGGATCTATGGAGCCGCGGTGTTAGGATATGCTGAGACTACGAAGTATATACTGAGCTGATTTGATTCACATCTTCAATCTAAAGAAAGATGCTATGATATATTTAAGTTCAAGTTCCCTTGGAAATGTAAATTTAGGCAAAATAGTGAAATAACCGTCACAACTGTCACAGTTCCAGGGTCCACGTGTAAGTTGCTGCCTGAGGCCACAAAACGCGGCATCCCGCGTTCCCCCCAGAAGTTGATGATCGCCCGAATTAAAGTGAATGAGCTGCGACATCACTTTCTTTCACATGATTCTATCTGATTTCATACTTCTCGACTCCTAAGCTTAAATTGACATCATCTACTCTTCTGTTCTATCTACTGTATACCTAACTCCTCTGCTCCTTCCCACTCCACTCAGCTATCTCGTCCCAACTATCATCACGCCCACACAACAGAAACAGCGAAGAACAGCCCAATCCACCCAGCTAGTTGACCATTCTGAGTCTTGCATAACCTCAGCCTTGGCCCTCACCACAGACCTCCCCTCTCAAACCATGACCTTCGCCTCTGCGAGCTTCGCGCTGATTACGAAGATCAACTAAACATCGACACCTCCCCTCTTGGGCACCTCGCTCGCGATGCCGGCGCACAGAACACGCCTGGCTTTTGAGCCACTTTCGCCGCTTCTCGACATTCATCGAGTTGTTGAGTCGACGCCAAACTTCGAATTTGCGATGGATATCAGCTATGACTCAATTGAGGAATTTCCTCTAGAGGACTTTGAAAGGCTTGTCCTGTTCCAGGTTGTCCTAAGTGGAAGACCATTGGTCGTCAGAGGATTTCATCACCGTCTTGACAAGGGTATCTTCTCTGAGAAATGGCTCCGAGAAAAATACGCGAAGAAAGGTGAGTTCGCGCTCTCGCATCCTCTCATCTTTCGTTGGTTGATACTGACCACAACCTGTCTTAATAGTCGAGGAAGTCCGAGATTTAGTAAAGAAGAGGAGTCAAAATTTTACCATGGGCCACTACCTGGAAAATCTGTCACTTCTTACTCGGCAGGTGACAGTTCACAACTACACACACAAAGATGTTCAGCGGCTCTACCTCAAGGACATTGACTGTCCTCCTGAGTGGCGTGCTTATCTAGAGAAACTGTTACCGCCGTCACTGTTCTACTTGAACGAAGCACCCAAAGCCTTTGAAGGCCCTGCATCGGGAAAGACGAATCTTTCTGAAATCCCCAAGTCCACCCAAGGCGAGTTCATCGCGCCAGCGGGTGATTTAATGAGCAGTCTGCCCCCAAAAATGCGCGCGGAGAATCTTATGTGCTACATCGGGCATGAGGGCACATACACACCAGCACACCAAGAGATGTGTGCCAGTCTCGGTCACAACATAATGGTCGACGCGTCAGATGGGTCTTTAGAAAACGGGAAGCCGACAGAACCGGGTTCTTCAATATGGCTCATGACTGAAACAAAAGACCGGCGGATCGTGTCCGAGTACTGGATGTCTGTTCTTGGGCACGATATTGACATCGAAGATTTCTTTGCTCCGTTGCATGCATGGGAGATTGCGCCCTTCAAGACCTGGGTGGTGGAGCAAAAGCCCGGTGACCTTATTCTTGTTCCCCCCCTTGCCGCACACCAGGTTTGGAACCGTGGCACCCGGACAATGAAAGTTGCCTGGAATCGCACTACTGTTGACACGCTCGAGCTGGCTCTGCGTGAAGCTTTGCCGCATGCGCGAATGGTCTGCCGCGATGAACAGTATAAAAACAAAGCCATTGTTTACTATACTCTTGAACGGTATTACAAGCTGTTGCGGCAAGCAAAAAAAGTCGATCACCCGGTGGTGGCTCAACTGTGGGACGATTTCAAGAGACTATTCGAAATGTACAAGAACATTTTGTTGTCTGAATCCTTCTCACAAAAAAATCCAGAGAAGAACGTCGAATACCATGAGTTCCAGAGCAATGTCACCTGCTCGTTTTGCCGGTGTAACATATTCAACAGGTTTCTCACCTGTCCTGGCTGTGCAAATGCTCTTGGCGGCGACGAGGACCCTTATGATGTATGCATGGATTGCTACGTCATGGGTAGAAGCTGTGCTTGTGTTGCCAATCTCAAGTGGATGGAACAATTCCCATGGAAACATTTGACCGAACGCTATGAGACATGGCGACGGCTAATCATTTCTTCCAATGAGAACAACAAGGATTTGAAGGTTCAGTTTCCCACTTTCATTGTCGCCCGTGGCCAGGTAGGCAAAAAGTCTGTGGCAGAGATCTGCCAAGAGCAACTGCTGCGCCGCCCTTGGAATGACCCCAAGAAGCCCAAGCCCGTGGTAAACAACACAATCGAAGACGCTGATAGTGAATCCGAAGGAAACAGTCGTTCCAAAAAGCGCCGCAAATTGCGGCAGTCTCTAAATTCAAAATCGGATGACGTTCACCGCTGTCACGTTTGTCTTCATTTTGAGGTCAACTGGAAGCTCGCACCTTGCTCAAACTGTGACCAACGTTATTGTTACGGCAGTTTGTTCCGCGCGTTTGAGATCTCCCCCCAGGAGGCGATGGAGAAGCACCACTGGCTGTGCCCGAAATGCCGCAAGGAATGCAGCTGTGGTGCTTGCCAACGTGATCCATCCATGAAACCATATGAGCCCAATTGTACCATTCTGGGCCATGACACAAGTAAAGTTGCCGATCCCCGCAGCATCGAGACCTTGGTGGATTTCCGGAAATCGAATCTCTGGTGGCTGAAGAAATTTGGCGACGATGTTCATGGACGCATTCAAAAACGCCAGAAGGAAGCCGAGGAAGCTGAAATGGAACGACAGAAGACCCTAGAGGATCAGGGCTTCAGCTTCGAGTCAAGTCCATTCGACCAGCCGGCACACTATGGCAACGGAAACGATGATAACCCACTGGGCTTTGATGAGAACGATGGGGGCATTCCCGTTGATCCATCACTGATGGTCCAGGGATCTGTTGCGAGTACAGGTACTTGAACCGGCTCATGAATTCTGCTGGATTTGAGCATAAGACAAAGATTACTCGCGCAAGCGGGTGCAACCAGAGACACAGAAAGAATCGAAAGTTTCTCGTGCTATGCACGTATCTTACGAACTACGATGAGCATTGATTTTTTTGCGAAGGGGTGTTTGATTAAGGAAATCGGATGTATGATTTGTGATTCCCCGAAGAGTTTTTCTCTTCTGCGACACCATGGTTTAACAAAAGATCTGGCTGTACTTTAATAATGAGCATATGTATTCAAGTTGAATTCAAGTTGAATTCGTGAATTACTGTTGGCTAAGCACCTTTGTACTCGTACTGTAGATCCTTGAGGGATGCAAGGTCAACAGAGAGCATGACCTTTTGAGCAAGTAGAATCACTGCGAGCATGACTGTGCATAGTCAGACTCAGTCAGTATCTCCCAACCGAGAAAGAAGAGACTTACCTCCAGGAATCAAGTATAGTACTGGTTGAATCCCATAAGATGATCCTGTGGAGAAATAGACCAGAGCCAGCAACAAGCAAACCGCACTGTTGCCAGGTATCATAGCCGCATGAAGCCGAGCAATACGTTCGGTGTGGAACGTCACAGGCTTCTTGCCTTTGCGATCAGGCTGCAGTGGAGAGCATCTCATGATATAGGCCGTTGTCAACAACGAAACAAGACCGAAGAGCGAAAACACTCGTTCAGCCTGACTGGAAGCTGACAGCACCGAAGGCGCAAATACTGTAGTAGCGAGCAGTGGAAGTGCAGTAAAAATCATCTGCGAATATATTTAGCATTGATCTTCGATGATAAAGAAAGAAAGATATATACACTGTACTGGGCATTGCGAGCATCATTCTGTCTCTGCAACAGCTCGATAACCCGTTCTTGTTCCTCTTCATCCAACTCCTCTCGCTCACCCTCTGATTCCTCAGGGTATCGAAACGCCTTTCGCAATCTCACCGCAGCCATTTCTCAAAATCTTAAAACCAACACAAAAGCGTTGTAGGCTTCAACCGTTGGTGGTGGCAGTGACGTCGAAAGGTCAAATCTGTTTGTCTTGTTTGACACTCTTTTCTTCCGCAACCTCTCCACCCCCCAATCCAACCACCAGCTAAAGAAAACACCAAATAAACACTTCAAAAACAAAGCAATGCTCTTCTCCCGAGTATTCACGCGGCGCGCCGCGCTCGCCCGGCAATCCGCCCGGCCCAACATCGCCAGCCGACGCACAATGATAGCTGCGCCAGGTCCGAACGCAGGACCACTACTGGAACGACGTGCGGACCGCGAGCTACCGAACCCGAACCCAACCCGGAAATGGCTTCTCACACTCCCGATCTTCATTATTGCGACGGGAGCTGGTATGCTTGGAATCTTCAATTACCAGAAGTCGTCGTCGAGTATCGTGAACAGCACGCTGTATGCGCTGCGGACATCACCGCGGGCTCGTGAGATCCTCGGTGATGAGATCTACTTCGCGCAGCAGATTCCTTGGATCAGTGGAGAGATGAACCAATTGCATGGTCGCATTAATATCTCATTCTGGGTTAAGGGAACGAAGACCCAGGGCAAGATGAGGTTCCGAAGCATTCGGCCGGATCGTATGAGCTATGTGAGTTTTTGGTCTATTTGATTTTATGACGTGTTATATGTTCTGTGATGGTTGCTGACTTGTTCCTTTCTCTTCTAGTTCCGTACTGAGGAATGGAGTCTGGAGACCGAGGATGGAACGGTGGTTCAATTGCTCGACAAAGATACCGATCCCTTCCGGAAGAACTGAATATTAGATGAGAGTGTACAGATACAGCAGTGCATTGGCTCGGGCGTTCAGGGAAATTCTTTATGGGACCATTTGTTGCGTTATCAACTTGGCGAAGCCATTGTTTTTCTTTTCTCAATGGCTAAGAGAAAAAAGGAAGAAGGATATCATTTTTTGTATCATATACAAACGCCGCTCAAGTCAAACAATATCGCGCGTATGGTGTAATAGTACATGGTCAGAACTAAGAAAAGAAATCTCCAATCAAGCAGTAGCAGTTTCCGTGGCAGGTGCAGCCGACTCTGCCTGGGGCACTTCGGGCCATGGCTTCTTGATCGCATCCTGGATTCTCACGACACAGCCCTTGGGACCGCTGACAGCACCTGAAGCAAAGAAAATATATTAGCAAAATGAAACTCAGGAAAGGCTCAGAACAGCTCGAGATCGAATCACATACCGCTGACAACGACAATACCATTCTCAGAGTCTACCTTGAGAATCTTCAAGTTCTGAACAGTATTCTGGTTATTTCCCATGTTTCCAGCCATCTTCTTTCCGGGGTAAACACGAGAACCACCACCCTGACCAGGACCAGAAGAACCCATCGAACGATGCGTCAAACTAACACCGTGACTGCGATCCTGACCGTGGAAACCGTGTCTCTTCATGACACCAGCAAAGCCCTTACCCTTAGTATTGGAGCGAGCATCAACAAACTGGCCCTCCTGGAACCAACCCGCCTCAATACTCTGACCAACAGGGATAAGGCCCGCCTCGTCCTTAACACGAAACTCAAAGATATGGCGCTTAGGCGAGAGTCCATTGGCCGAGAAATGACCAAGCAACGACTTGGTCACGTTACTGGGGTGTTTCCAGCCAGCACCAACCTGCACAGCATAGTACCCGTGTCTCTCACGGGTCTTGTGGGAGATAACCTCAACACGATCCAGCTGGAGGACAGTGCAGGGGATGCGCTTTCCAGACTCGGGATCGTAGATAGCAGTCATGCCCTTCTTGATACCGATAGCGCCAGTGCGGAGCGGGAGGGAATTGGCTTTGCGGAGGAGAGCCGCTGTGGAAGTCGACTCGAGGACTGGCAGCCCGGGGCCGATATTGAAACGACTCGGTTTGGGCGGGTTGAGGGATCGGATTCCGAATGAGCGCACGGGGATCCGGGGAGTGATCAATGGGGCACCCCATACGGGCGAGAGCTGAAGCAGCCCTCCTAAGCGCGGCGACATGGTGGGTTTGATATTGGGAGGGGGATTTGGGGTGCTCGTCGTGGCTGAGAACTCGGGAAGTTTTTGGTGTTGGGCTTAGTCAGCGCATATGCAGGCCCCGAAGTATATACAAAATCGAGAGCTGCCCATATTCCTACGCGTTTAGAGGATAGCTAAGAACTGGGATTTTGTACAAATAATAGGAAAATGCAATAAACGTCATCTGAACAACTCAATTTACCATATACCATCGCCTTCCATATCAACACCAACAGAACCCGCATTAATCCCTAACTCCGGCATACACACGCCAGTCCGATCGGACCGGAAGCCGAAAACGCCGAGAAACAAGAAAAAACCACGGATTCCATGTCCTCTCCAGACTCAACACCAATTCGCTCTCTGAATCACACAACCCCCTCAATCTAGAACTACAGGGGAAGACAATCCAATCTACCATGTCCCTCCGCCCAACCCTCCTCTCAAAATGGATCTCGCGCCCGAGCGAGATCCTTAAAACCCCAAGCTTCGCCTCATACCTCCACCCCTCGATCCGCCCATCCCTCGCACGTCGCAGCGCTATCTTCTCACCGGTAACACAAGCGACACGAAGGAGCATTACCACAGCGCGCTTCTCGATGCGAACCCGGCCGGGCCCTGGCTCGTTCCAGTTCAAGCAGCGCCGGTTCAATTCCGGGTCGGCTGGCGGCGGTGCTAATGGATCTGGATCCGGAGCTGGAGCTTCGGAGAAGGCGTCGCTCTCGCAGCGGTTGAAGAAGCTCTCGCGAGAATATGGGTGGGTTGCGCTTGGAGTGTATCTTGGACTCTCCGCGCTGGATTTCCCATTCTGTTTTGCGGCTGTGCGATTGCTTGGTGTTGAGCGCATTGGGTACTATGAGCATGTCGTTGTTGGGTTTGTTAAGGATAAGCTCAAGGCCGTGTGGCCGCAGACTAAGGGATCTGAGGCGGAGGATGGGCAGGGACAACTTGCTCAAGCTGAGGAGCGGAATCAGGAAGAAGCTAGTAAGTTTTTCTGTGTTGATTTTTGAGAGTTGAGGTTCTAATTGTTTTTTTTTTTTTTTTCTTCTTGCAGGTATCTGGACGCAGTTGGTTTTCGCTTATGCCATCCACAAGAGCTTTATATTTATTCGAGTGCCATTGGCAGCGGCGGTGACGCCGAAGGTTGTGAAGATACTGCGTGGATGGGGATGGAATATTGGGAAGAGAAAGCCCAAGAGTACATGAAGATGATATGATTATGTAGCATAGCGGGAGATACAGGACTTGGGATTCGGACCATTGTACATTATTAGCCATTCAGCTCTCTAATACGGCAATCTTTTTTTTGCCTTCTCCTCTCAAACGCTGTCCAGACGATCTACATGTAATCGACGACAGCCAAAACCCAGACAAGCCCGCTCTATCTCCAGCGCCCAGGATGAGATAGGAAATGACATAGAAAACAGAAAGCAATAGAGAGAACGTCGCACGCTGGGGACTATCTCTGCCGTTTGAGATAACTAGCCAAGAGCAAAATGGAGAACATGAATATAAAGCAAATATGGCATGGCAAAGGCTACCAAACCTCGTAATATTCGTGGTGGAAATTAAATTGCGACGTATGTAAAGGGGGTGTGTTCCCGAAGAAAAGCGAGGGGGAATCGGATCACATATCGATCATATCGTTAAATCTCAGAATGCCGTTGGCTCTCATCACACCGTTGACGCCGTCGGGCATACGGTATGCCCATTCGGCAACGCCCATTGTATCGGTGGCGGGAAGCTCCTCGAATCGATCCGACTGGCTGACATCATCAGAGGTGTCAGCCACGAGCACAAGGCCGAGCTCCTTAATAGTTTCGACGAGTGCGGGAACAACATTCTACACAGTTGTCAGTAGGTGAAGTAGAGAGAGAAAAGAGACCGCATGGAAATAGGATCGAACATACCAAAAGGCTAGATCTGCAGATCAGACCCATAAAGTTATTGCTCTGCGCAATACGAGCAGACTCCTTGATCGACATCGAGGCCCGGCCACTGCTATTGACATGGGGCATCGAGTCGACGTTCCCGGCCAAGTCCCGAATTTGACCAAGATCGTTGCAAAGAAGAACGGGATCTAGTCATAGAGTTAGTACCACGCACTAGTTGGACTGTATTTCAAGGGGACTCACAATTGGGTTGCTTCCAGTTAAGAGCACTACAGATGTTCTGGTTGTAGGAGGTGAATACGACGGAACGCATGAGCTCTGGGCTCTTATCACGGGCCACACGAGCGTGGTCGAAGACATCAGTAAGGATAACATCGGCAAAGCTGTTGACATCCGCCAAAGAAGTCATGTGGAGCCTCTTCTCCTCCGCAGAAGATGGGTAGAGGAGGGAGATATTGACATTCAGTTCAATAGGAAGTTGGCGGAGGACATCGCGTAACGACAAGAAAGACGCCGCTAGGAGTCGATGAGTCTGTGGCATGTCATGCGTCGCTTCTGTTTCTAAGAACTGGAGGATCTGGGGATGGTTGGTACCGCGCTCTGCGCCAATGGCCTGGAACTGGGCATATGTCAAATGAGACACTGGGATGTCGACTCCGTGGTGGTTGATCATAAATTGCGGGTAAAGGACTGCGACGCGATCCCGGGTCAATTGTACAAAGAGCTGAACGTAATCTCCCGACAAACTAGAACCGGTCACTAGTCCATTGTGGTCAGAGTCAAGAGCACTAGTGGCCTTCCAATATGTAGCGAAGTGTGTGATTTCCAGAGGATCGCCATGATATGGCTTGATTACTTGGAAGTTGAAGCGCAGCTGGCCGATTGTACGGAGCCGGGGGTCGAATAGAGGCAGACAGCCTGAGCCGGTGCTGGACGACTCGGCGCGGAAGATGTCTGGCAGGGCCACACTCTTCGCAATCACCTTTGAACCAAAGGTGGGGAAGATCTCAAAGTCCACAGCAAAAGTGTCCAGGTTGTCCACGTGGAACGATATTGTGCGTGTCTCCTCCTGGATGGGTAGCATCACAGTACGCGGGATGAGATCTGACAGTTTCGAAGAGATGGTCATGCGAGCAGCAGGATGGCGGCCTGCCTGATCAAAGGCGACAGACCCGACATTTCCTTGATCGAACAGAAGCTGAATGAATACTTTCTTGTCGAGGAAGTTGTGACCATAGCGGCGGAGAGGAATAATGGGGGGAGGCAATTCAAGATCCGGGATACCATCGGCCATTTCCAATTCAGAAACGCTTGTGACCACAGACATCGGGTCGCCCATCAGGCCGGGTTCTTGCATCCGCACGCCATTGAGAATGTCAAGCGGTCCCCGTGCAGACTTATTACGGGTAGGCTGGGCCCAGAGGAGGAGCATGCACTCCAGATGTCCCTCCCAGGCAGCATAGTACATAGACGAGAGGCCCTTCTCATCTGGGACCTGGGCATCAACCCCGCACTCGAGGAGGGTGCGTAGGCAAGGGACACAGCCTTCGCTGGCTGCGTGGAACAGCGGAGTCCACTGATAAAGCTTGTCCTTCTGATCAAGATCAGCACCGTGCTCCTTCAGGAGTAATAGTAGCTCTGGCGATTGTGACGCGCGTGCAACCATATGTTGGGGGTAGAGACCCTCTGCATCCGGCAGCAACTTCGCATTTCGCTCAAGAAGCATCTTCGCAATGGGGAGAGAGCCATGTTGACAGGCGAGGTTCAAAGGAATATGATCCGGGCCCCTCAAGGGACGATGGTCCATTCCCTTCATAGTGGGCGACTCAGGCTCTGGGTCGACGCGGGCATTGCTACACAGAACCTGCTCGGCGCATGCCAGCTGGCCCTTTACAATGCTGTGGATTAGAGGGGTAAAGTTGTCATGATCCATGATGTCGACGGTGTGTGGGCCGGCTGCAAGCAGGTGTCGCACCATATCCACGCGGCCGTGCATGCATGCATAGTGGAGAGGGATCCGACCATAGACATCGGCGCGGGCGAAATCCACGGATGCCTGGAGACCTGCATGGAAGACAAACAATCGACCCGAAATAGCAGATTCATGAAGACAGTTTCGTTCGTTAATGTCGTCCTCGGCGTGTATGTCAACCAGTTGACTCTCCAATAGCAGAGCGAGCACTTCATCCGAGAACCCGTTGATGGCAGTCAGGAATGTACGGGTGGCACGCTCACGGGCGTCCGGCAACTGCTGCAACCTGGCTAGCCATTCACGTAGGGTTTGCAGATTGCCGGTAGAGGCTGACTGCAAGATCTGGTTGTCCATCTCATCCTCTTCCGACCCCAATTGTGCGGTGCGGTCCGATGGACGTGAGGCGTCATATTGAATGTTCTCGCCCTCGGCCCAGGCCTCCAATTCCAGTCGTGCGGTGGTAGCTCTATCCGCAAGGTCTCGAAGAACTTCACGATTGAAGCACGGTTGTACTTCGACAGCGCGATGCAGATACAGCTCTTTCATGCGAGATTTGGAGGTTTTGTCCCATTTCTTGAGGATTTTGGACATGGCAGTCTCGTTGATCTCAACAAATTGCTGCAGTTTGTTCAGGTCGCCATCAAATTGTTGGAAGCCTTCAAACATAGCAGCAAAATTCGACGGTGCTTTGGAATTTGAGGTGGCTCGGGACTGAGTCACCCGCTTCTTGTCGACCAACGTCCTTAGGCGCAGAGAAAACTAAAGCGATCTGATGAGTCTCCGGATAGGGTTATGACTGTGTACTGGATATATGACCATACCTCTGATTCTTTCTGGAGGTAGAAAGTGTTCACCTTCTCAATCTCTCGTTCCTATACGTCATAGTAAGTACATCCACCTTCGTATATGCAGGAAACTATTCCGGTAACCTACCAAGCGGAAGAAGAACACCTCCTTGTTTGCGCGCAAAGCGCCTTGAGGGTCCGCATTAGCTCTTGCGATTTCCTCGGCTGTTCTCTGTGCCGGGATAGTCGGGGTGGCGCTGAGTTGCTTGATCAGCTGTGAAGGAATTAGCTGTGTTCATATTCCCTTGTAAGCGGGCGGGACGTTAATCCAACCTTCTTCAGCGCCTTGTAGTTAACAAAGCTGGCGGCATATTCGGGAAGATCTAGCTGCCTGCGCTGGATCTGTTTGCCGAACTTCCTATCGAGTCGGAGCATATCAGTAACAGCTCGAATAATAGATCAACCGGCAGCAGGAACCGCAGGGCATACGTACATATTTTCGCACCCTCGGAGAGAGCTTTAGCTCTCCCGAGCTCTAGAAACGGAGATCGCAACAGTAGCGCAAGCTCAGCGAAACAGAGCTGAGAATTAGGAGAATGAGAGCTTTGTGGGCTGAGTAGGAGATGTAGGAAGGGTATCAATGGAAAGAAGAAGAAAAGAGACCTCGGGAGACAGGGTGGGATGACAAGGACACGTCTGAGACCTCGGGACCGAAGTTGGTACTAGGCTTCCGGGGGCAAGAGGGGGCGGTTAATGCGCTATCCCGGTGGAGAAGAACAATAGTGGGACAGGTAAATGACGGGGTGGCACGAGTAGATAAAATGTGTGACGTTGCGTTGAGGTGGTTTCCCATATATCAAATCAAGGGCGGATTAGATGGTCAGAGTTCAGAGCAGAGAGGTTCACGAGGATAGAGGGTAGAAGCGGTGATAAAGATAGAGGCGATAGAGATAGCGGGGCAAAAACTCGAGGGACAGATGTGGAAATGTACAGGGACCAGGTACAGATCGAATGGTTAAGAGAGCCCTATAGTTCGAATCTAACAGAGAAGGGAAAAGCTGCGAGGTGCAATTAAGCCGGGGAGTGGGGAGCTGTGTGAATCATCTATCGCCAATCACCGTGAACAGCGGACGCACGTTGTTAACTTACTGGTAGCCACTGCATACGAAAATTGTACCGAGTACTTCTGTTCTATGCATAAGTTTGGTTTGAATTCCCTTTTAGCCAGGGTATAGGTACATATTTAGTATCTATTAGTAAAAGTATACTATTCTTTTTCTGTTGTACTCCGTACTTTGTAAGGTGCTTTCCAAGGCATAGACGCTATTTACAATTCTGCCGATCTTCTCCGCGGAACTATATCCCCCAGCACATACAACTACGAACATCATTCAATGTAAAGCTTTCATTTCAATATACCAGATACAAAGACTTCAACAAGGGAAACTGGGAGTAAATCCAGGATACCCGAGGTATCATTGCAAATCTCGAGTATGTCCAGACGCATGGAAAACTCCACACTCAGCAGGAAATGTACAAGACGTAGCTCCTTACAATTCCATGTACTAAGACATGAACAAAAACAACCAACTCAAACATAAACCAGGTGTGCAAAAACGAGGCGAAAACGAGCTATGCAGCTGAGATCAGATGCGCGGGATATATCAAACAGAGATGACCAAACCAAATCAAAGCCCGACAGGCTGATTAAGAGGGTGGAGAGAGAGAGAGAGAGAAAGAAAATAAAGGTGTAGAGGATAATAGAGACATGAAGTGAAGGTCCATCGCGCCGGGAATTGGAACATGAGAGACCCGAAAAAAACGAATGAAGTCGGCGGTGGTCGAGATAGAAAGAGCGTGTGGTATTGTGCAGGATGAAAAAAATCAAAATAAAAGAGAAATGCCGAGCTTTTGGAGATCAAAGATTATTGGAGGAAATCCGAATCAGTCGGGCGATCAGAAGTTCTGCGCGATACCGGCATTCCCCTGTCGGGGATAGACACCAGGGTTCTCAATGCGAGTATTACGGCGCGCCTGGACGTCGCGGATTACGGGCTGGTAGTCCTCGCCGCCGTATGCGCCGTGGGTGTTGATGTCGCCGTAGTACGGGTTCTCACCGTAGTAGCCAGCTGAGGGGTGAACAGCAGACATATGGCTTTCCTCCGATGCATCAGAACGGTTGGCTGCGGAGTAAGCAGAGGATGCATTGGAGGGACCGCGGTGGATGTCACCGTTGCGGTTGTTCGCAGCCACTGGGACAGCACCCAGCACGCCGATGGGTTCAACAATCTCGCCAGAGTCGGGTCGGGTGCCATCGGAGTATTGAACGGTGCCATCGCTGGGTGTTGGGCCGTGGTGATAACCGGGGCCGCTTCCTTCCGACATGGCTAGGCCACCCACTCCACTAGAGAGGTTGGTGGACGCCTTGCGCCCGGCTGAGGTGGTTCCCCAGCCGCGGTAGCCGGAGGATTCGTTGTCCTTGGGGATCACAACGCCTCCAACGCCGGGGAGGGTTGGGTCGTTGTTTGGGTTGAATCCGTACTCCTCCACTTCCTTACGGCGCTCCTCCTCGGCCGCCTTAGTCGCCTTGCGCTTACGCCAGAAGAAGAGAAGTGCCAAGATGATCACTGCTACTGAGACAACCGGGACAACGACTGCCACGGCGATTGTGCCGCTAGGAGAAAGACCGCCGGAGCTTGCTGCTGAAGTGGAGGTTGCGAGCGCGGCCGAATCGGTTGCGCTAGAAGAGGTGACGGACGTGGCACCGGTATTAGCCGCTATTTGGGTGGACGTGATAACAACTACGGTAGTTCCCTGTGTCGATGTAATCGTGACCTCCTGAGCACTCGAGGTGGTGGACGGGGCGGTTGTCGTGGAAGAAGTGGAAGAAGTGGAAGAAGTGGACGTGGTAGTGGACGAAGTAGACGTAGGCTCGGTGGTCGACGTGGTAGGCTGAGTCGTGGACGTGCTACTAGTACTAGTACTAGTACTGCTCGTGGTAGTACTGGTGGTAGTCGGTTCACTCGAAGTGGTGGTGGGAGCAGCCGTAGACGAAGTGGTCGTTGAGGTTGAAGATGTAGTAGGTTGGGTCGTAGATGTTTCACTGCTGGTCTCGGCAGCCGCCGACGACTGTGCAACAGTTTCTGCGGCGCTAGAAGCGATAGATGCAGCGGTGACAGCAGCGCCTTTCGATGGTGAAGCCATCTTCAATAGAAATTTTGGCCAATGTTGGTCGAAGTCGGTCAAGAATAGGTGATCTCCGGTGAGATTGGTTGTTAGGATCGAAGTGATTCTGAGCCGGGAGACCGTTCGGCGAGTTTTGAGAGATTAGGGACACTTCCGGGTGCGGAAATAATTTCGGGCTGAATGAGACTGGGGGTCACGAATTCGAATCCGAGTTAATGAGCTGATTTAACGAGAGACTGCGATTTGAACGCGTAAGGAGAGATGGGGGTTATGTTTATGGTCGGAGTCTCAGGGGAAAATCGGCGATATCTCAGGAACCGATCGGAATAGAAAAACAAGAAGATAGAAAGGAAAAGGAAGATGAATGGAAAAGAGAGGATGAGTACTCACAATCTCTCGAGGCCGAATCAAGCAGCCATGGGAGAGAGAAGTGTGTGGGAGAGTGAGATGGAAGTGGGAGAGTGGAGATTTCTTACGATTGCGGCGTATCTGCATTCCTAGTTGTATTAATAGATACTTTGATTTTACTTGTGTTTTGCTTATAATTAACTTGTACCCTTTTCCGTATACAACATAGTTAACTAACATAGTACATATGTACGTTGTACTCCGTACTCCGTAAGAGGATCTAGTTTATGCTACGCTTTAAGTTACAGTTGCATCCCCCGCTTGCAAACATGATGCTGTTTTTGGTAATCCCTTGATCCGGCCATGCGAACTAGCCATAAGGCTAAGATATTCCCTATTACTCTCTATTACTCTCTAATAATATTCTACAATACTCTCTAATACTCTAAAAAGTCTGAAAACAAAATATTTCCAAAACATGCCCAATGCTCAATCTTACTAGGTACCATGTGTCCATGTGTTTATTATTCGGTACCGAAAAAAAACCAGAGAACCGAGGTGAGAGTACCATGGATGTCAGGAAGCAAGGAAGCCCCGAGGCGGAATTCCAAGGTTATGTGCTCTTATACGGAGTACTATTCCACTTCCAAAGTTGGTGCTTCGTATAAAAATCAAGGATGCAGAGTGTACTCAGTTGCCACGGAGGATTCTGATTCTGATTCCCCACTTCTTCAACGGTTTAGTCGTCAACAATACGGAAGACTCCGTACTGCTATACATATTCCTGTACGGGTTCTATTATAATTAAAAAAGAAAAATACGATCGACGCGGGTAATCTTGTTTTCTGCGTCTAGCCCATTGGCATATTAATCTCCAAAATTATTAAATTTTTCTAAATTATTTAAATTATTTACATTATTATGATCTCTCTCATCTAGCCCCTGACTCTGGCAAGCGCTCGGCCCGATTTCTGCGTACATAGCCAACTCCCTGGGAACTTCCCGTCATACGAAGCCGGACGCCTAATTGTGGAGTATCTATTGAGTACGAGTACGGAGTACTAATATATGGAGTACTAATATACGAAACGAATTCTTAGTGTACTTACACATATACTCCAAATCTTAGACTTGAGACGTTCTAGAACTACGGAGTACAGAGCACCAATATATACAGCCCAGAGACCGAGCAGAAGAAATGAAATTTCAATGTGATCACGGGAAAGAATCCAACCATCATCTATTTACGCCATGGATAGCAGATTCCCAAACAAAAAAAGGAGAAAAAAAAGTAATGAATATAAACAGGGGCGATGACCATCACCCCCAAAAAAAAAAGCTCAAGCACCAGGGGGACCCAGATCGAGAAACAAAAAAATCAAAATCATCACGTGCTCTTATACAGGGTACCAAAACAACAAAGTCATGACATTGGAAAGCGAGAAGCTCGCTCTCTTATGCGTTGTTCATATCCCACTTCGGACGCAGACTGGTCATCATGTCGTCCTTAGTACCGACCGCTTCGGCCGGCAGACGACTGACACGGTAATTGCCCATGCGGATATTATTTTGGTGGTTAGCAGAGACGACGCTGCGAGCACTGCGGATACTACCCGCATCGCTGCCGGCACCACCCTCGTTCTTGAACCGGGGCGGGGGCACAAAGTCCAGGTTGGTGAACGTGCCAGACTTGCGCAGGGCGTGGGGACTAGGCATCACGGCGAGCTCGTCAAAGGCAGAGACCAGTGGCGTGTGGGCACGCAACCCAGGTACGTAGGGGCGCACGCCACCGGTGGGTGTCTCGGGGCGGCCCGCGACGCGGTCCTTGATTCCATATGCCGGGGCAAAGTCCATGGCGCTCATGAGGGAGTCATCCGTCAACATGTGGGGAGTAGGAAGGATGTGCAGCGGCGAGGGGGGTGGGATGGCTTTCTTGGGACCACGTGGACCGGGTGGACCGGGCATACGGCCAGAGGCAGATGAGAAGGCGCGTGGGCCGGGGATGCCATTGTGACCAGCAGAATTGGTGGCCATGTGGCGGGCGGCTCCCTGGAAGCGTGGAGGTGCGCGAGGCGGTGGTGTCATCGCGCGACGAGTGATGGGCTCGGCGAATGGAGCAGCACCCTGACTGGCATCATAATAGTCGCCGGTGGTTGGATCGTAGATGAAACCGGCCGAGTTACCACCGCTCTCATAGAACTCGGGGCCGAAGTTCTCGTAGTATGTGGGCTCCTGGCCGCCCGGTTTGCTCTCATCGAAGTACTCCTTGTAGAAGGAGCGAATCCGATTGGCACGCTGTTCTGGGTTGTCGGCGGGGTCCTCTGGGGGCAACGGGCGCAAACCGAGAGTCATCCGGCGGGTATCGCGGCGGTTATCATATGCCGCATCCAGATTCTGAGGTTCCTCTGGGAGTTCGGGATGCTTGTTATCGTGGCCTGGGCTATCATGTTGCTGTACACCTTCCGTGCCATGGATGTTGACCGCAGGGAGAATGTGCTGCGACTTGCGGTCATCACCATAGTCACTACTGGTAATATCGCTGGCCGGGAGGGAAATACGAGGAAGATGCGATGCAGGAGCCTGGTCATGATCCAAGTCTCGTGGTTGCGAATGTTCAGGCAGCGGGAAGTCGAGGCGCTCTTCATGTTGGTTGCCATATGAGTTGCCGTATGTATTGTCCAATCCGAAGTCTAGGCCCGCAGAGGACGCCATAGGGGGCAGAGGCTCTGGCGAGGGAGTCCGGTTGGCATTGGGACTTCCAATAGCCATGCCGGGTTGGTGTGCGGCAGGTGGATGCGTCACTCCGGGAACTTGCCCGAGGTAATCGTTGTGCTGGCTCGTAGGACTGCGTCCATGAGGTTCGATAGGGGAGGAGTATAGGGGTGGGGATGAACGAGACATCCTCTGTGCATTCTGGAGAAGACCTGAATTGCCGTCATCCGTACCTCCAAATTTGGAATTCCTGGGGTACGACCGAATGGAGGCAGTGGCCGGACGGTACTTTCCATCATCTATTGACATGGAGCGCAGAGAGTCCGTGGAATTTTGCAGGCCCGGAGGCAGTAGGTATGGACCGACATCAAGAGACAATCCTTTGGTATGGGTGGGTTCTGACATCGGGGGCATTCCATTAGGGCCTTTCCTCTTGGTTGCAGGCCCCACTGTATCCATTCCAAAATCAAGAGATTTATGTTTATCCATAGCATCTTCCCGCAGAAGTTTCTTGACATGTCTCCGGTGAAGCACAATGAGAATGATAACAGCACACAAAATGGGAACTCCTGCACCAAGGACGATAGGCAAGACGGTCGTTGTCAGATTGCTGGTGGCCTTTGCTCCCGAGGTCGGCTCAGATGATTCGGATCTTGCCACGAGGGTAGAAAGCTTTGTGGCTATAGAGGAGGTACTAGGGACCAAGAATGACAATCGATTTGGAGGGATGACATCCCGACGAACGTGATTTCGCATCACCAAGCCGGCGTGGTGAGCATGAGACATGGTCGATATAGTCTGGTCTATAGGGATAGACCCGACTTGTCTGGAACGTGAAGACCGGTCAACACGTTTAAAATGGCGATAGCCGCTTGAAATTGATGCTCGTCATTTAAATTCGGGTCACACAGTTCAGAAAATCACAAATAGCTGGTGGGAAAAGAGTGTAACACGCAATGTTAAAGCCAATGTAAATGAGTGTATAGGAACTAAGTCCTCAAAAAGAGCGGCCAGTAGCCAACAGTAGCCAAAAGAGAACGAATGTGGGTTAAAGAGAGGAAAGAAAAGAGGAGAAGGGGAGAAGAGTGAGTTCTAGAATAGCGGACTAGCGCCATTACTATACAGAGACTTTGTACGGAGTACGGAGTACGATACAGGTACTTAGGTACTCTATCTCCGCATCTCGCCCCTGAGTCTTAATTTAGAACCATTTGAACCTGAATTTCTACAGATGACGGAGTTTGGAGTAAGAAATTGTTATTGTTATTGTCTCGGATTCGATATTTGTTAACTCCTGTCAATCTTTCACCTCGTTAATATGTTTGTTGACACTCAAAAGAGACTGCACCAAGCAAGGTGAGGGTAAGACACAAAGCTGTTGATGGGACCACACTGGTAGCGTCAGGAACCCGCTCTCTTATCAGCCAATGGTTGAACGGCTGCCCCTGAGAAGAAAGTGCCCCAGTGGGCAAAAGTGGCTGTATCTTATTTATTACGTTTAAATGGTGTATTCTGTATCTGTCATGTAAGGGCACAAGGGGGTCTTCTCGCCTTTCTTTTCTTTTTCCTTTTTTCCCCTTCCTGACTTTGTACATGTTGTATGCTCCAAGGCTTTGCCAAGCCCTGACTCTTCACATTGGCTGATGCTTAATCCTTGAGAAGATAGAAGGGAATAATTACCATGTACTATTCTAATGTTATTCTATACATCATAAAGAGGTCAATTGATTCAATACGAGGGGTATTGGAGGTTGTGATTTCCGATTCCTTCAACATGAGACGCCGGTGTGTCCCCCTCATTTCCAAGTGCCCCGGATAATAATCGGATTAACTATACTACATCTTGCTCTATACTACAACATACCCTTAGAGACATATTACACTGCCAGCCTCATTATATTCAGTCTTTTTATTGTGATCTTCTTCTAATTCCCTACACTGTCTCACTGGTTTGTTTGCTTTTTTTTATCTACTTTTGACCTAGGTTGTTTAGTCAATTGCTCTCAAGGGAAACCTCTAGACACAAACCTACCTAGGCATGAGGACTAATCTATAACAGCATTCACAATGGGCAACCCAAATTTTACCGAGTTAAGCGCGGACTACTCGATTATTCAACGAAGATGTGTACAGCATAATAAAAATACCTTATCTTGTCTCGACGGAGGGCTTACACAGCCACGGAACGCCTCTATTGAATATTGAACTCATCAGATATATTTATGCCAAAGACTAAACAACTTTGAAGCTAGGTCAATACTTTAATTTATCTAGTACAAGGACTAGGCGACAGCTGCGCTTTAGGGGAGAATTATCGGAATGATATTGGCGCTTTTTCAAGCTGCACTCCGTACCGTGACTAGATATATATCGCCATGGACCACGGACTCTTCTATCAAGATTTCGGCCTTATACAATAATTATGGGGTTAAATCCAATCGATATCATCCCAAAAAATAGACCTAGTACTTTATATACTGAAAGTTGAATATCTATATAATATATATAGATATTGGAATGTGAAGAGTTCAACTGTTCTAGGACGCAAAGCTCGGCATTTCTAGACAGCAGCGCCATTGGAGTTGTCCTTGGAAACATATGATCTTGTATACCATATATATCACTGTTCATACCATCTACAAACATTAATTCGGTTTCCCATTAATCTAGATAAAATGAAGATTAGAATTTGGGTTCATTTGTGTATTACATATGTAGACTTAGACACAGGATGGAAAGTTCATAGAATTGCCCGCCAGGGCTTGTCCCTGGGTAACGGGTAACTCATCACATCTGGGGTTCATTGCTTTTCATATTGCCTGGTATTGGGGGGGGGGGGCGAGGTCTTGGTTTGAAAACATCATCAGAGAACAGATCATCCCCCTTGGAAGGAATCCTCCGTGATTAGTACAGCGCAATTAGGAAATATGAGCTGCGCAAATATGAAACATGGACGAAAGGAATGGGAAGATGACACAAGAGAAAATGGAAGGTCATGAGCCCCATGGGCACTCGTATGTGTGGGATGCACACATGGAAAGGAGGGAAAGGGAAAAACCGTACTGTTGGCAATGTACATTGGGGATAGAGTTGTACATGAGAATGAAAAAAAGGTAATGGCGTTTTGGGTCAGATCGCACTGTGAAAGAAATAGACGGAATTCTCCGAGATCGTGCAGGGAGTAAACATTAGGTAAGGATGAAGAAGATGGTCATGCAAATGATCTTCAGGTGGTATTCGGTTCATCTCATGGGTTGTGGTTGGCGAATGGAAGATAATGAGAGGGAGTGAGTATTGAGATGTGTCGATGAAAAGAAAGAAAAAAGGTGATTAGGACATGTCAGCCAGCGCTGCCTCAAAACTGGCAATATCATCGTGAGATGGTTTGTCGAAAATGCGTCGGAATGGCGGGTCTTGGGGGAAGTCCTGCGGACTGGTTGCTACCCCGTCTGCTTTGCGAATAACTTCTTTCAACGCGCGTGTTACCACACCCGCACGAACCACCAAATTTTTCAACGAGGAAGTATCAAATGGAAGCTTTTTAGCACGTGACGATAATTCTAACTCAAGAGCTGAAGCGGGCTTTTGTTGATCTCGACCAGCCTGGAGGATATCAAGTACGGATCTGGACTTTGGTGAGTCCTTTGCAAGGTGAGCGAGGGGCAACGTGGGCTCCGCGTTTTCACCATGGGCTACGTCCCATGAGATTTCACTGTTGTGCTTTGACGACGCATTAAGACCGTCATCGTCGGATTCATCAAAACTGAAAGTGAGAGATTGTGGAGATCCTGGCGGCGAGCGACGGTCCTCTTCATCGTCAATCGTAGCAAGGTTCACAATCTGCTCTGCTTCTGCCCAAAGTTCACTGGAAGGTCCGTTGACAACACCTAAGACATTTGCTTGATGCCGAAGACGCTTCAATTCCTCCACCAGCAGAGTTAATTCTTGAACCTGGCCAAATTGACCACGAAGACTTGCTTGACGCTCCAGAATGGCCTTGGGAACAGTCATGCTCTGGCGATTGATATCAGGCTCAGTAAGTGGTTTGTTTTCAGCGATAGGTGTGTCCTCCGACTCGTCAAAGTCAAAATCGCTATCCCAATCTTCACTGACACCCTTACTGCCCAAGCCCCAAGTACCGAACTTGCCGGAAGTTTGACGCGATTCGTTGATGGGGAGTTCACTTGCGACTGGGACACTCTGGCTCCTAAGGTGGACGGTAGATGGCGCTTTCCGACAAACAGCGCGACTGTTTCTATCAATAACGCCCTCCTGTTTCCCATGCATGGTCCGAGGACGCGTCTCCGAGTCCGAAGTTTCACGGCTAGGGTGTGCTTGTTCGGACCAGTCAAAGATGTTCGTCTTTTTGTGGATATCTGAATTCAACTCGCCCACAATCGATCCGGACATATCCTTAGCTGCACCAACATGCGACTCGGGCTGCTCAGAAAATTTGGCCAATGAATGCGTCAAAGAAGATGAGAAACAATCACGATCATCGCCAGGAAGCGCTCCAATCATGCTGAGAGCATCGTCGTCAGACACGTATGGATTTTTAACCATAGACGTTTGAACCAAAGGAGGGGAAGACAGAAGCGGATCAGCGAACAATTGGGGATCCTTGCACAAAGACCGAGCGGCGAAGGAACCCCGCGGGAGGAGAGACTCCAAGGTCGTGGCTTCTTCATTCACCAAGCTCGCACCTGCTTTGTCAAACATCGTCTCAATCCGCAGCCCTTTCAGTCCACTGAGATTGGTCTCACGTGTGCGGACAGAGTCCCAATAGTCCGACGCTCCGTCCGTCTCATATTCATCACATGATGTGAACACTCGCGTGTCATCGGAACCAATGACAGTGGAAGCTGGATCGGAACCTGAAATCGAAAATCCCTTGGGACGGCGACGAAGAGAACCATAAGCTTGACCACCCGGACGAGATGCCTGCTGCCAGGCCGACAGGGCGACCGCATCTGAGGCCATTTGACGTGAACTTGCTCGAGGTCCCAAGCCAACGTTATAGTCCTGCGATACCGATCGGGGACCAACTTGAGACCGTCTTTCTAAAGCCGAATCAGCCCAACCAGGCTGCGAAATGGGATACGGAGCGCGGAACACGCTTGGATCAGTAATGTTGCGCCGCGGCTCAGGCTCCGGGGGACTTGGAATAGCGACGTTCTTTTCTTCGCCTGACAGTTCTGAAGGAGGGACTGAGAAGGTCCTCCCCTTAACTCGTTTCAGAGAGCCGCCGCGAACGAGTCCCATAATCGGTGTCCCATGCGCGGTGACTGTGTTTGCCATGACGATTTTCGGCTCGATATCGTTGACCGAGGATGACTGTTTATGGCCAGATTGATCTGCTTGCTGTTCCGGAGCAACTGGCTGCTTGGGAGTAGGCTCAGAGAGGGCCGTTTGGAACGGATTGCGGAATTCAATTGGTGTGTGAGGCACTGATCTGTCTTCTGCGGGCGCAGCAGTCGTGGGTGAGATCGCATTAGCCATAACCAGCGCAGGAAGACCTCCCTGGTCAGACAAAACCTGGCGTGCACTCTGAACCTTTGGGGTATTGGCGGTGGAGAATCTGCGTGTAAGTCTCTCTGCCAATTTGCCAGCCTTGGGAACGAAGAACCGCGTCCAATGCGTCTGCTTATTGAGCTCGAATTCCTCAATCGCTGGACCTTCGGCAGGAGATTTCGGAAAAATCGTATCGAAATCAGGTGTCAAGGGAGTTCGCAGGATCGTCGACTCCGACCTCTGGTGACTCGTGGCAGGCCTGCGCAGCACCATCGGCGACGGTCCAGTGATGGGGTTCATAGCGAAAGCATGCGGATCGAGTATGTGCTGGGAGCTTGGGCGCTTGGAAGCTGTGTGCTGGGAGGTCGGGCGTTTGGGAGTTGTGTGCTGAGAGCCCGGGCGCTTCATCAATTTATTCGGTCTTCGCTGACCGGGCGAGTGAGGAAGTAATGGACTATCTGACCCATGGAACGAAGGTGTCGCTGGACTACTTGCGGTCGGGCTTTCGGCTTGGAACGAGGCCATAGACAGCCGCCGCAGCCAACCGGTGGATGGCCGCCGGATATGTGTTTCGACCGACGAGTCTGTTGACTCATGCTCCGGGATTTGCAGAGGTGGATTCGTGAGAGTTTGACCCCGACGGCGGCGTCTGGCACCGCTGAACGACAAGGGCGCTTTCCGCAGATCAGATCCTTGGGTTCCCTGAGCGCTTTCCTCCTCCTTTGCGGCAAGCCACTCAGCGGCCGGACTTCGAGATGCGATAGCGGTCTTGGGCCGGGGAACCTGTGCGGTCTGTTCAGTGTTGATGGAGAGCGGCTCGGAGACATCTTGAGCGAGAGTCTTGCGCCGAAAGAGGCCAGGCTTCTGAGTTCGTTCTGCGCGACCGAGCGCGAGGCCGGCAGGAGCTATTCCGACAGTGCTTAATGCACAGAGCTAGAAGCGCCAGTCAGTGAGAATTCCGAAGCGACCAGGCCGCCGCCGTGGAAGCAATTCCCGGTCTCGTTCTGCAATTTTATATCGGAGGGGCTTACAGTTGATATGTGATCCATCCTCAGAGGACGCCGCGAAGGATGTCAAACACCCCGACGATCAGCTCCAGGTTGACAAGCTCCGTGAATGACATTCCAGATGAATGCAGAATTACGAAGGAGTATCGAGAAAAGTGAGGAGGGGGTAGATGGAAGTCCGAATTGCCAACTGCGACGGTCGGGTGTGAGAGAGAAGTGCGCTGCCTCAACTAGGCCACGATTGACGTTCCGGACAAAGCAAAAATAAAGGAAAGAAAAAAAAGAATGAATGAGCGACGCCGAGCAAAGCCACTCCGAGAAAAACGATATGCCTCTACCCCCTGGGAGGCCGAGTAAAGAAGGAGAGCACCAGATGAAGTGGATGTGACCCGGGGAAATCAACAACAACACACGGGGATTATCAGCTCCCGCCCTGCGCACGCTAGGAGCAACTTCAATAACTCCCCTCCTTCAACCCTTTTTTGGATTTTTTTGATATTATGTCAATTATCAAGTACATTAATGTACTGGGAAGTTGGCATTCACTCAAAAAGTTTAGAATGGATGGGAGAAAGCTAGGAAGATTACGCCCTGATCATAACAAACCACTAACTCATAGTTTGGCATGTCACCCTGAGAGAAATACCCCGATTTGCACCTCTACGACAGGGCAGCACGAAACGGTACTAGCTTTTGTGCACGATCCTGCGGGTGTTATTGCAAATGCAGAATGCAGGCGAGAAGAGGATTAGGCGCTAAGTTGGCACACATCCCTTGCGGCTCACATTTGCATTGGCGTCATAGTCCAGATCTTTTCAAGCAACCGGAGAAGTCCGTTTCTGAGTGGCCGAGGGGCCCAAAGAGTAGGGAAATGGAGAAGCCAAAGGCCCCAAAAAAGCCATGCGATCCAGAATTCCCCACACATCTGGGTTTGGCTGGCTGAGATCGCGTCCTCGGCCCCCTAGCCTGACTAGGATCGTTAGGCGCAAGATCGCGAAAGGGCCCCCCTCAGGGCCGATCGGTGTCCACTGGTTTCCTAGAACTGCCCGCAGGTTCTGTTCTCCGATGGTGAACCATGGTGCAGTGATATTAACAATGGATTGCGGTTGGGCTTCATTTGGTTCCTATATCCACCCCTTAACTTGGTTAAGCTGTCACTCTGAACGGATACGGAGTACAGTACCAAGTTTTTTTTCCCTATCCAGATCCACTTTTAACTAACTTCGCTGATTTCGCTTCTAGAAAGGAATATCATCCGATGAAGAGTTGACTGGTCCAAAAAAAGGCGTTACGAGGAGGCTCAATGTAAGGGCTCCAGCAGCAAGTACTCTGTACGTTTAAATGTTATATTGCAGAACGTGATTCAACATCAACTAATCGGTACTCCAGGGTGCGATATTAGCTTCAGGAGTTGACCTGTTCGATTTTGCGCAAATTAACCCGATATAGTACCCGGTGCTATGTAAGGTTTTCTTGTTGACATCGTCATATAACACTCCACTCTTTCCCACTATTTCCTACTTTTCAAATGAGAAAGGAACTCCCGTGGGTCATGAAGTGTAATTCCCAACTCCGAATACATGCTTCTTGCTTCTTGCTTCTGCTGGCAGTTAACCGTCGATAGCGTATCAAAGAGTGGGGGGAAGAAGCACCTCGTGTTTCAAGCTCATGATTATTTGAATTTTTTTACCTAAAAGTCAGTTTAGGCCGATCTCTGGATGAGATCCGAACTTATAGCGATCGGCATATCCAATCATTCAGTTTGGAAGGTCAATATATGGAACTTCCATGGAGTACATCGGTACAGAAGTTTCTTGATCGTCTTGGGTCTACGTGTCCCTGTGTCAACTGTTCATCCACATGTTGTAGGCATCTATGAGCCAATACTTCAATTTATTTTTCTTCCTGCCATCACCCGTTATATTAGTGTCGGCTGCAGTGACCTGCAGACCGGAACAAGATATTCCCTGCACTGTTTAATAACCTTGAAATATTCTGGTCGAATGGCCACTTCTTGATTTCTTGGCTAACCCCGAAAAAGAATCACATAATAAACAAAGATAGGGAGTAAAGCATTCGACTTTGAATCTCGGCAGATTCTGCAAGCCCGTGCTTTGCAATTTCCGACTTTTTGTGAGTGTGGAAATTGCATTTTGAATAGCTCCCAACTTCCAGCTCCTAGCTTTCAATCTGGTATACAACATACCTTCATTTGGCAGTTCATAATTGACTAGTACTTTTGTGCCCACTTTTCAGATTTTATTTTACTACGGAGTACGGAGTAATTGCTGGCCAGATGCAACTTCTCCGAACATGAAACTGCCTATGAAACACCGTGCAGCCTGCAAAAACAATCTAATTTAGGTAATTTGATCGGAGTCCAGTTGTTGATGCAGAATCTGGTATACTGGTCATGCCACATCTTTCACTTCACCGTCTATGTTTATGTCTATCGCTATTAGCTGCACGGAGTAGCCGAAACATCTTTGCACAAGACGGTGAGATCTGGGTCTTGCTTATGCTCATAATTGCAAAATCTCGTATTGCTTATCAACCTATGACCGGGGAGACGGCCGGAGCTGAGGTCGACCATTATGCTACGTTTACTCTGTACTTTGTCTGACACTTATGGGCTTCCTAAACATCGGGGTTGTGTGACATTCGGGTGATTTGATGCTTGTTTCCCGCAGGCAAGTATATCACAAACGCTAACATGTGATTCAAAACTTGACTATCTGCGCTTTATGAACTAGTCGCCTGGGAACCTGCCGAAGCGTGGTTTATTTATCTCAGCAATCACCTCTCTTTCACAATGGCTCTGATTCAAATTTTCAGTTTTTGAACAGATTCCAGGGGTTCATTCAAGCATTTCCATGACTAATGTTCTTGTCGTGTCCCATATGAAGTACACATGAGTGGCTTTATGAGGGATTCTGGAAGAATTATAGCTAGATGGATGAATATCCTCGCATGATACCAATGGCCAGCACTGTACCTTCTGAACAATCCTAACAATGATAAGACTAGGTATCGATAACGACACCAGGAGAATAGTTTTTCGATACCACACTTGCTCACTGATATAGAGGCCTCGTCTTCAACAATTTCATGTGGAGATTGGCGATACAGCAATCGCCAACTTCCTTCAGTATCATTTTTATTCAACTTGTAGTTGTCAATAGCTTATGCTGAGTGCCAATCACTTAAAAAGTAAACCTACAGTCATATGATTCCATGTCGAAGTTATAGAAATCGCTTATACTTTGGGATAGTATATAGCCGCAAATATACGGGAAAGAACAACCACCTAGCTACCTCTTTTTTATTTTGGCATTCTAAAAAGCATAGAAACAGTGTACTCTAGCTAACATTCAATATCTGTCGCAATATCCCCAAAGACAGAATTCCTAACATTGAATCCTGGAAGCTTCGCAGAACGATAAACACGTGTGTCATGTGATCTTATCGATAACACACATCCAAAAATCCGCCACTATTCACAATGGGGACATCAATTGCAGAACTCCACAAACTCTTGACGCCGAAGCTTCCTGAATCTCGGCGTGACACACGCCCTCTTGAGCTTGGCAAGATGGAGTCTGAACTTCAATCCCAGATCCCTGGCCTCGACCAGATCATCACCGAATACTCAGTGGTACGTCTCTCCGCACATATGCGCGGTGGAGGATTGGATTGGGAGTCCCCTGAAGCTAACTGTTTTATAGGGCTACCTGACCCATGCCGCAAACCTCTACGTCGACGATGCCAGTGGCGAGTCCCCATTGTCAGAGGCCGCCGAATCCGTGACCGAGCTCCTAGTCTCCGCTTCTGGAGATTTCTCCCCGCAAAACTACGAAGCGATCGGCAACTTGGTTACGAGGTTCATCACCACGCTGAGCTCTTCCGATGGCGATTCGGAACGGAGGCAAATGCCCTTCAAGGCCAAGAAGCTTGAACAGACCATCAATGTCGGCGCACAGCGGAACATGTCCTCGACACTGGGTCTCACTGGAAACACTGTCGACTTAGAATCTGCCAATGCCAGAAAGATGGAGTCCAAGGTGGACAAGAAGAAGCTTGAGAAGGCCGAGCGCAAGATTCGCGCCAAGCAGGACAAGAAGTCCATGAAGAACGTTACCTACGAGGCGTCCCGTCTGCTCAACCAGCCAGATGAGGCCATGTCCTACGAGGAGTTCTTCATGGCTGTCAACCCTCTCCAATTGGGCTCGGACTCCCAGGCCAAGAGTAAGGACATCAAGTTGGATAACATCGATATCTCGATTAGTGGCCTGCGCATTCTTACAGATGCTGCCTTCACACTCGCTTATGGTCGTCGTTACGGTCTTGTTGGTCAGAACGGTATCGGTAAATCTACACTTTTGCGTGCTTTGAGTCGCAGAGAAATCCCTATTCCGACCCACGTTTCTATTCTCCACGTTGAGCAAGAGGTATATTTAAATCTGAGATCGGTTGCGTTTTCTCTTACTGACCTTCTACGGTAGATCACCGGTGACGATACACCAGCTTTGCAAGCAGTGCTGGATGCCGATGTGTGGCGGAAACATCTTCTCTCGGAGCAAGCGGTTAGTCAAATCGCATGATACCACAGTGGCATATTCACTAACGACCATAGAAAATCTCGAAACAACTGGCAGCCATCGAAGAAGAAAGATCTTCATTGGCGGATACTTCGAAGGATGCTGCTAGACTCGACGAGGAGCGAGAGGGCCTGGACATCACGTTAAGTGATATTCATGGAAAGCTTTCAGAAATGGAGTCTGATAAGGCCGAATCCCGCGCGGCCAGTATCTTGGCTGGTCTTGGTTTCTCCCAAGAGCGTCAGCAGTACGCCACCAAGACCTTCTCCGGAGGTTGGAGAATGCGTTTGTCTCTCGCACGAGCTCTATTCTGCGAGCCTGATTTGCTTTTGCTCGACGGTATGTACCACTGGTCTCTCTATTCCACAAGCAGCCTACTGACATTTCACAGAACCGTCTAACATGTTGGACGTTCCGTCCATTACTTTCCTTTCTAATTACCTCCAGGGATACCCTAGCACAGTCCTTGTGGTTTCTCACGATCGTGCATTCTTGAACGAAGTCGCCACGGATATTATCCACCAGCACTCCGAGAGGTTGGACTACTACAGAGGAGCTAACTTCGGTAAGTTGCGCACCAGATCTTAAGACTATGAGTGGTTCTAACAACTTGTAGAATCCTTCTATGCAACCAAGGAGGAGCGCCGGAAGACTGCTAAGCGCGAATACGAGAAGCAAATGGGCGAGAGAGCACACTTGCAAGGTTTGTCAACCCCTCCATCTCGTCATCAGAGCCGTGTTAATGATCATCATCAGCATTCATTGATAAGTTCCGATACAACGCTGCCAAGTCCTCTGAGGCACAATCGAGAATCAAGAAGCTTGAGCGCATGCCAGTTCTTGAAGCTCCAGAGGCCGAGTACACCGTGCACTTTGCATTCCCCGGAGTCGAGAAGCTTTCACCACCCATTGTCCAGATGTCCGACGTTTGCTTCGGTTACACCAAGGACAAGCCTCTTCTCAGGGATGTCGATCTGGATGTTCAACTTGATTCGCGTATTGGAATTGTCGGACCTAACGGTGCTGGTAAGACCACAGTTCTGAAACTACTCACTAACCAGCTTGAGCCAACAAGCGGTCTTATCTCCACAAACTCGAGACTGCGCATTGGATTCTTTGCCCAACATCACGTGGATGCTTTGGACATGACTACCAGTGCAGTCGGCTTCATGACCAAGACATACCCCGGTAAAACTGACGAGGAGTACCGACGACACCTGGGAGCGTAAGTTTATCTAAAACACTCGCATCTACTGCATTCACTAACCTTCATCGTATAGCTTCGGTATCACTGGTACAACCGGTCTCCAACGCATGGAACTGCTGTCTGGAGGTCAGAAATCTCGTGTTGCATTTGCTTGCTTGTCCTTGACCAATCCTCACATCCTTGTTCTTGACGAACCTTCCAATCACTTGGATATCGAGGGTATGGATGCTCTATCAGATGCACTCCGGGTGTTCGAGGGAGGTGTGGTGATGGTTTCTCACGATGTTACCATGTTGCAGAATGTCTGCACCAGTCTCTGGGTTTGCGACGGCGGTACTGTTCACAAGTTCGACGGCACCGTCAACGCCTACAAGAAGAGGATCACCGCACAGGCTGATGCTGCCGGTGTTGTGGCTAAACACTAGGGCAGGAGGGCTATATATGTACAGATTAATGCCGTAAAAAATATGAATATCCTGCATGAATCTGCATTATGACCTCTATTATTACTTGTATTCTGCATGCCAGGCTTTGCTTTGCGTAATAGATTAGGGCTTCATTCCACCTCAGTGCATGTGTGAAAAACAAAAATATTTATAGTAAGGCCATAGTCTTCTAGTACTATCTCTTTATTCTTTTTCATGATTGTCTACAACATACTAAAACACATCGGCGTGCGGAATCCGAGTTCCGCTTCGGGCTTTGAGCGGGTCTCCTTATCGGCTTATCGCGATCAACCCCGGACGTCACTTGGACACTTTACCATCTCAGATGCCCTAAGGACAATTTAGATGATACTTCAGGGCTAGAGCTAGAAAAGCCCGAAGACATGACGGGCGCAGATGAGCAAGAACAATCGGGTCCCCATGCCCCTTTGCTCGCCTCATCACACGCCTCTTCGGATCACGATGACAATGGCCACGATGAGAGCCTGGCCTCTGAGCTGGAATACTCAGGAGGGTGGTTTATATGGGCGTTGACCTTCTCCGCTGGGATAAGCGGTCTACTATTTGGATATGAGTATGCTAGCTCCTACCAAACATGTCATAGTTGTTTCATTGGTCTTCACGTTCACTAACAATCGTCGGAACTTCCAGCACAGGTGTTATCTCGTCTACTTTGGTGACCATCGGGTCAGATCTTTCGGGCCGGACATTAACAACACTGGACAAAAGCCTCATTACATCATGCACTAGCCTGTTTGCGTTGATCGCGAGCCCATTCACCGGAGTACTAGCGGACAAGTTTGGTCGTCGGAAGGTCATACTTGGTGCAGATCTGTTGTTTGCAGTTGGAGCTTTGGTACAGGCCTTCACAAGCCAGGTTTGGGGTATGATTCTTGGGCGCAGTATTGTTGGCCTTGCTGTTGGTAGCGCGAGTGCAGTGACCCCATTGTAGGTTGGCCGTGATGTGTTGACATGCTAGGCGGGGGACTAAGAACCCTGGGCCATGGCAGTAATTTGATTGCGAGAGACCTGATGATTGCTAACATGCTGGATAATTTCTCCAGGTATATCTCCGAGTTGGCTCCTTCGCACGCAAGAGGAAGACTTGTCACAATCCTTAGCTTGTTCATCACCGGTGGGCAGGTAGTGGCATACATAGTTGGGTGGCTGTTTTCTAGTACAACTGGAGGCTGGCGGTGGATTGTGGGAATCGGGGCATTCCCGGCCTTCTTCCAGCTTGCTATTCTCGCTCTGCTACCCGAAACACCTCGATGGCTGGTCCAGGCTGGATTCGATGCCCGGGCGAAGACAGTCCTGACCAAGATATACCAGGATTGCCCTGGCTGTGACCAGGTGGTGGAACATGTCTTGCGCAATATTAATGGAGAAATTGTCCAAGAGGCATCGGAGCTGGGACAAACTAAGGCTCGTGGCACAAGGCCCCAGTGGTTACATGATACCATTCAACGGGGTCAGCAGTTGCTGCATGGTGGAAACAGAAGAGCATTGACTATAGCGATGATGCTCCAGGCGGTCCAACAGCTTTGCGGATTCAATAGCCTGATGTACTTTTCGGCCACAATTTTCTCCTCCCTTTCGTTCTCCTCGCCGACACTTACATCACTCTCGGTGGCTATGACGAACTTCCTCTTCACGCTGCTTGCATTCGTGCTGATTGACAGGATCGGTCGCCGGCGCATTCTCCTGTATTCAATCCCTGTCATGGTTGTTGCGCTGGTCGTTTGTGCTTTCTCGTTTTCCTCAATGAACGACAAATGGAATTCACAACCAGCTGACCGTCAAGAAAACGATGATAATGCTAGTTCTCTTGTGCCCCTCGCGATTTTGCTCTGTCTTACTGTCTATACCGCAGCATATGCTCTCGGACTCGGAAATGTCCCCTGGCAGCAGTCTGAACTCTTTCCTCTGAATGTACGCTCCCTGGGATCAGGACTGGCCACTGCAACTAACTGGGGATCGAACTTTATCATTGGTCTGACTTTCTTGCCTATGATGGAATGGATATCACCCTCGTGGACGTTTGCTCTCTATGCACTCGTTTGTGTGGTCGGGTGGGTTGGTGTATGGGCGATTTACCCTGAGATGAGTGGACTTGGCCTTGAGGAAGTGAAGGGTTTATTGGCAGATGGATGGGGAGTGAGAGAAAGTCTACGGCGACGTCGTCTTTCACGGCATATATAGCATGTAGTTATGGTGTTATTGAAATATATCAATCTCGGGGCATGTGCTCCGTTTGGTCTTGTGAAGAAGTGTAATCTAAATAGACTAATTCTTTGTATCACTTCGGTTCTCTTTGTTCTCTTGTCACATGTGAGGTGGATGTCATTGGCCACGCCAAGTAATTTCCCAATGTGGTCATCTGAAAATGACAATCAGCCCTATTATGTAATTCTACAATGGCATCGAACATTCAAGAGTCAATCACCTCAAGGACATATAGATGCCCTTATCAAACATCTATTGGCTCTTATCACAAATATTCGCTCTTTGCACGTTGCATTTTCTGTCTCGCGTTTTCCGTCTCTCATGGAACTATACACAAACAGTGGGTCTTCACACTTTATATCGCTCTCCAGACTACACAACTTGCATACTGAATATTGTGCCACAGACACAGATATGTCACACAGCAATCTTGAGCAGGTCGCTTCAACTGCCATGCAAAGTGCTCGGAGCCGACTGCTCGAGCTTCCGACTGAGGCAAGTATATGACTGTATTCTACAACGTAGATCGCAGCCATTGATATTTGAGATCAACAGATCCTCCAGGATATTGCATGCTATCTCCCCAGTGACCGTGATATTCTCAATCTCTCTCTATCCTGCAAAGAGACGTGGAGCAAGGTTTTCGAATCAGAGTCCGCCATCTGGCGATATCGCTTTGGTAAACACTATGACATTGTCCCGGGAAGACCCTCTAGGGAGTTGAAGATTGAATACCAGATCCGCGCTATTGTGCTGAGCTCTCCGATTCAATTCAAAGAAGAAGAAGATGATCGTCAATATCTCTGGATGGAGGTCATGCAGACTATGCTCGAGGAGTCTCTGAAACTATCCATCGCCCCTGGAGCAACCTCGAAGACCTTGGAACGTATACATGAGACCCTCAAAGGGGTAAATTTCCTAAGCGAGTTTCAAAAAGGACGAACTTCGTCGCAACTCTTTTATGCTCTCCAGCTGGTACGCGCGTTTCATCGAATCATGGGCAGGACATTCATTCACTGATATTTATACACAGGGCCTAAGTTCATTTGCTCTCGACCCAACAATCACCGAGCCCTGTCGTCGAACCGACTACGACATCAAACAGGTCTACTCTTATGCTGAAAAAGTGGGCAAGGCATTTATCGACCACGAGAACCTTGACCTCGCCAAATTGCTGAGCCTGCGCAATTTCTGGCAGCGACACTTCCTGAACGCTTCCGAGTTTACCTACCAAGAGTCCTTCTCTGGGCTGCCTGCAGAGCTGAGACCCAGGGCGCGAAAGGATATTCCAAACGAGGTATCTAAACTAAGCCCATCGTGGCTAGGATACTATTGTGAGTACACCAACAAAAAGAAACTCCAATCATTTCCCCAAGCTGACATCAATTTACTCTTAGCGTGCATGCATCCGCTGTCAGATCTGCTGAAGATCAACGAACGCCAGACATGCGCTGATCTCGAGACACACAGCGACGGACTGGACGTAATGGTGAGTGGAAAGCGAACTGCTTGGAAGGCTATGACCACTAGGCTAACAAGTATCAAGACCCTCGATCTCCAACCCTCCTCCGAAAAGTTCTGGCCCAAGCAATGCAGCAAGATTATCCCCCTGGCTGGTAGTCCCAATACTAAGCGGACATATTTCGATGGCAAGCAGAGAGCCTATGGTGGCGCCTATGAGGTAGGAAACCCTGTTTTCGGGTTTACCGAAGAGATTGCTATCCCACATGGTGGAGTTGGAGGATGGACCCGGATCTGCTTTACTATCGTTGAAGGAGATGAGGAGGAAGAGGAAAAGTCACCCTCTCTCATAATGGACGGCGAGGGCTGGATCCATGGCTATGAGGCCATCATTATCCCCGGTGGGTGCATGATGCTGGGACGGTGGATGGACATGAAGGAGCCAGAGGCCAGGGGGCCATTCATCTTCTGGGACGTGTGAGGGCCACACCCGATATCTTCTATACGCTTTTCGCTTGCATTTCTTTTCTGTCTTTTCTTTTTTTCTTCCTGTTCTGTTTGTGTTTTTCGGGGAGCTGAGCGGTAGACGAGATAGGGAATAAAACAGACCAAGCTCGCCCAAAGCGCTGGAAGCTGATGTAGGATTCTCGCAGTGGAATCAATATTTATGGTAACAAGCAATGTAGCTTTTGGATAGAAGAAGATTATGCGTTGAGGAAGGGAATAGATGACACATAGAAATTAAAACAGCCACTACTCCTCGATATCCTTGACCTTCTCCCACTCCCCCTTGAGGTTCTCCTTCCACAAACTGACCTTGTTATCACCACCGCTGACGGCAAGGATGTTGCCGCTGAGACTCCAGCTAACGCGCCACAGGACAGTGTCGAACTCCAATGTTTGGCTGGACCACTGGCCCGGGTTGGAAGCATCGGAGGTCCAAATGCGAACGGTCTTGTCTTGCGCGGCGGAGGCAATGTAGGACTTAGAGAGGATGCTCGGGGACCAGGCCACATCACGGACCCAGTCTGAGTGTCCCTCGAGGGTTTGAGTGAGGTTGTACGATTTGGACTCCGCGCTAAAGAGAGTTGAGTCAGTCCACGTCATAGTATATTTGGTAAGGTCGATCAATCAACATACTTATATTCCCAGATCTTGACCAGGTTGTCGCTGCCACCGGTAACAAACCGGCGTTGTTGGCCGGGTCCAGGGTTAGAGCTGATGAGGCTACCAGCAAAGGCCGCGGGGGCCCAGCTGATAGAGTTGACGCCCATTCCGTGGGCATGGAAGGTCTGGTGGGTCCAGTTGTTATCACGGAACTCGAGCACGCTGACATGGCCGTCGGAAGAAGCGCATGCAAGAACACATCCGCTCTCATGAGGAGCCCAGGAGACCATGTTCACGGAGGCCGTGTGAAGGGAGAAATCAAAGACCTTGGTCCATGTGCTACCGCTGGAGGGCGAGGTCGCATTCTGGGGCTGTTCCCGCCAGATCAGAACCTTGCCATCGTAGGAAGATGAGGCCAGAATTGTGCCGAATTTCGGATGCGCCTAGATTGAGAGAATTGCATGGTCAGTCGGATTGCGCGCTACAATAGCTGATGTTTTGGGGGTATCACTCACCCATGCGACACACCACACAGCGCCCTCGTGGCTATCAAATACCCATGTCAGTGACCAGATACCCAGCTGCACACATCATCAAGACCAGCTTACCCCTTCAGCGTCTCGACTAGTCGGTGTGATTCTCCCTCAATCTCAAAGATCTTTATCGTTTTGTCGGACGAACATGTGGCCAACCGGCGGCCGTAATAGTCCAAGCCAGCATCGTGCTATACTCAACATAGCGCAGTTAGCTTGAGTACATTGAGTAACTGCATAGACCATCAATTGCAGTTCGTATCTCAACACATACAATCATCTCTTCGTGCCCGGAATTCGAGATCACCTGAGGGGTCGCCTGGAGGTTTGAAGCTGTTAGTGATGGGATTGTGAAGCAAGCTCAAAAGCCATATAGCCGAATAGCATTTACCATGTTGGATCAAATAAAGCAAACAATAAAATTGACAGCTGTGGAAGCGCGGGGAGTCGGAGTAGCTCTCTCCCTTTCAGCCAAACAACCTGGCCCTTCCCGTATCTTATCGTGTGCTTAGCTCGGTCACGTTACCTGGATCTATGCACGTGATGAGCCTCGGTCATCGGCAACCCCACGGCAGCCGTGGCGTGGGCCGGAGTCTCTTCTGAAGTTCAAAACCTTTCATTTCTATTATTGTTGTAATCTGTGCTGGTAACTGATTGCAGAGAGATTTGAAGGCAAAAACCATACTAGTATACTTCTCCCTCGGTTTCGGTCGATCTAAGCAGTTCATCATGGGCGATGCGCTATGCGGGCCGTCAAACGCCCTTCAGAACTTCCAGAAGCATACATCTGTTGATCGGACCCTTCAACAAGACCGGTTGACTTCACGTCAATCGCCTGTTCAGGTTGGTAGTGCCTTTGAGACCATATTGTTTCATTCATACTAAAAGCATACTCTAGGGCTTCCGGTCCCAGAACCCCCACGAAGGAGTACTTGACCCGGAGTTCGCTGCATTTGAAGGCAATCTCGCCGGCCCTGCATTGCCCAACTTGCAACATCCCACCCATTTTGGAGCGCCATCACATTATGCCGCGGTACACCACCCAACCGCACACGGTGCACCCAACGCCAGTTGGGCATCGGACTTCCAGAACTTGCAGATATCAGGGCCCTCACACCCGGTAGCGCAACTACAAAGACCAAATATTGCACCAGCGACGACACATGGCGGGTGGCACACCGAATTTATGAATCAACAACGGGGGCCTATGTCTCAGGCCCAGCAAACCCCGCAAATGCATGGAGTTTATCAACCATCTTTTGCACCAGGCCACCAGATGTATGGCTCCCCCATGAATCAAATGCTGCCCCCGCAGGGTATGCAGGCTGAGCAACAGCACCACGCGCAACAGTTTGACGAATCCGCCTTTGAGGCTGCCTTTGATCAGGCACGGGCGGACATGGAGTTGCAAGGAGTCGATGTTGCTCAGCAAGATACTCAGAAGCACTTGCAGGAGACCAACGAAGCCGAGATTTCTGAGCCGGTCATTCAAGAGCAGATTCGACTCGGATCGGATCTTATTCCTCAAAGTGACAAGCAGGATCCAGAAACACGGGTTCGAGATGCAGATGAACTTGCGCGGACAGCAGGGCAACTTCTCGACAGCGTGCGAAATGAACAAAGCCAAAAATTCCAACAAAGCAATTTCCTGGCCTTAATGCGCCGGATTCGAGACCGCGAGGTGGAAGTTGAAGGGGATGATTTCCGCGAAGTCAGTACCAACCCGTAACGGTTTGGATGTCGGACGCGACAGAAACACCGGTATAACTCGCAATCTATAAGGCCTGTTGTATAATCTAATCACCATTTGTAGACGGCGCAATCTCTTCACCCAGGTGGGCGATACTATCCGGGCCGACCCCACACAAATCCCCCTGGTTACGATACGCCGTCTAGCAATGATGAGCCAAACAACCCTATCGGTAGGGCCTGATACCCAGCGCCTATTAAAAGCCAGCCAATAACCTGACCAGATGTGCCCACTTCCCAGATGATGTAGGTATCAGCAAAGATTCCCGATCGACCGAAGAAGAAACATCCGGTCATCTGGGATCCAGTTCGTTTGATTACGGTGACACAAACGCACTCTACGAAGGATTGCTCCACAGTCAGGGGCTTGTGGACCGGCGCAGCGTTCCGATCTGTTTTTTGGGAAGAGAATTGGATGCGCATTTTCTACACTAGCGAAATCATGGTACCAAATGTAGAGGTACTTTGTTGATTATGGCGGCGCCTACAATGATATAGGTACCCGGTACATAGTGTTTTAATTCTATTGATACCCCCATGAACAATAGCAATCACGTGATCCCTATTGAGAACAATAGAAGCCCATTCAAGAATCCCAATTAGGCAATTCAATGGTCCCTGACAGCCTCTGATTGGCTGTTTATTGATTGTCTATTGATTCTGCTCATTCCTATTGTTTGCGCCCATTCAAACGAAATGAACAAACACTCGACCTTAAATACCCGGACAACCCGCTGCTTCACTTCTCTTCTTCACTCTGGTCATATCAGTACAAACGCTATTACAACAACCAAACCCCATTCACAATGATGCCTCCATCAGACTCTTTGCGACACCACCTAAACAAGCTCGCTGAAGTCCGGGCAAATCGCAATTCTTCTTCTATATCTACCTCTACCTCTACACCTACCTCTACTTCCATTCCAGGCACTGCCCCACCTCCATACACGTTGTCTGTCACTAGACCTAGTGGCACGACTGTCATGAGCGTCGATCAGGATGACATGGATGACCCGTGGGTCTCCCCAATCAATATTTACATCGACAACTCGATCACCGTAACTGGTGATGAGAACACCATCATGGTGTCGTCTCTTGGAGCTGAGTCTCCAACTGATCCAACTCACCAGGATGCCCAGGAATCCCCTCGCCTGAGCTCCATCGCGGCTGTCATCATCGCCGCGCTGAATCGCGCAAATGCCCTCCATGATGATATGGGCTATCCTCGACCCGTCAACATTCGCGCTCTCGCGGGCATCCGGGTGAATGGCCGAAATAACAACATTTGCGTCGGTGGCGAGGTTCACAAGTCTCAGAATGAGATTGCTGATGCCGGAGCTGAAGAAAGCAATGGACGAAAGCGTCGTGCTAGCTCGGTTCGTACTCTACTTCGCAAAAGGATCTTCAAGAAGCTTCATTACTGACTTGGCTTGGTTAATACAGGAGCCTGTGGGAGCTCCATCAGCTCAATGCTCTCGTTCCTCTTGAAGAAAGGCTATGAGTTGTTTCATGAAGATTTGGATATCTCTCTCTTTTTGCTTGAAATCGTCTCGGAATGTGATTGCTTTTTGCTTCCAATTCTCTTAGATCTTGGTGGCTTTTACTTTTGGTTTGCTTAGGGGAATTTTACAATTTTGGGTTTGTTAGTTACGAGTTGATACGTTGATCCTTTTTATGAATTCTTTGTACATTAGATGATTGTGATGCACCGTTCCATTTATTATGATTAATGTTTCTTCATACTTTACGATGAAGGCGATGAATGTAGCCTTGAAGCAGATAGATTCAACACTTGGGGCCAGTGCGATACAATGGTCCTGTTCGTGTACTGAATCAGCCAAGCATCTAAATAAGGTCATAATTTCCTAGCTTCTTGAACCAGTAATCCATTTAGTAGGTTAACCTTCATTTTGAAGTTCTTTCCTCGTTCTGACACTCTGCTTTTAGGGGCCTTGGAGGTCTGTTGAGAGCAGGAAAAGTGTCGGGATGTTAGCCTTACATCCCGTTCCAGTTGCTGGGGAATCCCACTCGATTATGAAGCCTTCGCGCAGGAGCAGTGGATAGTATAAGTTTGATTTTTGCAATAATCACCGCTAGCTCTGACTATATCATGTGTAGATCAACGTATATTCATTGCTTGCTCCAGGATCTCCCACTACAATGATGTTGACTATAATCTGGGTCACAGAGGACGACATCTTCAGCAGGCTGTACCTTGTATTTCTTGACCCATGATTGTGGAGTGAGGGAGGGACCAACCGAGTGAGTCCGTACAACAATCACAGATGTGCATTTTCTGAGTAAAAATGCCTTGATTGGCTCGATCAACAGTCCGGTCGATCGGAGATTCCGGCCTCTATAAAGCTCTGCCGAGTAGCGGTGTGGAATCTCCCAGTGAATTACTGCAGCTCTTTCCAGGAGGATCTCCCAATGATGAGTGCAAGTCGAAGCTGAATGCGGAGTACAAAATATCCACATGGATGTATGTAATGTGGTGGATCACATTGACACATTGACACGATGACAATACTAATATTTAGCGTCCAGAGTGGAACTGATCATCCATAATGCTATGGGGAAACTAATGAAGTGGCGACCTTGAATTGTCTGAGGATCAAGCTGCGAAGTCTGATTCATTTCTTCTTCTTACATCATGATTTGAACTAATTAAGTCTCAATTGAATGACTTGATGACTTAGTTTTAGTTCAAGTTTGAATTTAAAATGTGTTTACCGAAATACGAGCATCCATCTGAGACAAAATGTCCGCGTGAGTAGGGATCATTAACAAGTGATTGAGGTTGAAGGCTGACCTCTGCAGTGGAATATGCGAACATTGTTACCCTTGATCTTTCTGAATATGACCGCCCAGGAGGAAAAGAGAGACTGGCACAGAAATTCAAACAATATGTGCACCAAGTTGGTATTGCTCACACGACCTTCCCCAAGCCGAGAGATGTTGACAGAAGAAGGCTTTTTTTATATTACCAACATTGGCCTGTCTCAGGACGAGATTGATCTTCAATTTGCCATTGCAAAGGCATTTTTTGAACTACCCGAAGAAGAAAGACTGAGACACCGTGCTCCCCTAGAAGAGGGTAACTATAATGGGTACCGTCCATTGGGAACACTAAGTCTTTTTCCTGGGATGCAAGACACGCTGGAATTCTACAGCATTTTCAAATTTATTCCCCAGAGCGAGCGATCACACCCAGACCTGATCAAACAATACTCCGTGGAGATTGAGAGATTCTCCCGCTTTATGCACGAGGATGTGTCTTACAAGGTCCTCCGAATACTAGCGACCATGCTCGAGCTACCGGAAGACCAGTTGGTGGACGGTAACCGCTACGAAGATGAATGCGATAGCTCTATCCGGTATATGCTATACCATACTCGGTCACAAGAAGAAAACAAGAGATTTGACGATATGTACTTCCGTGGACACACGGACAAGGGGACCATGACGTTCCTATTTCAGCAACCAATAGCAGCACTACAAGTACAACAGGCAAAAGATGCAAAGTGGGAATATCTAAGGATCCCAGCTGGATCTGTCGCTGTCAACATCGCCGATACGCTTCAGTTCCTCACAAATGGGTATCTGAAAAGTGGGTTTCATCGGGTTATCGCGCCACCGAAGGATCAGGTGCACCTTGATCGATTGGGCTTGCTGTATTTCGTGCGGCCGACTGACAAGTTGCGATGGAAGGCCTTGGATAGTCCTTTTTTGCGGAAGGAAGGTTATGGCAAAACCACAACCGAGAATGACCAGGATATTTCTGGGCTGGATTGGTGGAGAGCTGGGGTCAAAGTTCGTAAGGGAGCAAGTTACATTGGTTCTGCAGCTAGCACAATCTAAGGGAGTCTGAATGAATATCTTTAGGATAATGCATCTAGTTGCAGCAAGTTGTATATCTATACACATTTGTTACTTCCTCTCAACATTAACTAATCGATTCTGCATCATAAACTCATATGAGACATGGCAACATAGATTGGTGCCCTGGATTTTAGTCGAATGCTCGTCTGATTTTTCCATTTAACCTAGCACAGATACCTATCCAATAGAATGGAATTAAAAAGAAAAACCGTATATAGCAACATCTTTGAATTACTACCCATTACAAACATCACAACTATTCTTTTAATCCCGGTACGTCCTTGAAGTCTCGGTGACCTCCATTTCCGTGGATGTATCGTCACAATTTGAGCCTGGTTTTCTTACAGGGGACTTGAGACCAGACATTCCATAAATCGAAATGGCAACCATTCCCATGATCGCGCAAATGCAAGAGAATACAAGAGCGACAATACCACGGGCAGTGAATCCAGCTGGGATGAATCCGGGGGGCTTGTTCTCTCCCTTCAAGTTGAGATAATTCTCTGTGTTGGCAGCAGCATTTCCCTCGTAGGGGACACCGGCTGCCTCGCAGACCTTGATATGACCATCAGGAATGACGAGGCTATCTTGAAGCTCACGAGGAGCCTCGATGAACGTCATCGCAAGACCTTGCATCATGTGCCAGTCAATGTGGCAGTGGAAGAGCCAGACACCGGGGTTGTCCGCGAGGAAGCGGATGACATAGTATCCGCCGGGAGGAAGGACGAAAGTATCACGACGCGCGGGATAGGCGGGGAACTCGGTGTGGTTGGACGGGTCAAAGGTTGCGAATTCAGTTCCGGCGTCGTAATCGTAGAAGTTCTCACCGTACGATGGGAATCGATCCAAAAGTTGAAATGCGTGGCCGTGCAAGTGGAAGGGGTGAGTGCCTGAGTCTTGGTTGCTGAGAATAATCTCTACAACATCGTACTTCTCGAGAACGACAGACTGAGTATACTCTCCGTACACTGTTGCATCGGTTGCGAGGTCACCGGCGGACATAACGGTGTAGAGTGTAGGGACCTTTGGCTTGGTGTAGCTGTGGTCGTTCAGTAGGCCGTATCCCATGCCGTTGTCGAGATTGTCCATGACCAAAATGAGCTCGATGGTCTGCTTCGGGTTTTTGTACAGCTCTACACGGTCATGTGGGACAAGGGTCATATCGTCAAAGGGATAGAGGTCTGATGAGTCCTCCACGGGCAATGTCACCTCGTTGTGAGGGGCACTCGGGTTGTACTCCAGCCAATTGGTTTGATTGAGCAAAAGATCGGGCGTGATCAAATCAAGAAGAGATGAATCGGCTACCATAGCCATGCCGTAGTTCCTTTCAGTAGAATTCTTCATGGTAACCAATACTGAGTAACGCTGGGCAGCAGAAATGTACAAAAGGTCTGCTTCCGTCTCATCGACGTAGATACCATCAATTTCGACAATGCGCATTTGGTGGTCTTCAATCCAGAAATATTGACCCACAAAGGTAGCGATATTGATCAGTCGAAGGAGGTAGGTCTTACCAGCCTCAACTGGATAGCTTTGGCTGACCGAATTGTTGAACAAGAAAGAGTTGGGGATAGGTTCGGCTCCAGTTGGATTGTACAACGACATGAACTCAGGACCGATGTCCTCGGTCATGTCATGATACCAATCAGTCATTGTGAGGACCATTTCTTCATCGTAGTCATCGTAGAAGTAGGACTCTTCATCATGAACAATGAATGGCGCTCTGTAACCATCAGGATAGCAGTAATCCGTGTGACAGTGATACCAATATGTGCCGTTCTGATTGACCGTGAAGTTGTAGGTCATGCTTGACCCTGGACCCACTGGACATTGCGTGACCATCGAAGGACCATCCATGTCATTGGTCCCATTCTGGTACATTCCGTGCCAGTGAATGGAAGTGGTTTTGTCACCGAGACCATTATGCATGTTGACAACCACACGGTCTCCTTTGTTCACATCAACGGTTGGGAGAGGCCATTGGTCATTGATGCCAATGACTTTGCGTTCAGCAAGGCCATCTGGATTCGCCATAACCCATGTCACATTCCAGTCAAACGTGTGTGTCACTGCCTGACAGAATCCCGATAAGAACTGGAAAGCTCCCAACAGAGCAATAGAAATCCTCATTTTGGAGTGCAGAATAGAAATTGTCCAGAGAAACGAGGAGTTGTTCGTGCAGTTTTCCTGGGCCCTGGGCTAAGGTATAGTTATTGTACTCACCCATGGCGTTTCCTTTCCCGCTTGCTATCCAATTAATTTAATTTCCCGATCACTCCGACATGGGTCGACTTGGGAGCTCATATCTGGGACCTCAAAGATGCCTTGAACTAAATTAGCGTGGTGGAGTCTGACGTTGTCTGATTGATACCCGGCTTTTGTTTCCTAATCCGATCAGATGGTGGGAGTTATTTCTCACGAGAGTCACAAAATTGGCGCTGGTTATGGCCAAGATCTCAGAACTGATTGATAAAATGTCAACCACGCGAGCATATACCAGGCCCACTTCGTAGCCCACTTTTTCCTTTTCCCTTAAATCCGAGGTATGGGAAAAGCCTTCCATTGCCGAGACTTCACTTGCCAAGGAAACGCACCCTACCAAGAAAAGATGTTGTTGGGAGAGAATTTCAATTGAATGCTGGCGAGTATTGAAGAGAAGCGAAGAGAAAGACTGACGTGTAAGAAGAGAGAAAGTACAGTTATGTGAGAGAAAAAAAAAGTGAAAGGAAGAAAACGTCACAATGTAAGTGAAGATATGGTTATTAGATCTAAAATTACCTGGAACGCCAGGCTCACCAGAACTTCACCAGCTCCAATTCTTCCGATGCCTTCCACATCCGAAGCCATTACGTTTGTGAGTCATATTCCCATCAATTCCACCGGTGTCTTTGCTTCTCGCCTGTTCCTGCTTGTTTGTACTTGGCACCCTCTAAGCGAACGTTGGGCTTTTCGGATTATATTGTCAACCTCCGAAGGGATTGGAATTCTCGCTGGCACACGGGTGGGGGTGATAAAAAAATTGATATTCGTCTCGTAATGAGCCCCAAAAAACCCCTGATGTCCACTGTTAGGGCGGTCCGTGTTCCTCGTTCCAGTACAGTCTGTGATTTCCAGCGGATAGTGAATACAGATTATTGACTAACCTGAACCAGAAGGTCGTCTTTTAGACGGCCCGCGGTCTTCAGACACACAGTGATTTGTTTAAAATAAAAGCACTCTGGAGAAAGCATTCCTGTCGTTTTTTTTCTCATCATATACTATCCTCTTACCTCATTTGAACAATGGTCAACGTTTTTTCCGTGCAGGTGTTCTTCATTGTCTTTCGAGAATGCCTCGAGGCAGTCATCATTGTCTCTGTCCTTCTTTCTTTTCTCAAACAATGCTTGGGTCAGCCAGACCAGGACCAGGCGGTCTATAAACGACTACGAAAGCAGGTTTGGATGGGCTCAGTCATAGGGGTGATATGTTGTCTATGTATCGGAGCCATCTTCATTGGCCTCTTTTACGGCTTGGGCCACGATGCCTGGGCAGATTCGGAGGAGTTGTGGGAAGGTATCTTTTATCTGATTGCTACGGTAAGTTTGATTAATACTTGAACTCGAATGAAGCTAATCCATCTACAAGATCATGATCACCATCATGGGCCTTGCCCTTCTACGAATCAACAAGACCAGGGAAAAGTGGCGTGTGAAGATTGCTAAGGCCCTGGTCGAAAATAAGGAAGGAAAGTCACGGTGGATGCGCAGTGACTGGGGTCGCCGCTATGCCATGTTCATCTTGCCCTTCGTCACAACAATGCGTGAGGGTGTTGAAGCCGTGGTCTTTGTTGGTGGTGTTTCCCTTGGATACCCTGCTACTGCTTTCCCTCTGCCTGTTTTAACTGGAATTATGGCGGGGTTGCTCGCCGGCTGGTTAATTTACCGCGGAGGAAATGTCATGTCGATCCAGATCTTCCTTATCGCCTCAACCTGTATTCTCTATCTCATCGCGGCTGGTATGTTCTCCAAGGCCATCTGGAGCGTGCAGTACTATCAGTTCGTGGTCGGAGTGGGCAGTGATGTTGGCGAAACGGGCTCTGGAGCCGGCTCCTACAATATCCTCCAGACCGTTTGGCACGTCAACTGTTGCAATGCCGAGATTGACAATGGCTGGGATATCTTTCATTCTATTCTGGGATGGCAGAATACCGGTACCTATGGATCTGTCATTGGATACAACGTCTATTGGATATTCATCATGGCCTGTATCGCCTGGATGTTGTACGAAGAGCGTACCGGGCGAGCTCCCCTGGCAACCAGCTTCTGGAGCTTGATGGCGCATGTGCCAGGGTTCAAGAATATTGCCAATACGAAGTTGGAAACAGTGAACTTCAATGATGATACTGCGGTACGGCAGATCGATTCGGCAATGTTCCATGAATCTGTCACTGTGACGGAGACAGTGCAGCCTAACAAATGAGTCAAACATACACTCTTTAATACTGTGGGCTCCTGAACCCTGCCAGTTGGATGTAGAGGTTGGGTAAACGGGTGGATTTACGGAGAGTTGGTTATTTCCTGCATGCAAAATAGAGAATGAACTATTTGGGTTAAACAAATTGAGGTTGTCAACACTTGATAGATACAAAATGAAAATGGGATTGAGGTCTTCTGCTAAGTTTGACATGCATTTATATAAAACTCAAATGATATCTACAAAATACTTTCTAAGACTAGGCAGAAACGCCACATAATCCTAGTAAAGTCATGTCAACGCGTTGGTTTTCTTTCCTTTTTGTTCCACCTCATGTTGTCTCTAGTCTATATCCATTTCTGCATTTTCATGAGTCTTATTCTCTAGTAATAAGTAACAAAGTAAGGAGAAGTCCAATCCTATCCCTCTAATTCAATCAGGGCTACCGCGGATCACTCGGTCGTAAGGCTCTAAGCTTCCAAGTGGTAGGGCTAGTAGGGCTCGGGTTCGGGCTCGGTTATCTCGGGTCTGATAAGTTAATCTCGGGTTTATAGTGGGGCCCATCGGCAGGTAAACCCAAATTTGGGGAACCGACCAGTGGAACATCTGCCGAAAGGTTAGGTCCTATGGAAATTTGAACTGTGGCTACCTCGCTGCGAACTATCAGGTAATCCAATTCGTCCCTTCCAAGGCTGACCTCGGGAAATGGCTTGGCCTTCCACTATTGATCTACATAGAAAAGCTCATACATATATCCGGATTTTCGGGGACAACAGTGGGGGGCTTCGCAAAATAACCCTCAATTCGGGCAACATTGCACACGGCTGATCCACTAAGGCTGGGGAAAAGGGAAGCTAGGGTCGCACGGCCATAGGGTCACACCGTTCAAGAGTGAATATCTCGATGTATACGAAATCTAGCCTGGTTCTAACCTAGTCGGGATTTGTAAATATTTCAATTTCGGGTGTACGCTATTCTTCCTTTTGTGGTAGCGCTTGGTACAAGAAGAGGTCTACTACATTATTTGAACTGTCTCGGATACTTCTTACATCAATCTCTATAGAAATATTCAGGGAGTAATATTTCTTCTATGGTATACAGTGGGGCTGCTTGTTAATAATCCAAATTTGGACAACAATGCACTAGCCTACCTCACCATCCGCGGAACCATCTGCTGGGGTTTTCCCTTGAGCTGTCAGGGATCTCAACCTCGGCTATTACGGCCGTTTTTCAGGGTCGACCTTAATATGAAGGACCCCCACTCTTTCAGCCTTGGTTGAAATAACTCCGAGTCTTCCGTCTTCCGTTATCAATCTCTTCAGAAACACTAGTGTCCTGTAAATAGTATACAAGCTCCTCCACTATTGTTGCCTGAGACTTTCTGAATTGGCGTACGCTAACCTTATAGCTGCCCTGCGTTAAGGTCGAGACACATTGCCAAGCCTCGGACTTCATCGCTTAGAGTCCTGCCACTCACCGTTAGTGGAGTATGCTATCGGAAATGCAAGTAGACTACCCAATTGCTCGACATGAACGCAAAACCGCATACTGGTGGGCTAGTTGTGGCACCTTCCCATTCCACAGAAACTAGCTCTTCCATTCACGAAACTGTCTAGGAAGCTGAAGTCTACGCATAGCAAGCAACACATTTCTTAGGCTTTCATAACTGTCTTGATCCTACCCTAGCTGCCACGAGAAGTCTCCATTGCTCGTTCTAGGAACATGTTCATCATTGGAGTTTATAATCTGCTGTGTCCCTGGGTTTATGTCCGAGGCTATAGTTGGATGTGGAGAAATCATGCAATCCCGAGTGGACTTCGGTGGTGAACAAATTACTCAATGGCCTTCATAAATCCGAGAATCTATCTAAACATTACCTCTTTGGTTTGATCCAGCAGCTAGATGGCGTGAATCGCATTTTATTTATTGCAATCTATTTTATTTTTCTTTTCTTCTATTTTATCGCCGCCAAATGTTCGGTGTAGTATAAGTATAGTCGAATGTCTTCGGGCTTGCATGGTTATTCGTGTGCCTTGAATAATTAAAACGACAAACCTTGGAAAAAATGCTCCCTAGAGCAGCTTTTGTGGCTCTTTTCTGGGCTAGTGTCCAGGTCGCTGGACACGGCGGCTCCAGCACGAGTTCGAGTCGTAACGTCGCCTCCAACTTGGAGGAGTACTGCTTTTACTCAATTTATACCAGCTTATCTGCATACACCTTTGAAGGCAGTATAACAGTCCAGTCTGCTACAAGTAGCTCCCAATCCCACGGAAATTCCTCATCGATCTCGCACGCCTCGTCGGATTCTTCCTCTTCTGAAACATCAGAGACCCATTCCCACGGGTTGTCTGCATCTTCCTCCACCGAAACACCCGAGCCTTCCTCCGAGACACACACACATGGGTCATTTGATTATTCCTCTACTCAATCGTCTAATTCTATCTCTGGGACACACGCCCACGGATCATCTCGCCGAAGTGCGAGTCTCGCAAAGCGCCGCCATGGTGGTGGTTCGTATGGCTCATACTCCACTGGGCCATGTAACAGCACCGTGGAAGTAACTTCCATGTATGCTAGTGCTAAGGCCTGGTGTTCCGAGAAAGAGTTTGAAGCGGTGATTCCATACTGGGAAAGCCTTTGCGCAAAGAACAGCATGGAACTCATGAGCATGGCTTCAATTGAACATTTGCTGACGGATGAGTACATCAACTCGCTTCCTCAGATAGATCCAGAGCAGAATAATGTAACCACCACTGGGACCATTGACTCGCCTGTGCTACTGAGCAAAAGATACTATACCAGGGCCTATAAATCTTACGTGAGTCAACACATGAGCATTCCATCTCGTTATTCTGCCAGTGCACCATGGGCTAATACCTCTTCAGGTGAGCCATGACTATGCTATGCCAAAACACAAGCGATATGGATGGGGAATCATTGGCTACTGGGGAGCTGTACTGGTCCTGGGCATGATGTCCAAGGCATGGACAGTCTTCTTCAGCAGGTGGAGTGTGTGTGGTCTTTGCGATCCTGAGACTCGTTCCAGTCTGCAGAGTAAGAAGGGCCCTCTTGCTTCTCTGTTCCATTTCTTGCGCACACACATCATTATGCCAGCCTCCCTTGCCCCAGCCATCCCAAATCACCAGCAACTCTGGTTGTCGCATGCTCTTCCCAAGAGAGTCGATACTCTGATTGTGCTTGGCTTCTGGATCGTCAGTATCCTTTTGAGTTGCGTGGGTTACGATAGTTTTGCGGGTAGTCTTTCGTCAGTTCATCCCACCAGCCAGCTGTTTCTACATAGATCTCTATATCTTTACTAACTCTATACATAGAGTACCAAGCCTTTACCAACAAAACTGGCAATATACCTCTGACCGTACTGGTGTTCTTGCATATGCCTGTTTGCCAGCTCTGTGGCTTTTCAGCGGCAGAAACAATGTGTTTGTCCAGTTGACACACTTTAGCGTTCAGTCATTTACTATGTTCCACCGTCATATCGCATGGGTTTGCACTATCTTGGCCGTGGTGCATTCCATCAACTACAGCGTGCTCTTTGCAAAATATGGTGAGTCTTTGACGCCCAATGAATTGAAGAACATGACTTACTGATATACACGGTAGTTGGTCGCTATTGGATTGCCTGGAAGGAAGAGTACTGGTATATGGGTGTGGTGGTGAGTCTACCTGACCCGATTGATAATAGAACACATGACTGACGCCCTACTAGGCCACGATCCTTCTGTGTTTTATGCTTGTGCAGTCTATGACATTCTTCCAACGCCGTTGGTATGAGACTTTCCTCCTACTTCACATTGTTTTCGCTATTGTGGTTGTCGTTGCCCTCTTTCAGTAAGTCATAAAGCCACCGCCATCGCTTAGAACATGGTTTAAGCTGACAAAACATAGACACACTAGCTTCAATGGTCGCGAATGGGTCGGATACCTCTGGACACCGGTTGGACTTTGGGTCTTCGAGCGACTTGCCCGCGTCGGTCGTGTTGTATACTGTAATCTGAATGCCAAATTCGGAAACCAATTCTTGGGAACAGCTACGACTGTCACATACAGCGAGGCAAGCGATTTGGTCAGGATTGAAATGGTTCCTGGAGCCGCAAGTTTGAGACCCAGACCAGGTCAGCTTTACTATATCTACCAAGCAACCTTGCTGAAGGGATGGGAGAACCACCCTTTTTCCTTGGGAGCATGGGCTCCTTCCTCCGGGGCCAACAATGAAAAATCAGCCCCAGCCTTTCGAAATGCTCACAAGCTGATTTTTTACGTCCGGCCTTACGATGGATGGACACGTCGCCTTCGTGATCAATGCCGCAAGGCGGGCGGAATCATTAACCCGAAGCTCCTTCTCGAGGGAGCTTATGGTCACTCCGAGCCAGTATATGCCTATAACACGCTTTTGATAATTGTCGGTGGAACAGGTATTGCAGTAGCGGTGCCTTACCTTCTGGATCACATTGCGCGCTTGAAGGAAGGCAAGACAAAGACCACCAAAATCCAGCTTGTGTGGTCCGTCCGACAAAAAGATATGTTCAACGAGGTCTTTAATGAGGAATTGGCGGAGATCATGCAACATAACGACATTAAGATCACGGTCTTCTGTACTCGTCTTTCTAAGATCACGAGTGATTCCGAGTCCGATGATGTCACTCTCTCTAAGGAGATTTCCTCTGGTGTTGCACCGGTGATCAAGGCAACGGGCGCGGATTCTCCCACGAGCAAAAGTGGCGTCCGGTTCACGCCTGGTCGCCCCAACATCCACGACGCGGTCATGTCTGAGGTGCAGGAAGCCCAAACTAGCTCAGCTAACTTGGCTGTTTTGACTTGTGGTCCGGCCCAAATGGCCGATGAATGCCGCGGAACCGTATATGAGGCGATGAAGAAGGGTTTCCGAGATATTGAATACTTTGAGGAGGCATTCGGGTGGTAGATAAGCAAAAGAAACCCACGATGAATTGACAGAAATTTGTTGTGTTTTGATGTGCAAATGAGATCAAATGTAGTCTTTCCTGTCGTCAATTGCTCGCGCGAGCCCCTTGGCTCTTGCCTTGACCGTTCCTATCTGTTCCAGGGGATAAATCGGGGGTGCTTCGTGCTTGTTTGGGCTCTGATCCCTGCCCTTAGCCTTAGCAAAAAATCAGAATCGATCTATTGTCAAGAATTTGAAGCCAGGAGGCTAGATAAAGGCTAACAACAGCAATTGAGTTGGTACCTTGGGAGTTGGTGATGTTCGCGATGGATTTATGTCTAAGACAATGAGCTCATTATCAAGGCGATTTACTATCGAAGGATGGTAAGAAAACTTGGCACGGGGCTGTGACATATGAATTTGGAGGTTTGAAGATGAAACTGTCGATCTTGACCCATCAAAAGACGGTCGGACTTCCGTGGTCTTTTTCACTTGGGACAAATATCCAGCAGAGATACATACATAGTTAGCGTCAAGGTGCTTTAACTTTCCATTATTGGGTTGCGAGCTAGGCTAAGTGCATATATATCTGCTGACAATGTGGCTGATTCACAATTCACTTTATGCGAGTACTCTGAAAATGCATGCGGAGTACTTCGTACTATGGCCTCTATCCTATGTTGTAGGCCGCCCTCGGAGAAATCTCGCAAATACCCCTGAACCTCGGCCAAAGCGGATACTTTCCAGGAACACCGTCGGATTTGACCGCGTTCTACTCCAGAAGCAGCGCATCCCCTGACCCCATATGGGATGCCGTTGTCTCAGATTTACTGCGAAGTGGCGCAGATCTTCCCGAATCCACAGGAAAAACGGATAAAGTCGTGCATAACATGGGTCCACAATGGCTGAAAAGGCGCACATTGTGGCTGCGGCAATATCTTTCCCGGTACTCTCTGGATGTCCCCGCCCCGTGCAAGCTTTTTAGCTTTTTATATCATCCGGATGTTGTGGAGTCCGCGTGATCTCGTTGGATAGAGAACATCACGCTCAAATACCAAATTTAAGACAGGAGTACTTAGTGATCTATACGAAACACGAACCAGTGTCAAGTTATTCTCTACACGGATACGACAAGATGGCATGTATAAAGCAGACCGGGAAACCCGACTAAATTTTATCACAAGCCTTATTTTCAATAACAACAACTCCCGTCTATCCAGAGCGCCGGATTTAATAGCCAAAATGAAGTCCTTTATCGCCCCCATGTCCCTCGTCTCCCTGGCTCTGGCCACCATGGGCGACGCCGCCACCGTCCGTCGCGACACCGAAATCTGTGAGCAGTACGGCACAACCAAGGCTGGCGACTACACCATCTACAACAACCTCTGGAACCTAGCCAAAGACCCCAACGCTAAGCAGTGCACCGGTGTGGACTCCAGCCAGGGCAACACCATCGCATGGCACACTAAGTATTCATGGGGCGGCGAGGCGAAGAACGAGGTTAAGAGCTTCGCTAATACCGGGCTTAACTTCACTCCTAAGGTTTTGAGTACTGTCAGTAGCATCAAGTCCGCCTGGGAATGGAGGTATGTTTTGATCCTAGTGTATAGGCTTACTTTAATCTGAAAATATCCCGCTAACTGTCTCTGGAATAGCTACTCTACCACTGATATCGTCGCCGATGTCGCGTACGACTTGTTCCTCAGCTCTACTCCTGAAGGCAGCGAGGAGTACGAGATCATGGTTTGGCTTGCGGCTCTAGGTGGTGCGGGCCCGATCTCGTCCACTGGCAAGCCTATCGCTACTGTCACTATTAGTGGTTCCGAGTGGGATGTGTGGGTCGGTCCCAACGGTCAGATGACTGTCTACAGCTTCGTCGCTAAGTCTACCGTCAAGAGCTACTCCGGTGACCTATTGGACTTCTTCAAGTACCTCATCAAGGACCAGGGCTTGGATAACAGCAAGTACTTGAAGACTGTGCAGGCTGGCACTGAGCCTTTCATCGGTACCGCTGATTTCACTGTACCTTCTTACACTGTTGCTGTTGTTTAAATCGGCATCCGATTGACCGAAAAGTGTGTGAATCTTGTCAGGGAGAAGACGACAGTGAATACTTGAAAACCGTGCAGGTTGAGACTGAGCCTTTATCGGTCAATGTTGATTTCACTGCCTTCTTAGTCTGTTGCTGTGGTTTAGATTGTTATTTAAGTGATAGTAGAAGTTTGTGATTGGAGCTTGCATATGAAGTAGTATATTGAGAAACAGAATCGGTTTAGAATCCCAAAAGCATTGGAGAGGTAATTCTCAGTGCCAATAATAGTGTCACAACTGCTACGATGACACGACACATGGAAGAATTAGTATCAGACTGCTCATCCTATTCCAACTCCACACACGGTCGCATCAGTGTTTCAGCCCGGGCCACCTTGCCAACACGATCTCTAGTCGCCGATCAATACTCAAACAGCCGTACAATCCTGAAACTGCTTTATTCCTAGGGCTTGGTTCCACAAGCTCAAAGACCCAGCTGCCCCATAAAAATGATCATCAATGGTATCAGTTAAACAAAAAGCTGCCCACTTGTCTATATAGTGATCCCTTCCCGCTAAAACACGTTACCCTTTGTCTGCGTCATATTCTTGACATTCAGATTTTTCATCATGCCAACCCAGATGAAGCCCAAAACCATGAATGCAGTGCCGGCTGCAAGCATCCTAGGCTGAGCATAGCCATAGGCTTCCACAATGGCATCTCGCTCGGGGCTTCCAACCGGATAACTGAGCTGCTGGGGGAGGCTCGAGTAAATAAGAGACAAATTGGGCATGGCCGATTCTGGTAGGGTTACTGCAAGCTTTTTCAAGAACGTGTTTGTCCAAATAGCTCCACAGATAGCACTGCCAATAGATCCGCCAATACTTCCCATCACGAAAAGTAAAGCAAGCACGGCGGCAACGTGTTGGTGATCAACTGAAGCAAGCACAGCAAGCTGCACACACAGGATGAAAATGCTGCCGGCGGCGGAGAAAAAGATCTCACACATGACAATGTATCCAATGTATCCACCGGGTTGACGAAAGTGAATCATCAGGCCGAGTCCAAAAATGTAGAGTGGTACACAGACCCAGAGAATCCACTTGAAGCGACCTGTCACTCGGATGAGCCAGCCAGCGAAGAACAAGAAGACAAATGCAACGACACTAAAGGTGTTTCCAACGTATCCAGCTGTGGCAACATCCAAATTGTATACCACTTGCAAAAACGACGGGAGATAGACGGCATAACAATAGTAAGATATCTGGTATGTCATATCAAGGAGACATGCGCCTAAAACGGTCCTATCCGTGAGGAACTTATAGTTCAGGAATGGCACTGGGGCCAGATAAGTCTCATAGAAACCGAATGAGATGAGTAGAGCTAGCCCAATCACAATCATGGCGATGATATAGCCGGTTTGCCAACCATGGGGCGCCATACTGGCCAGAGTGAACGGAAGTAGGAATACTACCATTCCGCCAGCGAAGAGGAAAACACCCATTACTATTTGTTCAGAAAAGAATCAACATTCTGTAACGACTCCTGCCAAACGCCGATGGTAACTCACAATCAAACTCTTTGATGAACCACCAAATATTTTCGAAATTGAAACTCCATGCCTTTCTTTCCCTGTTGAGAATCCCTTCCCTCTCAGCTCTGCGTAAATTATAGGCCAGCATGAAATATATTGGCAAAGCAAAAGCGGGTAGGATAATTGCCCAGACCCCGTAGCCCCATCGCCAATTGACGTTGGCGAGAAATCCTTCAGCGGCCTTAGATCCAGCAAACGCTGAGATTATTGCCGGAGAAGAGGTAAAAGCAAATGCCAACCCTCGGTTTCTCAAGTTTGTCACATCGGTTGCTAGAACATTCCAACTGTAGGCGAGACCTCCGAATCCGATCGAGTAGAATACCTGCAGTTAATGTAGGTGTCAGATTCTTGTAGATTAAGGCGTATTTATCGGGTCCCATCTTACCTGTCCAGCGCAGTAGGTAGCTAGGTTATGGGACGCAGCCAACATAACTATTCCCAGGATACAAAACCCAGTCATTAGAAGAATACCTTCTGCGCGACCCCAGAGGTCCAGCGCCTTTGCCATGGGAATATATACTGCGCCTGTCATTGAAGATGCCACTATACCAATAACGGTCAAAAGCGAATGACCCGCGAAAGAGCTTGTCGCATAGGCGCTTAGACTGTAGACCACCGAAGTCTTGAGATTGTTCACCAGTGTGAGAAGCCAGATACTATTCAAAAAGATCAGTGTGAGCTAGCTGATTTGCTAGGATCAAAGAATGCAACAAGAGCAGGCACACATACAATATCAGAACCATGAGCATCGATCCTTTCCCCCAGGCCAGAGTGACAGCCTCAATCTTCTGAACACCAGCTTGGGCATCTTCGTCAGGCCTGGCTTCCTCCTTGCCAGTCGCATCATCGATAGCTGCATGTGCGGCTTCCTTGTCGTCGGCTCTCACCTGCAGGGCAATCGGATCATCAACTGAGGTAGCTTCTGTCTCTGCCGATTTGTTGCCAACTATCCGATGGAATCTGCTCATGATCGCCATATCTTCTCCGCGGGCAGAAAAATTACACGTTGGGTGAGAGACAACACTTTCAAAACGAGAGAGGGGCTGGACATTAAATATCGTATGCTGGGTCAGACGATCTAACGTCTTAACGTTAGAACGCAAGAAACACAGAAGAAAAGCGAGTGAAAACCGGGCCATCAATTGCCGGCGATGGAATGCCCAGAAGGGTTGTCCCACATAATGAAAGTTTACCAAACAAAACATAATTACGCCTAGCGTCTGAGGTGAACAATGTATGGATATTATCTATGGCTTTACTCACTAAGGACATTGCTACTTTGCATCGTTTCTCTCGGGGTGGTATTTTTCCTTCCCCACTGGTCCACACGTGTAGAGGAAAATGACATTGGGGGGATTTTTTGGTGCCATTAATCTGGTTGTGCTCAAAACTCGAAATATGGCCAAAGCGATGGTCGTGCGTTTGCCAAGTGACTTTAAAACAAAACGGGTCAAGTTACCTTGGCCCCAAGCCTAAATCCCAAATCATTCGAGCTGGGCATCCGGTAATCTTGGGAATATGTTGAGACTTTGATGAATTCAAAGCATGATAGATGTCACCATTTTTCTATGGCCCCTCGAGGGAAACCTTATCCCTGATATGTCCGATTTCGGAATTGGCAGACGCAAAACGTTCCTCAGTGACATTTCATGGATAACTTTGAATGCGACTGAGAATAGCCAGACTCAAGATTTGCTTCTAGCTGGATACTATGCTCAAGCTGCAGGTTTTGAAGTTGAGGATAGCATACAACGCGAAATGAAGTGAATTTTTAAACAACATTGCCTATGCAAATTTTGTAATTGAACATCACTCTAACCGCATATCTGATTAAGTTTTCCAAGCTTGATGAAATGTTTGCCTCCCGGCTTATCGTCCACCTTGGAATGTACGTCCCGTACCGTATCGGTATGGATGGAGATCAGATTAGATTAGTTAAGGTTAGCGGTGAATGCCACCCTCCGAGGACTAGCCTCTTTGGGTAGTTAAAGTTGGGGGCGGCCCAGCTGGGCATACCAGGTTGAGTCATGCACGACAGTTAGCCCTCGAAGGAGCTCATCATGCTTAAGTCGAAGAGTTGTTGAATTTGACAAGCAAGCGCTATCCTATTTACTTGCAGAAGTGGAAGTAGGAAGAATATCAACGAAAGGCTAGGCGGGCTTACTGCGGCAATCCAGACCCCGGGCCCAGCTTAAGCCCAGCCCGAACGCTCCCGTATTACGGTGGATAGACCCTCAACTCTGAATGGCCCCCAAATCCCTAGATGGAAAACTCTTTTTTGAATTTTCCTGAAGCAGCAAACGGTGATAAATCGGAGAGCATATTCCTACCAATACGTTCACATTATTTTATCAATCGCCGTTCCATCTAGACATAGGTTTCATTTTTGATCCATGATATTTCTCTAAGACTGATGCAAAGGCCAATCTTCAAAAAACATCGTCAAGCTCCGATTCGTCGAGCACGGCATCACACTTGTGTGTTCCTCCCCATCGAACTCATTTGCCAGGAGAGTATGCAACTGTTTGCAACCTTGTAGCATCCCGCAGAGATTGAGAGCATTGTCGGCCATTCTAAAATCTGCGGCCATTCGTTTTCTTAATGCGTATTTTTCCGAAGGTTCATTATCCCACTGGCGAGGATTTTGCTCGACTGATCCCCAGAAGACCATGAGCGAAGGCAATTTCTCACCCAAAGTCTCTGTTTTCAAAAAGGCCTTCGCTTCCTCCAAGATGAATTCACTGTTCCACCATATCGAGGGACTACTGGCCATATAACAATCGAATGACCTGGGGCGTGTAAACAACGCATGTAGTGCAAGTAATCCTCCATACGAATGGCCGTAGAGTGCTTCTCTGGAGACAGAGACCTGTGGGAATCGGGCCTTGACCGCGGGTCGTACTGAGCTTTGAATGAAGTCAAGAAACACATCGGCGCCTCCGTGTCCAGAAATTGGAGTTTCTGTTGGTGGGGATAAATCAAGGGTGCGTCGTCGCATATCATAAAGCTCTCTGTTCAATGGGTATCCGATAGCGACAATGATGCCTCCACCGGCGAAATGCGACGCAGGTGCGCGACGCCAGGCCGTTTCAGTTGCGGTCAAAAATAGAGCATTCCCGTCAACAATATATCTAATATTAGTTTGTAAACATGCGCTTTTCTTTTCTTCTCCAAGGCTGGAAATCGTCAACGGGAACTTACATGATGGGAGATGAACCGCGAGCAGAAGTGCTATCACTGTCCCAATGCAGCGGCCAAGATACTTGAATCAGATATTCTTCACCCTGGTCGCTATTCAGGTAGAACTGCTCGGAATTGGGGAGCGGGACTGCGGTCGGCTTGGGTTCGCCCATCTTGATGCTCCTACGAAATAGCCCTGGGTAGGTAACCCCCAGAGATTCAAATATCGGATGAAAAGAAGCCTACTTATCACATGATAATATTTGATCAGAAAGCTCGAGTCAGAGTTGTTTTCGGCCCCGGTTTCGGAGATTGGAGAAGCGCGATTTAATATGTGGGTATTCATATGCGCAGAGGTGTACGGTATGGTATTGTGGTTATTTAATAGATAAATTGAGAATTATTGGTGATTTGGTTGAAACATGATTTTCTAATTCACACGCCTCTTTTTCGCATACCATCTGTTGACATGGGAATTTGTTACTGTTTACTGGGTGCGACCAAGATTCAACAACCTGCGTACTCTATGATAGAAACTACATAACATTAATATGTTTGAAACCTGGGTCAAGACAGCGAGTTGTGTAAAATTAGACAGGACAAGAGTCAGGTCTTCTTTGTTACCCTCCACGGCTCTCTTAAGTTCCACGCATTCTTGCCCTGAGACTTGTATCCAATCACGCGGCAATCTATTTTCGGCTGTTCAATGGCTACTGTCTAAGGTAGATGGGTTTCACTAATTTCTTTCATGACTCGAAATTAACCCAAGTGAAGGCTCTGACTTTTTGGGGTTGGATCCACAAATCTTTGTTTGACAAAATCCGCCGCTTCAAAGCCCGTTTGCATCGGGTGTAGCAAAGAAGGATGCCTAGACAGAGCTCGAGCCCGAAGCAGCAACTCTGTAAAACACTAAAGGAATAAGCCAACAGTGTATTAGAGCAATTTTCAAAGTCAGATTCGTTGAAAGTATGTCTTGCAAGAACACACCGAAGCAAGCGTCCCAAAAGCTTTGTTCAATGGACAGAATGAACCGACGGTCGAACTTTATCCAACAGCATAGTATCCCGTCTTTGTTTTATCTCATCTACCACCCTCAAGCTTTCTTTGACATCGCATAGTGATTCCTCCATGCGGTGTGATGGGTTCGGGATGTGAAGAAAATACTTAGGATACAAATACCTTGGTGATGTTGTCCTTCATATCCATCATCTATACATGCGAAATATTTGACGTGGTAGTCATATAGAGAAAGTATCACATTGACTGTGACTATATTTTCTGCAAGATGCCTCCAAGGGCTATTCTTCCTCGGGCTGCAAAGCCTGACGGTAAAAATTCCAATGGAAAACGTAAGAAAGATGGCTCAAATGGACATGCAGAAGCACCAACTCCGAAGAAGAAGACAAAAAGGGAAATCCCACAACTCTTGGACGAGGAACTTCTTGCAGCCGATCTCAACGTTGATTATTCGAAAAGAAGAAAGAGGCTTAGGACACAAATGCCCAAAAAGCAGCAATGGGCACAAGTCAAAGACGTTATCACAGAGCGGGAAAATGCACCTAAAGGTTGGAACCCAGAGGAGCCTGATCTGATGTCCGAGTAAGTTCTACCTGCTCTGGCTAATTAACCCTGGATTTACTGTTCATTTTTATATCGGGTAATTGACCTTCGTTATGCAGTGACTACGAATCACAGATCGAAAGGTGCCTAGAACGGATTTCAGAGAATATCATGCCTCATGTTTATCAGCATAAAATGAGTGAATTTATGGCAAAGCAGACGGAACGCGAGTGAGTCACCCTATAACACCAAATTTCGTAATAGAAGCTAATCTCTCTCCTTCTATTCAGTACACTGATGGCGACAGAGCCAGGTTTAAGTTGGCCTGTTGTACAACGCCTAGATGATCTCAAAGTTACATTGACTTGGCTCATGGCGGGAAACGACGTACACAAAATGGTCGATACGGTAAAAGCCATCATAGCGCAATATCGATCAGGTGAATTGGATTGGACACCAGACTTTGTCACCTACTGGCATGCTGGAGTTCAGCTCTGCCTGCCAAGACCTTTCCATTGGGATGAATACCGCTACATTCATGACAAATGTCAGGGACACGAAGGGTTTTGGGTCGAAGGTGTGAGTATCATCAAAAGCCACTTGATTGCATAAACAAATATACTAAAACCAAATATTCAGATTCTCGGCCCTGCGCCTGGCATGAGCAAGTCTTCCATGATATGCCAACCGGATCCGCGTGTGAATACCACAATGGTAGCTATCCCTCTCTAAATTGCCCTATTGCTCACTTTTGTTGTGTCCTATTTCTGATAATTTTCTTTAGGTACGATTAAGTCTCCGGATCCCACAAGGTCCAGCAGTTGCAGTAAAAACAGATGACAATGGGAAGAATGGAAAAGATGGGGGAAATGAAAAACCACCACCTAGGCCACCAAGCTTTGAATTCCCATTCATGGATGACACAGGCTCGACACATTTGAGCCTATTTGAAGATGACATCAACATTCTTCGGAATCTGGGTGCAAAAGATGAACATACATACCCCTTGCCCCGATGCCTGGGTGTCGGAGTTCTTTGGGTCGCGGATGGGAGGCGGGTCCCCTCACTATTTAGAGAATTGGAAGTCAACATGTGGAGTACAGATGAATCGAATTGGATGTCCCCCTCATGGCAGGCAATTCCCGCTTCTATCAACAGTGGTCAATCAACAAGGGCCGGCCATGACCGTTTGAGTGGGTCATGGCTGCGACACAGATTTTACACTGGAACCTGTCCTGATCAGTCGATGCGTCTTTGGGTTTTCAACTATAACCCCGGAATGCCACAAGGTCAGAGGACTCTTCCCACGGCGACCTCAGCTCAATTGACTGCGCCCTTCCGAACTGGAAGGCTTCATCCCGTTACAGACTTTCCTCATCTTGACCCAAGTCTCGCAACAGGGCAAAGTTTATTGTAATTTGCTGAATTATGTGTGGTTCTGCCTTTTCTTCATAAATTTACATTCATCTTAGTGCGTCTTTCCTTCCTTTGGGCTCTTGTATCTCGTTACTTGCATTTTAAGTTTGATTTTGAACGTCAAAATTTGAATATATTACATTAGATGAATCTCTTCTGTATTGCATAGCGCAGGCATTTAATCTAAAATCACGAGCATAACGTGGTAGATTACTCCGTTCTAATGGATACTTAGCCATATCCATAGGGAGAATCTAGAATCCAAAAGTCCCAGAGTCACAGAGTCAACGGTTCTGCGGGGTTAACCTTTATTTGCCTCGGTTATCTCTTCTACCATCAAAATACCAGGACAATTTTCACTCATCTAGAGCGACAAGTGCACGAAATGTCATCATTTATGAATACTTTTGAGCCGAAGCCGATTGTTTCTGCTTTAAACACAGAAAGAAGTGGCAATGGTGAAGTAAATAGGCTGCATCGCATTCCAAGACCCGCCGACAAAGAAGAACAGCGACAATGGCTTCTCGAGCAGATGGCGGGTGCTTTTCGCATATTTGCCAAACTGGGATTTTCAGATGGTAGCAGTGGTCATATTAGTCTCCGAGGTATGCCTACTTGATTTGATTTATCGTACTCCAACATTCGCAGTTTTTGTTCATCTAGATGTTCTGACAGACCGAAGATCCTGTTGAACCCCGCACGTTCTGGATCAATCCATACGGAGTACACTTCGCCCTTCTAAAGGTCTCCGATATGGTGCGGGTAGACGAACAAGGAAATAGGGTCGCTGGTGCAAATAAGCCTGTTAATACGGCTGGATTTATTATTCATTCAGCAATCCACCAAAGGCGACCGGATATTCATGCGGCGTGTCATATGCACAGTCCCTTTGGAAGAGCTTGGAGCACTTTTGGTAGGGGAATTGATATGTTGAATCAAGGTAAACCCAGCACTTGATTGATATCTGTATTCCTGTTGACACCATTCCAATTTTCAAGATTCGTGCATGTTCTACGATGATCTTTCGGTATATCCAGCTTTTGGAGGCGTTGTTTTTGCACAGGAAGAGGGTCAACGTATTGCTGATTACCTTGGCCCCAAAAACAAAAACTTGATAATGCAGAATCATGGATTGCTTACTGCTGGGGGAACGGTTGCGGAAGCCGCGGCCTTTTTTATCGCCTTAGAGAGGGCATGTCAGACTCAAATACTGGTGGAATCCTCGACAGCACCTGGGTCTATTGGTGGAAGCGAAAGAGTCTTGAAGAAGACATTAGTGGACGATAATGTTGCACTCTACACTAAGGAAGGAACAGGCACCCCTGAGGTCATGTATATGCAATTCGAACCGGAGTACCAATTGATTTTGAAGGAGACGGCCGGAGAGTTTTTGAATTGAAGGAGTGTTTTGGAGAAAGTATTCTACTTCATGGTGTGATTTTGACTTCCTTGGCTTAGTTTAGTTCATCGTGGCTTAGGAAGAATATGGTGCTATACAACAGTATAGAGATAGGTATAATACTTGAGAATCTACAATTTGTATGCCTATCTTAGCTATCCTCAATATTGACTTTTCATACTCCGGATTGTTGTGGATCGGGTGTGGGGTATGGGTTTTTGGCCCTCAGGCCCACCTACCTTAACACTAATTCGATGCCAGTATTTTACACCTGCGATGAGTATACCAGCTTCTCCGGAAGATCTCTCTCTGTTCTATAGTCACACATCGAAGATATTTTCTCCCGTGAGCTTTGCCGTTATGTTATAACCACTTTGCTTATCGTTTCACCAATTCCTATATGCTTGGCAAAGTTAGATTTATTTCTAAGCTACCAGGCTCTCTATCGACTCTCGAGATTGCGCTGCCTTCGTGTACACTCTTTTACCACCTCCCCCGAGATGGATAGTGGCCTTAGGTGTCAACATTCGATGCCAAGGCATTCCCACCTGAGCTCGGCCCGTCATCCGAGCTTCGGGAGAACAATATTCCGTAGTGTATATAAACTCCATGACACTTACACTCTCCGACATACATTTGCTTCCTCCACGCTTACAGCATAACTACGTAACCTGAACATAGGGCTAACCAACAATCTATCTTATACAGGAAAGATCATAGATATTGACCATGGTTATAATCTACACAGTAATGGACGTAGTAGTGGGCCATGATTTATGCTTATCCATGCGCACATAACACACAGCACTGCAGAAACTTGGAAGCCTGGTGGTATGTTTGTTATCAGACCACACGTCATTGACTTGTCACTTATAATCTCTTATTTATTCAGAAAAAAATCACATCCCTGACTCGCAATCATTCTCTTTCTTCATATTGACTTTGTGATATTTCAGTATCTACCGTTCTAGTTTACACAACCTTCCTATCAAACTCGGATCCCCGGAGCCACCACACCGTGAGATTATTTCCCTGCATATTGTGCAACATCTCCGCTTTGGAGGGATACACATCATGGCGTCAAAGCCAAGCGAAAAGAGCATCTCCGCCTATGGAGAGGCTCGTTCAACAGTGGAAGGAAAGCCTCTCGATGCTGAGACAATCCGCAAGATGAATGCCTGGTTTCGTGCCAGCATGTACCTATGTTTGGGCATGCTTTATCTTCGCGACAACCCACTACTCACAGAACCTCTTAAGTTGGAACATCTTAAAGCTCGACTCTTAGGTCATTGGGGTTCCGATGCCGGGCAATCTTTCACCTGGATGCACATGAACCGTCTCATTAAAAAGTACGACCTCGATGTTCTTTTCGTTTCCGGACCCGGACATGGTGCCCCCGGAATTATATCACAATCTTACCTTGAGGGTGTGTACTCGGAAGTCTACCCGGATAAAGGCGAGGATACGGAGGGCATGAAGAAGTTCTTCAAGCAATTCTCTTTCCCTGGTGGGATTGGAAGCCACGCGACGCCCGAGACACCTGGCAGTATCCACGAGGGAGGTGAGCTCGGATATGCACTCTCGCATGCCTTTGGCTCGGTCTTCGACAACCCCGATCTCATTACTTTGACTATGGTTGGAGACGGCGAGTCCGAGACCGGCCCACTCGCAACCAGCTGGCACAGCACAAAGTTCTTGAACCCAATCAACGACGGAGCAGTCCTTCCTGTTCTCCATCTCAACGGATACAAAATCAACAACCCGACGGTGCTTGCTCGAATCAGTCACGACGAACTTACGTCTTTGCTCGTGGGCTATGGATGGAAACCATACTTTGTGGAGGGGAGTGATTTTGACACCATGCACCAGGCTATGGCGGCTACACTCGAGCAATGTGTCACGGAGATCAAAGCGTACCAGAAGAAAGCTCGAGAGACGAAGACCCCGTTCCGACCCCGCTGGCCAATGATCGTTCTTCGCACACCCAAGGGATGGTCGGCTCCACGGGAGATTGATGGTCATCTCCTCGAGGGATTTTGGCGCGCGCATCAAATTCCTATCACTGATGTCCGCACCAACCCCCCTCATCTCAAATTGTTGGAAACATGGATGAGGTCCTACAAACCAGAAGAGCTCTTCGACAAGAATGGCACATTGATTCAAGAGCTGAAGGAACTCGCACCCACGGGTAACTCGCGGATAAGTGCCAACCCCGCTGGTAATGGAGGCCTTCTGCGCCGGCCGCTTCATATTCCTGATTTCCGAGAGTATGGGTTCAAGGATATTGATCCAGGGTTGACAATCAAGGGGGGCATGGCCAACATGGCGAAATTCTTGCGTGATATAGTGGCTCAGAACATGAAGACCTTCCGGCTCTTTGGGCCCGATGAGACTGAGTCCAACAAGCTTTCAGAGGTGTATAAAGCAGGGAAGAAAGTCTGGATGGGGGATTATTTCGAAGAGGATAAGGACGGAGGAAATCTGTCCCCCGATGGTCGCGTGATGGAGATCCTCAGTGAACATACCTGTGAAGGCTGGCTGGAAGGCTACATTCTTTCTGGGCGGCACGGACTGCTCAACAGCTATGAGCCCTTCATCCATGTCATTGATTCCATGGTCAACCAGCATTGCAAGTGGATCGAGAAGTGCCTTGAAGTGGAGTGGAGAGCCCGAGTCTCGTCTCTGAACATTCTCATCACCGCTACTGTCTGGAGACAAGACCACAATGGGTTCACCCACCAGGACCCCGGATTCCTCGATGTGGTGGCTAACAAGAGCCCCGAGGTGGTTCGCATCTATCTCCCACCCGACGGCAACACCCTTCTATCTGTGATGGACCACTGTCTCCGCAGTGTCAACTATGTGAATGTGATTGTCGCTGATAAACAAGAGCACATCCAGTTCCTAGACATGGATGCAGCTGTCGCGCACTGTACGAAGGGTCTGGGAATTTGGGACTGGGCGAGCAACGACCAAGGTGCAGAGCCAGATATCGTGATCGCATCCTGCGGTGATGTATCAACACATGAAGCCCTAGCCGCGACTGCACTACTACGTGAACATCTGCCACAGCTCAAAGTCCGTTTCGTCAACGTGGTGGACTTATTCCGACTTATTTCCGCCATCCACCATCCCCATGGAATGTCCGATAAGAGGTGGAAGTCCATCTTCACCACCGACACGCCCATAATATTCAACTTCCACTCCTACCCCTGGCTCATCCACCGACTTACGTACAAGCGACCTGGCCAACACAACCTCCATGTGAGAGGGTACAAAGAAAAGGGCAACATTGACACACCATTTGAGCTAGCTATGCGTAATGAGACTGATCGATACAGTCTCGCTATTGCTGCCATTGATTTGGTTCAATCTCTCGGCAACACGGCAGCTGGCGTGAGAGAGCTCTTGTACAATGAGCAGCTTGCGGGCAAGTCTGAGGCTTTCGATAACGGAGTTGATCCTGAATATATTCGGAATTGGAAATGGCCTTTCCCGAAAGAATAGGGCGTCTTTGGTGATGGGAATATTCATGTTGATACAAGCCAAAGCACCATAGTAACACATTCTAAATTGCACCTGGAACTAGAGGAAAATATCGAATCTCTTTTTGTATCTTCTCTTCTACCGCTGAATCTTTATAAAAATGAAACTCAGCTCAGTTCAGATCTTGCTACTAGCAAGACTGCCAAGGTAGTATCTGACCCTCTATTATGTATTCAAGCATGTTATTCGATAACTCCTCTTATTTTGATAGACATTCCGCTTGAAACAGGCAATGCTAGCGGTCACCGGACATGTTATCGATGACTGAAACTTTCGTGAGACTTTTTCTTCTCTTCATTGCGGATAGTCTGTGCTATGAGCGATGCCCTTCATCACGTTAAGATTTTCCTTCAATGCGTCTGCTTTAGATTCCAGGAGACCATAGCAGTCTGACCCGAGAGGCACACGAAGGTATGATGACGTTGTTGCGCAGAGTCCCTGGTTTTCCACTGCATCCAAAATTCGCGCGGCTGCCTTCTCAGGATCGCCTCGTTGAGAGCCATCAACAGTCTCGTAGATTTTCAGAGTACGACTCAGCGCAGTCTCCCTATAGCCTGGGTTCAAACCAGCCACAGGTGCAACAAATGCGGACAGAAAGCCGGTTCGGAAGCTGCCAGGCTCAATAAGCAAGACACGAATGCCAAACTCGGCGAGCTCTGCCGCCAAAGATTCAGAGAGTCCTGCACTCGCTTGTTAGTTGCCAATCATATATTCAATGCAATCGGAATTCCTACCTTCGAGGGCGAGCTTGCTGGCTGAGTATAATCCAGTGGCAGGTCGACCGACCATACCAGCAACGCTGGAAATGTTCACGATACATCCGGATTTCTTCTCTCTCATGAAAGGAAGCGATCCTTGGAGGACACGAATCGGGCCATATAGATTGGTGTTGATTTGTTTGTAAATTTCATCTTCACTGCGGAAAACAGAATGGAACAATCAGTATTCAGAATACTATAGTTGCATACCAGAAGCTATATGACCATACCTCATGTCTTCAATGCTTCCAAGAATTGAATAACCAGCATTGTTGACTACAACGTCGAAGCCGTTATTCTCGCGAGCAAGGCTTTGCACCTTTTCGTTCGTTTTCGGGTCGGTAACATCTAACTCGGCCCAGGTTCCACCGAGTTGTTCGAACTGAGGATAGGACTTCTGTGCTTTTGTCACATCTCTAACAGCTCCAACGACTTTATGCCCTGCGCTTAGGACATGATGAGCCAGAGCGGCCCCAAGGCCAGACGAGGCACCAGTAATCAGCCAAACCTTGTTCCCCATCATGGAAAACAGAATGTTTTTGCGTTTTGCAAGATAACAAACCTAATTAGAATATTTTTCGGCAATCCCTTTCCTTTAATAAAGTCTTAAATCATCAGGTGGCGACAATACTGTATCATGGAGATACTTAAAATGTGGACCCTGCTGATGTAGCGTCCCCGGTATTATCGGAATTAAGGTAGCTGACATACAACATGCGCACCAAATAGGGCATTTTTGAAGCCAACAATTTCTCTCGGCAGATTTAAGACCTTTGTCTCCCAATTTAAGTACTCGGGATTTGACCATTGGTTTAAGGGCAAAGGCTTGAACAAAAACAGTTCATATTCGTGAACATTGATCTGTATACTGTGCTATTCCGGTGGGTCTTTTACTTCAATATCATTCGAATGCGCTTTGAATGCTAATTAGGAAAGTGTGACTTAGCTTGAGCTATCATGGCTGAGAATCTACCCCCTCGACCTCGTGACACTCGCTTGATCATCACCGGCCATGATGAGAAGGGTAGTGCTGTCATATTGCAAGACGTTTGCAACGAGGCAAGCTCCGTTGGAGACGGGACGCATCTGAACACACTTTGGTCCTCAAGTGAATTCCCGGCATCCATTAATGACGAGAAAAAGGTTCCTGATCCTGCAGGCGCAAACAAAGGCTCATTTTTCAACACTTATGATCTCCCGCCAAACTACAACGGCCCAATGCATCCATCGTACAGTTACATTGGACTATATTGTAGTGCTGGAGGGAGAAGTTGTTTTGACTTTACAGGATGGAAGCCGAGTTATTCTCGTTAAAGGGGACACTACTGTCCAGCAAGGCACAATGCACAGTTGGAGTAATGAGTCTGACAAGTGGGCTCGTGTTGTTTCTGTTATGATCCCTGCCAAGCCGCTCGTCATCGGCAACAAGGAACTAGAGGCGGTTTGGCCATTTTGATTACTTCCTATCGAATCGTTATGTGAAGCGATGGACAAAGAGGTGCGAAGCAGGGTCTACAAAATATATCAAGGGAGGGAAGATCACAAAAATGTGCATTAGAGCGTGTGTGGAATTATTGAAGGACCCGGCGGAAGAATCATGGTTCACTAATGTGCTGATTTGATACAAAATAAATTGACCTTTCATAACCAAAATCCCCAAAATCCAATGTAGAAGATCGTGCATGGATGGGTATGAAGTAATATATACGGTCTAGAGCTCTTTATAGAAGGGATTCCGGGGAAGAATGTGGGGTGCTACACCGGCAATCTAATCTCAGAACCTAATATCACTCTACAACATAGGCTGTAAAGACTGTCCTTGCTTTTTTCTCGGCCGTGATATAGTTGTAATACGCCATTTCCCCCAGATTCACTTAGAAGGATCACCGAAGCGAAAGTAAATATGTTGTACAGTAAGGATGAACAAAATGACTCGGCCAAATCCTAAAATTAATTCTCTCGTAACTACACTAATCCTCATCGGGTCCAGGAATCACCGAATGAGTCATTTTTAATTAGCATTGTTATAGCTAGGAATATTCTTTCCTTTCTCTTTCTACCCAGATTCACGACTCAACAAGCTATAAGTTACTATAAATCAATTATTCTACCATAATGTCCGAAGCTATCAATAACCATCGAATCAAGGACGACATAAAGCAAGCCTATGATGAGATTGCCGAAGTTTACCTAAACTGGACAAAACCTTCTCATGAAATACGCCTTTCCTATCTCGATCTCATGCTTCGGTCCCTTGATTCTGCAAAAGAAAACCGCCAAATCAGCATCCTTGAGCTAGGATGCGGGGCCGGGGTACCGTGTACTGAACTGTTGGCATCGCGTGAACACATCAGCGTCACTGCGAATGACATATCCGAGACCCAAATCGCCATGGCAAAAAAGCGGCTTCCTCAGTCCGTGAACCTGATACAAGGGGACATGATGGAGTTGGAATTCAACCGGGAGAATTTCAATGCTGTGATGGCCATGTATTCTATTTTTCATCTGCCACGCGACGAACAAACTACAATTCTTCGGCGCATTTTTGATTGGTTGAAACCTGGGGGGCAGCTTCTCGCGAATTTCCCCGAGACTGGATTTACGAGCTCTTCTGATAAATCTTGGCTAGGCGGCACAAAAGGGGCAATGCATTGGAGTGGTTGGGGTAGAGATGAAATGAGAAGACTTCTCACAGAGATTGGCTTTGAGATCCAGATTGATGAGGTTGTCGTGGATTGTGAAGAGAAAAATGGAGCTTCGCTGAGCGTCCCGTTTCACTGGATCTTAGCCAAAAAATGAACAATATGAAGATAAAGTAGTATCCTCATCAACTGAAGTTTTGCTCTTGATCCCTCTTTCATGCTGTATGCTTATAGTAAGTACTCCGTAGACTTCCCTTTAACCTCCAAGAACACTCCCACTCGATCTGCACTCGAAGAACATGAGGCGTTAAGCCTATCAGAGCCCACTCTAGAAACACGCGTCTCATGGGTGCATTGCACTCAAGGCATGGGGCCCTGTGTTTTGATTTGGATTTTGGCAAGACAGGCTTGACCTATTGGCGCGCGGTGATGATTGTTCAGCATGTCCGCACGAGCAAAGGACACCAGACAACCCTCACAGACCCAATCTTTCTCCCCCGAATGGATCTTCTTGTGTCGATTGCAATCATTCTTTCTAGAAAAGCGCTTCTGGCAGATATCACACGAGAACTGCCGATCCGCCGTGTGCGTCAAAAGGTGAGACTTGAGATTAAAGAGCCGTTTGAAATCCTTTGCACAATGCGGGCACTTAAAGTCTTGCTTCTCTTGAGTCTTCGGGCGCTTCGTGGGTCGAACCTCTGGCTCAGAGTCTGAGCTTGGTGTCTCTTGTGTGTGAGCCATAATACCAGGCGTTGCTTGCACAGGTTGTTCATTCTGCAATTCAGGTGCTCGCTGGGGAGTAGCATGTATCTTGGGTGTCTTTTGCCGAAGGCTTAGCTCAATGTCGTTGTTGGATGGAAATCCTTGGCTCTGCGATGCATCCAGATGGGCATCTTTCACGTGTCTTTTCAGACTGGTCTCTGATACAAAGCCAAAAGTAAAACTGGTGCAATTTTCGTCACTGCATCTCCATGCTCGATTATGTCTGCTGATATGTTCATCTCGCTTCTCATTTGAGGGAAACCCAGAGAAGAAGAATTGGCAGCTGAAACGTGGGCATCGGAACAGATTGTCCCCATATTTCTGTATCATGTCTTTTTCAGACGAAGGGTCTTTTGACACTATTCTTTCTATCACTTGACGGATATTACCCACAAGGTTAAATAGGTTGAGTGCAAATCCTTCTTGCTTGAGCGGACCAAATGAGTTGAGTTGCTTCTTAGTTGAGACAACAATCTGCTCCAGCTGCTCATAGAAGGTGGCATCTTGAAAGACTTGAAGCCTCTTTTTATTCCGAGCCGATACCTCTAGGTATTTGTTAGGCGGAGACCAGTGCAGATCGATGAAAACACCTAGTGACTCGGCGAGTGAATCCATCATCGCTGGGTAATCTTCTTCACGCAGAGCCTCATAGTTGTTGAGTCTATCTAGTTCATCGGGCGTACTTTGACGAGGCCTGGTTGCTTCTGCCTTTGTTCTCTCGATTCGTCGATTTGCTTCCGCAATTGCTCCTTCAAGATGTCTAACCCAGTGGATAACGGAATATTCCATAAGCCCATAGTCGCCACGGCGAATGTCATGCTCAAGCGGCGTGTTCACGAAGAGTGGGAAGTTCAGATAGTTAACACATCGAGTTGCCATTCTGATATCCCCTTTTAATGGATCGACAAGGCCTTCATCGACCAAAAATCTGCAATCAAAATCACTGTCAGTAAAGCTTTTGAAAGACAGACAAGGTCATACAATCTTGCCGTTAGATGTATCAACTCGACGCTTCCGTCGTCTCGGACTTCAACAAATGACCCACAAATGTCCCTTGGATCATTTACTAGGAACCCTTGCCTGTGGAAATCGATTGATTGTCGATCAAGATCCATTGACTTCAAGACCTGAATTTCGTGCCACCTAAGGGGCTTTCTTGCCAACACCAGCCATTCAAGTAGGGCCAAGGCATCTTTCATTGAAGTTCCCGACGTATTTTCCTTTATCCTAGAGAGTATCCGTCGATACCTATCAAGCTGTAAGAAAAGGAAGTAGGTATCATACGAGTCTCGAACTTACGCATCATTTATCCCAGAGGGGAAAATGTTTGGATCCAGCTCTTGCTCCAGCCCCATTATTGTAGTCTGTGCGGATAAATTCAACCAGATCAGTTTTGCAAATAGAAACATGCCTAGTAGGTCATTAGCAAGAAAAATATTACGAGGGAAACTTGTCCACATACCGCCAGCTTGTTGAGTCACAGTCGCAGAGATACTGTCAGCCATGTCTTCTGAGATGTACAAAGAAGCCCTCAGTTGGTCTGCCTCACGCTGGCAAAAGCCTTGAAGGTCATTTTTAATATCATCGGGTCCGATAGTAAGACTTGCAATCTCATCGAAGTCTTTGCGCGCCAGGCTATCGTTTTGGCTGGTGAAAAGACAGCGTAGTCTCCAGGGTTCGATGATAGGTAGACTTTCGACTAATGTTCTGAACCATTGAACGATGCCTTTCCGTTGATCTCTTTCGCACTCATCGAGCCCGTCAATAATGATATATGCACTCTTGCAGTTCTTGAATGCAAATTCTAAAAGTTTGGTGACTTTTACCGGAGAAGTAAGAACCGCTTCCTTACTATCACAGCACTCCTGGTAGAAATAAAGAAGCATATTTTGGTCCTGCTCCAAAATTTGGGCGAGAAGACTGCGTGCCAATGCCAAAAAGCTGTTGCGCTCTGGATCACCATGTTTGCAATAAAAGAAAAGAACCGTCGGTTTGGGGGTGAGCTTTTGGGCTTCCTCTATTGCGAGAGATGCGAGGACAGTTTTTCCTATCTGATTTTCAGCATTCAGACTAGCGAATCCCATATGGAGGTCCCATACCGGCGCCTGGAATCCCATTCAACCAAAGCAAAGGAGGTATACTGGGGTAGTTCGGATCAAACCAATCTTTAAAAGCTTGGTTATCCAAAAGCCACCTTCCGGTACCAGGATAATCTGCTCGCGTTTTGGTCAAATTATACTGGTGTCCCTCAACATCGGGCGCTCTGAGCCAGTCGAAAACTGTGCGTGACCGTCGCAAAGATTCATATTGCACTTCTGTATTGTGTCGATCGTCCACTAGACGACGCGATTCCTGGGAGTCTGCAATCTGGGACAGGCTTGCTTGACTTTCAATTAAAGCACGATGCCGTGCCATGCCCGAAATAACGTTGGAGAAACGTGATTGTTGGGTTTTCCACGTCGCGTGCCATAGCTGCTTCCACACTGTAACAAACTCAGTAATGTGTTGCGTGGACATGGGAATGTGGGTTTGACTGACGGCGCTGCTGGAAATATTGAATGGCAATGCGATGAAACTTGAGAATATCCTCATACATGAGTGAAAGTACCTTGATCATGTGAGGGTTGGTGTGAAACAGCTCTTGGTATTGCAAGAGCAGAGGCAAGTTCTCTCCTATATATTCGTATGTGTCCAACAGTTCGGAAAAGGCGTTCTCGAGAGTATCCGCGATCTAAATTCAGTTAATACTACCATAATATAGCCATCTTAGACATAAAATAGCATATCGTACTAGGAGCAGGAATTTGACTGGCCCCTATGACGGTCAGCTTGAGATGTGAGCTTGAATGTTTACCAGGCCTCTTACCCAAAGAAATGGCACGATCTCACTGCTATTGCAAAACACCTCCACCACCTTGCCAAATTGATTCATAGCTTCGAGGAATGGCTTCAGTCGATTCAGATTCTGCATACGGCGCTGAGACCGGTGCTTGGCCTGCAACTGCGTGAGACATTGCTCCAGATCTTCCAGCTTAGAGAATTTGAAGTTATCCCGCTCCTTCTTATTTAGGTCTTTTTTGAAAGCTTCGAGTGATCGCTCGAACAATGGTGTATATGTGTTAGCCATTGTTGCTTAGAAGAAAAGGGCGAAAAGGTTGGGAGGTAAGAAGGCTGAGCTCTCCATGGCGCTAATGTCGCGTGCGGCTCTGCGCCCCCTCCCACTTCCCACACTCTTAGGGCCATTTGATCCTCACCATCAGCACCGTCTGTCTCTTTTTTTCTTTTTGTCTTGCAGGAACTTCTGGGATATTAGAGGAGATGACGTCTATTCCACAGGACTCACTGAGACAAAATTCGCCATTTCCAAACGAGTCTTCTTGGGGAACAACTATCTCAGAAACCCGTGTTTTTGATGAAGAAATATGTTTGGGAGCTGCAAGTAAATTACTTTCTGAGCACGCGATATAGCTAACACTAAATAGATCATTGGTGTCATAGCACAGCTGGATAGTGATGATTCGTTGATTTGTCTTTTGGCTGACAACAGCACATCTTTCCTATGTTTTTCTGTTCTTCAAGAGGGAGATTTCTTCTTTCTTGTCCATGGGGAACATAAATTCGCCCGTCTCAACAAGCAGCTATGCACTGGCCTTTCAAAAGCGACAATCAATCGACAAATTCGACTACAGGCATATATTGCTAGAGAGGATGCAATGCTAGCAGTGCAAAGAAAATACAGCGAAAGGCTGCTACCAATTGAAATCAACGTTTACACCCCCATAAATGATGTTGACAATGTGGGAGCTAAATTGAGCAAATCTCATATTTTCTTACAGCCGCTTCGCTATGGACTTGGGGATAGGAGATACATGAATCCGCATGTTCTACGATTTGAGGGACAACCAAATGACGAGTCAATCCACTATTCTACTATACCTGACTCGGAAGAGATAGACCCAAGTCACTCGTCAAGGGATGAAACTCTTTCTGATGATGTTGATGGAATTGACATGGATGACATGTTTGGTCCTCAATTGCAACATATATTTCAAACCAACGTCCCAGTCGACCGGCGTATCAAGAGCGACCTCTTACAGTAAGCGATATTTACTAGTAATCGAGCATCACAGGTTAACAGTTTGTATCAGACATCAGAAAGAGGCAATCGGGTTTATCTCCCAGCGTGAGCATGGACAAATATTGGAACATAGTCTTTGGAGCTATAACTATACGGACGAAGATGAGCCATTTTGATACTCACCACTCCCCTCATACAGTATTTGAAGCCGGTATTGATGCTGGCTACAGTTATCAGCATGTCTTCAATGGCGAGAGGTGCGCAAAGCCACAAGAAGCCAGAGGTGGAATTTTGGCTGATGAGATGGGCCTAGGAAAGTCACTGGTGACGCTGGCAGTCATCGCCGGTTCTCTCGACGAGGCGGAGAGATTTGCAGGACGACAGGAACAATCGGACGTTTCCCAGAAGAAGAATCTAACTCAGGCGACACTGATCGTGGTTCCATCAACCTGTAAGTCTTGTCCCAAAATCGTGAGAAAGCTCATTTTATAGTATCTGACAACAGCCCCGACCAGTGTTGATTGATAATTGGATCAACGAGATCCGCAAGCAAGTTTTTGCGAGAAATTATCATATGGATATACTGACTCGGATCCAGGCATACATTTTTCGGCAGTCTATTCGTCCACAAACATATCGGAACGGAAAGACATGCGGAAGGAGAATTACTTCAGAAAAGCGCTATCGTCTTCACTACCTATGCAACACTTACCAGTGAATACTGTCGGGGGCAAACTACTCTGTCAAAGGTCCATTGGTTCAGAATCGTACTCGACGAAGGTAGTCAAAGGTTATCGAATATGTGTTATTGATAGAAGCTGATACCCCAGCCAGCTCATTACATCCGCAATCGCACCACCAAGCAGTTCCAAGCCGTTGTCAACTTGTCATCCCAGCACCGCTGGTGTCTTACTGGAACGCCTATTCAAAATTCAATTGAAGACTTGGGCGCTCTGGTCGCCTTTCTCAGGGTTCCGATCCTTGATCGGGTTGCAGCATTTCGCAAGTTCATCTCGACCCCCACATCCTCAGGCAAGAAAGATCGTTTTCATAATCTCCAAACACTTCTCCACGCAATCTGCATTCGAAGGACAAGAGATGTTTTAAACCTGCCAGAGCCTACTACAGAAACCCGAAAGCTTCCGATGTCATCCACAGAGAAAACGCAGTACAGAGATCTGCTTCATGAATGCATGACAAAGATTGATATGGCGGTCAGTGGGAGAAGAAATGGGAAGGTTAATTCTACAGTCCTGGAGTCTCTTCTCTCCTTACGCCTGTTCTGTAACAACGGGAAAGCCGAGGCTAGTATTCCATTAGATTCGGATGAAGCCCTCTCCTACCTGGAACAGCTGGATAAAAACTTTTGCAGTTACTGTTCCAGCACAATATTCTGGCTCAGCGACACACCCGATACAGATGGAGGCATTTACCTCTCTGGCTGCCGTCATTTGGTTTGTCACAGTTGCATACCTGTCCATCGCTCACGGCAGAATAAATGCCCTTGTAGTGACTCTGATCATCCACCGTCTGGTGTGCCAGTCCCCTTCCTTGACAATTCAAAGTATCATCACGCGCATACTGGTATCGGTGTAACACCTCGGATGAAATAATACCCTACAAAACTAGTGTCTCTCCTATCTGAGATTTCCCAAAATCCTACTCAGAAATGGTGTTTCTCGCAAGAAACTCACTCCCTATCTTCTTGGTGAGCTAACCACCATATTTATCTCTTAGTGTCGTCTTCTCGAGTTGGAAAAAGACTCTCTATATTGTTGCTGAGCTTCTCTCCAGCAATGGAATCAGATACAGCATGATAGAAGGCTCTCTTTCTTTATCAAAACGTCTGCAAGAACTACAAAGATATCAAAATCAAAAAGAAACAAACGTTCTCCTAATGACCCTTGGAACGGGTGCTGTTGGGTCAGTTATTCCTTCTCGATTTTCTGGACAAGCCGTTGATGATTGAGATAGTTTGAATCTTACAACCTCGTCGCGTATCTATCTTCTTGAGCCGCAGTGGAACCCATCGATTGAAGCTCAAGCAATCGGTCGAGCCCTTCGACTCGGTCAAGTCTCCAACGTGACCATTATTCGGTACATTATGGAAGGCACTGTTGAGGAGGTGGGTTAGCAAACAGTGCATTGTTTGAATGCTATCTAACAACATCCAGAGTAATGTCTTATCACGACAACGGAAAAAACTACAATTAACAAGGGGCGGATTCCAAAAATCGGATACCACCACATCGGACAGAATCGAGTCATTACTGGTCAGAACAAAATTCTCTTATTGATCGAGAGTATATGGGCTAAAGACTCACAGGGCCTCTTCCAGCTTGAATCCGCGGCTTTCAACCAATGAACAGCGGATCACCACGTTGTTCAAAAAGTCGGAAGAAATTGAGCATGTCCAGAATTCATACAGCAATATCCTGGGTTCCTGCTCATTTTGTTCAACTAAATCTTACTTTTCGTTGTTCTTTCAGCTATGTTGATATCATCATCCCTATAAGAACGAGAGAGCACGGATGATAACTCGGCAGGCGGCTGTCTATGGGCTATATGGGCTGCCTATGTCCAAAGTAAAATTGAAGCCTACGTTAACGCTGGTCGTCTCCGTGCTCCAACTTTGGCAGGTTGTTCCAGCTGTTCGATATCTCAATGAAGAATGCATTGGGGTTAATGCTCCTGGAATTGAAGGCCCAAGAGTTGTGAATTTGTGATTTGTAAGACAATAAAATAAACTCCACCCAGATCATGGCTCAGCTGTGGAGAAGGGGACTTTTTCATGTATAGGATCAAACTCGAATTGCGGACAGAACTGCCTTCGCTTACTTTGATTGGTCATTTAGGTCCTCGATTATGCGAACCGAAGAGCGGCCTACCCAAGGCAATCAATCTAGTAGGAATAAATTACCAGGCTGGCCATGCAGGATGCCATAAAATAACAGAGACAATCTCCTTTCATCACCATGATCTGAAACCCCCTGAATTGCTTGTCTCGCGTCAGTTCTAGTGATATAAACTCGTATTCATGTGCTTATAAAAGATTATAAAAAAGAGTAGGTATAGTTAGGAATGTCGAAATCAAATCTGCTCATTCCCCGAAACATGAAATCGGCCCCGGACTCTCGCGCTCCGTGCTCTATGTATGTTTTAGTCCTGAATAGGAAAGGGGGCTGTCATGTGATAGCCAATCAAAGCATCAAGATTGTGCGAGAGGGTCATCAACGGGCCACCGCCAAGAACGGGCCACCTCATGTGTTTAGAATCACCACAATAGCCTCTGGATATGGCTTGCTTATTTCCCTTCATGTTCTCCATGTTTTGATTCTTAAGCACTCCGCATTTGTTCCATTTTTGGTCGTGTTTCTGGTGTGAGCATAGAATAACGCCGTTTAACCCATTGTTCCCACTACGTGGACCAGTAGCACACTTGTGCCTTAGCATTCCGCACTAGACATGGTTCACGATAACTACTCCAAATACTCTCTAGTCTTATGCCGGTCAAAGGGGTCGTCTCATCACATAGGAGGGTCCTTTAAACCTGTTGACTCGAAAGATAGCATCCGCCCCTATTTTGCGACCTCGCTTCTCAACTGCACGAAATTTGCCTTGCTGTCACAACTCCCTCCTCCCAAAATCAGCGGCCACCCGCCCCAAACAGATATTTCTACTTGATGCTCCCAGGCGCAGCATGGCAGGGAATTTCACATTCCCAACAGAAGCCGAAAGTACTTTCAGAGTAGCAGACCTGGTGAATGTAACATGGGATGTTATCGCTCCTCTGGTTTCGCTCTACGAGACCTGTGGCACTAATGATCGTGCTTTAGAAGGTGGGGCCATCTATTTGACTCGTCTTATTGCTTTTTACAGATAATCTGACTATTCCTCTTAGAGATAACAACCAACAACTATAGCTACGTGTGGATAGCGACTCGCAAAGACTATGTAGAGGCTGGCTGTATCTTCATGCTCCAGCCGTTCACTGCCCAAGGCGAGTCATATGGCGACAACATTACAAGTGTCCCATTTGGGGTATCGAAGCGATACACAGATGATCCACCACCAGTGTCGTACAATTTCATCAATGCATCGTCATCCACGTCTGCAAGCCCCACGAAAGCAATCTCCACGTCTCTCGCTACCTCGAGTAGTGCCGAAACTACATCATACTCAGCGGCTACGTCAACTCCTGCGTCTAGCCATGGCTTGTCGAAGGCGAGTAAACTTGGAATCGGCCTTGGTGTTCCACTAGGTGTTTTGTTGGTCGCTGCCGCTTTAGGCGCGTTCATCTTGTATCGGCGGAAATCCCGCCAGAAAGAAACTCAAGCGGTGCTGCCTGTTCAGAATCAGCCAAATGATGAACTGGCTCCACTTCCTATCATTGGTTATAAAGAGCCTCATAATACGCGCCTGTCACAGGCGGAGACAGTGGCTTCTTCCGTTTCGAAACTGTCAAGCGATAATCAAATATCGGAAGGGAAAGACAAGCGGCTAAGTGAATTAATGTCTTCTGAAATAGTGGAGTTAGCCTGATTCCAGTACTGGATTGCAATCTTCAAAGTAAAGTGGTTGATGGTCTGAGGGCCTTGACCCGACGCCATCGACTCACTTCATTCTTCTAGGCTACCTAGGCTTTCAAAGGCTAGATAACTATAAATTAGCTTAGACTAATATTTTTTGGATCCTCAGAATCCTGTTTCTGTAGACTTGTTTGTTTCCAGAACTTTCCGTTTCTGGGTAACATGAATACCATGACATTTAAGATCGCAAAAGGACACTGTAAATATTCTGTTGGGAGATGTTCCTACCTACAGCCACCTGGGACGGGGGTTCATACCTATCTCCATCTTAGATATGCTATGGCTTAGCTGTAAATAGGCCAATAGGTTGAATACAATGGTACAAGATAAAGTTCTAAAAACCCCGAAATTTTTATAGATTGCTAAACGGTGTACACCATATGAAAGCGTATAGTGAGATTAGTCAAATTGTCCAGGGAAATTCTTGTGCGCGTCATTTTAGTTAGAGTTATGCATATTTATTGATTGTCCCATGGCTTGTTGTACACTATCCTAGAACTTAAATTGCAGATAGAAATGCCTTCACTAACGCTATTTAGCATCCCTGCGTTATTCCAGTTGTTCCAGCTTTGCATTGGCCTCATGGCCACCGGAGTGTTCAATGAGATAACTAAATTAAGGTATTAGTCGGACTTAGGTCTCGGTCCAAGTCCTAATATTTTAGTAATTGTAATATAATACAAACTATTGCTACCTAGGTAGTGGGAGATTTGACACATTGGGATACTATGTGATAGTCCTACATATGTACTGCGTGCCGCATCCCACACTATTTCCAGATGTCCAAACGTCTACGGAGTAGGCATTGCGACAATAGAATGATGACCGGTTCTAGCTTCACTATGTGGCATGAATAGATGCACGGCACCTGATTGCCAGCATGTTGATGCCTATCCCTTACGTGTCAGATTTGACAAACTCTTCTTCCAAGTCTCCTAAAGAGGCTACCAGTAGTACATATATGGCTCAACTATACCTGACTACCGCTGCAAGTTGCTCAATGAATCAAACTTGGATTGCGGACAGAACTGCCTTCGCTTGCGTTGGTTGGTCATCTCTACTAGGCTTGAATAATACACTCTTCATTGGTTCTAAGGCTTCACCTAGGTCAAGAAAGAGTGTACCTAGAGTACTTTTGTTGTAGGTACGGCAAGGTTTATAAGCCAATGAAAAAGACAACTTGGTTGTGATTTCTAATTGAGTAAATACTCCGTAAGACAGGGTGAACATATTTTCCTACGCTGTCCCAACCCGGGCTTAGATCGAAACTCGGGGGCAGTTTAAAGATTATGGCTCAGCTATTGATAAGCCCATTTTGCGGGAGCAAATTTCAAACATGACTTGCGGATGGAGATGCCTTCCCTGATGCTGGTTGGTCAACTCCGCGTTCGTTCTTCGAATTCTGCATTGGGCGTAGTACTTCACCTAAGTACCTAGAGCTCTGTGAGGGGAAATGTTTATGCCGCTCAAAATCAAGATGTGAGGTGATAGGGGCCTTGATTACCATTCCTTTCGGGTACCATGAGGCTGCCCTATCTACCACACGCACTATAGGTGTCCATGCGGTTACCCGAGAAGCATGTAGTATGGCTGAGTTGTCAACCCAGATGCAAAGGCTCCCTAAAGTTATATCTGACAAGAATAGTCGGCCGCGTTTACGGCCTTGTGATATCTCTTTAGTAGATCTTTCTAGCTGGTGTTTTTAGATGTATGTGAAGGCGGTAAAAAAAGCATACTTTGTGCAAGCGACTTCTATGCATAACCTGTGATAAATATATAGGCATTAAAATCTTAGATTATCATATAATATGTGCCTGAAACACCTTGGAGTTATATTGTACAAAGTAGAGATGTAACGTCTAGAACGTGCACTGCTGACCGTTGACCGCTGACTCTTAGGATGTTCAACTGAAATAAATTACTGAAACTATCTAACATCCACTCGATGAAAAGAAAAGACCAAGAAAAATACAGACAGGAAAGATGGAATTCCCCAAATCTCACATCCACCATCCCCAAGCCAGCCACGCTCATACCCACACGGTTATCCTACTACATGGTCGCGGCAGCGATGGCGCCGAGTTCGCCGAAGAGCTTTTCTCATCTTCCACCTCCAAGGGCAAACCCCTCCCTTCCTGTCTCCCCTCCTATCGCTGGGTCTTTCCAACCTCACGCGACCGATGGAGCACTACATTTGAAGAGGAGATGTGTACCTGGTTTGACGCCTACTCCTTAGGCAATATCCACGAACGACAGGAATTACAGAAAGAGGGAATAAGAGAGTCAGTCTTATATATTCTCGATATTCTCGAGGAGGAGGCTCGACTGCTAGATGGACGGTTCCCCCAGATCTACCTTGGAGGTATGAGTCAGGGGATGGCAACCGCCTTATGGACGTTCTTCGCTGCGACAGCGACAGGCCGAATCCAAGGATCACTAGGAGGATTACTGGGATTTTGTGGCTGGTTTCCATTCGCGCAGCAGCTAGAGCGGTTGCTATCCGAACCATCCCTTAATCCTGGCAGTTCCCAGGCACAGAGTCTAATATCCGGGTTCTTCTTTGATGAGATTGCCGGTGGGACACCGCGCTCTGATCAGCCTGTCGACAGTTCTATCTTATCTACGCCTGTGTTTCTAAGCCATGGATCAGACGACCAATGGGTATCTGTGGAGCTTGGACGACAGGCATGTCAAGTTCTACGGAAAATTATGGTACGCGTCGACTGGCAAGAGTTTGCTGGGGCAGAGGGTGACGGCCACTGGGTTAAGGAACCTGAGGGTTTTGACCATATCCTGCAATTCCTTGAGGGTTAATTTGTCCAATTCTTTCAGCCGACTGTGTTGCGGGGGTATTCGAGGGCCATATGTAGGGAGGGCGCCTACAGTCAAAAGAAAAGACCTTGATGAAGGTTGGGCGGTTCAGGCTCGTTATTCAAAGATAACCTTGCCGAGTACAAGGGCCCAATGGAGATAGGAATATATCACTTCATTGCAGAATATCCAATAAAATGAAGTGAGAGAGGTTTGTCTACAACATCAGTTACCTTGGGTGCCATCCAGTCACGAGACAATGGGCAAAAAAGGCAAGTACCTCTTTCATTCTGGGATGGCGCGAGTGTTGGGTATATCCCCCCCCCCCCCTCAATCCCCCCAGTCTTCTTCTTTTCTCTCGAGCTCCTATTCCGGATGACACGGCTGGTGCATACTTACACGCAGTGTAATCACCATCACCAAATTTTAGACAGGACCTAGTATGGTATCCAGGCCTCACATCCGGGCCATTGGATTTGCTCAAGGAAAGCACAAAGGGTCGATCTTAGGAATAGCAGCGAGGAAGGCTGCAGCGACGCAACTAGTAATTCATGGGACGAGAATGACTACCAAGATCGATTATGTCTCAAACTGGAATTGGTGTATCATCGTTTAATCTTATTGAAGGTCTACTCTAGTTCCTAGTAGCTCTTTACCTTCTAACCGTCCGCGCAAAGAAAGAACATGCGTCGAAGGCAAGAAAGACATTGATTGAGAAGAAAGATGGTGATTCACAATGACAATAACGCCCCGAATTTTGCGAATGGAAATTGAAAGCAGATGCCTGCAACAGAAGTCGATGCGCCGTGGCGCCGAGATAGATAAAAAAAAGGGAGCAACAATAGCGGATTAGATGGTTGAGAAGGACACGGAAAAGTAGGTGGCGTGAAGTAGGTCATTGAAGCTTAACATAGTACATTAAGGTGATGTAAGGAAAGATGCCGTGGATAATTTAGCCATATCGGCCAACGGGAACATCATGACGATGAAGATCCTTGGACCATTCCGGTGCAACCTTATCACGCTCGTATAGAAGGCCACAGTTATGGCAGAGTGTCTAGTTAGGATGGTCAGAATCTGCTTGCGGTACATTCTAATGTGAGAACTTACCCGTGGGCCATCTGGACCATCGCGCACAGCCCAAACTGCTGTGCCCCACACCGCACAGTTCTTACATCTCCAGCTTTGGCGTTCCCTGAAGGCAGAAATCATTAGTGAATATTCCAGCGAGATGTATCTAGCGGCTACATACCAGTCGGAAAGCGTGCCACCACCGCCACCGTACCCAGCCCCTGACCCGGTATCAGGAGTTCCCCGGCCACCAGGAGTGCCACTTCTGCCCGTAGGGCTCAAGCTGCGGAACCGACGCTTGCGCTTATTCCTTTCTCCACGTCCGAGCGGAGTCTCACTGTCTACCTCGAAGTAGTTCCCACTGTTCTGCCTTGAGATCTCAGGTGTGATGCCCGTGGTTGAAGAGAACCTGGCGGTTTCTCGGCGCAAACGTCGGATCTGGCGCTCACGGTCACCTTCTCTCCGTTCGATTTCTTCCTTGGACAGTGTCTCGACTTGGGGTTGCCATCCATCACAAATCGTTTCAGGGTCGTAACGCCAGCCAGCCTCCACACCGTTAGCTGCCAAATTATCAATTTCGTTGCCATAGCCGTTGATGCCGCTGACAAGAGCACCGCTTTCGCAGACTTCTTTTTTGAACTTCAAAACTGCTTCGTAGATGGCATGCGCAATCGCACTGACCCATTCACCACCAAGGCTGAGGTCTGCGCAAGTGATGCGCGCGAACTCTTCAGCCATGCCAGGTGGGTGTAGTAGAGACCACTCAAATTTGTCTGTGTACAGCTTGTTTTGCAGGTTGATGTTGAGAGTGATCAAGCACCGATATGCGTCATCTGGGTTCAGAAGACTGTCATTCACCAGCGCTTCCTTGGTCACGGTGACAGTGGGCGTCACGTTGGGCCGGCTATCAGGCGTCGCAACGTTGACAGCAGCTGGTGTCATTGGCGTGTCTCTTGACGGTTCAGTCTGTGGCAAAACACTGGGCACCGTGCCTGCATCTGAGCTCTGGAAGAGAGGGTGGAGAGCGACACCAGCGTATTCCTCAAGCTGCTGTCGGATCTGATTGCTGATGGTCATGGTCGTGGCTTGAGGGTTTGGGAGATCAAGATCACGAACGAAACCAATAGCAAATTCTTCGGGCGTTGAGAGCGATTCGTGGAGGTTCCACAAGAAGGTATCCTTAATACGGAACGGGGGTAATGGTTCGGGTCTGCGATACGCAGGAAGAGTCTGGTTGATGCTAGGGTCCACGGCAGTGCGTGGGAAAGGGAATGGCTCGAGGGGTTGATGAGCGGGGACTTCGACGTCAATTCGGATGGGAACGAGGGTCAAGGGAAGTTGCGCTTGAATCTGCAGTTGATCGGCACACCTAGAATCACCACGCTGTATGTTAGCCAGATTTAAGGATGGACAGGAAAGATGGAGGGCACTGTCGTTAATGGCCACATCAGTCCTGGCAATGGGGAACATACGCTGGTCGCAACATTCTCTTGATCATCCACTCGCGAAACAGGCCTTGCACCTCCACTGGCGCATGCACTTCTTTGCCCAGCTTCTCTGAGTATGGCACCAACTTGTCGGTAGCGGATTCTTCGCGCCGAAGACTCCTCAGTCCGGTCGGCCGCCGTGGCCCATCGTTCTCATCAAAATCTTCATCATCAAAGCCATCTTCAGCATAGTTGATGGCTGTAGTTCCACGCTTTGTGGTGCGCGGAGTTGGGCCGGTCTGAGACGGAGGGTTGACAGGTGTGAGCAACGCGTTTCCGTACTGGCGCATGCGCGGAGGGTAGGAACTGATATATCCTCGGAGAGGGGACATGTTGGCGATTCAATTGAACAATAACATGCCCCTTCGAGGGTATGGGCGGGAGAATAGGGAGCTTGCGATTGTTTTGATCGACTCGATGTTCGAAGGGCTGATCACTGCAGTGAGGCACAATTAAGAATGGTCCAAGCGCGAAAGAGTTAACAACGAGTGCTTGTATGATGCCACAGCATAAAGTAAATGTGTGACAAAAATAAAGACCGCGTCAAACGCATCCAGATAGGATTCAGCTGGTGAGATTGGCCCTGAGATCGATATTCTGCGCGACTTTGCCCAATTCGACGCTAGTCCCATTCCAGGGAGAGCATCATGTGATTTATGCCTTAGGCCATCAAACTACAGGAACCATCATAGTAAAACGACAGGGGCTTCACTAGGCATATAAATAAAAGTCATCAATAGGATCACAGGGTTATCAATGGGCACTAACCATTGTTTGTGGGCCACGGCTATGTTGTGGACTGGGCTCATTGTCGTATGAATACAAAATATGAATACAAGTCTCGCATCCAAAACAAACCAACGGAATGTGAGGGAAAGGCTACAATTGCCAACTAGATCTGCACCATATATTCAATCTTCACAGCCAAACTAACTGATGTCCAAGAACAAATTTACCAATCAGACTAGAAAATGAATACACCGAAAGGAATGAGAAAACCCAAAGTGCTGAGTACGCCAGCGCTGCTGTCGGTAAGATGAAAACTTGAATATTTGTTGCAGACAGATTGAAATGCAACTTTAGAAAAAAAATAACAGTCGAAACTTCGAGGCACAAGGCCGGGGGAATGATAATCGCACATGCAAGGGAAAGAAGAAGGGGGAAAAATCAACGAAGTCCAATAACACTCTGCGATGGGATTAGCTATCAAAAGTTTGAAGTCCACTGGGGCAGGGGGTCTTACCATCTCCAAGGTCCACACACGCCGGATCCAGACCTTTACTGGCCCCTCAACGCCCTCGACGTCGTCTAGCTCAATGCCCTCCCACCAGCAGCGGCGGGCAGGCTTGCGCCAAAACAGGAGAAGCTTCTGGGCCATGCCCACGGAATTGTTGTTCGATAGGTCTCCGCGGATATCGGTGCGGAGTTTGGCCAGTGCGAGACTGCAGATTACGGCCTTGTTAGGCTCCGGGGCACGGTGGCCCCACTGGTCAGCACGATCAAATCCTCTGCATTTAATATTAGCATTGGCCCGTGATTGAAATCTCGAGTTCTACTCACCCAGCTGTCAGCATTTCAATAAGATGCTGCTCGGTTGACCCAATCTCCTCGCTCTTGCGCAGTCCAGAAAAGATGCCGTCCTGTCGCAACAGCGACCTACCCGCCGCGCGCTTGACCTCGAGCATTTCATCGTGTCCAATGTCGGCGCGAGGGGGGATCACATAGAAGTCAAGGTCCTCTCGGAGGACAATGATGCCAGCACGGTCCTGCAGCATGTCACGGGCTGATCCCTGCATTGGGTCCATCAATTCCAGGTCTGGTGAGTTTGAACCAGAAGGCAGAGATGAGGGAATTGTTTGAGCAACAGTTCGGAAGAAATCCAGCATGTACTGAAGTGAGACCGGGTCATACTAGGTAATAACTGTCAGAGAAACTTCAATGCTCAAGGTAGGGATTTGCGTACGTCAACCGGGAATACATCCCCGTCATGGAAACCATTTGTAGAATGCCCATCCGGGAGGAGGCCATTTGGGAAGAGGGAGAGCAGAACGAATTCAGGCAAAGTCAACAGCTCATCTCGCGAAAGGGTAAACCGCGTACCACTATAAGCTCATTAGTTTATGCACAATTGAGATATGAATCAATGTGTGATCCTACCGAAGGTCGAGGCCGACGTGTTCATCTCCGCCGATATCTGTTATAACATGTTAACGGAAAGCATACCAATCGGCCTTTGTTACCAAACATACCACCAAGAGTGTTGATTGGCGGACCCCCGGTCTGCTGGACCTGAGTTATGATGCTGGAGGCACCCCCTGCAGCAGCCATCACGTAGGTGAATGATTCAAGTGGGCTATAGCCTTCTGTGTATGGCGGTGGTGGTTCACCGTCGTCGGAAGAGCCCTCGTTTTTTGGTTCAGTGAAAGACGCTTTCGTGTCAGCAACAACTGCCGAAGATGGGGCCGGCTCGAGCGACTCCTCGACAGGTGCTGGAGGCGCTAAGGCTGGAGGGCAAGCGGGTCCAGGTTCGGTAACTTTATATGGGCGATTGGTGTCAGGTAGTGACGAGAAGATGAGAGATGAAAATGGCGGAGGAAATGCAGGTGAGGAAGTTGACGCTGATGCTGGGGAGTGTGGTGGAGGTGCAGTGTAATAATCGTCGTCCTCCTCTAGGGAGTCCGTTGGATGGGGCGGGCACGCCGTGGTTGATGGGTCCGACGGCGGCGTTTCTCGCGACACCGTGGTTTCTATTATTGCCTGAATAAAGTCAGACAGGTCTGATCCGCGCAACCAAAAGTGATCAAATCCTGACCTAGTCTAGCAATGCGACTAATCTGAGTCGAGTCTCGTCCAGGTCGGGTCCAAGAGTCTTGACAGTTTTCCAATCCAATGACTGGGATTCAGCACCGGGATCAAAAATTGTTTCAGAAACAAATAGAACAGGTATACGTTTTCATCTGCTAAATGCGCAGTGATTGTTGAAGCAAGAGAGACAGCGCTTAGAGGTTGGGGACGGTAGATCAACTCAGGTGGACGGCGGTAAGTCCGAGCGCCTCACTAGCCATTGAAGCCTTGGCACGTGCCGTGTCCTCTTGTCTTTTTGCTTTAGTTGGGGATTTAATTTGGATTTCTGATTTCTAGAGACAAAGTACTGAGTACTGTGGGATGATATGAGACATGCTTAGCGAAGTCATGGTAACCTCAAATAAGCCCATAAGTGTTGGTCTATTTCCAGTCGGTCCCCCGCAAACCCGCGTTGATGTGTTGTTTCATGTTATGAATTATCAGTCTATTTCTATTTTGATTTTCAATCTCAAAAGACAAGAGCTGAACTGTAGATATAGGAACTAAAATCCGTTCTAATTTTCTTTAGATAATTGCTATCAAAACTATTTTCATAGACCCGTTTTAATGTGACTTTACATGAAATATATGTGCATCACATAGTCTTCAACCATGATATCCCGCATTTTTACGCTAAAGATCACAAGAGAAACAGAGAAATCGCAATTCAATGGTTAGTATATAGTAGTTTGCTGTGGAATGGGGGGTACATAATGAGAACAATGAGAAATTTTATTTACGTGTGTAAGTGGGTGCTTCCATGGGAAAGAGAAACTACTATATAAGCAATTCATTTGTATACTTTTGACATATCGACATTTTTATAAATATATGTCTTATCAGACATTACGCTCAGCAAAGCTCTGAATGAGACCCTCGAGAGTCGGTTCATACTCCTTCAAGCTGACCTGGTCGCCCTCAAGGATAGTGTTGGCCTGTACAAAGACCTTACGTGGGACCTTGTTCTTCAAAACAACCTCACGAACGCTGGTTCCCCACCAGCTGTCAACAGAGGTAATATCGTCGTACAAGCCCTTGCCAGCCTCAACATCTGCAGTACTCTTGTAGACATGCAGCTTCTGGAGGTATTTCTCCACGGCAGGGCGTCCGTGGGTCAAGATCTTGGACCGGTCAAGGCGGATCTCCAGATCAGAGAGATCCTCCTTGCTGTGAGACAACTTGACAAAGTCATCACCGGCATCGAGGAAGGTGCGCAGAATACTGTACCGAGCCTGCATGTGGGCCTGACCCCATTTCTGGGTTTTCGGATCCCAGAACTCGAGGGCAACCAGACCGGCGCGAGCCATGGAAAGGTAGGCCGCGAACAAGACGTCGCCGGCCTCACCGGCCAAGTCTTCCTTGCCATCGCCGAATCCGAAGATTTTTAGGATACCAAAATCGCAGCCAAGCACCATGGCCACGCACTCAGCACGGCACTCCTCATATGACGAAGCAATGGAGCCAAAGACTGAGCTCCATGTTTGTCCAGGCTTGTACCAGGTCGATACAGGCTTGTTGGTGACAGGGCTGATGGGCGGGTTCTTAATGTCAAAGTTGTACTCCCCTGGCGCTGTCTCCTGCAACAACTTTCCAGTTCCATGACCCAGCAATTCGTGGATGCCGACCTGGACCTCGAAGGCCGGGTCTCGGAATGCGCGGTAGACCTCCTGGTCACTCTCAGCAATGAAAGGAATAGCCTCGTTAGGAGCCTTGGCGCTGAGAACATTGCCTAGAGACACGTTCTTGAAGCCAAGGTTCTGACGAATATCATCATAGTTAGGCAGGTTAATACCAGCCGGGAGACCTGAGCAGCCGAAACTTAAGACCTCCAATGACGTGAAGTCGGGACTGAGGAACTTGTCTTTCTCAAAGTCCGTACCCCAGGGCAACTTGGGGATCATGCTCTCGGCACTGTCAACCAACGTACCAAAGGCTCGGGTGCGTTCCAGATTGACCTAAAAAAGGTTAGCAATGCCAGTCAATGGAGTTCCAGTAAGTGTCATACCAAAGCAACGAAGCCTTCCCATTCTCCGCGCACACCATGGGGGTCTCTGTATGTTTCAACAAAGCCCAGGTTTGTCTCCAGCACAGGCTTTTGGTCCTTAACCCAGATACGCTGGCTCTCCTTGAAAGCCTCGATGGATCCAGCTCCAAATGAAAGAGCATATGAATCCAACATCTTCTTTTGATTGTCATTTGCGGCAACAAGTTTAGCCTGCTTGATGCTGTGGGCGATCTTTGCCATCTCCTCCTGATGGTCACCGAAGACAAGACGCACGGTCTTTCCTTTCAGATCTCCATCAAGCTCAAATGTGTCCACATCGCCAAGATCCCGGTCTCTCACAGGAGGTGATGAAACACCAGATGCGATCAAAAGCTCGAAATCACCCGAAGATGTCTTCCGGATTCTAGTATTCTCTAGCGCAAGTCCCTTCTTCTCCATCAAGTCCCCAATTGCCGTGATCTCCTCCTGTGAGATCGTCGGCGAATCGGGGTAGTAGGTGGTCATGTGGCCGCCCTTGGGGTATCCGAGGTGCATCATCGACTGTTCACTGGTCTCGTAGATCCCTCCTCCAGTGGTGTTAGCCTTCTGGAAAGCCGCCTTCGTCTCCGTAGTAGCCGAAGCCAGAGCCTCGAATGCGGATGCGGACAGCCGAGGGATGAACTTGGAGTCACCAAAGCCCTTGTAGTTTCCGCAGTTGCCCAAGAATTGACCCGCATATTCAAGGAAGAAACGGAGGTCTTCGGGGCTGACTTGTGTTTTCTGGGCGAGGCTGTTCCAATCGCCATTAGAGGCGTGGTGGAGTGCCAGAATGAGGTCGTAAATAGGTTCGGACTCAGGGGAAACCTGACGCAAAGTGACTCGAGTGCCCTCAAATGCAGCTCTGTGTACATGCGAGAAAGGTTAGGTGTCAATAGCTCTCAGAAGATGTGGTACTGGCAGGTGGGCCCTAGGAACACTATACCTGCTCATGAAGTGCGCATATTTTCTCAAGTTTTGGTCTTTGAGAGTATCGAAGTGTGACTTGATTTCCAGTCTGACCACAGTAGGAGGCGAGTCAGCCAGGTAATGCTGTTTGATGCTTTCATCCATGGCTGCGCGAGTGATTTTGGAATGTGAGGAGAAGGTTTTGGCCAGTCTGGGATTCGACAGGCAATATATTCGATGGAGGGGTAACAAAGGTAACACGGAGCTCCGGGAGAATAGGTGCGGCGCAATGCCACGCATAGAGTACATATGGAGGGGCTTGACGACGAAGTATGACATATCATGAGGAGGCACCAATCAGGAGGTACGTGTCTCCCTAGCTACGGTCGGATCACCGATGGAGTCCGATCTACATTGCTTGGTACGGATTTCGATTTGGTAATTGAATGTCTTAAATTTGTCACTTTACTTAATTACAACTGTCACAGTGACTATTTACTATGTCGACAATGTGCGATAATAGCAATAACAGCAATAAAAAGGGGTATCAGCCAAAAATAACAAGAATTTTCCCTTAGATCAGACTCTCATACTTGTCCAAACCTTGCTTTTGAGTCCCCTGTTGCGGTGTCGCGGCTGTGCCTTGGAAAGACGTTGATCTGTTGGCTGTGTTCATCGGAGGGGGTCTCATAGTACTGTTGGATAACATGTTTCCTGCAGGAGGTGGGGGGATTGAGAATGAAGAGTAGTTTGGTGCCGCTTGTGCTGTTGACCCGGACATGTGATTCGAGGGTGTCATGGTCGACATGGACCCGAAAGACTGAACCGGTGGGCCTGTGTTGGATCGAACATTGGTATTGGCCGGGGCTCCCCATGTAGAAGATGAGGGCTGCATAGTAGGGAAGACTTGAGTTACTGGTGAAGCTTGCCGAGCAGGAGCAGGAGCAAGAGACGGGAAAGAGCCCAATTTCTGATCTGGAGTAATGGAGCGGAATCCAAGATTAGACTGTTGGCTTAGGGCATTGGCTTGCTGTGTCATGCCTGCATTATTTGAAGACCACGAGAATGAAGGCGACACGCTCGGAACTGCTGGCTTGGCTAGCTCCATACTACCCCACATATCTATACTCTGGCCATTCGCAGGAGATGACTTCTTTCCAAGAACGAGGCGCTCAAAGCTGCCAGCACCGCCGTCCGCATCGGGCGAACTAAGGCCTGTGGCAGACTGCGAGAATTCGTCGCCACCATTCTGGAAACCCGTTGATCCAGCGCTAGAGGATAGCTCTTGCAGCTTTTTAGTTTGTTCTTGTTCGATCCTCGCTGAAAGAGTTTTTATCAGAGCCATAAAGGCATTGAACTGTTTAAGGCTCAAAAGTGGCCCGAGACTGAAACTCCAGAGAACCGGTAGAACTTCCAAAGCCAGGAATTCGGTGTCTGCAACTGTTCCAACTTGACGGAAGACCTTCAACGATGCCATCATCACTGAGGGCTCTTTCGTTTTGATCGCCTTGAGAGACGGGACGAGCTTTTCTTGGATGGTATACTTGTCCAAAATCGAGGACTTGGCCGGTTTCGACTTGGTCGCCTGGATTCCGGACAAATCATCGTCAAGTCCATCTGAAACTTCTGTAGAGGCCCCGCAAAGCACACTGAAAGCCTCCAGACTGCGAACCTTGATAGCAAGGCTGCTAGTGCGACTGAAAGTGGTAGCAATTGGAGGGAATACCTCGTTCTTGACCGTGCTAAAGTCGAGAACTGGTAGCACCACAGGGAGGCATTTCAGGGAAGCATCCACCAAAGAGTGAGTGGGAGAATCCAGCCCAAGCCGAATTAGGGGTAGAATATCTAGAAAGAAACGTCAGATATAGGCTCAAAGGTTCCCATGGAAAAAACCCACCATCTTTGAACTCCATTCCCGAACAATTATCAGCAATAAGCTTCATGTTATCAAGCACAACCATGAGACCGGCATCTTTCTTGGAGTCTCGTTCAGCAGCCCCCTTGCCCGAGCCAGTTCCAAAGACTTCCTTCAGACGAGGGATAATTTTCTCTGGGAATACACGGCGTCCGTTGGGAATCCGCTGTAAAATACCGAACACGTTTTGCAATATCAGCGGAAGCAGTTCCCGATCCTTCAACTCGTCCATCAACGCTCCCAATAGCTTTTTCTCCAGGACAGAAACGGGGAACTCAGGTAGTACTCGTTGTAAGCCACGCAGAAATTGAGACTTCTCATTAGGATTCTTTGCTGGCAAAGATTCCAGGAACCGGATAGTGGAAACTAACACATTGTCAAAGTACTGTGATTGCTGGAACTCTCGAGCATTCATGCGTTGGGCAGGCCGTCTGGTTATAAGCCTAGACAGGACATGAGAAACTAGGTCCTTGGGAATTGGCTTCGAACTGAGGAAATTATTGCTCTGCGATGGAGTGGAAGACGGAGAGCTCAGCAATTTCTTATATGAGGACAAGTTTCCGTTCGTTTGTAAAGGTGAGACATGCGGAGAGTTGTACAAAGCGATGATGACAAGACCCAATGAGAAGAGATCGGCAGCCGACGATACATTGGAGTCCATGGCAAAGTCAGGCGACGTGTAGTCAAGGCTCAATTGTACTGAAGCTGGAAGCCTTGGTTCTTGATAGAGAACCTCAGACACAGCTAATGGCGGCAGCGATGAACGAGTTTCAGAAGAGTCCGGAGGCCCCGCGAATCCCAGACCAGAGATCTTCCAATCTGATTTGGCATTGATATAGATGGCCTCCGGGTTCAGATTTCCATGCACTAAGCCCGCAGACTCGTGGAGGAATTCAAGACCCTTAGCAACTTGCAAGAGTCCCTTTTGAATTTCCAACTCATCAATCTCCACATCTCGTCTTCTCCGAGTCCCATCAGCCTCCTCTACCACGTACCGACTGCTTCGCGAACCAGCGCGTGTGGTATTCTCTTGGTCGTCTTTTTCCAGTAGAAGCCCGGAAAGTGAGGCGGTGAGATGTTCCGTGGCAAACATGAGACCGCCATTACGCGTTTCCTCCACAGGCTCGAGTACCTGGAGAATCGATGGGTGCCGTAGACGCGCAAGATTGCTTGCTTCGCGCTTAAGTCGCTCGATCACATCGTCCTGTAGCTTCTTCGAGGAGGGCCCAGAACTCCTCCCAAATCCACTAGAGCGTGTCTCTAGTGACTTGCGGTCAAAGATAAACACTGATGCCGCCGTTCCCGTGGACTTTTTCTTTGCATCGTGGATTTTCCAGGGGCCGGAGTAGACGGTGGGGTTAGGTGAGATTTGGTAATTGGCGGAAATATTGGAACTGAAAGACTTGAGCGCAGATGAAAACATGATGGTGAGGCCGCAAACGAGAATTGGTCGGCACGGTAGTCGACGGAATGGAGGGGGTTGTTCGTTTCACAGTGTCGTCACGGTGTAGCCAGCATAAGACATGTTTATTTTCAACAACGCTGTGGAATTTAGAAGGGGTATCAATGGGAAGTGAGCCGATGTTGAAACTCGATGGCTAATGTGGAGTCAAGAACATTAGCTCAAAGGCTGAGAGGAATTGTCCACGGGTTGCATACTTGATCAATAATCCGCGCAATACGACCTCAGGTCCTCGATAACAACTATGCCTCCTATCGGACCCAACACGTGATCCTGTCAATAGCTATTATGTTGCCTTAGGCGCCAAAGGTTTCATCGCCGACGAGGTTGCGCCTAAACTCACAGTAGGAGCCGATAGTAGAATTAAAGAAAAAAACTTCCAAAAAGAGGTTGTATATTATGTCGAATACAACGTCCCTATATAATCTTAACTCAAATGGATCGGATTTCTGAGGTCTACTACGATAGCGTAGTTCCCAATCCATAGGCCTATGTAGTGGCGGTGAGGCAATCATTACGGAGTAAATACGCTTAGAGAGCGTAGAGATCCCGAATCCATCCCTCCACTTAACCAGACGCCCTCTTGGACCATATTTTGTGTTGTATAGATCAAGGTATGCACTCGTGGACGCATGAACTCTTGGCGGGTGCCTTAGGCCTCGGACCCTACTGAAGCCCAGCCGACACAAACCGCAAAAAGCCGAATGCAGCCGAAGTCGGCGGACAACTCTAATTTGCAGCTGCTGATTGGTCAAGGTGGCAGGGCCATTCTTTATTTGTATGGCGGTGGCAGAACTTCACATTTGGGGCCTCCGAGTCATCGGAGTTGTGGTCGAGCTCCGCAGAGATACTACAGTTCTAGTGCGGAGTCATCTTTTTAGTTGTGATATAAACCCCCATTGAGTTCCTCGATTTCAGTAAGTTCATACTTCTTCCAGTGACTCAATTGACACACCCTCTCCACTCTATACCCTTGGCTGGCCCTTGGATCGCTCCTAACATCACCGCAGTCATGAAGTCGCTTCACCAATTGGCTCGCCGACAGGCACTGACCGGGCTCGCAATGCCCCGCGTCCTCTCTTCACAGAACATTACCGCCAGCCGGACTTGGCAGAGAGCTTTCAGCGCCTCCACGGCGGCCGCCTCCCAGCTCCCAGGTCTTGACGCTTCGAAATTGACGATCACTAAGACCACCACCCCCAAGGAGCCAATGAACTCTAAGGATCTTGTCTTTGGAAAGTACTTCACAGGTAAGAGAACCTCTACAATTTATTACCGACCAGACACTGACCGGAAGAACTTATAGATCATATGCTCTCCGTGGAGTGGACGGCTACCGACGGATGGCACGCACCTCGCATTGTTCCCTACCAGAACCTCAGCTTGGATCCTGCAACCTGTGTGTTCCACTATGCGTTTGAATGTTTCGAGGGCATGAAGGCCTACAAGGACAGCACCGGCGGTATCCGTCTGTTCCGCCCCAACAAGAACATGGAACGCCTAAACAAGTCGTCTGCGCGCATTGCTCTTCCTACTGTGGACGGTGACGCACTGACAAAGATTATTGGAGAACTTGTGAAGCTCGACAGTCGTTTCATCCCGGAGTGAGCATATCTAGTGTACATCAGATGGAAATTATTGCTAACCTCCAAAGTGCTCGCGGCTACTCCTTGTACCTGCGCCCTACCATGATTGGTACCCAGAAGACTCTGGGTGTTGGCCCACCAGGATCCGCTCTCCTGTATGTCATTGCCAGCCCCGTGGGTCCCTACTACCCAACTGGCTTCAAGGCCATCTCCCTGGAGGCCACTGATTACGCCGTCCGTGCTTGGCCCGGCGGTGTTGGTGACAAGAAACTTGGAGCCAACTATGCCCCTTGCATTCTGCCTCAACTCGAGGCTGCATCCCGTGGTTTCCAGCAGAACCTGTGGCTCTTCGGCGAGGAGGAATATGTTACCGAGGTCGGAACTATGAACCTCTTCATTGCTTTGAAGAACAAGGAGACTGGACAGAAGGAGCTTATCACTGCTCCTCTTGACGGTACAATTTTGGAGGGTGTCACTCGTGACTCCGTTCTGACACTCGCCCGTGAGAGACTCGGTCCCAAGGGCTGGAACATTTCCGAGCGCAAGATTCGCATGTCCGAGGTTGCCGAGGCATCTGAGGAGGGTCGGATGATCGAAGTGTTCGGTGCCGGCACTGCTGCCATCGTCAGCCCTGTTCGTAACATCAGTTACAGAGGTAAGATGGTTGATTGTGGTTTGAAGGAGGATGAGGAGGCTGGTGAGATTGCTCTTCAGATGAAGAACTGGATCGAGGGTATCCAATACGGTGACGAGAAGAACGCTTGGAGGTAAGTTGACACTAATCTTTATTGACCCCGGATGACGATATACTAACAATCTACCAGTGTCACTATCTAAGATAGACATGTCCGATAAAAGGGCTTCTGTACCCAGACTTTAGGGTATAGCCACAGAGGCTTTCAAAAGTCCTTACTCGGGGGATATCTTTTTGGTTAATTTTGCATTTGTTTGAATATTTGAGGTACCGAGGCTACCGGGCAGCAGCGGGCGTCTTTTACATATTCATCTGGAGCTTGGTTCTTTATATAGAGAGCTTTTCTGATCATTACTATTTTCGGTTTATCGTTGAGCTCACGATTTTGTAGAGACATGAAAGGGTAACCACCTCGGTATATACTCCAAGTACGGGCACATACTGCAGAACCGACAGTTGCTATGGGGAGAAATATCCCTAGGCAGAGCCTTATCGAGTCAGTTTAGCTCCTTGGCTCAACTCAAGTCCTAGTTTAGCAGCACACGATGGGCTTTGCAATCAATTCGGTCGGGCCTATTCGAATACTAGGTTAATGAGATGCCCCTTGGACAGTCTTTCAGGAGAAACCTGGGAGTAACAAGCATCAACTAAGCTTCTCAGAGGCTAGTAAAGATGAAACGGCTTTCGGGGCGGTGGTTTGCTTGAGGATCATCTGCTTTATGACAACCTCCTATACTCCCATTATTTATGTAAGACTTAACTCTATTCGATGCATTATTTGATGGATGTCGTATGTTATTGTGGTAGGTATGGAAGAGCCTATTGCAAGCGACAGGTAAAGAACTCAACACATACAATCATAATACGGGCTCTACCGTTGGGAATGTACTAGGGTTTCCATAATTTTCAATGAGATTACGCTCCGTCGAAAAATATGCTCAACCATATGTCTTCATTATGATTATATATTCGCATGGGACTGGTGGATCTACTAAGATAGAGGAAGAAGAACATGTTGCCCATGGGCTACAAAATGAAGAAAAAGACGAAGAATACAAAGAAAACGAGGAAGAAATGACACATAATTTGTTGATAGAATTTGTCCCAAGTAACAACCTTCAGATTACAGCGGAAGAAAGGGCATATTAGGTAGATGGCATAGACATACTCCTAGGAGCAACACGACCCACTCGATTGGCAGAATTTGGCCTTTGATTCGCCAAAAACAGTCCAGATGCAACGATGTAGTCTGTTTCGTTGACATATCGTTACTTCTTACTGTATGTTCTTACAGATTACGGTTACTAATTTGTAGATTTTGGTCTATATAGATATGCCTTGCTCATGGAAAGGATTATCTAGGGGTGGAGTTAGGAAAATCATGTAGATCTAGGTTATACGTTATACGTTATACGTTATATAGGACAGTGAGTACCAGAATTGGTAGCCAAAATCACGGAGTCAAATACTAAACGGTACAGAACGGTGGTTTTTTACAGTCTTTCTTTTCCTCCGAGACAAAACGCTTTCTAAGCCATTTCTTAGAAGAAAGTTACCTGAGATTATTTCATTATACTCAATAGTTTGAATGGGACTCGAAATCACTCTCTTGCAGTGATAGATATAACCCCCGTCCAATGTTGACCATCAGATTCAGCACCAAGCACAGACAATGCTAAGACATCTGCCAATCCATAAGACCCGATGCACCCAAGGGCATAAAGTTTCAGACAGGTTAGTCAGACCTTTCAGCTTTACTCCTGTACAAACACAGTGCTGACGATTGTCAGCCACCCGTACCGGTAACCCCGCCTGTTTCTTAGAAATACCATGTTGACTTAGGTACTTCCCCTCACATGCTACCTGGGGACAAATCCTAGAGATAGCGCCATACAAGCCAATCTATTCACAAGGTTAATATCTCCAATTGATAGTTCGGGTGAATGGATCACATCGCAGCAATACAGCCTAGACCAACGGCACATATCCAGCTGCACCTTGGCTGAGAACGAGGTAAAATAGGCGACATGCAGCACGTGGGCCACGTGGAATGATGCTAAGCCCAGACGCGACAAGTGAAGCGAGAGCGAAAGTAGAAAAGAACAGAAGGGTCGGCTTTCTCTGTACTAGAGAAGGTTTCAGGCTCAGCCTATACGCCCTTCAGCTACAGATTGGGCAAAAGTTAGAATCACAGCGGGACACAACAGGCGTTTCAGGATGTCCCGCATGGATAACAATGGGGGTTGTTTGATCTCATAGGCTAAGTTAGTGCTCGGCATATTCGGGGGGTTTCAATGAAGGCTTTTTGGAATTATATTGCATTGCGGGAAATACCCGGACTTTGGGATTTATGTGGCTTGGAGGGAAATTGGGGGTCAGCTTCTTATCTTGGGATACCCCCGACAAGAGTCTATAATTATTCTCTTCCGGAGTTATTGTTGACCTGTATAGGACAAATATAGTAAAACCCAAACTTGGAAAAAGTAAAGTGCCGAGCGATGTTTTTGGTGTGACTCGAGACAATCTTGGAAGAGTAGCAACAAGCTGGACGTCTAACCATGTTTGTTTCGCAGTTTGTCATGGAATCAAATTCGGAGGTGGTTGGTGTTTGATAGTATCCAGCTTCAGCACTGGACGCCTTGTCCGACGTCCCCGACCTAGGCAAATCTATTTGAAGCGAAGTCGGATGAAGTTGGCACGCCCAGTAGGTGCGCTTGGATGGGCTTTCGCACTCGGTCCATTTCACGTTTAGTGTAACAAGCCAATGCGAGAACGACAACGTGCCAGCACGACGCAAGAGGCTCGGAGATTGCCGTCATCGATATTCCTTGAGTGACACCAAACTTCCCAAAAAAGGAAGTAAAACACAATGGGGAAAAAGACGAGGCATTCTGCAGACATGCGTGTGTCATGGGGGGTGCATCTCGGACACAGCAGGGTCGGGGGCTGCATATTAGTCCACCGCCAGGAACATTCTTCTAGATGGTTACTAGAAGGCTCAAAATGCAACCCATCCACGCATCCGGGGTCGATAATGGTATGTGAGTGGCTACAATCCCTGCAGGAGGGAGGGTTTCCGCTAGGATGGCTGTGCAATGCTTCGAATTCCAGCTGGAGGCATGGGCGGCATTAGCGGTGAGAAGAACTATGTACCGGGTACCTGAGCTGTCGTGTTCATTGAGCGTGTCACTGAGGTCATGGGATGGCTCTCCAACATTACTCGATCAGGAATAAGAAGGTGTCCAGCTCAGCCCTATACAGGGAAACAAGGACGAGCACCTTCGGGCGACGCACTGGCGGAGTTGATTCCTAATACGCACTGCATTCCTGTTGTTAACTCCGGCCCGAATTGGTGGAGAGACCCTGCAAGGCTACCTATTCATAGCCTAGTTGTCTTACCTGGAAAAGAGCCTCTTTTTTCTTTTGTGGATAACCCGTCCCGCCCTCCAAACCCCCTTGTCCGGTCTACGAATGATGTACTCCGTACTTCGTGTTGATTTTTTTTGGGTCGTGAGTCAAGCATCCGGGTCTGAGCGTATCTCCGAGGGTCTAGACAGTAGGCAGTAGGCAAACAGTGGACCTTAATTCCTAACTACGAGGTACGGGGTACGGAAACGGAGAGTACGGAGAGTACGGATTTATTGCGCATCATATGCCCGAACTGGTATCTTCGATGCCGCCAATCAGGCAACCAGTGTAGGCGCGTTAATGAGATCACCACAGAAAAGAAGATAATAATGGTTACAATAATTACAATATTTACAATATTCTCTTAAAAAAGAAAAGAAAAGAAAAGAAAAAGAAAAAGACTGCCAAGAAAAGCAAAGTGACATTAATTATAGAAATGTGAAGGAAAGTGGCTCTATTCCAGTACAGGTATAGGTATGAATCAATGTATACGAACAACCCAATTGCAGTCTAAACAGCATTTGTAGGCGATACAGGCCCGACTTTCCAGGGCGCCTAGACTCGCTAGAAATAAAAACCTTTTTTGGTTTGTTTGTGTATATGTTGTACCTAGGTACTCCGTATAGTCTTGAATATCATTCCAAAAACTCTCTTCCATACTCCAATACTAGAATCATCCTCAAGATCAGCCAAAGAGTCAGATCTTTATCCCCTTAGTCCGTTGCCAAGATGAAAAAAAAAAAAAAAAAAAACAAAAAACGTGGTGACGACCGTGCACATTGTAGCAACCCACGTGAGAATATAGAGAGAAAGAATGTAAAAAAGCAGAGTGTAACCCCAAAGTCCACGCAGCCCGTTTCATCGCTAGGCATATCGTGTCTCGGGCCAGTCAGGTCGAATAAGGATCGCCTTCCAAGCGAACGTCTAGTTAGCGTATCCCGGCCCAACTCCAATAATCCATCCTACCGTCTTGGATTTTGATCATACGCCGTACCACTTTGGTACTACATGTTAGATCTGAGATCCCCCCGATCCGCAACTGACCGGTCTGTCGGTGTTTTACTAGTTTTAGTAGTTTTGGGGGTTTCGCCCTGTGTTTTCTAGGATATTTTTGAGTATAAGTGTTTTGTCTGTTTTAGTACGGAGTACGGAGTATGGGTATTAGAGTAATTAGAGGGGGTTTCATAACCCCCAAAGAGGGTATTACCAGAGGCTGAACGTGGATCCTTGAGCAAATTAATTAAAACCAGAAAAAAACAATTTAAAAAATACATAAAACATTAAAAAAATAAAAAATAAAACACCGGGACTTTGTGCACATGGCAGGTCGAGTCTAATGGTATTCGAGCACGGACTGAGCTGGTTATCGCGACGGGGCTTAGCTGCAAGGCCCGAAAAACCAATTCCAGCTGATCAATGGGGAGCCTTAAAGAGAGTCCTCTTATTCTTATATATAAATATACTGGCATCCACTTGGCCTCGGGTCTTTAGCCTCATAGCCCCGTTATCACATCCCTCCACTTTCATCTTCTGCATCTATACTATTGTCTACGCTCTACTACCCTACCCTCTATTCCCTGTCCTCGATTCTGTACTTTATCTTTATTTCTGCTCTTAGCTTTTACCTCTCTTACCATGAATCGCTCTCCATCGTACGATGGCCGTTCAGGCTCTCGAGGTAGTCACAGCAACAGCAGCGCATTCAGTCCCAACGCCAACCCAAACGAGGACTGGACCAAGATCTCTGATCTTGCAGAGCGTCGGCGAATTCAAAACCGTATTGCTCAGCGCAACTATCGTAAGTAAAGCGGAAATCCCGGAGTTTCCATACATTTCTGACCCGGCGCAACCCAACAGGCAAGAAACTGAAGCGCCGCCTGGAGGACCTCGAGAGACGAGCTGCAACTTCTGCTTCGCCAGAACAATCACACGCAGAGCCAGTGTCTCCGAAGCCAACGCCAAAGACTCGAACAAAGCAACGATCCTCGAAACCCACAGATGTCAAGCCTCACTCGCAGTCAGACCGAGCTGGCTCGTACGACTACTATTCCCCCGAGGACCGTCAAACAATGTTCGCCCAGCAATGTACTCGCCAGCTCTCTGCCTCACCTCCACCAGTCTTCTCCTACCCATCCATGTCAGCGTATGACACCTACCGGCAGTCCGCCTACTCCCAGTCTCCCATCTACCACGCCGCACCGAGCACCTACAGCGAAATCGCCTACCAGACCGAGTATGGCGAGCCCGTTCCCTCGCTGGTCCCCGTGCTCCCTTCGATGCAAGCCCGCAAACTCGCCTACGACGAAGACCTGATCAGTCCATTCAGTATGAGCTATGCAACAATGGCCGGGATCGATCTGTGCCAACAACAAGCCCAAGCCCAAGCCCAAGCGCAGTCTCATTCCCACCATCAGCCTTCTGCGCTCCCGGTACATTTTCCTCGCTGAACTTACTCTCATCATACCGACCAGTCAGCTAATTATTATCTGTCTGCGTTTTTTTTTCCAGATGCCATCGCTTGCATATTACGATCAGCGAGCACCATCGACGTCACCAGAGGCATCTATTTTCACATTCCCGCTGACACCGGAATCAGCCCCATGTTCGCCTCGGTCAATGCATGGCCTGTATGAGTACGATCTACGTCCGTAAGGCGATCGGGTATCGGGGAGACGAGAGACCGAACGGGTGTTTCCGCCCCCATCCAGGCCCTTCTCCCGAACGTCGGACTCGAATCCATCCGCCACGTTTTTATTTTTTATTTTTTTATTTTTTTCCTGTTGCCCACTGGGGGTTGTCCACTCTCGATTTGATTTGATTAATTTCTTTTTCTTTTTTTTCTATGTGTGATGAAATAGTTGCATGATAACCGGCGTTCATTTTGCTTTTTATTGGTAGCGTGGTGTTAAATGGAACAGGGATGAGCTAGGGAGCCACGTTGAGAAAGGATCATTTTCCTTTTTTTTGGGGAATTTTGGTTTTATTTCTTTTTGGGTTTTTTTTTGACGGTTTTTTCTCTGTTTTGATTAAATACAGATCTACAGACTACAGATGGCGAATTTGATAACCTCTCAACTATAGAATCCTACAAGCTTGGAACATTCTCATAGCGATTGGTCCAAAGCCTCAACTTGCATAACTCCACGGCCCCCAAACCTCCGTGCGGGATTTTCAATTTCAGCTCAGCCAGAAACATTTTACATGGCTGAAACTATCCATTTCCGGTTCTGGAGGTGTCTCAACGGTGATTGACGTCCGTATTCTTCTTCTTGATGTTCCCCAGTTTGATAGTCCTGACTAGTGAGACATAGTTTATAGATGACCGATAGACCAATTTCTTAAAGTGGACAAGTTCAAGTTCATACAACATGTATGGAGTACGGAGTACATGATTCAAGAAACAACCTTGCAACACTTGAACTCACCGAAATCCAGTAACCGTCAACTAAGGACCAGTCTACTGGGAAAACCCCGATCCCTGCAGAACGAGACAATATCCACACCCCACATAAATAACACTTCCTTATCCCAACATATTGGCCTAGTTGAACTGAAACGGTCACTTGAATTTGCTTTGAAGGATTCCTAAATTGGCTATGGAGTATATGGAGTACGGAGTACTTCCAGATGGACCCGAATTCCAATAAAATCCATCGGATGATGCAATCTGCAATCCGTAATCTGCAATATCCTCCGCCCCATCAAATCCACTATACCGGTTACTATATACGCAGTACGGACGTGGTCCGAGAATTTTGCTGCGCCTCAACTCTTGGGTTTTACCCCCCCCTCCTTTCAAGCATTTGTACTTTGGCCCAAGACAGCACATTAACCAAGGTCCCCCCTTAAGGCTCAAGCCAAAAACTAGAGCCAAGTAAAACACGCCCAGCAGTCTGGTTTCCCCCCCTCCCAACAGTCACATCCACTTGGGATTGGCGATGTTTCGCCCGGCTAGAAAGGACAGTTTACATCCGAGTCCCAATAGTATCGGAGGAACAGCCCGCCTTTGACTCCTCCAATGATTGCTATCGTCCGGTGGCACGGGTGTGCCAAATGCAATACCACAAACAACCTCAGGAGATGATACTATGATGCGAAAAATATGGCGCCTCAAGATCTCGGCTGGGAACGTTCAACTATGTTGTAGGTTACTATTTTACTAGTCACTTGAGGATTGGGGCTGAAAGGGCCAGAAAATCAACGGCTTTAATTTAGGTACGGAGTACGGAGTAGTTCTGTTCAACCCACATGGGAGAAGTTTAGGGGCCAGAGGCTAAAGGGCTAAATGCATTGAAAGCCAGTACGTAGTCTTCTTTTTCCTATTCTAGCTTAGCTTTCAAGGTGGGAGGGGAGCATCTTCTTATCAGGGTTGGCGGCTCTGGTCTGCAGCGTTCCCGCCTATCCCCCATCCCTGACTCATGTGGATCAAAAATATGGAGATATGCAGAGCGCTCTAGCATTGGCCAAAAGGGAAGGTGTTTTATAATAAATCATTTTTTCACCCTCTTCCAAATTCCCCTCTCTGCACGTTGCATGTTGCATGTTGCAGTGATTCACCCGCATTGTCCCCAACCTTATCTACAGAAGCCAAACAAGGCCAACTCGGTCAACATTGCCGAGTATGCTTGGAATGGAAGTGGGAAATGTCGAATAAGAAAAGGGAGGTGAAAAAGAAGGGTCTCTCAGCCTTAGCTTCCATGTTAATTCCATGTTGATTGACAATTATTTGGAATGCTCGAGGTTACTTCACATCGGTACTCGGTGCTCCGTACTCCGTACTCCGTGTAGATGGCGGAGGATATAGTTATCCATGGCACATACAATGTACTATTCCGAGGCAACCCCAGTCCGATAGTAACTCTATATAGTCAAAACAAACGAAATAAACAGGAATATGCAACTGAAAAAGTACAGCGGAACAAGGTTCCCAGGGTTATCCACTACATATGTGACCAGCCAAGAAGCTGAACATCAATCCCGTTGAAATGATGATAATATATGCTCAATAATCAAACTAATAATCAAACTAATTAGCGTATCACCGTCCAGACCCATAGGGCGCCTTAAGGGATATGCGCCGTCAAACTCCACATTCTGCAGCGGAGCTGACCGCAGTCATCACGGGAGACCGCAGTATTGGGAACAGGAGGTCTTTCGGCTTCTACATCGGGAGTGCTTTGTTTGGCGAATCATTCTAGCCTTGACAAATGAGGAAGTGGATGCGACGAGTGCATATGCATACATGGTTAGCATGGTTAGTTTGGTGTTTTAGTACTCCGTACGTACGTAGCATTTTATAGATCGGACTATTTTTGGATGGACATGCATATGGAAAAGACTCGGTCGAGCTCGGTCAAAGTTTGGTTGGATTTCGGCTCTGGCTTTTGGGGGCGGTTTGTCCAGATTAATTCATTGCAAGGTCGTTCTGGGGTAATTTCCACGTATTTGAGAGTGCGTGGCACTAATTGGGTATGCATAGTACTAGTTAATGTTGTAGATTGTCAGCGACGTCCCATATGAGCCTCTACAACATGATTATGGGGCTTTTGATAACGGAGTATTCATTGGAGGATTGAGAATTTAGGCCCGGGTTCTTCCCGAAGGGCGAACGTGCGCGTCAATGTTTACTTGCGTAATAATCATTTTATTTACACTTCCTCCAAACCTTGACAAGTCCTCAGTATTGTAATCAAAGGCTTGTTTTACTCTGACTTTCCTCCTATATTACTTCTAAATTCTGGCCCCAATGTTACCCCCGAGGGCGTTTTATATTGCGGGTCAAAGCGGCAGATACTCTAACCTTGGTCACATTGCTTTGAAGTTGATTGAAATGTAATTTCATAATTTTATAATTAAAAAAAGGATCTCGGTTAATATGGCTTGATGGAGGAAGGAAAGGCTGTTCTAGCCATATTGCTAGGAGTTCACCTTCGTAGATAGATCACAGCATCTCGGTTGTAGTCTCCCAAAGTAGAATTCGTGTTTTCGTGGGCCATCGTGGACTTTGATAATGACATCATTCCCCGAGAACTAGTTAGTTATTATCAGGACTATAGTAAGCAACGTGTCTTTCTATTGCCAATTCACTATACAGGATCTATCATATTAGGATAATCAACGAGGTCTAGGCTGACTGTCGAGGCATAGTCACTAGTGCCAAGATATAAGATTATGCAGGGACATTAAAGTTAAAGATCTCACTATTCATTCAAAGCTCTGTATGTCTCCTCATATTCTTACTGATATAGACTTAGATGAACTAGGATGATCAAAGGCGTTAGCTAGAGTGATAACATTGTTCGAAACACCAATATAGGAATGTGATCAATTATAGACACTAGTAAAGATTCATATGCACTGGTGGAAAGAACTAAGCGCTGAAGATTCCAAAAAAGAATACAAAACGAAACCACTAGCTGCTTAACAAAAAAGAAAAAGCAGAAAAGACGAAGGTGGCAATACACGAACCCCTCATTCAACTAGAACCCATTACCAATAATCAACAAGACCACAAACAATGCACTCATCAGCCCCACTATAACAGCTCATTGACGGCATCCAATCCTTCGGAATCACAGAATCACACGCATAAGTAACAAAGAACCGCCCTTGGCCTATGCCATATGCCCCATACATATGCCCCATGTGACAGTTTCCAGCGTTACACCACTATCTTAGGATTTTAATAGGACGAACCAAGTCAAATGTATTTACGCGCCCAACCCCAATAATTGACCAGGATTGTGTGGGCATGCATATACATATACGCTAACAGTTATACGCATATACGCTAAATCCCCAATGGAATTTCCAGGTGGACCGCTCACCCGCCGTTCCGCCTGCCCGCCAGTCCGGTGCACTAGACTCAATGTGATTTCTTTGTACTTGGGTACCGAGTTCCAGGGATTATAAATTACATGTACTTTTTATTGATGATAAATTATGAATGATTATGTTGTATGAGTGATTCTTATAAATCAGATTGATAAGTGACAAGTAAGGCTAAGGCACGGGCTAATACGAGACTGCTGTCATAGGTGGCACGGGCTTGGTGCATCCTTGACATCGGCGATGCCGATGTGTCAAGGTCCTGGATGGGAAGCAGTCAAGGAGCGCTAACGCATAAATGAATAAACCCGGGGACTTGCTGCATTGTATTTGGAATGTTTGAGTTTGACATTTCTAATCAAGTGGGTTGTGTCGGGGACGCGTATACGAGGTCGTTGGGCAACGGTCACATGCAGTGGGAGCCTCAAAGATGGAGGTTTAGCTTCTTCTTGCAGATCTGTAGCGAATAGCGTACCTGAGGCTCTGTTGCTCTTATGATGATTTGTCTTTTGATATGCGGAGGTGGGCCCTTGAAATGCTGGCTCATCTGAGACCTATGGGAAGTGCGAAGCGGGGAAGAAAAGATAGCATGGCAAGCAATGTGTACGATCACGTTCCATTCAAAAAAAAAAGGTAATGTGCGAAGTCTACGGACGTAAAAGAAAAGGAAGAATAAAACAATGAATGGGGACAGATTGATCCTGGTATTCGAAATAAGAGGATCATGGAAGGAGGCCAGGGAAGATGCGCGCAGACAGAATAAAAGCCCAATAGATTAGAAGAAAAAACAAACGAATCCCATTCAAAGCAGCGTGTAAACCAAGCTCAAACATCTGTCATCATCGTCATCAACTCCTGAACCAATCATTCCACAGTCAAGGGCATGGCACAGATCTTCCTCTGACACGTTAGACTCAATCTTGGAAACAACCACGAATGCAAGTTTTTTTTTTAACTCTTCATCGACCGTGTACGTCCATCGGATCTGTGGAGACTAAAGCGCCAAGGTTTGGTCGCCGGCGCCGCATCGGGGCTTTCTTGCGGTTCGCAATTGCAGCATCTTGCGATTGCTCCGGGTTCATCTCCGTGTCACCGTCCTTATCGTCCCGTGCGTCCTGTGGAGACAGCCCGTGCTCGTGATTCCATGCCTCGTCGAGCTCGACAACGTTCCTGGGTTTCGTGCGCAGCCATTTCATGCGCGGGCCGACACGCGAGACCTCAGAGACCTTGAAGCCGTAGATCCTAGGGTCATAGATCTTACCCTTTCCAAGTCCCGGGCAGAGGTTGGGTGTCCGGACGCCGTTGATTTCCAGCGGCTGGTTCTCGGGTGTGGGCGACTGTGCCTGGCGACTTGCCGGGGTTCGTGTCAAGGAGCCAGCGCGAGACTGTGTTGATGCGTTTCTTGGCGACATCATTGACAATGCCGCATCCAGACGGGGCCCGATATCCAGATCTGGGAATGTCATGAAGAATAGACATCCGAACGTCGTACCGAAGAATGCGCCGTCGACGGAGTGGAAACGGCTGTTGGGGGGTGTATAAATATCCATGCAACCGGGACAGAAAAGCTTGACCGTCTCGTGGCCAGGAGTGTCGGACCGGCCCACGGGGAGAACTTTGCATCCGTTGCAGTTGACTCGCGGACAGGTGCCGAAATGCTGCATCTCGTATTTTTCGAGCATTTGTTGAATGCCGGGCCGCGAAGTGATATACCGTTGGTGGATCAACCCATACAGGAGCTCAGCCGAGCTCTCGATCACGCTCAAATCGCTTGCGACTCGGGCGTGTCGCCGATCACCTGCTCTTCTATATGCGGGTTGATCACCGCCGAGCGCATCGTCTTCATCTTCCTCCTCCTCCTCTTCCTCCTCCTCTTCCTCGTCATCCTCCGGCTCCACATCGAGGATCATCTCTAGTGCCTCCTTGTACATAGGCACCTGCGACTGGAGACCAGTGAGATTGAAATCATCCTCAATGAAGTCCTCCGACACCTCTGCGAAAAACTCATGGCCCATCAACGAACAAAACGAGGAAATCCAGGACTCCGGCGCTCCTTCCGAGGACGACATGTCGAACGAGGCGGACACAGATGACGATAGGGTCGATTCAGACAGTTGACTCAAATCCAGCCTGTCGAGGCCGTCGGCCAACGCCGAACCTATCTCTCTCGACACGTTGCCGAGCTGGGGGGTGAGGTGTTCGGGGATGTTGGCGAAGACGAAGCGATTTCGTCACGCGGAGGAGCTGGGTCGTGGCGGGGAAGGGTATAGGAGTTGGAAGGTGAGAGTGAAGACTTCAAGTATAATCGTAGGAGGTCTTGAAGTTGATGGAGGGGCCGAAAAGCTAGACGTTCATGGCAATGTGCGGGAGGGGGGAGATTGTGCGATCAACGGGAAGAGGTTGGATCTAAGGCTGAGCCCCACTAAAATCTTATCAGTTTCTTATGGTCTTCATATTGAAATTCATTAGATCACTTACCAGATCTCAAAGACACTCGGAGATTAATCTTGGTGATTCAAGCTGGAGGTTGGGTGTGTCGGTCGAATCGGGTTAGGTTCGTTCGGTTCGTGGGGGCGGTGGGCAGTTGGAGAGAGAGAGGCCTTTGAGGGCGGTTCACGTTTCTGTGACAGCTATTATTGTGTCTGTCGTTTTCCACGATGGCAAAAGTGAAGTCAAAGCTGGCAGATTTCGATTTGCCTGAGTGGCAGGAGTCACGTGCCAGCTGACGTGGGGGATATAGCCCTGGAGAAGCTGCCCAGCTGATAAAGTCTGTATACGGAAGAGCCATTCATATTCATATCAAGACTTATTTAACTGGCCTTGAATTAGTCTCGTTGTTATCTAGGTAAACCATCAAAGGGTATTGACTAAAATATCAAAACAAGTCCCGAATGACTCGAGCAAACTCTCCCTCATCACCCAACACCCCCGATAAACCTTCGCCAGTGTTCTGAATCTCCCCATCCGGCCCAACGAAGCCACCAATACCATCACTTGAACTGTTAGGCATGAAATTACCAAAAGCACCAACAGCCTCAAACAGGTTTGTCAATTCTTGACTCATTTGAAGTCCATTGAGAGGACTATTTCCAAGTTCGTTCCCACCATTCATGGGCCCGTACATAGACAGGTCCTGGATTGGATGTCCCGCGAGTCCGGCCATGGCCACTGCAGCGCTTGAATGAGGATCACTTGAGTCCGGTCCAAAAGGACGGGCGACAACGCCAAGTTTCTCGCCGATCTTTCGTAGACCTTTGATTGTCTTCCATAACCGCTTGGAGACGTAGGACTTGGTACTGAACCCGTTGACTAAGTCGAGCGCCATGTAGAATTCATCACGGACCTGTCGATTGAAGTCGACCGGCGCGTGGGATACTGCTAGGAACAGCACCGCCAATGCAGCAACCAGGAAATAGTTGAACGTTATTTGCTGTGATCGGTAGATATCGGACATCTGGTTCAGCCGAGTGAGGACACGGATCGAGTCTTTGGCTACTTCCACAACAGTCTGGGCGTGGCCTCGATCTTCGGCAATGCTAGCAGGGGAATGGAGCACGGGGCGATAGATCAGGATGCGCAGTTGGTTCATCCGCAGGTACAAGACAACCCTGAGTCGCCTCATGCCTCTGCTGACGTTTCCACCGTTTTTGGGTGACTCGATAGGATGGAACTTAAGCTCGTCTGGAATTTGCTTGTACCACTGTAAAATTTGGTAATCCAGATAGCCGATTCCATCACGACGGATGTCAGTGGTGCCTTCAGAGCCCAAGCCAGAGTACCAGACCTTGGAGCTGATCCGGTTGTATAGGACCATGCAGCGCAAGTAAGGCAGCGATGCATCCTGTAAGTTTCACATGTTAGTTAATAAAGGTAAATGCGAGGCAAGAGGTATGCAACCGTACAGGGTCTGGTAAGTTTGGATCAATATCTTCGTCCTGAATCACGAAAGGTAGCCCCGTCCCGAAACTCCATCGTCTATCCAAGCTGTAGACTGTCCAGAACAGCCGAGTGATATCGCTCCACTGCTGCTCAACTGGGAATGACTTCAACAGAGCGTCACGACGATGCAATCCCATCTCTAAACACATCCGTGCCGCCAGTCCAATAAGCCGATAAGCCATCGCATCATCATCTGTATGGTAATGGTATGTGGCCTAGAGTGGAAACAGAGTTAGATATATTGACTGCGGTTTTTGGAAACACATGGACTTACCACAATAGCAAAGAGCTGAATGGTTTTGATGGTATGAGGCTCCCACAACTTTGATTCTATAAATGGCTTAACATCCAAGTAGAGCCGCTGCCCAAGTTCGCTTTGACCGCCCCCCTCCACGACCAGCGTGGTGGCGAGAATCAATTTAAAAATAATCGAGCTTTCGTCATGAAGACCATCAGAGCCTGGGAACCCTCGCTGTGCAAAGCCTGTTCTGGTAGCAGCTTCGATGAATGTGTACAGCAGATTAGCCTGGCTGGTAACCTTGGCGATATCCACCAGCGGATACATCATCCCAATCTCTTCCTCGTAAACCTTACAGAGACGCATTGCCTCTTCACGCGGGATCGTCCATATTGGATCCTTGGTAGGGTGTGTGGTTGGAAGAAGCTGTCCCAGATTGGGAGGAGGTGAGCCCGCTGGAGAAACATGTGCAGTGTTCAAGTCATCTGGGATTCCGTCTTCCGCTGGGGTGATACCCATATTCTGCAAACTAGATTTTGCCACGTCAAAGTTAAAGGCTGAGCTTGTTGGACCATGAAAGCGTGGGTGACGGGCTCGTGGCTTTGCTACCCCGGCTTGCATTGGAGTGTAGACCGATTGAGATCCGTCGCGAGAGAGATGCTCAAACCCTGGTGAATCAAAGTTTGGTCTCTGGGCACGAAGATCATTGAGATTGGTGAATAAGCTATTGACCTGGTCTTGTAAAGTAGTGATCTGATCTGTCATTGACCGGAACTCGCTGGCTCGGCTATCAGTATCAAATGTTGGTCGGGTTTTTGTTCCTTGACTTACTCCGAGTCTTTGAAATTGTTATTACAACAATTAGGTGCATAGCGACCTGGCGAGTGGGTCAGCGCCTGGAACCGAGGATCGGACAGCTCGGACGCAAGAGCTGCGAGGCATCAATAGGAAGTTAAGGGCCACTTACATTCCAAATTCAGGTGACCACACCGTTGACAAGGCATCTGGCCATTGCACTTGATCTTGCGCCGCTTGCATTCATTACTGAAAATTCCATGGTTAGCTCGGCTCTGCCGACAAAAGCACCTAAGGAGAAAGCAGAATCGGATGACTTGGAATGCAAAACAGGTTGTCCGACCAGTAGCAAGGCTAGAAGGTGAAGCAACCGAGGTAATGGAAAGCAAAAAGTGCCGGATCATGCCATATCATATATCGTACCATGCAATGGAGATGTAGCGATTCCGCTTTGTGCGCGCCTGCGTTCCGTTGCCTGGTTCCGCCTTTCTCTTGTTGGAATCGGACGCACCGATGGACTGATCACGGGGTTCCGTCTGCGGTGGTGACATTTCAAGCTGAGGTGACTCTGAAGCCATGGCCTGCAGAATATTCAAGCGGCTCAATGAGTAGCCGGAGAGAGATACAGGCGTTTCAAGTGCGGAGAAATTCCTCTCTCGCGGGGTTTCCCCAGATTCGGCTTACTCATCGGATTATCTAGTCGGTCATTGGCCTCGGGGAATATTTACGCTTGGAGAATATAAGAATGTAATGATGGCTAGTGAGAATAAAGTTGTTAATTGAATTGTATTTCTCAACTCAAAACATGCAAGGCTCAAATAAACTCAAAGGAAAAGATATCAGCGCCTCAATTGCAAAACCGCTGAGACCAGCCACTCTTTCCCAGCCAGCAATGACTGCACCAACTGAGCCTTGTGCTGAGGGTTTTGGCGCAGGAAGCCAAAGCCTGTAATGAGCCCAAGAATAAGAGAACCCTGTAGAGCTTTCCGGAGACCACGCACAATCCGTCCCTTTCTCGTGAGTTTCGCAGTCCAATGCCGCCACACGGGGAACTTGCAACGCAGCCAGTAGTGAACTTGAGTGAATCTGAACACTGTGTCAGTAACAATTAGGAATCAGCAAGTAAGAAACGTACGGATATGTTGTAGAATTCCAACCATCAGCTGTGCTGTACCAGCTAGAGCAAGCCCCACGACGGAACACACTCTTCTGAAGCGCATCCTGCACCTGCCGAGTCCATTCACGCTCAGCATCCTCCTTGACTTCATACGAGCTGACTTGGCCATTCAAGATCGGCTTGATGAATTTTAAAGAGTAGTCTACCGCATTCTCCGTTGCGAAAATAACACTGGTATGCCCTGTTGCCGTATTCGGGCCGAAAAGAATAAAGAAGTTCGGGAAGGAATCCATTGCGATGCCCTGGTATGCCTGGGCACCTCCACGTTCTGCCCAGACCTCTTCAAGATCCTTACCCTCCCTCCCAATCACCTTCAGTGGGTGCAGCCATTGGTTGGTTTCAAACCCGTTTGCCATGATGATCACATCGGCGGGAATCTCCCTAACCTCAACTGCGTCTTCAGACTTGTGGGGTGGATAGTGGCGGCCCGGACCAAGAGTCACACTCTTCGCATGGACCCTTCTCAGAGGCTGAGTAGTCAATTCCACATTTGGAGCATTGAGACTGCGATACCAAGTACCGTCGATGATCCGCCTTTTACAGCCGAGGCTGTAGTTTGGTGTCAAGATCTCATGGTATTCCTTCGGCGCGAGTTGACGCATGTGGTCTAAAAACTTCTTCTCTAGCCGCGGCCGCGCTCTTCGGCCCCATGCAGTGTCCGTGAACATATCGTAGAAGCTTTTCTCCAGCATGAAGAAAGTAACCCTACGTATGAACGACGCCAGTCCAGGCACGTGAGTCATCAGTCCAGGAGCCCATTTGTCGTACAAGGGGAGATATTCAGGAGAGATTGTATCAGGCTGGACCCATGGAGGAGTTCGCATGAGTTGGGTAATGGATCGAACGTTGGCCTCTGGCTTGGCCAACTCGGGCACAACCTGTGCGGCACTGCAGCCGGAACCAACCATGATGACATTCTTGTCCTCCAAATCAATCTGGTCATTCCAGCGAGCCGTATGCATGATCTCACCTTCGAAGTCCTCAATACCTGGGATGTCCTTCGGCCATGGCTTAGGTTCTACCAGCCCGCCAACACCACTGACGACCACCTTGGCTCGCACAATTTCTGTCTTGACATAGACCTTGTGATGGCCGTCCTGGGCTGAGATTTGATCTCGCTCGTGCTGAGCTAAATCGCCGGTTCCAGGAACAAGGTGCGAGAGCGTAACCTCCCATTCCTCGTCATCCTCGACCCATCGAAGTTCCTTAACATCGGTATTCAACTGGATCTTGTCCACAATTTGATATCTCTCGCAGACATCTGCCATATACTGTGCCAATTCTGGACCAGATGGATGCATTGTAGACCAGTCCTTTTTCAGAGCAAAGGAGAAGGAGTAGAATACCGCTGGTCTTTGGCTTCCAGGTTAGCTATTCAGTAACCAGGCACTGGACTTGGATAACCTACATGTCGCAGGCAGCTCCCGGATACCTGTTAATCCACCAGGTACCCCCAATACCGGACTGGCGGTCGAATATTCGGAATTGGTCTGTTCCCAGGACCTCTTTGAGACGGCAGCCCATGGCAATCCCCGACTCTCCGGCACCTACTATCAGGACCGGGTAATAAGTCTGGGCATCCTTGCCGTAGGCATGGCGCTTATGAATTCGGGCGAATGAAGAAGACATGTTGCAGGGGAACAGTAATTAATTGAATGACTGTGAAACCTGGGAGGACAGAAGTAAAATGTCAATGTAGAGACCTAACGTAGCACAAAATGCGAGAGTATCTTGTCTATAAAAGGACAGGTCATGTGGATGGCCTTTTGTCATCCTCAGCGTGCAATTGTACATTGAGCGTGCAAGTGTATATGGCTTCTGCACAACTGCGGGGGGATGTATCTTGACCTCGGCCTTCATCGGTTTCAGGCATCTTTATTGTGATCAACAAGTGGGGTACACTGCCTATATCGCTCATGATTGGATAATGTTCAGAGACTGGAATGAAGGAGAAATGAGGTCTAGGAGATATCGGTGACGTCTTGTGTCAACGGAACAAGAACGCTCAGTTAATCATGCGGCCATGCCGAGGCCGATCTATTTGCCCGAAACGATATGAGGGAGGTTGTATGTAAGAACACTCGGATTTATTTTTGGATGTTCTTTTCAGATGTCCCTGATTATGCATTAAAGACGAGGGTCGTTTAAAGCATAAACCGTGCAGAGGACTTTTCTATGTACATAACCAGCCCTGGAGCTATGGGCACACTCAATGTTGTCTCGGAGATCCACCCGTGGACTATCTCGGGTCTCCGATCTCCAATGTCTCACCCTTTTCACCTCCCACGTCAATCTGGATGAAGCTTCAGCAATGGTCAATCCGAGTCTGGACGCGACTCCCTCGTTCATTCCTCTATAATAGCCCCCGATTAAGCGTCCGAAACCTTTCCGTTTCCTCAAAACCTCAGTGCCGACCTCTTGACATCCTCGAAAATGCTACTTTGGACACCTTCCAGCAGCGATGCTTCCTCCCCGAACAACCAGCAATTCTCCCGCGATCTACCTTCCAAGACCTCCCCGCACTGAAACAATGGTTCAAACGCGCGGGTCCGGAGTCAACACCAGGCACTTCGAACCCCGTCGCAAGCCTGAACGTGGAGTATCTCCACAAACACGGCGCTGACGCCTTCGTCCCACTCGAGCTCACGGAATCTACATCGACAGACACTACATCCGAATCGAACGGTGGGACAACAGAAACACTTAGCTTCCGGCAATTCCACGCGCCGCTCACGCTGTTCCTCGACTGGATGCGCACGGCTGAGACCACTCCGCAGTCAACGCGGCTCTACCTAGCACAATGCCAGCTCCTGGACCTCCCTCCCGTCCTTCGAGAAGACTTTCCGACACCGGAGCTTGTAGCGCGTGCGGGAAAGGGCGATGTGTATGATACAAATGTCTGGATTGGACACCCGCCCACTTATACGCCGCTCCACCGCGACCCGAACCCGAACTTATTTGTCCAGCTGGCTGGGGAAAAGGTTGTGCGGCTGCTTGCGCCGGTGGATGGGCAGGCTGTGTTTGGGGCTGTGAGGAGGCAGCTGGGGAAGAGTGGGAGTCGGGAGGCAGCGGCTTTCCGGGGCGAGGAGATGATGCAGGGGATGGAGAGGGCGCTGTTAGATGAGATGGTTTGGGGGACTCCGGTGTCTGCCGATTTGGATGCGGGGGTTGGCTTTGAAGCGCGGCTTGGGGCTGGTGATGGGTTATTCATTCCCAAGGGGTGGTGGCATAGTATTAAGGGTGTTGGTGAAGGTGTTACGGCTTCGGTGAGTATGTTTCTTTTCGTAGGCTTTATCTCTGTCGCTGATATGCTTGCAGGTCAACTGGTGGTTTCGATAGTTCAATGCGTTCTTCGAGCCTTGAAACCGCTGGAAATAAATGCAAATCATCGGTAATGCCGCACATTCGTTCTCAGACTGAATACCTCTAGAAGTTATAGAGGATTTAAGATGGGTTGGGGAAGTTCTGTTCTAGGAGACTCCCGATGTGACAGCGTAAGTCCCCGTGGAAACACCAGGGCCTCTCAATAAGCTCACTATGTGTCGTAAGATGCAATCGAAGACAAAATATCCAGCGCAGAACTATTTAGGTAATCATTAATTATTTATACCTCATATTTAATACAACCAACTTAGAGAATGCGGTGTACCAATCTAAGTCAAGGACGAATCTAGGAACTAAGAACCGGACCCATCTCCGCAATGCTCGTTTTCCACCGAGCCCACCTAACCTCCCCCAAACCCCGAACCATGCAAGTATCGCGTACAGTCTACCGCGCCGCTCTCCTGCACCTATCCGTCAGTCCCTTCGTGCGCGCTTCAGTTCCAGCTGGTACTACTGCCTGGACATCCCTCAACGCGGCAACCCAAGCACCCAACACCCGGCTCTACAGCATCCTCTTCCCGCAGTGCACAACCACCTTCAAAGCATCAGACTGCACGCGTCAAACACGCACAATGTGTGACTCAAGCTCGAACTCCGACTCGGCAGCCGCTACGTCCTCAACCCCCGCCACCCAAAACGAAAACACCCAAACCCAAGAGTCCCAAGAACAAGAACCCAAAAAACATCTCTACCTCCCCGCTAGCGACCCTGAAAATCCCATCGCGAACCAACAGGGGGATGGAAGCATTAAACTCGATATGAGCGGAGGCGGGACGGAGGTGAAATTGGATCATCTAGGTCCAATGGTGGTTAACGTGGATGGGACGTTGTCGCAAATCGGGAACTGGCAGCAGATGACGGAGATTGAGAAGACTAATACTCTGCGCGTCCTTGGAAAGCGGAATCAGAAGCGGTTGGAGGCTTTGAGGGCTAAGGAGAAGGCGGAAGGAGGGTCGGAATAAAAACATATAGATCGAAGAGCTTGGCTTGGTTTGAATTTGTCTGGTCGATGGAGCGTGCGAGTCTTCTTACTGTTTGGGGTATGTTGATATTGAATATATGTATTATAAAGGGCATTGTCATATGTCGTTGGATGTTAAGTATGACTACTAATTGCGGCTATTCTTTCAAAAAAGTATTTTCCAATAACTATATTGGGTATCATAGTGATGCTAATATCATAAACATTTGCGGTGTAAAGTCCAATAGAGATAAACCACCGCCGAATAAATCATGTCGGGTATCGACGGATCTGAGGTCGTTTGGGCGTGTTCTAATCGGTAAATCGCAATTATCCAAGCTGACGATGAGACCCATGAAAGTCTTATTCAAAGATAATTTGGAACCATTTGTGTACGACAGTCCTATGGGCATTGTTAGCGTTGAATCGTAACTAGAAGAGAAGGTCTACTCACTTTGGGGGTATGACCACAAAGTCTCTGGTATACTCCTCAATCTCAGGGACACCAGTGACCAGATCGACATCCTCAGGCTTGAGGAACTTGGTCCTGTGGAAGAATTTCCATCCAAAGTAGATAACCGGGAAGACGCCGATCATGGTGTAGGAGAAAAGGAATGTCGGGATGGACCAATTGCCGGGAAGGAAGACGGTGTAGCCACCGACGAAAGCCATGACCGTGGTGCAGACGCAAGCGAAGTAGGCGATGTATGGCTGGAACCAGCTGCGGTACGGCAAAGTTTCCCGGGCAATGCCTTGGGCCGCGAGAGCTTTCTTGAACCGGATGAAGGTGAAAGTGACGACGGAGAAGTTGATGAGCTGGGAGGCGGTGACCTTGATTTGGGATTAGTTGGATGTACGGGAAAGGAATCGGGACCGGGGTGAGGGCTCATACCAGATTAACAAACCAGTTTAGCACGACCGATGCGCCGTTGGACACCTGCAGGAAACTCAAGAGGCCGATGATGAGCACAACGCCGACACAGTAGATGGGAACACCGTTGTTGGTGCACTTGGTGAAGAACTTTGGGGCTTTGCCCTCAAGTGCTAGACCGTATAGACTGCGACTGGCACAATACATGTAACTGTTTCCCGCGCTGAACGAAGCAGTGAGAATGACGGCGTTGACAATGTCTGGCAAGATGGGAATTTTGAGGCGATCCATGGAGATGACATAGGGCGAGGCAGCGGCACCGGGCTTGCCATTGTCGAAAGCATCGGCCATGGTTTTATCGTTGTACGGGACCAGAATGCCGACGCAGAGAACACCCAGAATAAAGAATGCCGTGAGACGGTAGAAGACACCGTTGAAAGCCTTAGGTAGCACCTTCCGCGGGTTAACAGTCTCACCAGCGGCCATGGAGACATAGTCTGGACCGGCGATAGTGAAACTGGCCGTAATAACAGCTGCGAGGACACCGAGGAACTTGCCGGTATCACCTGTCTTGTAGTACTCGTTGAAGGCACCTGGTTCGTTCCAGTAGCGGAAGCCAAAACGATCGCCGAGCGGGTTGCCGCCCAGCATGACGATGAATGTGTATAAAATCAGGCCTACGCTCAAGAAGACCTTACCCAGTGAGAGCCAGAACTCTGCTTCGCCATACCATTTTACGGCAAAGAGATTCAATACTCTGTTTCCCGTTTATTAGCCGATATCTCGTGCGCAGATCACAGAAGGCGACGAACCCATAAAGGACAATGATAACCACGTTCATGGCTGCGACGGGGATTGCATCGGTCCAGTATTTAATAATCAAGCTGACGGCGACAATCTCGAAAGGCACCAGGGCTGCCTCGAAAATAAAGAAGTTGTACCCAGCGGCAACACCTAAAGCTTCATCGACGTAGCGGCCGGCGAATCGAATGAACGGCGAAGAGATCGGCAGGTACGTGACCATTTCGGCCAAACCTAGAAAATAAAAAGTGAGTTTGGTTGTCATACTACGGATCCAGATGGGAAAACAAGATGGGAGGAGTGTTGCAGCAATGGGCGATCAGTCGATGTTAGGACAAGAAGCCGAACCGTTGGCGCATTTGGGATCGTATGGGATACGGTTACAAGCAAGTAATGCTGCTGGTGGGAAAGATGCAAAGGGTTTGGGAAGCATGGGGGTGTTCGTACAGACGGTGATGATCAAAATCACACAACTCCTAGAGAACAATATAAGATTGCGAACCTTCAATTGTATATACGCAGGAAGCAGGCAAGGGCATCATGGAGGTTGGGTTCTTGGGTGTCCGACTAGCTTTCGGCAGATGCATGGGCAGATGTAGGGCTAATGGCGTTTTGGTCGACATTCATATATCTGTTTGGCATGGAAATGCCTGGGCTAAAAGCGTCCTACATCCTTGGAGATCTGAAATTGTGGAACCAGGCTTCAAATCCTGTTCGATACCTTGTTTGGTCGTATGGTTTCTTATTATTTGCTTCTCCTTTTTTTCGTTTTGTAGAATTTCCACCTACTTACCTCCCCCGGTGATGCTGTCGAAAGTAGCAAAGTCGGGAGCACCCAGGTCGAGAACCCAATAAAGCCAACAAAACAATATAACAGGGAAGATACTAACCAAAGACTGAATCCAATAAACAAACTGGCGGGGCCACTGGTCCGCAGTCCAGATCCGATCTGAACGTATAGGGCTGTACCAATTGTTCCTCCAATTCCAATCAATTGTACATGACGGGGCTTGAGCTTGCGATGGGTATGGTCGTATGTAGATTCCATTGACCCGCTATCGACCGATGGCGCGCGATTGGCGCTGGATGAGTCCTTCTCCGTGACTTCCATCTCTTTATCCATCTTTGTAGGCTTCGATTCGGGATCAGATAGGCGGGTGGGCTCTGCACTCTGTATGGCGGCGGTCATTGGGGTAAGAGAGCCATACCCCGAGTTGGGAGAATATGACATCTTGAAGGTCTTTGTATTTCCAGGAAAGAGCGAGGCAACAGCCTAAATAAGTGCGCGAAGGGGTCCAGACCGAGATTTTATTGTAAAAAAAAGAAATGCAAAGAAAAGAAAGCCGACAGGAATGAGAGATTTTTTTTTCCCTAGCTAGGTAGTATTTTCCTGTTTCGCTTTAGTGGGAATCGTCAAAATCTTGGTCTGGAAGGCAATAGACGTAGGCCGCACTAAATAAGAGTCTGGACAAGGGACAAATCAGAGAGTAACGGGACCCCCGGTATCTGGTATTCATCGTTTTATCCCCACATGCCCCTCTAGGAGGAAGGGGGGAGGAGGGGGAAGATTGGGGCTGATTGCTCTGTGCGCCCATTGGATTGGATACTTTGATCTGCATAGGAGACTCTGAATCAAGAGGGTATTGTTTGCAGTGATCAGGCGATACATTTGACAATGTCAGAAAGTGCTGGCAACTTATTTTCTGTGTACAGGAAGATTATAATAATATCCACGTCCCCGCGGCTATCCCATGTGGAGAGAGATTATTGCCGAGGTCCAAGGAGAATGGAGGTTTTTCCACCTAGAAAAAAATTCACAGGCTTTGTGGGAGTAAATCAAGCCCCAAGTCTGAATATACTAAGTACAGCTGACGTTATATTGAACATGAATCCCTGTAATTAACACACACCACATTCCACTATGTTCATGTTCTTTCCTTGTAGGCACTTGTGCTAGTGTCCCTAGTGCCCTCGAGGTTATTGCCCGAGTTTTCGGTTGAGGGCTTCTGCTGTGAGTCTTTGCCAATCCAAGTTGGTGGAAAGAAGCCATCGTTGTCTTCAAAATAGAGGTGGTGGATCACATCAGAGTCTGTGGAGGTCCGGCGTTGATCCAGGTCTTCATGCGCGAGATGTTCGGTGGCAGAACTTGGATGCGGATGCATGTCGGAAGACGACATGTTGAATAACAGTGTTCTACTGTGATACTGCGCGAGAGTTATATCAAAAAATGTAACCTAACAGTTGACTTGACGTTGTGAAACTCTTCCAAGGTCAGGTGCCCCCTGGCCATTCCGAGGTATATCTTGACGTCATGAGAGAACTTTCCATATCGGCACTCATACTCTATAAGGCTAACTAGATCGGGGCAAAAAGAGAGAAACTATATATTTATGTAGGCAGGTATCAATATACCCGAATAAGTAGTCGGCGATGGTCTTATCACTAATGTACAATCTACGATTGGGTCAAATCTGGAGGGGATATATTGTTCGTACAAGGGTCAAGGGACCATTATATGTGGAAATATCAAGCAAAGTTAAGGATATAGCCCACCTGTGTTGTATAGAAGAGGAAATAATATCATTCTACCTCTGTAAGCATGTAGGTATGTAGATTCCAATAAATATACACAAGAATAATCCACACCTGCGGCCTTTTCACGTCATTTCGGTAGTCTTTGTTTTTAGATATCATCTCTGTCATCTCAAAACTTTCTAGACAGGGAAAGGACGGGAAGAAGGCCTAGAAGGTGCAGACGACCTTTCAATATATCTATGGATAACCTTTGGAATGGAGTAAGCTTAAGTAGAGGAACCGATCAATCAGACAGCCGACAGTAAGCAAGCCTGAAGCCCGCGGCTACCGACCTCGGGAAACCCCGCCAAACCCCAATATCTTTTTTCCCCTCAACTTCATCTCCAACAACCACAATGGTCGAACAAGACGAATCTAAGCGTTTCACACCCAAGGTGCCAGTCGAGCTCGACCCGCCTAAGGACGACCCCATCTCCGTCGAGGAATTGGCCAAATGCGACGGTATGAGAGTTTACCCGTGCACCCCTCACAGATCCCTCCCCAATTTTCCATGTCCAATGCGCCCAAGTCAAAAACCCATTGCTAATATTCACTAAATTGCAGGTACCGATCCTAGCCGCCCGACTCTGGTCGCCATCAAGGGTGTTGTTTTTGATGTGAGCCGGAATTCGGCTTATGGTGCCTCGGGCTCATACCGGGGTAAGTACAGCATCTATTTCATTAAAAGCATCATGAACATTCACACTAATTTTTATTTTCTCCTAGTATTCGCCGGAAAGGATGCCTCCCGTGCTCTTGCCTCATCTTCCCTAAAGCCCGAAGACTGTGTACCTGAGTGGTATGACCTCCCGGACAAAGAAAAGACCGTCTTAGATGAGTGGTATACATTCTTCAGCAAGCGGTATAACATTGTCGGTAAGGTCGAAGGCGCCAAGAACACTTAAGGGCTATATCACTATGGAGCGGCAACCTTCACATGGATCGCATGTGTGACATTATATACCCAGTACGAGAAATGGATGAAGAATGCAGTATGAAGTATCAAATCCATGCTTTTCATTTTCGAAATGGTGGTATCGCGTAGGTACAAAGAACAGTTCTTCCCTCTGACTGCTGGGATAGATAGTGCCTATACATTAAACAAGTAACATGTAACATTCACGCCTTTAATTCCCCTTCCGGGACTTCCGCTTCATGCGCTTCTGTCCGATAATGCGGTTGCGCTTAGCGGCCTTGTCTTCGTCTTCATTCACCTTCTCATCGTTGGGGCCCTTGCCATTTCCAGTCTTGCCACGCTTCGCGTCCCTTCCATCTCGAGCATCTCGTCCACCGCGTGCATCTCTTCCATCCTTTCCTTTACCACCACGAGTATCGGAGCGCTTTCTCTTCTGGCCTCTTTCTCCGTCACCCTCGGCATCATCCGAGCGCTTGGGCCTGGGCTCGCGGGATTTAGCCTGCAGCTCATTACGGCGCTTAACGACCTGGGCGTTCTCGATGGCAAACTCAACAACGAGGCTCTTCTTCTTGTCCCGGTCATCGGGATCTTGGGCAGAAGGAGGAACTGCCATAGAGTGGCAGTTCAGCCAGCGCAAACTCATCAGCGCGTGACGGTGAGTGAAGAACTCGATGAATCCGTAACCACGACTGCGACCACCACCGGTCTTCTCGGAGACCTTGGTACCCTCGCGAGTCTCGAAGACAACCTTGGCCTGGCGCACAATACCCATCTTCTTCTGCTTGCGCAGCTGCTCTAGCTCCTTCATTGTATCGCGGGATCGCTGCTGCTCCTCTTTTGAGAGCGGGTGGCGCGCACCTGCCTTCACATCCTTGGCGAAGTTGACGACGGACTCTCGGGCAAGCTGCTTCAAGTCCTTAGAGTTGATGTGGCGGGGGAGGTTACGGATGGCGAGACGGGTGAGACTGAGGTGGAGAGCTGGGTTCTTCTTGATGAAGGTCTCGCGTTGCTTGTAGCTGTCCTCGCGCATTTTGACTTCAGAGGGAGAGAGCTTCTTGTACAGCGGGGAGTTGGAGGGGATCGTACCCTCGTTGAGGAGGTACAGGCGGCGCTTGTCTGTGTCGCGGACCATACGGCGTGATACTCCCTCCTCTTCCAGCTTGGCGGCTTGGCCCTTGCTTACAGCCCGTGCGACTTGTAGAACGCGGCCTTCCAAGGTGTAGCGTCCGCTTGGGTCGGAGTTTTCATCTTGGAGGACGGAGTGCTTCATAGCGGTGTTTGACTTAGGCTTGTCCTTGTTAGGGGCCATGGCTTCGGCTCCTCGGGGGGCTTCACGAATACATGTGTTGGCGTCCTCAGGTTTCCAGAAGCAGGCGAACCCAGTGCCTCGAGGGCGCTCGGTCTCGTAGTCCAGAACCACACGTGCGTACCGTAGCGGTCCAAAGTGGGTTTTGAAGTGGTCATAGAGGGCTTGGTCTGTGGCGGTGAAGGGGAGGTTGCGAATGAAGATTGTAGTGGCATTTCGGTCATCCTCCTCGTCTGCCTCGTCATCGTCCAACTCATCTAGTTCATCGAGATCGTCGTCCTCATCGTCGTCGTCGTCGGAAGAGGTTTCGTCATCTGAGGGCTCTTCCAGAGCACCCTCGGCATCTCCCATCTCAACATCATCAGACTCTTTCTCTTCCTTCTGCTCCTCCTCCTCGTCGACTTCTTCCTTCTTGGTAGTTTCCCAAACGTCCTTCTCAACAGCCCAATCGACAGCGAGCTGACGTCCATCGATCTCCTTTCCGTTGATCATCTGCAATGCCTTCTCGGCGTTCTTCCTGCCACGCATGGTAATAAAACCGAAACCAGAAAGCTTGCCATTCCTCTTGGGGAGGGTAACAAACTTGACTTTTCCAAAGCTGCGGAACAGGACATTCAGATCCTCGGGTTCCTTGATACTCCACGGCAAATTGCGAACAATCAGCTTAGGTGGCAGGCCCTGCCCTCTCTCCTCTTCCTTCTGCTTCTTGGACTCGCGGGATGCAGCAGTGGGGACACTGCGTCCAACCTTCTCATCGATCTCACGCTTACGAGACTCGGCATAGTCGACGCTAATTATTTTCCCGTCAAACTTGGACCCGTTGAATTCCTTCAGAGCGCTCTCCGCATCCTCGACATCGGCGAATGTAACAAAACCGAATCCCTTGGAAACCTTCGTCTCTTTGTCGCTGACAACAACAGCGTGCTTGATAATGTAGGATTGCGAGAAATGTTCTGCCAGGCTTTCTGTCGTGGCTGAGGTGGGTAGTGAGCGGACGAAAAGAGTTCTCTTGTTCTGTGCGGCCGAGGCCTCGGCGGCGGGTGTAGTGGCCTCGACTTTTATTTCGGGGCTCTCGGCGTCGGAGAGACGTCGTTTCTTGTGTAATTCAACCATGTTGGCTTTGTTGCGACTGCGGTTTTTTTTTTCTGCGGTCGAGCGAAGAACAAAAAAATTAGCGGCAGAAAATTGAGGCAGATTGGCCTGGGCGGTGTGGGTTCCATCCAGATAAGCCATAGCTTTATCGACTTATCGACTCTCCATTGATCGCTCTACTATGAACAACCTTAGAACAACGCATTAGGAGAGGAGATGGATTCCACACGTCCAGAGAGAGGTATAAATTCTCGTCCTTCGGATTCTTCAGCCCCAGGTGCATCTTCAAGACCGAAAGTCCAACAGCCGAAACCCCAAACCCTCGCCAACCGCCCTGGTACTTCCGCGATTCTGGTGTCCACGCGACAAAAGGGAAACCCAATCCTGACCCACATAAAGCTCCTACCCTGGGAGTATGCCGACATCCCCGCAGACTATGTGGTCGGGACCACAACGTGCGCAATGTTCCTCTCCTTGAAATACCATCGCCTACACCCCGAATACATCTACTCCCGAGTGAAACAACTAGCAGGCAAATACAACCTCCGGCTTGTACTGGTGATGGTCGACATACAAAACCACGAAGACAGTCTCAGAGAGCTGTCCAAAACATCTATCATCAACAATCTGACCTTGATATTGTGTTGGTCTGCACCGGAGGCTGCGCATTATCTCGAGCTCTTCAAGTCCTCAGAGAACGCACAGCCCACCGCCATTCGAGCCCAGCAGGCCCAGTCCTATAAAGAGTCGCTGGTGGAGTTTGTCACGGTTCCTAGAAGTATAAATAAGTCCGACGCCGCGAGTTTGATCTCAACCTTCGGTAGCCTGCAAAACGCTATCAATGCACAGCCAGAGCAGATCAGTGCCGTTCCGGGCTGGGGAGAGAAAAAAGTTCAGCAATGGTGTCACGCAGTCCGAGAAGATTTCAGAGTCGAGAGCACAAAGAGGGCTTCTGCCCCTGCCATACAACGCCGGGCTCAACTGCCGGCCGTTAATGTGGATGACAGACATGATCAGAACATGGATGAAGAGGATGAAGAAGAGGCGATTCTTCGTGAAGTTCTAGCGGAAAGCAGGAAAACAGCAGCTGCGCAAGCTGCACAGCCTACTGAGCCTCAGGCTAGAGGTCAACCAAGTGAAGAGATGAGTGAGGGCATCGCAGCAGCACTAGCCAGGCTCAGAGACAATACTGGTTGAGAGATGGTCTGGCTTTTCTTCGCTACACATCCGGTTTCGAACCTCATCACATTCTAGAGATGCGCCTCATTCTGAGCTATCTGACTGTTGGCTACGGTCATTTGTTGCAACCTGGAAATGACCATTATCCCAGGACTATGGGGACGGAAGGACGCAATGGCGTTCGTGCGCATAGCGGTCATAGCTTGAACGAGCTGGGCAACCTCATTGTCATGATAAGTTGCCTGTTTTGGAGACATTGATCTAGCTCACTAGAGCCACCAGGCCCTACGCATATCCCCAGCTAGTTATAAATATATTACGTCCCCCGCAAGCTTGCGGCAACCGACCCTTCTGGTTTAGCTGGGCATAATTCTCTTCCAATGTCTAAGAGCTCACCGTTGTGGCCCGGTTTGTCTAACATACTAACATATGACTCTGGCATATCCTGAGTATCATGAAGATTCTTCCTTTTGGGCTAGCCTAGGATCTTTTTTATGGGTTTCATTGTTTGCAGCCTCGCTGCCTTTCGTTGCCGGTGGTTGAGAGGGGGGTGGGGGGCTGTTCAAGTTTCTTAGACTAAGTTCTCTTTCTGTTCTATCATCTTCTACCTATATTGATCTCAAATCCATCTGTTCCCACTGCCTTCTTCATATGCCATGTTCCCCTTCCATTCTAAATTTCCGCCCTCTCTTCCCAAGGATTCGTCATTATCTAGATGTTTGCTGGCGATTTCCACTTGTGTGTTTACTCGGAGTTGAGGTGATATCCCAATAGCAAGAGAGTTGGCTAGTTGTCCTAGCCTACGACAACTCGGTGCTCCAGGTCTATACAAAAGCTGACTAACACTATGCTTACTCATCAGGTACGGTGATCGACGAGATCGGTGGTGGGATTTCCCACCACTTGATGATTATGCGTTCTTCCCGCTGAGGTCTTTGGGTGCAAGCCAAATCTAGAATTCTATCAACATGTCTATTCGGTCGGATAATTCAAAGCGTCGCTCAAGGGTCCTCCCGAGGTCAAAGCTAGGATGCAGAACTTGCAAGTAGGTTGCGTCCTTTTTTCATAGACAGAGTTTGATATTGAGCGTGTTGTAGAATTCGACGAGTCAAATGCGGGGAAGAAAAGCCTAGCTGTGTCCGATGTACCAGTACAGGTCGCAAATGTGACTTCGAAGACACACAGTCCTCTTCCACAATCTCGGTCGTCACAAATCCCTTATCATTATCACCAAACACCAACACGGTGTGGCGAGAGCGACGTGCATTTGCCTACTATTTCGAATGTGCTGCCTCCTCCATTGGTGGTGGATTGGATGTTGATTTCTGGCGCACTGTCGTCCCGCAGGTTTGCCGTTATGAACCAGCTGTGTGGGATGCAATCATCACCATTAGTGCGCTATTTGAGCGTCCCCAACAATGCCAGGATCCTGTGCTACAACGCCATGATAATCCTGTTTCTCTCACTAAAAACCATCAAGACGCTTTGGGCTGGTACTCCCGTTCGGTATCTGCTGTTCGCCAGCACATCGAGCAGGGTAGCGTAGATGCCTTTGTTGGACTGATCAGTTGTGTGCTTTTCATCTGCATTGAGGCCATCCAGGGAAATGCAGAAGGGGCAATGCAGCTTTATCGTCAAGGTGTGCAGCTGATTATCGCTTTGCGTCCCCAAATAACATCTGTGGCTGCGGGTAAAGCTTCATTGTTGGAGGATACTATTGTCCCAATCTTCATCCGCCTGGGGACATTCGCCCTCGCCGTTGGTCAGACTCCTGTGACTGCTTTACTGCGAGACACTGAACATGCCTTGACGCAACAGTTTGACTCGCTCAAGTCTGCTCGGGAGGCGATTGTGCTCTTAGCCATAGAGATCCCGCTCTTTGAAGCCGCTTGCACCAAGCACTTACTCCAGGATCATGCCCCCCACATACCCGAGGAATTCAATACTAGACTGATTAGTCTAGTGGTCAAACTGAGGAACTGGCGTACTGCCTTTGATATGTTGATGGCAGTCCTTTGCACCAAAGACATTTTATCGCTGCAACAGATTGGTATCAGTGCCCTTCTGTTGAGCTTTCATGAAATGTTGTATGTCATGCTCGAGACCTGCACATCATTGTCAGTAATGCAATTCGACGCTTATCTACCAAACTTCCAAAACATTGTTGAACAATCTGCTATTGCACCTAAAGCCTCGGTGCGATCTGACGGCACCCAACCACCATTCACGTTTGACCTCAATATTGGTCTTCCGCTTTGGTTCACTAGTCTTCGCTGCCGTGAACCGCGTACCCGACGCGCGGCACTGGCTCTACTCCGTCAAGCACCCTCGGTGCAAGGGTTTTTCCAGTGCTCAATGTGGGCAACCGTGGGCCAAATTATCATGGAGCTAGAAGAATCACGTGCAATGGCAATAAACGCAGCTCATCATATCCCCAAATTTGGGATACTACATTCAACAGAGGGATTAATTCCTAGCTCAGAGCTTGCCACAAGGTCGTATTCTGTCCCTGCGGATGTGGGACCGACAATACCAACAGCACTCTTTATCCCAGAGGAGGTGCGCATTGGACCCATTACAGCTTTTCGGCCAATGGATGGTTTTCCCCCTGGAACCACAGAGTCAGATATCGCGAAGTGGAACCGGGGCCCGGATCAAGTCTTTATGCGGTATTCCCGGAACGAGCGCGGTCTGACTGGCGATCCTTGTCAGATTGTGTACGAATATGTCCCTGTTGACATTTAATCATAGCATCCGTTCGCTAGATGTGAACTAGGTGTATTGTTGATGGGTTCGATGCAGAGAGTCCGCGCTTGCAGGGCAACTAGGCTTTAGCATCCTCAGATATTCGGTACATAATATCATATCCCATTTGCTTCCACTCATCTTCCTAGTTAGTCCCTGGCATATGTATGGTAGGGTACTCTACCTCTGAACATCCCACCGGGGAAATAGCAGTGAATTCACGGTTGTAAAAACCAGTAAATTATTAATGCAACCAGCACTTCTTTTCGGTGGTTTCTTGCAACGTTTTTGGCGTCAGAATTTCCGCAATGAAGGTAGTCAGAATGATAATCAAATCCCGATATTAATAGTGATTGCATGTACCACTTGGAGCTCAACAGACCCCTTTGAGGGGTGACCTTTGTTGGGATATGTATGTAGCTTTGATTGTATGCAGATACATATACTACCTATTTGGTAGGACCCGTCGCTCCTTCCTCTATCCATCATCATCAAAGTCACATTTTGCGGTGACCACCCCCTCTAGTGTGCTACAAACTTCCGCCTTATGAGAAGGCAATGTTTGAGGTGGAGTCTGGTGGTGTGCGCTATATCGCGAAATGCTGGTCCCACCCTCAACATGGAGCTACCGCAATTTAGGGGACGGTCAGCTTGGAACGGCCGAGGAACCTAGTACTTCTAAATGCCGGTATACTACATACAGGTGTATCCTTACGCATTTACTAGTATAAACCTTCTCGCAAGATGTCTAGTTTATGGCTTCCAAGCTCGATGGAGTAAGTTCAACGAAACCTCAGCGACGTGAGATATCATTTCACCGCACGCGCTGGGTTGGTCAAGTGCCATACATTCTTGGCTTCTCGCGAGGCCGCATATGGGCAATTTTCTGCTAAATGCGAAGAAGTCCAACAGAGACTTTGCAACCGACAGCTCGTTCGACTACGCCGTACGCCCAGCTGCCCAGTGAAAGCCCTTCTCAATCGCCCTTTCATACCCTATGACAAGACAGCTTACAATAATATATATATTTGACGATCGGTAGAGAAAATGACCCGAGAATTGAAGGGTTGAGATTGGTAGGCCTCAAACACTCTCTGGAAATGGAGTTACTACATCTGAACAAGATAACATTGCTTGCAACTTGTGATAAATACTACAATTTTCAAAGGGGATGGAAGTTGTTGACGCTTTGTGAAACTTTAGGTTCTTCCTATTCTTCTCCCATAATCTTTTTCTTTCTTTCTTTTTTTTTTTGCTCTTTCCCAACCTCATCCAACCACTTTTTTCCTTGTCTCAATCTTTTCCATCCCCCTCGATCTGGAAGTCCTACTTCGCATATCAACTCTCACTAAGAAAAAAAATTCAATCTATTAGAGTGAACGAAGCACGCATGATATAAAAGCCTATGCATGCTTTAAATTTTCACAAACATCAGTCATTCCAACATGAACGCTAAAGGTCTGTAGACAGTGCAATACGTGAATTGGTTGAGCCCTATGGTACCCTACCCTCCTCTCATGATGTCTAACTTCAATCAGCAAACATGATACTCATCAGTACTATAAACAGACTGATTCGGATCCTTACCCTTTATAGCGCGTTCAGCTGCCGCATTGGTCGATTCCATACGCTGTAGAAAGGTGTCGCAGGACTGCCATGACCTTAACTTGAAGGTCCGGCTGCGTTTAATGCGTCTTCCGTCGAGGACCACCTGTCGACTATGGCTCAAATTGAGGAAATCGAAGCCATCTGCAAGAATTTGGGGACACAGGAAATACGATTTAAAACTGATTACGACCACACTCGTGCTCAGAGAAGAGAGAAGACTTGGAGCAATTCGTTCATCAGGTGCTTCAACCTTCTAGTTCGAGCGGCCGTACAAGCTGTCATGATTGCTACTAGCACATTCGACCGAGAACTTTGTCTTCTTCGGTCACTCCCTGGAATGAATCGTCTATCAACTGCGAATGGTATATAGGCAAAAGAAGAAATCAGGGAGGATCCATATACTTGGGCAGTTTAAGCCACGAGTTCGGTGAGAAATTCACTATGGGATCCATGGGCTTCCGACCCCACTGTAAATATATTCGATCATTAGAAACTCTGGGTTTGGCCGACTTTCCAGCATTGTTCAATATCAGCATGAATGTAGATGCGGTAAAAAGCGAGGAGACTGCCTCCTCCGGGAAGATTACTGCCCAAGTAATGTGTTCTGCTTGTCATGAACAATATCATTATGCAAGACGCAAGAGCTTTCACACTGGAAAAGAGCAAATTTACTTCTATGATGGGCTTAAACTCAACGACTTTCCTATAGTAGGGGCGTGATGCGATAGGCTAAGCGTTGTGCAAACTAGGTTAATCTCGAGTTTTGTGCTGCGATAGAATCATATATTCTTCACCGTTAGCAATATGATATAAGGAACAAACTGCTTCATGAATGAGTCTACCTAGTCAAACAATTTGAGGGGCCTTGAGCTGATGACAAGGCCTTTCTATAGCTATAAGCTTGCTCAGTCCATCTATATTTCTCTTCTCTTTCTCAACCCACTTCACTTCTTCCAAGCCTTTCAATTTTCCTCATCCATCTTCAAGTTCAACCTCAACTCTATTTTTTCACTTCTTATCTCCTAAAATGAACAAGGTACCTATAACACACTAAGCAATCATATAAATAACTCTCACATATCAAATTTGAATACTAATTCATATCTGATAATGTCCAGGAAGATCAATATGCAGAGTTGATCACGCGAGACGCAATGATGACTTTACGTGAGGATCGTCTTCGAGAGGCCCTCCAGGTCAATATAGAAGCCATGAATGACACCCAATTCAAACTTCAACTTTTGTTATCTCTGGATCTCACCAAGCAAAGCCACTGCTATACCAACTCGGAAATTGAAAGGACGGAGGCTTTCATGGCGGAACTGAGGACCGGGCGCCTACAGTTGAAAAATGATTACGACCACGCTCGTGCTCAACGCTTAAATATCGCGGAGTTCCTTCGTGAGCTGACTAGCTCTTAAAATCGAGCGAATACCTAGAGAAAGCCGTTAATCCAGCTTCAGTTACGCATTAAATCCTTGCTCATGTTCTACACTTCCTCGCAGCATAGCATAGTATGGTAAACCTTTAGGACCTGGTGTGAGGTCGCGGGCATAAAGACATTAGCTAGGTAGAACTCGAGCTTCTTTTTTGGTATGGGTACACCTTGGCCATTTTTTTGGGGCTTCATCCACAACCGCCTGCGTGAACATGATATCTAGTATGAGCAGATGGTATGTCCCGATGCAAACGAAAGACATGGTAAAATCCGATAAACCGGCATATTTCAGCGACTCACGGAAGGGGTTTTGACTTACACTTTGCAGTTCCTTGGGACAATCACTGCGGTAGGCCTTGACTAGAAGCAAATTTCCTTTGCTATAAATTTGCTCCTTCGATTTATTTTCCTTTCTATTTCCCAACCCACTTTCACCTCTTGATCTTACCTTCGTCGGTCTCATCAACCCACTCCCCACTACTACTCTGTGTTAAAATGAGATGACTTAAGGCCTTGTTGCGCTTTTGCCTCTAGGACAGGCTGACTCCACGCGCGTGTAGGCGAGCACCCACTTGGGTGTCAATTTTTTGAGGAATCCGATGCGCCTGGCTCGAGGCATGACTATGAGCTGCCTTATAAACTAATAAGATAGCCACACACACCATCAGTAGAAATACTCGGGCTTAGTCAATACTTGCCGAAGAATGTAATCCAAATGCGGATTTTTCAAATACGAGAGAGCCTTCAGACAAGAGTCATAGGCTAGAGCAATCCGGACGAGAGCTGAACACGGTGACATGTGGACTAGTGGACCGTGGAGGCGCATACAAGTCCAGATTGGGAAAAACACAGTACACACAGTCAACACTCTGGCCAATGGACTACTCGAAGCTTTTGGAAGAAATCACAAGAGGATCAACACAGAAGCGAGGAAAAAGAAAGAGAGATATGCGATTCCACCATTAATTACACGCTATTTAGCAAATACCGTCATAGAGGGGTTTTATTTAATCTGATCTATGCGCCTAGTGGTAAAACCCTAGCTGAAACATAAAATTCTCTCTTATTTTCGGCAATTTAGGTTCTCCTACCTTTTCAATTAATCATGCAACTTTTTTTGATAGGATAGGAGTAATTCAGCGGTGGATCCTGCGTGGATAATGCGCAATTTCCGATCGACAAGGAAAAGTGGCGTGGGCCGGCCCACGAACGCACGAGCACATAGGATCTTATCTTTTTCTTGTTAAGCGCCAGTAGAGGGGGTAGAGAGGGCACTAGGAATTAAATCTCCACATGTCCAGGAACAGCCCCCGTAATATGTGACTAGTTAGTTTTTAGTTAGTCACTAGGAAAATACGAAATCCGACTTCGGTGCTTGTTTACTTTAAGGGCAATGATTCCCTGTGTGTCCACGTGTGGTCTGACCTGATTTCGGTGACCTCTGGACAGCTTTTGACTTCTAAAGTCAACCATCATGGGTGTTCGCCCTTTGATCCGAAGAGCGCGAATTGTGTTTCGCCGCATATCAACTGAAGGCAATGACAATGACCCCCTCGCACAGAACACAGCCCGTGACGCTAAGGGTGGTCCTCGGAGTCCCACCAGCTCTGTGGCACTTGAGGAGATACCTGATGGGAGTGCCCAGCATGGTGTTCAAGATGTCGAGGCTGTGACGATGACGTGGTCAAGAGGTACCCTGATCGCAGTCTTTATCAAGTAGGTGCTCAGTCACTGTATTTCGTGTCGCGCATTCAATGCTGCTCCTAGTATTCCGACAGACACTGATATCATGACCCCAATAGCATTTGGTTTCTTTATTTTGCGAATGCTTTTCAATCTACGGTTATCGTTACTCTGAACCCCTATGTGACAAGTTCATTCAAAGCACACTCGCTGTCCGCGGTTCCCACAGCTCTAGGTGATGTCTTTGCAGCTGCCACCTACCTACCTGTCGCAAAAATGATGGATGTATGGGGTCGTGCAGAAGGGTTTCTCTTGATGGTCATATGTTTAACTGTCGGCTTGGTTCTCATGGCGACCTGTGATAGCTTTGAGATCTACTGCGCTGCAAACGTGAGTTCCAACACTAGCATGCTGCTTAGTACAAATGCTAATTGGCTTGTAAGGTCTTCTACTATACAGGTTTCTACGGCATGGAATACGCGGTCGATGTTATGACAGCCGACGTTTCAACCTTGAGAAACCGTGCTTTCGCTTATGCATTTACTTCCTCCCCATACATTATCACGGCATTTGCGGGACCCAAGGTGGCAAACGAATTCTACTACCTGGTTTCCTGGAAATGGGGCTTTGGTTGCTGGGCAATTGTCGTTCCTGTAGTGGCGGCCCCGCTATACATAATGCTGAAGTACAACCTGTACAAGGCAGAGAAAGAAGGCTACCGGATCAAGAGGCCAAGTGGTCGCACGGTATTTGAAAGCATCTGTCATTGGACTGTTGAGTTTGATAGTAAGTACTATATCTATTGGTTCCGACTCTCCATAACTAAGAGAAAGCAAAATCTAATCTAGAGCACTAGTCTTTGGAGTCTTCCTGTTTACTGCTGGTCTTGTATTGTTTGAGCTTCCCTTTGACCTCGCCCATTATGCCCCCGATGATTGGGCTTCTGGATATATTATCGCCATGCTTGTCGTCGGGTTCTGTATGCTTTTCTTCTTCGCTATCTGGGAAAGGTGGCTGGCTCCAGTGCCGCTTTTCGAGTGGCGACTTCTTACAAACCGCACTATCGTCGGTGCAGTCCTTTTGGATGCAACCTACCAGCTCTCGAACTATTGCTGGAGTTACTACTTCACATCTTGGCTGCAAGTTAACAATAACCTATCCATTACCACTTCCAACTACATCGTCAATATCTTCGATATGGTCTCTGGTGTGCTATTGCTAGCCACAGGTTGGCTAATCCGGAGAATTGGCCGTTATAAATGGACTCTTTATATTGCTATTCCGCTCTATATCTTCGGACAGGGCTTGATGATACATTTCCGCCAGCCGAACATGAACGTTGGCTACCAAGTGATGTGCCAAATCTTCCTCGCTATCGGTGGTGCAACCTTCATTCTTGTCGAGCAGCTTGCTATCCTAGCGGCTGTCGACCACCAACATGTCGCTACAGCGCTTGCCGTGTTGAATGTGGTTGGAACTATTGGCGATAGTGCGGGTCTCACCATCAGTACCGTCATCTGGCAAAACACATACCTTAAAGCTCTTCTCCGATACCTCCCTGAATCGGCTTTGCCGAATCTGAATAACATCTACGAGGATCTCGTTACGCAACGGAACTATCCTATTGGGTCCCCCACCAGGCTGGCTATTCAGAAGGCGTACGCCTATGCCGAGCTTCGATTACTCTCTGTTGGGTGTGGCATTATAGTTCTGGCGATTCCTTGGACATTTTTGATGAAGGATATCAATTTGAAGAGGAAGCAGCAGGTCAGGGGTACGGTCTTTTAGAACGACAACTATAAGATAATATAGAATTTTATGCGCCTCCGAATGGTTTCTTCGACCTTCGCTATATTTGCCTGTGGCCGTGAAAAATCAAGCAACCTCAGCCTTAAAAGTTCCAAATGTGGGATCTGACCGCGTGGCTCGGAGGGAAACAAATGATGCGGCGGATCCCCTTTCCGCCAATAAATTTGTAGTTTCCAAGGTAGTGTTCAGTAAGTTTCGGATCAGATAACTCAAACCCCTCCGATCCTGGTCAAAAGTGGTTAGAAGTGGGTCCGTGGCAGGAGCGGCTAAGCGAAATACCGATGATCGGTTGCTCATAGTAGGAACTCAATCCGAGGTCGGCCGATGGGTCGCGGTTTTTCGTACCAGACACAGGAATAGTCGGCCGCATTTACGGCCTTGTGATATCTTTTTAGTTGGTCTTCTCACGTGGTCTTTTGAGATATCTTTTCAAATATCTTTTTAGATATATGTTAAGGCGGTAAAAAAAAGCATACTTTGTGCAAGCGACTTTTCTATGTAAAATCTGTGATTAACATGGGCTACTATAAGTGGAGTGCTTCGTTAGCACATTGGTCCGGTGGAAATACCCCACTATCCAAATGACATTATCAATCTCTCGGCCTTGCCCTTGACCGCAGTTTAGACACAATGCCATGTGACCACAGCGATCCAATCAGATGTGCGGTTCGAATAACAACTGATTTAACTCTTCCATGGCTTTCTTATTGCGATGGATCAGGAAGACACAAAAGAGCGAAGGGACTCCGGATCTCACGACATCACATCTCCGGAGAAACTCGTCTGCCAGTACCACGAAAGCGTGGAAGTTGTTAGGGCAGGAACACTCGCAGCACTGGTAGAAAACCTGACGCGCCACGATAAGCTCGACGGCTCCTTCAACCGGATATTCCTCACCACTTATAGGCATTTTACTTCTGGAGCAGAGCTCCTTGAGCTTCTCATCGATCGATTTGACTCCTCGCCTCCCACATTAAACGCCATCCAAACGGCGGAATGGTCGACTCGGATAAGGCCACTGATTCAATTGCGCGTTATAAATGTTCTGAGGCAGTGGCTCGAACACTTCTGGTCTGAGCCAAAAGGCATTGATACAGATAGAAATTTGCGAATACTACAGTCATTTGCAAAGCGCGCCGCGGATGCCACCGAGACAAGCGCGACACAACAACTTCTCACAATAACTCAGCGCCGAATCGCTGGTTTTGATTGCAAGAGAAGATCACTATCATCTATCTCATCCCCCCCAAAGCCGATTCTGCCGCGGAAATTAGACAAGCTCCAGTTCCTCAAAATCGATGCCACGGAGATTGCTCGGCAGTTGACTATCATGGAATCCCATATCTTTGGCAAAGTACAACGAGATGAATTGTTAAACAAAAACTGGCAAAATAAAGAGAGCTCCGATGCACCTGAGCTAGCTCCAAACATCAGGGCCTTGATTCGATATTCCAATCAGCTCTCTAATTGGGTCGGCGCCATGATACTCGCAGAATCGGATTTGAAAAAGCGGACTCAGGTGATAGGACATTTAATCAATGTGGCCAACGTACGTTGTAATATCTAGCTTCATCCTTTTAATTCTTCCTATATGCTAATTTTCACCTCTTGCAGATATGCCATCAACTCCAAAACTATTCCGCGGTGGTCTCTATCCTGGCAGGCTTTGAAAGCGCGCCCGTCTACAGGCTTGCTCGCACTTGGGCAATGGTTACCGAACGTAGTTGCAACACACTAAGGCCCTTGCAAGCCATGATATGCAGTGCACACAATTACCAGGCCTACCGTGATACGTTACGGGTTGCAGTGGCACCGTGCGTTCCTTTTCTTGGTAAGCTCGATCGTTAACCATTGAAATTACCGATGTTTAACCATTCAATAGGTTTATTTTTAAAAGATTTGACATTCATCGAAGATGGGAACGCCGCCATGACACCGGAAGGGCTCATCAATTTCCACAAATATACTATGCTAGCATCAACTATCCATGAGATTCAGCGTTTAAAAGAAGCCCCTTACTCCTTACGACCCGTACCGGAGTTGCAGGAATATCTTGCGACTCAGTTGCAATCGGCTGTTGACTTACACGATATGTGGGATAAAAGTTGTGGGCTGGAGCCTCGAGGCCGGGATCTTGGAAATAGACCCCGGGATCTATATACCCCCACAGGAGGCATGTTCGCGTCTATGATAGTCGCCTGCATGGTCCTGGATGATTGATCTATGATTTTCAAACTATAAAATTCTATTTTTTTGTCGTGTGGTATTGAATAAACTGAAGCTACTACAGATTTACCACTAGGACACTCCGCCCTCAGCAGAACTCAGCAGAGGTCCTCTGGTATTCAAGGAGAATTTTACAAGCGTACAACATGGTGTTTACCGTTTGCGTAACTATTGTAGTCTCCACCTTTCAAGGAACATTAAGGCACACTGACAACACACCGAGTATTGGATTTTAGCGTCGAAGAAGCTATACAAGAAACAGCAATATCCGGATGTTACCAAGGGAGGTTCGGCATGGAGATATTATACTAGATCGCTGGAAAATAGAATTTACCACGGCAAACGAAGGACTTTACCTGTATCTAAAATCGGTGGATTAATTTCTAACTTGCAAGGCAAGACATTCTCGCTTTTACATTTACTTGCAACCATACGTGCACAGGTACTAAAGCTTCCTTACGAAAGCACAGTTCGGCTGGACAGACAATAGGCTCAGGAAAGATGTGTAAAGTCTCATGCTAACCCGCTTCAATCACATGCTCGACTAGATTTTCCGACTCGTCAGAAATCATCAGAAACATAAGCAAAAGACGCGGTGTGTTCAGTAAACCCAGCGCGATGATCGAAAGCTGCGGCCAGACTATTCCCCATAAAGTCAACGCAGTAAACCAGGAGTGATTCCCGCTTTAAAATGCACTTGCGGTGATGCGGTGAATATGAGCTCTTTTTGGGCTGTAACTCCTTCCGTCTTAAGTCGTGGTTCAGGCAGTTGGTGTGTTGAATAGTGTTTATTGACTGTCTATCTTATTCTCCAGAATGAGGTTGCAGCAGACCCTCCTCGAGCTGATTTATATTCATCTCGGGATACACAGACACAGAAGAAACTCCGGTGCTCGGGCCTTATTGAACAACCGAGCATGAAAAGCACGGAATGGCTCCGAGGCTTTGGGGGGGGGGGCTCCATGTATTACCTCTCAAGCATTCACAAGATTGTCGGTGCTTTTGCGGGGTTTGAGATATGAGTAGTATATTCATACACATGTTTCTAATGCTGAAATAGAAACTCAGATCTAATAAGCCATCGGATATGGTACGAAAGACATGTTGATTGAACTCCGACGCAATATCCTCTTTATGTATAAAATGCCAGTACTCACCAGGTCAACCCCCATAGGTAGATAGTCAGCCCTAATTACAAAGCCAAGCGTCACAATGCGCTGCCACCAAGTATTTCGGTTTGTGTTCTTTGTATCAGCATCTTTCGGCAACCCAGTGCCGTCTTATACATTGAAAGGAGCCCTGGATGTGCCGGAAATCTTTACGAAGCTATTCAAAACATCCACAAGTCGTGCTCCCTTTAGCACAAATATATATCAAGAGCTATTTCAGCTCGAAGCCAAGATATCAGACATCGCAACAGGCAAAATCAAGCCCGTCCCAACAATCGAAGAAGGCCTCTCAGTCCTGGCCTCAATTCCACGCACTAATAACCGAACAATCCTCCAAAATGCCATTGATATAGTATCTCTAGGTCTAGTACCAACAAACATCATCGACATCCTCAATGGCATAACAAACCACGAAATAAACTCCGTAGCCAACAACAACACAAAGGACCCAAGTCCTCGAATCCACCCAACAAGATCCTTCTGGGACGCACCCTACGACATCCCCGAAGAAGCCCTCCGCAGCGCAATCTACATTCCCCCAACCTTCTCCTACGGGAAAAACAACAAAATCCCCGTGCTCCTGGTCCCAGGAACTGCTGACCCAGCCGGCAGCACCTACTACTTCAACTACGCGAAGCTCTTCAAGGCAAACCCACAGACAGACCCAGTATGGGTCAACATCCCGGGCAACTCGCTAGGCGACATCCAAAGTAACGCAGAATACGTCGCATACGCAATAAACTACATTTCTGGACTCTCGCAGCGTCCGATCGGGGTGCTAAGCTGGTCGCAGGGTAGCTTAGACGTGCAATGGGCGCTGAAATACTGGCCGTCAACAAGAGCCGCGGTAAGCGACTTCATGGCAGTAAGTGGTGATTTCCACGGGACAGTTCTTGCGACGCTGTGTATGCTTGTTACACCGGTTTGCTCGCCGGCTGTACAGCAGCAGGGGTATGACACGATGTTTATTCGGGCTCTGCGTGGCGAAGGCGGGGATTCGGCGTTTGTGCCGACGACGAGCGTGTACTCTGGGAATGACTTTATCATTCAGCCGCAGAGTGGGGGGTGGGCTTCTGCGGCACTGGAGGATGTGCGTGGGGTTGGGGTGTCAAATGTGCAGGTGCAGGTTGCTTGTGCGGGGCGTGCTGCTGGGGGGTCTTATTCGCATTCGGCTATGTTGGTTAATCCGTTGGCGTATGCTTTGTTTGTTGATGCTTTGGTGCATGATGGGCCTGGGCGGTTGGAAAGGATTAATCTTGATGCCGTTTGTGGGGAGTCACTTGCGCCTGGTTTGGATGTGGATGCTTTTTTGGGGATGGAGGCTGTGTCGAATGTGATTGGGGTGCTTGATGTGTTGTTGTATGGGTATAATGGGAATGAAGAGCCGCCGCTTAGGGGCTATGTTTATCACTAGGCGAGGTTGATCTATATTGGGTGTTGTTAAGTGAAGGTGATGGACTACAGATTTGGGGTTGAAGGCAACGCTGTATTCCGTATTCATGCCAGGGAAAATCTATAAGTCCATATCGGACAGGGCTCTATGATACATGTACAAGGCCAAATGCTTCCATTGGGTATTATTGTGTGGTTCTCTAGAACGAAACTCCAGGTCCGTAGAGATTATCACGGCAACAAAAAGCATATCAGGAAACCTCCCCGACACCAGCCGGCAAGTGGCGACACGACAATGAGTATGAATATGAAGAAGACAAAACAAAAATAAAGTGGATATAAGACCCGGCAAGCAGACTGAAAAACGATGTGCCGCAAACAACCTTGGAATCGCAGTTCATCGTAATTCGGGCACTCCATTGCATGGCCAGCGCTGACTATTCGACACGCCACCCAGAGAATGGATATCAGAGCATAGGGTATCTGGACAGAGGCATGGCATGCTAGGGAGCAACTCGAAATGGTCATCAAATTTGGTAAGAGAAAAAAAAAATGGAAAGCAGACGTTTACGTGGGCTTTTCACATCCAATGCGGCCCAAGAGAGCTTTCCGATCACTTGGATCAAAAGGAACACGACCACGGCCCCGCGCGCGCACCGAGGCAGTGCCGTTGGACCGCCGACGACCCAAGCCCGGGGCATTTCCGGTTTCGAGTGGGTCGGTAGGGACACCATCCATAGCAGCCAAGTGTGCTGGAACGTGGGATGCGGTCTGATTTCCCACTTCCGTCTCGTATTCATCTTCTTCGTCACTACGGGTGTCTTCGGCATTACCGCCACAAACCACACCGTAGGCAACACGGGCAATCATGCTGAACCATACAATGGACAGTCCCTCGATGAACAACAGGAGGGACAAGAACATCCATTTGAGAGTGGGGTTGAAGCAGATGGGGTTGTCCAAACTGAAGTACGGTCCGAGCATGTATGCAAAGGCATTCGGGGCCTCCGCTGAGATGAACTCGCTTGTCGAACCGGTATAGCAGCCATAGGTGAGTTCGCGGGGGAGATCATAATAAACGGACCAGCACACCATGGGGTAGATGAGGTGTCGGGTAATGAACCAGGTGCCCATGAACAGGCCAAAGCCAACATTGCAGGCTGTTTCGAACTTGGAGTATTTGAGGATCTTCGCAGCCTGTGGAGGTATTAGTAGCTATTTAGGAGCACTTGACGAACAGTGATTGACGAACCGGTAACAAGAAGTCCACAATATCCATGAGACAGAGCACTACATTGGACACATTGTACATAGCGTAGATGTAGGCGGAGCTCAGGAGAACACTGGTAACAATGTGGTGGGAAAGCATCTGGACATGGTCCTTCCGCCTCTCTTCCACGTGGACCACGAAGATCTGCTGCACGAGGAATGCCAGCTCAACGAGAAGATACCACTTCATCAAGCCAGACAAAGGACGGGCGGGCCACTGCGACCACATGGCGGCGAAATCACCCCAATAATATGACGTCTTCCACAGATACTGCAAAGTAGAAGCAGCGGTTAGTTACATATTCCCAGGTAGATATCTGCGGGCCAAACGCACCAATCCAACTCCCCAGATGAACGAATAGTACATAGCTTGCCAGCCCTGCTCAGCGATTCGAACGGACTGTTTGCGTTTTAATCCACAGGCACGGGCCAATGGTTGCATGAGCCATTCAATGGCGATAGCGCGAATACCGGTGATTGCGATAGCAGCACTAATGACGAAGTAGACATCGTCCCAGCCCTGGACGTATGAGTTCGAAGATTCGTTATAATAGGACAGTTGGAAGAATGGCTGGGTATATGGGCGGAGGGAGGGGTAGAGGTTATGAAGAGCTAGCAACATAGACAGGGTGGTCAAGGAGATTCCTATAAAGCAAAGTGGTGTTAGCGTTACTAGTATTCTCAGAATGTGGGAATTCGCATATGCCTAGGATTAAACTAGGAGCGCAGCGATTCTGTCAGGTACAGCTTGTGCCCGCATCTTCCATATAAATCCAAGGATTGAGGTGTTTCTCCATACCGATCTGGTTGTCAACCACCCATTCACGGAACGTGGTCTCCTTGGCTGGTCGTAATCCACTCGGAGAGGAAACGTAGGCATTGCGCCCCTTCAGCTCCGGTAAAGGCTGTGATGGCACAACTGTGTCTGCCATGGTGGAGAGAGCACCAATAGTGTGGAGAAGATTCGAAATTCCACGGAGGGCCGAGGGAGAGCGAGGGCCGGGAGTCGGTAGAGTCGAGATCCGGGAAGCCAAAATGATCAATGCCGAGATGGATGTGGGACCTGCCTCATCTGAGCCTTATTTACTTCTTTTAACTTGACTCGTTCAACCAGGAACGTGAAAAGCAACCGTGTGAAAGTGCAAGAGAATAATTTGTAGGAGAAAAGGAGGGAATAGAGGGGGAACGTGGTTCAACTTTCGTTTCATCTCTTCACGACGATCATTACTCCACTCACCGCCTCGTTAAATGTTGAATGTCGAGATTGATGATTGGATGTAACAAGATGCATGTACTAAGTTCAGATGTGTCTTAGCTCGATATGGATAATTTTTTTTTTGGTTTTTGGATTCTGTATAGGTACTTTGTAGGCGTTGATGTCAACAGTCTACCATTTCCGGTCTATTTACTCCGTACTCTTCTTATGCCCAGTCTATGTCTTGGCACGTTGAGAAACGGGATAATAATATGTACAATATGTACAATATGTACAATATGTACGATGTAGATTAAAGAAATACATATATCATTCACTCTAAGCCCTCTGTAACATTTCGCACAAAATCATTGGCATTGACCCCCAATTGGGCCAAATCAATACCACCCTGCCCAGCCATCACCCGCGACATAGCCCTAGCAACTTCTTCCTCCTCCCAAATATTGTTGAGGATCTGCTCCCCACCTTCTCCGGGGCCCTGAGTGGGGTTCTCGGCAGAAACCATAGTCCGCCAATACAAATCATCTCGGTTCTTCAAGGTCGAATCCCGAACCACCGCATTGCGAGTAACACTCGCAGCATGGAGTTTCGTGTTTGCGCCCATGAGCGTCTGCACGGCCATCGAAACTGCCTCATCAACCTGCTCGACCGTAGAGGGCGGCTTGAAAAAGAACCGATTAGTTGCGGAAAGCCAGAGCACAACCGAGCAAATCACATCGCAGATCACGAAAGCCAGCGGTCGCAGGAGCGTGATGTGGTGGTAGATGCCGTAGGGCGGTGTCTGGCCTGCGCGCACAGAGCGTGGCGCACCCTGGATCGCGTCGTATGTGGCCATGATGTAGATGTCGATAGCTGCAAGTACAAGTCCGGCGATGGTGAACTTTGTGCGCCACCGGGAGGCCTCGCGCCCTGCGATGGGCGCAGATGTGGCCACGCCTAAGAGCAGCAGGTGCCCTAGGTGTGGTAGCAACACGTGGAATGGAAGGTAATACATGAGGTATGTGTAGAGGTTGTCGAAGGAGCAGTATTGGCACGAGACTAGGGCATCGGGGCCATACGTCAGGTATACCTTGCGAGCACCGAGAGAGGTGAACTTGGACTGGAGGAGGTTGTCGGCTTCGGTCAGGAAGTTATCTGGCCGAAGCCGGGCGAGACGGTTAAAGATGACATCGGTAGGAGTATTTAGACGAGAGCGAGTTTGAGAGAAGATGTTGGGTTCGGGCGCGTGGGGGTTGAAAGGTAGGCTTAGGAGTAGAAAGAAGACGATGCTACCAAATAGGATGTTCAGCGCGCGAGCGGGCGCGGCAGGGAGAGGACGCGGTGGTGGCCGACTCGCTATTGATACACGGAGACTTCGATAGGCGGTAATGAGGCGTGGAAGTAGGACTGGGCCGAAAAATATGAGGAGTGATTTGACGCTATTCACGGTTAGGATAGATTGATGATGTGGAGCTTTAAAACTTACGTCGACCAGGAGATTGCGATTGTAGCCATATTTGCTAGAATATGAACCTTACTTCATCAGAAGCTCGAACAGGTTGAATCGAGTTTCGACGAAAGAAAAGGTGTAGGAGTGTTCGAATGTTCAACGTACATATGTAGCTTCATTGAAGTCGGGGCCAAACGTGGGTCCCGTCCCTTTGGGAAACTGCCAACACAAAGACATCACTCCCAGGTTCTGACCTACAACCCCTTTGAATCTACTCCGTACCCTTGAACTACTGCTATTAATAGCTACACACTCTACAAATGATCCACCATAAAAAACAATATGTCTCAATTAGATCATTTAAGCACTAAGAAGCTAAAGCAAAACACAAGGGGAATAAAACGGCGCCGAGTGCGCCCATCGCAATAACGCAAGATTTCTGATTTAATCAACGCGAGTCTTTCCTTTCCTTCAAAACAACTCCATTTTCGAGGTAGTTGACCAGTCAACTAGCTCAAACCATGTGACCCGAGTACATAGCAGGGTGGTGTGCGAGGTCGGGAGGACGGATCTCCGCAGAGTCACGAGAGTACTTGGAGGAAGCAGCATCGTTCTCCTCAACGAGGGTCGGGTTCATGGGCTTGGAGATCTTGAGCGGGAACCGACCGGTGAGACGCTTCGTGGCACGCTTAACGGGGTTTTGGCGAGTGTAGGTGGGCAGGGTTTCCTCGCGCTTCACGCTCAAATGGAGGGTACGGTGGCTGCTGGTTCGGCTCATTGCCTTTTGCGGTGCGACGGCGCCGTCTACCCGCACCTGGCGAGCACTAACGCCGGTCTCAGGGTCGCTGAAGATGTAACTCTGTTGGAAAAAACAGGTTTAGCATTCGGTCAAGGATATACATTGGGGGATTGGAAGTTTTTGATCTCGGTACTTACTGCCAGAACATTCACCACGCTAATTATCATTGCCAGCACGCCGGCAGAGACGATGATTTGCCAGAAAGTCATTCCAATGGTTTCCTGAGTCATGGCCTTGGTGTTCAGGTTGCCCAGTGTCGCTACACCCAGGATCATCATGATCCCGCCGAGAGAATAGAAGCTAGAATCTTGTCCGAACATCGGCCAATGGTCATCGAAATAACTTTGGAGTACTGGGAGCTCTGAGATGATCATGAAGACTGCCAACGTTAGCACTTATATCACAAACAGGGAAGGAAGGATGATACTTACGGCTGACCAGAGCCACCACGGCATGGGTCACAGCCTCGAAAAAAAAGAAGCTGTTGAGCATGTTGATTTTGGCCAGCAAAACTGCACAAGCAGCTATAAGGTCCATAAAAGTGATAATGTTGAGAACGCGAATCACGTTCAGGATCACGTACCCTGGACCGGCCAGGGATTCACGCAAACGAGTCATCATGATTGAGGCACAGGCCTGTTTCTGTACTTGTCAAGAATGGTAGATACTCGCTGTCGAGGATGTATAGAAGATTGTCTATTGGCAGACTTGGGGGGAGGGTTGAGATTAAAAGAGGGAAGAAAGCGCCTGTCCAGCAGAAAGCTTGATATTCCAAGAAAGAATGGAACAATGCGATAGAACGAGATCAACTCGAGGGCAAGAAAAGAAGAAAGAAAGACAAAGACAAAAGAAAAGGATGAATGGGGGCGACAATGAAGAAAGACATCTATGGAAGAATGGCTATTGAGGTGCCGCGGCCTAGATGTATGGTCCCGACAATGGCGATAGTACTTTTTCTATGAATAGACTTGAAACATCTAGATACACCACCCAAATGGTATGTATGTACGGAGTAAATAGAAAGTGAAAGAGATCGGCAGGGTTCTTCACCCTATTTCTGTAGTCTCTCCAGTGGCAGATGTATACTGCAGGAGGTGTTTCATTGTTACGATCTAAGCAATGAATGGGGACCTTTAAGCGCAGAGATCGGGGTTGTAGCCGGAACAAGCCTAATTATCTACGCCTCCGCCATTCGGATCTGAACTAGGGCCCTATATAATCAAATGACTGGTCCTAAGTAGAGGATACTCGACTATGCTGAAACTAGTGGGCGGCTACAAATCGCCCTTCTTTCCCCCGTCTCCCCCGTGTTCCTCGTGTTTTGTTCCTGCTCGCTTCAAACATGCCTTATCGCCTACTGAGTATAGTTTAAATGATTATAGATCATACGTGTATCAACGTAGATCTGGCAAGATATTTGAAGGCCAGAATACATCGTAGGTAAGTGGGCTTTGAAGCGAAGCGCCAGGGTGAAGCAGAAAGGCAAAGTTGAAACAAGGTAAGAATATAGCCCAATCACAGCCAGCACATAGTCGCCGATCAAATGAGTCAGGAGAAAACAACAAAGAAATTCTCCAATAATCCAATCAAATTCAAGAATGTCGAGAGGAAGTGTATACTGAGGTACTCCGTAGATGAGTGGAACCCCTGTGATTCGCCCGATGGCAACCGACCCCTCCAAACTTTTTTTCTCTCACTCTCTCTAAACATTTCGCGCCGCCAACTATTTTTGATACTCTTACGATAATACCATAAAGTACAACATGACACGGGGTAACCAACGTGACAACGATCGGGCCAAGGCCTTGAAGAAGGCGGGCAACTCGGTTCGTCTTATCCCCCCCCCCCGGCTCCTCTTTATTCATACTGACCGTTCCTACAGAAGAACAAGAACACCCAGACCGGTAGCGAATTCGCTAAGAGCAAGGATGATGCCGCTGCCATCATGCGCGAGAAGCAAAGGAAGGGTGTGTATCCCCGAAGGCGCTAGGCGCAAGTTCAACCGCTTTGAAACCGGTTTACTGATTGCTCCTATTCTACAGCGGACGAAAAGAAAGCTGCCGAGGCTGCAGCAGGAGGCAAAAAGAAATAATGCGTCTCATCTCTCGATCCCACCCGTCAGTCAATCTCATCTGTCTCCACCTTTTTCGCGATCACCCAAAACGGACAACCGACCGAGCAGCGTCGCAAAGCGCACTACGAGCGAAGGGCGGCGTTGGGTTCATGGATAAGATTGGTACCATCCGCCTATGCCCAAATTTTGAAAACCCGGGGGCTGTGTGTCTAGCGAGGCGTTCATTTGAATCTCATTGGCGTTCATCATCATATATTTAGCGCAAGCATGTATACCAAAGCGCTAACCAAACGAGGCAACGACAACATGAGAAATATCATGGAGGTGCAATTTTTGGTGGTAATCGTAAACACGTAAACACATATATACATCCATATCACATCCGGTTATGTATCTTGCCCTTGGCCGTCTACGGCCCAATATACTCTCGCCCGGGCCAGCCAGGTCTGCCATGACTTCTTCTGCCGACTGTCCTGAACCATTTGGGAGTCACGAGATCTGGTTTCTTGATCGCAGTGCAAAAATATGGTATCCTCGATCATACTTTCAAGCCCAAACTGCCTCGATGCTTGGTCGATAAACGTCCAAAGGCTCTCGCCTTCCCAACCAACATTGAACGCAAACTTAACCACTCTGGCAAGAGAATCCACTCGAATCTGTTGCTCTAACACATGGCTTAGCACGTAGAGGCCGAAGCTCCAACCCGATATATCGCGTGGATTGGCCAAACACCAAGCAACCACCCGTTCGACAACCGACTGCGCCGAACGGGCTTCCCACATTGATTGCCCAGTCGTCTTCTCCACTGTAGCAGCGAGGAGCATACCCACCTGTCGCATGTAGCTGAACGCATAATAGTTCTTGGGATGCAGCTCTCCAGCGCGGAGAACAACACTTAGTTCCGTTTGTTGCAGCTTGAGCAGATCGTCGGGGCTCCAGTGCCGTCTTTGAAGCAGATGGACAACTACCCACAACCGGTGGTGCCAGAGCGTCGGTGACTTGGTATGGCGATGGAGTGGCGAGCACTGGTAGCTCGACATGAGCGTGAGCTCGGCTTCTAATAAATCCGTTGCGGCAGAGGTCTGGTTTGGAATACCAGGATAATGCGCCATGGCTGCCCGCAGTCGGCGCTTGCGCCAATTGCAGGCTGTGAGATGCTCACAGTCAAAGAGGAGCATTATTTCTGTAATAGCTGAATCTGTATTTCTAGACTGGGCGTCTGCGGAAAAGGTGGTTTGGAGGTCATCTTCGGACATAGGCATTAATCGTTCGAAGAAGAGCTGGCGTGCGACCGTGAAGGCCTGCACGAGTGCTTTCTTGGTTATCCCCAGTGAGCATCCATCTTGGAGGAATGTAGCGCCTAGACTTGATGGAATGATCTCGATCTCGAGGACCTGGTTGTCTCTAGATGAGAAGATTCGAACAAGTTCCTGGAATGCATCTTTCGGGTTGGACATTTGAGGGCTTGGTTGCTTGGTGGAAATTGGGAGGAATAATTGTCAAGACCTCATCGTATGTGTTTTGTCTCTTTGAAATAATTCCGTATTTTATTTGTCTTGCTGCAGGCAAAGTGGTAGACAAGACGGTGTAGACTGTGATACAGTGAAGGCGGAAAGGCCAAGTCCGCTGTTATTTCCACCTTTCCACAACGAGGGACGTCATTCACTCCTTCAACCAACAGCCATCTATCTTGCCAGGCTATTTCCTGTCTCATCCAGCAGAGTTACCAGATACTCGCTTGGTCAGCCGACTGTGCCCGCCGTCGCTTTCTTCCAGGCTCCCCGAGCCTGCGCCGTCGAATTCAACGCCTCGTCTAGGTCTTGCCATTCCCCGCCACGATGTTGTCCCTCGTCCTCACGGTATTCTTCGTGCACGTCGCAATTTACCTGGTCAATACGATCGGTGCAAGTACCATCGACGGTCTTGTATGTATCCAACAATCCCATTTGTGGGCTTTGAGAAGCTTCCCAGCTCCGCCGCACACCTATATTGTGATTCTCAACGCTGACACCACTCTTTTGGTAACAGTTATGGCTCCTCTACCTAAAACTGCCGACATCAACCTCACGGACTGCACGCAAGCAGCAGCAGTTGAAGCGCCAAGTCCTCGAGCAGAAGCATGAAATGAACAGCACAAGCTCCCAAGATGAGTTTGCGAAGTGGGCCAAGGCCCGGAGACGACACGACAAGACCATGGAGGAATACGAGGCGCTGAGTACGTGTCACTACCACAAGACTACAGGAGGTGTTGTTATTCATGTTGCTCAGACTGCTAACATCCTGGTCTCTCCACAGACAAGACGCTCACCGCGCAGAAATCCTCCTTCGACTGGATCGTGAAGATCGCCCGCTGGCTCAGCACAAACGGGTTGAAGATGTTCCTGCAATTCTGGTACTCGAAGACGCCTGTCTTCCCACTCCCCGAGGACTGGTTCCCCTACTACGTTCAGTGGATTTTGTCATTCCCTCGCGCCCCGCTGGGATCCGTCAGCATCCATGTGTGGAACAATGTCTGTGCAACTACCATTGCGCTCGTCGCCGAGGTTGTGGGAGCATTGTTGGTGCAGGTGGTTGGCCAGAAGGAACAAAAGGAGGCCGTGCCCGTCGGCGTTGAGGGCAAGAAGGCACAGTGAACACGAAAACACATGGGCTTGGTTATATTGCATGGAGACTGGTTGTATTATACGAAGTGAAATGCTACGATTTACTTATGAATATTGCATTTTAATCATTCATTTCAATTGCATTGTGATTTGATCAGCTAGAACTGGAAGACTATGCTATGTAGAATGTTCATCAGATAATTTTAAATCGTTTATCGTCAACAATCCCTTGGGATCTCTGTGCTTGACTCTATGATTGGTATATCATCACGCGAACAAGAAAAAAAATAAAGCCTATGGCAAGATAGAAGAGTCCGGCCCCTGTGACAGGGCTTCTGCGATGAGACAGCATCTCATCACCGCTTTGCCATAAGCTACAGACTCTTGAAAAAAAGAAAAGACCAAGGAACTCCTCGCCTCAAGAATGAGCCCCATTGAGTTACCTCCATCGACTTCCGAGGAAGCAGACAGGAGGCAATCGCATGACTATCCGAACATGACGAAAGGCAACCCAATACAAGAAAAGGTGTTTTACCACCAATCCTTCCCCCCTCCAACACCCAGCACACACCCCATTGTTTCCAGAGACATGGTGAAATGTAACCGTCGGGTGGCACGAGGTACTGTGAGGGAATAGGGCGTAAGCCGCTATCGAATTGCTTCTATGGCGGCGCGTTTCCGCAGTGCCTGACTTTGTACTTTGGTTTTACCCAAAGCGCAGGGTGTCCGGGGACTTTCTCCCAAAGCAAAATTGGAAAAGGGAGCGAGGCTTCCTTTTGTGCGTGAGCTTTGAATGCGATTCTTTGAGCGAGGAGTTGGGAGAAGAAAAGGAAACGGAATCTTCGGTGCAAGGCTTTTATTTTTCTCGCGCTAGTCAGGTGATGGGGCTAGTCCTGGTTGGGGCTAGCGTATTTGTCGTCGGGTTAGGGCTTGTGATATTCCGAAGAGCATCTAGAAGGGAAGCGTCAAGCAGAAACGGCAGGGAAAATGATGGTGTTTTTTTTTCACTGTTATAAGAGATACAGGTAGAAAATTGGGCAGAGAAAGACACACATGCACACAAAGAGAATATCCGGGAGGGGAGAAAACAGGTCCTAATAACCTCAGAGAATCCCTATCAACCATTGCCATATGTACCCTTCAAACTTCACCTTTGTTTCTGTGGTTTATTAATGCTGGTTTAGGCTTTAAAGAGTATTAAAGGGGATTTACTGATGAACATTTATTGATGAAGAAAAAAAAACACAATGCATTTGACAAAAAGGCTTGATGAATGAAAGTACAAACAATTTTTACATGATCCCGTTTACGCCTTGGACTTGGTCTTGGTGGCCTTCTTAGTGACCTTTCCCTTCGCCTTGGTTGCAGGAGACTTAGCAGCAGGAGACTTAGCAGCCGGTGACTCTGTAGCAGCGGCCTTAGGGGTCTCTGTCTTCTTGCCCTTCTTGGTCTTCTTGGGGGTATCATCGGTAGGAGCAGGAGCCTCAATAGCAGCAGGGGCCTCAACAGGAGCAGGAGCCTCGACGGCCTTGGCGGGCTCCTCGGTGGCAGCCTCGGTGGTCTCGGTGGCCTCGACAGCCTTGGGGGCCTCCTGGATGGGGACATCATCGACGCTCTTCAGCTGGGGAAGATCGAGCTCGTAACCAAGAGCCTTGAGCTTGTTAACCTTAGCCTGTCTCTTCTTCTGCTCGGACTCGATGCTCTTCGACCACTGTTCACGTGTCTTGCCCTTTTCGAGACGCTTCTTCTCGATGCGGTTCCATGGCGTAACCTTGAAGCGGCGGTTGGCGCCCTTCCAGATCTCGGGGTGCAGCTGCTCTTTGGGAACGTACTTGCACTTGACGATGTGGCCGTACATGAGGTAGTTGTCCATTGTGTCAGCGACAATCTTGGCGACGGTGGTCGAGGAGAATTCAATGAAGGCGTAGTGCTTGGAGCGGCCAGTGAGGCGGTTGCGAGAGAGACGGAGCTTGGTGATTTCGCCGAATTGGGAGAAGTAAGCCTTCATCTGGTGCTCGTAGAAACCGTGGGGGATACGTCTGAGAATGGGATGTTAGATGGTTCAAACTGGTCAGAGATTACGGTCGAAACTCACCCAATGTACACAGTGCCGGGCTCCTCAGGAGGGCCATTCTTGCGCAGCTGCTTGGCGAGCTTGCGCTCGGCCTTCTTGGTGTCTGGGGCCTTGGGGATAGGTTCACCCTCTTTGTAACCCTCGCCATCAGACTCGTCCTCGTCGCCACTGCTCTCGAAGCCCTTGATGAGAGCCTCGGTCTGATCATCACCCTCGTTCTCAGCATCGCTTTCATCAGCGGGGGAGACATTATCCTCGGCATCTTCCTCCTCGGACTCAACAACGGGCTCGGGCTTCTTGGTCTTAGGGGCGGCCTTCTTCGCGGCGGCCTTCTTGGGAGCGGGGGCGGCTTCGGCCTCCTCCTTCTTGGACTTTTTAGCGGCGGGCTTCTTCTCGGCCTTCTTGTCGGCCTTCACGGGTGCAACAGGCTCTTCGGCCTCCTCGTCGGTAAGGAAGTCGGCAGCACGCTTGCGAGGTTTGACCTGGCGTGTGGGCTCGTCATTGGTCTTAGCCGGCGCAGCAGCCTTCTCTGTCTTGGCCTTGGTACCCTTCTCGTTCTTCTTCAAGATAGACTTAGGAGCAGCCTCCTTGGTTGCCACAGCGGGCTTGGCCTCGACCTTCTTGGTTTTTTTAGCGGGCGAGTCGGCGGCGACAGGCGCAGCTGTAGTAGCGTTAGTGGGATGAAAAGAAATTTCACCGATCATAAGCATTTCACATACCCTTGCGCTTTGAAACTCTCTTATCAGGGGCCATTTTGACGTTTTGTTGTGTCGAATTGGAGACTGTACGCTGCTCGATCATCTGCGGGAAACTTTTTTTTCTTCTCTGATTTGCTTGGAAAGCGGTGAGCCGCCTCGACCACCGATTACCGTCGTCACCGCCAAGATGTTTACTTGCTACAACCCAAAATTCTCCAACCCCAAAAGGGCCAGGAACATGGGGAAGACTAAAAAAGCGACCTTGACACACGCGGAGGTCTGGGATGATTCTGCCCTGGTCCAGTCTTGGGACGATGCTGTCGAAGAATACCAGGTCGGTCGCCAAATATTCAATTCACGTGACCAATATCTAACCTGACAGCAGCATTATTGGAGCATTCACGCCAAGGGTGAAAATGTTGACGATGTCTTGAAAGAAGCCGAAGGCACTGGTATTACTCCAGCTGTGGGCTACGGTGACGGTGAAAGCGCCAAAGCCACAGATGATAATGCCACTAAACCTGAGAATGAGGACGTCCCAATGACCATTGACGACCACACTTCCGAGTCTGCTCCCCAGGTATATTGCCAGCTTGTTGATATATTTCTCATCAAAGGACTTGCTGACGTTATGTAGCCTTCTCAACCGGTGGCTGATGCCAGTTCGGCGGTTTCTACGCCTGCTATGCCTATGCCTCACCCCATCATGGCAAATGGTATGCTCTACCTTCGGGACATGTTGATTCAGGTAACTAATATATACTTCTAGTCCAAGATGAGTCCTTGAAGAACCTTATGATGTCATGGTACTATGCAGGCTACTACACGGGACTTCATGAAGGCCAACAGCAGGCAAGCCGCGACCAGAGCTCATGATGCAAACACAGCAGGGTGGTGAAAGGGACAGGTTTTACCCAAACAAGCATATGAGCGGCCACAAATTCACCAATTACAGACTGGGAACCAAAATGTAACAGACAAGCAACAGAACTAATCATATCAAATTAATCGTGAAACTGAGCAAGGATCTCATTGACCATTCCCCTTGCAAACAAAAGTAAATAACGAAAATAAATATCCACCAACCAGCATCTTCCGAAAGAGGAATGCGTGCATCACAGATTCCGAAACACCTTCATATCCAGTCTCACGTATCGGGGGTCGATATTTGGGTAATCAGAGACCACCTCCAGCACCACCAAGAAGACCACCAATAAGGGGAAGACTTCCTAGGGCGTTAGGCTCAGATGTGGGCTTGTGGGTGGCGGTAGCAGTTGGGGTCACGAAATTGCCGGAGGAAAGCTTTGTGGTAAGGGTAGGAGCAGGGTTGTCACTAGCCGCTTTCTTCGCATCCATCTTCGCGTAAGCCTTGGCCTCTTCCTTTTTGGCCTCCTCCTTCGTGGCCGCCTTCTTGTCCTCTTTTTCTTTGCTGTCGAGACCATCCATCAACTTGGTGGCATGCTAGTTTCATTGGTTAATATAGTACAGGTAATTGGGGTTTGAAACGCTTCACTAACCACCAATCCGCTAACAGTACCCTGGAGGCTGAACGGTTGACTGGCGGGTTGCTCATCACGCTTGGTGGGCATGGACAGAGTGAGGACCGCAAGGACGAGGAAAATTGAGATGAATGAGAGACTGAATCGGGCCATTGTGGATGGTGGTGTGTGTTAAGGATATAGATTAAGTGAATATATGTCCAAGTGATTGATGGGTTTCAAACGAGTGTGTAAGTGGAACAGTTGAAGAAAATGAGTGATTGTTGCAGGTGGAAGTGGCGCTGGGAGAGACAGAGCCCTTGGCTCTGCGGGAGTTACGTCGGATTTTATACAGCCCCTTCAATCATATCATAGATGGAATGGGAGGCCAAGGGGGGGCTAGCTAGGGTGGAGAGCCTTGTTGCAACTAGCTACCGCGCATGCGTCTTCGCGTGGTATTCGGACTCCTGTGTGGGATAAACAATAACAGTATTATCTTGTTTATTTTATGAGCCCTTTGGCCATGTCCAATGGCTGTTTCGGGAGGGAAAGTTGATTCATTCTCCTATAGATTGGTATGGGCGTTAATGCCTCGTATCTCGAAGTATATCTGTTGCAGCTAATTATTGGCGTGAGATCAAGGGATAACCATTCAATTTAGTGAATAAGTGACTAAAAGTGAGGCAAAGTGGCCAAGACTATGTGGACCACGCCTCATGATGAATCGTGCCGCATTCCATGTTGAAACGTTGGAGTTGCAAGGATTGCATACATAATCATGCCTAACAGCGAACACTCAACAATTTTTACGAACTTGTTTTGGAAATTTCAGTCATGTAACTGCTCAAAATGCAGAAACACAACTCTCGCAGGGTTAGAGACACATGTCTTCGATGAAGGGTTGCTGCAAGTCCCTAGCGCGAACTGATGTGAGATGCAGATTTACAGCATTCCAGGACAACGGAGCATTCTTGTCTTTTCTCCGATATTAGCAGGCGGCGCCTGTCTGTCACAAACCTGTGTCACCAAGTACAAATGGGGTAACCATTTGCAATTTATAGTTGTCTACAAGGAATGTATCTCCCTACTTTGACACGCACAGCCCCATGGAGGGAGCGGACGTAACACGAGGGAGTCTCCAGAAGGACGTATCCAACTGTGAGGGCTTAGTTTTGGCATCTTTTTGACCTCAGACACCAAGATTTGATGAACAAGACTTCGAAGATGCCAAGGTTGTTTACATCTATCTAGCTATATAGGGATGGGTTAGTGGATAAAAGATCTGAGTATGATCATCCCTGTCTGGAGGAAGTGACCATGCAAGTTGCAAGGACTGAGTGCCTCGCAGGGTTGAGACCCAAGCATCAAGAGTTCAGAGCCAGCCAAAGCTGGCCCCTGCGAGTAAACACGGGTTCCAAAATCACAAACTCTGCAAGACTAAATCGCAAGATTCATATCAATACATGATTTGGGAATGTTGGCTCAAAAGCGAACCCGTTCCCCTCTGGCTGAATGTCAGGGGGCGGGATTAGAACGAGCATTCTTCGGTCTGGGTCCCTAAACTAAAATATGTAGATAGAGTGAGATTATTCCATCGACAAGAGTGTGTTGGGGACCGTGTATATGTTTTGAAGTGAAGAAAGAAAGGAAAAGAGAAAGCCGCTCGCAAAATTTTATTCGACGGGGCCAGTAGCGCGGATTATGTCATGGAGTCACGTGTATCGTGTTATTTCTGTGGGCCTCCAGCCTCCCTTTGATACCAACACAGCCTCTCTAGTTTCGAGTTGGATTTGACAAATTAGAAATCAAATGTAAACCCTATTTTGTTCATTCATTTTGGCTGTGAATTTGATATATCTCGCAAAATGTGTTTCAAATTGAGATCTATATGAATGCGGATGCGGGTGTGGGAAATATATAAACAGTTTCAAGTATGGAAGGAATTCACCGTATTAAGTATTAAAATGGTTCACAATACTGCCAGCTCACTTATGTTATTGACCTGTGAAGTGATGAAACGAGCGATTCAACGTGCAAAACTTATTCTGTATCCTCAACTGGACGGGAAAGCCGGCCCCGTGGTACCCACGCCGTAGCCGGAGTGAAGAACCACGAGATGAGCGCGAAGATAGTCACGATGCCCATGATAATTGGTGCATCTAAATATATATCAGCACAAAGTCTCTTTCAATAGCTGCCAGTAGCAGAATTCACTTACAATTTAGGGTAGAGGCTTCAACGGGAAACGAATATGGCGAGAAGAGCACCGCAACAACCCAGCCGTTCCACAAAACCGAGATAAATTGGAATGGCTTGCTTAGTCGCCCGAGAGACCATTTTGCCTCAAGCTTCTCGCCGGATGTTAAAGTCAACCTTCCAAGGCTAATGAGCCCGTACGCTGCAGCTGATGGAACACCCGCAGCTGAGACCAGAGAAGTAAATGCCACCGCGGACGGGAGGATAGTGCAAGTAATAACCGCGGAAACACCCCAAACAACAAGGACTGCGTTCCTGGGTTGGCCCTCCGCAGAGACCCGCGACACCCATCCAGATAGTGGGAGTACTCCGTCACGGGCGACGGCGAAAACGAGACGGGACGCTGCTGTAATGGCGATGGCGGTATTCTATTAAAAAAGGTCAGTATGTTCTCTTATAGGCCAAACATAGATTTATTATTCTATTAGTCATGGGGAGTTCAAGAACAAAAGAAAAAACATACCAGCCATAGAGCTACGACCGAGAGAACATTCATAACAATATGTCCACCTTCGCCTAGAAGTGCAGCATACAAAGGCACGAAAGGTTGGGGTGCGTCATATGAGAAGAGAACATCGATTGGCGGCTGGAAATTTGTTAGTTTCTGTGCTCTAGATGAGAAGTTACTGGATAAACCCACCGAAGTGAAAAGGAATAAGATCACGGCAGAGAAGCCAAGAACACCACTGACAACTGTACTCCAGAAGATACCCTTGGCGGCATTGACGGCAGCATTCTTAGTTTCTTCGGCAACATGACCGGAGGCATCAAATCCGATCAGAATACCTGCAGTCGCTAAGTATGAAAGACACCAGTTCCAACCAGCTGGGGCGCCGGTTCCGTTGTATGTAGTCATGAAAGCTTCATTGGCAGTCCGCAGGCCGAAGGTGTTATGGGCACCAATCGGAAGCCAAATGACGTTCAATATGAAGTCCAGAAAGACAGCACCGGTCGAGAACCAAAAGACATATTTGAATACCCGCGCTGTAGAATGGAATTAGTATTGATACCAAAAAGCTCAACTGCGGGTCAAGATTGAGAGATGAGAATATATGTGTAAGCCCACTATGAGAGTATACGTACCAGATGCGAGGTTCATCAATGCGGCTAAAGCCAGCAGGACTTCAGTGCATATCCATTGGACAGCACGAAACTTGACGCTTGAGACATCAGTGGGAAAGTCAACATTGAAAACAGCCAACTCCTAAGCCAAGTCAGTTCGAAGTTACCCTGTCAGATATAGCAAAAGAAAACGCACCGATAGCATATAGTTCACAGCTGACTGGGTATTGCCTATCGTTTTCAATCAGTCAACTCGGATATGGACGAAGATGACACCCGAGGGACTTACTCGCGCAGAAGGTTGTCCAAGCTGTTGTGCTCCACCAGGCCACAACGAAGCCAAAGAGTCGCCCAAACCTTTTACCGCCTGCCTCTGCAGCCCAGAGATAAATTGAACCAGCAGATGGAGAGGCCGAGCACGCTTCTGCGATCACAGCTGCTGTGATGAATGTAAACACACAGGTTACAATGTAACTCGTCCTGATATACACGTTAATAAGGCCACCTTTGTTGCTCTTGAATCAGGTTGTGGATCATTACCAATAGGCCAATGGTCCTCCAGCTGCGATACCTGTTGTAAATGTCACTCGGACACCACCGACGAAATACAGGGCAGCTGACCGAAAACGTTAATGACCAAGAACCAGACACCCATATTGTGACAGGAGAAAGAGGAATAGATACCGAACGAAGTTGAGAAATTCTCAAAAAGTGAATAACTGCGGTGAAGAACCTACGTCAATAAGCCCTAAGTCAGCGTGCAATTCTCGAATGAAGATATATCTCATTCCACTCACTTGCTTATATCCTAGACGCTCCTATAAAAAGCCAGATATGTTAATTCATGCCATATCTTCGTTGCACATGAGAGGTACCATACCAATGTATTTTCATCACTAATATTCACCTCCTGTGCTAAAGAGTCTTCGGGATTCTTAAGATCTGCCATGGCTCCGATGTAGGCGAAAGTGAAGTGCGGGCAGTTCTATACTGGATCCTACGAGGGGACCGATTAGAATAAATAGGGACAAATCTTGTTAGAGCGAACCTTCGATGGCATTATTTACTACTTCTGGCACGAGGTAGTGCCGAAAATGCTAAAATATGGGGCTGATGGCTCAAATGTGGACCTCGGGTTCCTGACAAAATGGTTCTGTATGGCGCAAGATTATGCCACCAACGGTCCCGGTGGTGTTATCACGGTGCAAAATCGCCAAACCGCGTGTATGAGATAGGGCAGTTTCATTTCGAATAATATACGGAAGGTATAAGCGATGGGCTATTTATTTAGGACGGATCCTATAAGTTGGTTCTCATAAAGCATTCAGTAATTTCTCTGGTTACCAGTGAACATACATTGTCAAGTGAGACATGCTAGAAGTCATGTCATTGTTAACCTGGGGCTTCCTTATTTCCCTTGGAGCTATTATTTGGGTATGCTAAGAAGTTTGTTAATTTGAAAGAACTAACTGACGGTTCGAAAAGATTGTTCATACCTACTTCTTCTCTCCTCTATCACATATTCCCAATGCTAGTTTACTTGCGCCAATATCGCGTTTACTATGGGAATTTCCCACGGAGTATCGAGGACGTCTGACTTTGGAACTACCAAAACTACACAAGCGACTTGGTGAGTTCTAGNTTTTTTTTTTTTTTTTTTTTTTTTTTTTTTTCAAACGTAGAGCGGCCGAGTCACATCTCAATGCAAACATGTTCTCACAACGTTCAAGGCCCTTTGGTTCGAATAGGTCCCAATGAAATATCCTTCTACTCCCTCGATATTTACAAGCGAGTCCATGCAGCAGGCAGTCAATTTGTCAAGGACCCTCGAGTCTACAGCCAGTTCGTGCAAGATGGACACCCGGCCCTTTTTTCAATTACGTGAGTGACTTATCGAAGAGAAGACAAGGGATTTCCTAAAATGTCTCTGTAGAGATCCCAAAGAACATGCGCAACGGCGCCGGCACATGGGTGTTCTCTTCAATCGAAGCAAAGTGCCCATTCTTACGCAGATGATGGTAGAAGAGATATCGAGGTTTAATACCCTGCTTGGCAATCTCAGCCAAGGATCCCTCGACTTAATTCCCACTTGTCGAGCCCTTGAAGCGGACATCGTTTGTAAGTGAATATCAGGTAAATGATCATAACGAAATTTTTGACGTGATGTCTTTAGCAAGATTCGCGTTTGGAAATTCTATCGGGGCGATCGAATCTTTGAAGGGAGGAGAAGAACTGCAAATCGTTAAAGAAAACGACCTGAAGTCCTCAAAAATGTCACTGGTATGTACCTTGACCGTATTACCCGAAGGCAGCGCTCATATAAAATTTTCAGCACACCAATTTCCCCTCTTTAATGAGAATGTATGAAATAATTGGGGAATTTACTTTTCGAGTTACCGGCTGGGGTGGCTCGTCGACCTCAAGCAAAGAATTTGAAGATGTGTGTACGACCCAAAGCTTGAAGAATATTTCCTATGTTTAAAATATTAACAAGTATTTAAGTGGGCAAGCGAGCAGTTGAAACTTGCTGCGGACTCCGAAAAGGCACCCGAGGTGTCATTTCTGAAGGTTATGGCTGGGGAAAGGATCTCTCCGGAGTCTGCCTTGTCAGAAAGCAAGGAGATGCTAGGCCCTGGCACTGACACAACATCTGCCACGCTTGCTCATATATTGTGGGCACTGTCACTTAACCAGTCTTTACAAGACGATCTTGTTTCAGACTTGAATGCTGCGAATTGGACCACGGACATGACCGAGCTCGAGTCAATACCAAGACTGACAGCTTGCGTGAAGGAGGGGATTAGATGGACTGGAGCAGCATCAGCTATGCTACCCAGAATTGTACCGACGGGGGGATCGCTGCTCGCTGGAAAGCAGCTTCCTGGTGGTGTAAGCTCTTTTGCACAAACTGCACTGCTATGTGGCTAATATTTCACAGACTATGATTTCCAGCTCGCCCATCTGGTATCTACATGATGAGACTGCTTTCCCTGAGCCCTATTGTTATCGACCTAATAGGTGGCTCGAGAGAGACGGCGAAGAATCGGCTACTTTGCGCAGCAATTATTATATCCCGTTTTCCAAGGGCCCTAGTACCTGCATTGGCAATCAGTATGTGGTACCTCCGATATTGGCGTGCATATATAATTAGTACTTTTCCATTTGCTAACTCGAGGCGAAAAATAGCTTCGCATATCTGGAACTTTACCTATCGGTTTCCCAGATCTTGAAAAAGTATCGTATCCAGCAACCAGAAGAGTCGACAATCAATGTTGATGTTGAGGCAACTCTTCCCCCACGACTAGAATGGGTTGCTGCCGTTCCTACTGGGAAATTGCAGGTTGTCGTGTCAGAAAGAATCTCCTGAAGATGACGTGCAGAATGCTACTAGAATAACCATCTTAAAAGGTATCCAAAAAGAGCATCGGAGTTCCTGATCGGATTTGGTTGAGTGGTTGGATTCGGTGGTATAACAGATTTATCCGAGCTTGCGCGCTTAAGCCAGGGATATAAATTACACACATACAAAGACGCACGTCGGAGAGTTCCCTCGCAATCCTGAACCCAATAGTTGAGAGGGGTTTGATGAAGCCACTTTCCGATAGAGTGTTTATATTATCGGTCGCCAGGTTATCACTGCAGGCTGATACTACAATAGACATAGAAATCCTCATCAATGCTATTGAAAATGAAAACCATACATAAGAGGAATATTGTAAGAGTATAGCTAGAATGAGAATCTATGTTCATCCACATCCAAACCTATCGGTAGTTCTCCTGCAGATCCTGCAGATCCTGCAAATAGGGGTGATATTCACACCTAAGGCATCAACATTCCCGCATGTTCCGAAATATCTGAAATATCAGTCTGGAAGCAAAAGAAAAGAAGAAGACACATATAATTGCATGAATAAATATACAAAATGGGCCGAAAAGTACAAAGATCATTTACACAACTAATCTTCTTTCTCTGCATTCTCTTTTTCATCTTATACCTAAACCGCCCGCAATCAGCCAAAGACAAACTCTTTGCCTGGACCAAAATTCGCTACAAAACAACTTCATCCATCATCCCGGAAGCCCGCGGAATATGCCCCGGCCTAGCAGAAACAACCAAACCAGCCCTAATAGTCTCACATGTCTCCACGGATGGCGACCCATCCTGGCTGGAACCCCTTCGCACCCAGTACCATGTATGCATGTACCAAGTGGACGCGCCAGCAGACAAAACCTCCAAACTGCTCCAAGTCCCCGCAAACCGCGGACATGAAGCAATGGCCTACTTAACCTTCCTAATCGACAACTACGCGGACATACCATCCGCCGGCGCCGTCTTTGTGCACGGCAGCCGTTGGGCTTGGCACAACGACATCCCAGATTACGACAACGCAGCGCTCCTACGCAGCCTGGACGTTCGCGCAGCGCTGAAGCCAGCCGGGTACAGCAACCTGCGCTGCGACTGGAGTGCCGGTACGTGTCCTTCTTCCGTGCCAGCGCAGGGCAGTCTCGAAATGAGACTGTCAAGCGTCGTGTCGCCGTGGAGTCCGCGCTCGGCATCAGATATAGCCCTGCCGAAGGCGCTTGGCCATATATTTGGCGGGGATGCTGAAGCACGTGTCGAAGAGATTCGCAATGCTTTTCATCTTCGTCTTGGTCGGAATGATGCCGTGCGCGCGCAGTGCTGTGCGCAGTTTGTTGTTTCCCGCGACCGGATCTGGCAGCATGGTCGGGATGAGTATATCGCGCTTCGGCAGTGGCTGCTTGATGGGAGTGATGATGGGGTTGCGCGGAATTTTCAGCGGGGATCTATGGCTGCGCCTGGTGATGACCGTGTGGCTGGTCGGATTGTTTCGTATCTCTGGCATATTCTTTTTGCGAACTATGGGGATAATGGAGGTATTGACCTTGACCAGTTGAATCGCGATGCTTGTCCTAGTGCTTCTGAGTGCTATTGTCGGTTGTATGGTAAGTGTGATTTGAAGTGTCGGGGTCCGGGGAGCTGTAAAGGGCAGTATTCTGTGCCGAAGAACTACAAGCTCCCTGAGGATTGGGAGAAGACGCATTCATGATAATTTCTCTTATGGTTTGTGCTTGTTTATAGAACGGATTTTAAACATTTTGGGCATATAGATTGGGATACATTGGGATGCATTGCGAGAAAAATAGGATATCATGCAATTTCAAGTCTGGTCGATAGAGATATGTACAAATTGTTGGATCGAAATAGTGTTTACCTATGCCTCTAGAATCTGGCAAGGACCCGCTCTTGGGTATCTGAAAGGGCATACTGAGAGCTGTGCTTCTTGCTCACGACAGACTTGGCCTGCTCGGCAGTGAATCCCTTGGCCTCCACAGCTGGGTTGTAGCCTAGACCGTTGATCTTGCCAACAACATCTGAAGGCACAGCGGTGGCGACCTTACCGTCAGTACGCTTGTAGACAGTCACAACAACGGCACCACCCAGACCAAGGTTATGCTGCAGTGCTGCGGAAGTACCGTCAATCAGGCGGTTGTTTGCCCAGCCACGCAGGTGCCAGACCAACTCAGCACACTGAGCAATACCCGTAGCACCAAGCGGGTGACCCTTGGAGATGAGACCGCCGGATGGGTTGATAACCATCTTTCCGCCGTACGTGATATCGCCACGGCGGACCATCTCATGAGCCTGACCGGGCTCACACAGCTCCAGCGCATCAATAGTAATCATCTCATTGGCCGAGAAGCAATCGTGTAGCTCACAGACCTTGATGTCCTTGACATTCACGCCGGCCTCAGCCGCGGCAGTGCGGCACGCCTGGCGCGTCATGCCGAAACCCATCAGGTCAATAGAGCTCTTGCTATAGACTGTATCGGTATCGGTGGCGAGGCACTGGCCGGCGATGAGAATGGCATGTTCCTTCAGGTGGGGTCGCGCATCGAGGAAGTCCTGCGAGACAATAACAGCGGCGGCACCGCCATCCGATGTTGGGCAGCACTGCAGCTTGGTCAGAGGCTCGTGGATCATGGGTGCCTTCATAATCTGCTCAAGGGTGTATTCATCTTGAAATTGCGAGTAGGGGTTGCGCTTGGAGTGCTCGTGGTTGATGCGGGCAATCTCCGCGAAGTCCTCGTTTTTAGCACCGTACCTATTTTCTACCAATTAGCATCATATCCCTTATTGCCGAGAGTTGATATTGCCCCGAAGGGTTGCGCACTTCTCCTTGTATTCTATACCCGCGTTTCCGAACATCTGTGCAGCACCCGGCGCGTTGGTCACACCCCGCGTCTCGGCCATCATTGTTCCAAACAGCCCCGTTGGGTTCTCGCGATCGTTGTACATGGATTGCAAGCTACCGGGGTTCATTTTCTCGAAGCCGACGACCAGCACACAGTCTGCAGCACCATGGGAAACCATAGTGCGGGCCATGGCGAGGCCTGTCGAGCCTGTCGAACAATTGTTGTTGACGTTGTATATAGGGATGCTGGTCTGGCCGAACTGGTAGAAGACGCGCTGGCCGCATGTGCTGTCACCATAGACGTAGCATGCAACACCCTGGTCAACATCGTCGTAGTTAATCTTCGCATCTAGCATGGCTTTGATGCCGGCTTCATAGCCTAGCTCGTGGTAGTCGACCTTGCCGCGTGGCTTGATAAACTTGGTCATGCCAACGCCTAGGACATAGGCGGGGGTTCCTTGCTTTTTTCCCATGGTGTATATGTGAGTTGAATTATCGGTAGAGGTAAAGGTAAAGGTATTTATCACAGGTCTGGCTCGAGAAGCAAGGTCTTATAAATACGAGATAAGCCTGGGGTATGTGGGGAGCTCAACATGAAATTGCGGGGAGAGGCCGAGGTCCCGAGGAACCAGGTCCGCGGCACTGCACAATTTTATTCACATAACCTCATCATTGTCGAGATTATCGATTGGAACGTAATCTACTACAAGATCCTGAAAAGTAAAGAAAAATATGAGTTTGTTGATCAAACTTGGGTCTCACGTGAAAAGAGGCCGGGACGTACAAGATAAATCACAAGGTGATCACCCTGTGCAATCAACCTCTTCAAAAATTCATTATTCAGTTGATCTGGTAGCACAGTTGGAATCAGGTATTGTTGATTATGCATCCAATTGCAGGAGTTGATATGGCCTGACTATATATATATGGACATCGTTCTATGAGCAGCCATCCAACCTTCCAACCCTCCCAAGGAGAAAATGGAGTGCTCTCCGATTTCAGTGCCATATTGCCTCATACGATGATACCATTTCCACGGGAAAGAGTCGTTCTTGCGGTCCACTGCAGTGACATGAGGCAAATACCCCATATTTAAACAGCTGCTCCCTACCCCTACTCCGTACCTACAGCGTCGGGACTACCCAAGGAAGCTGGCTTACTGGAAAATTGGATTGCTTAATGATCTGCAGCCTCTCCCAATCACAGAAAAGTGGTTTGGTTTAGATTGGAGTCTGGAATTTGGTTTACAATCATTCCACGGTTTCGATTGATGCGATTAATTGGTGGGTGGTAATAAGCCCAATCCCTACATATGTACGTGGGGCCCTACCCGGTCACGGAGTACTGCCCTCCACATATATTGTCAAGTAGATATCACCATGATCCGTGGTCTAACCTTCTGTGATCAGCTTCCAAGGTCTACTTTACATACTCCGTAGCCCATAAAGTTCTCTTCCTGTCTCTGCACAAAATTTATAGAAGGTTAGCAAAACATGATCAGACTGCGACCGGCAGATGTGCTACGGAGATACTAAGATTAAAGATAGTGTAATTGATTTCCCGATAGAATGAGATCAGTGTCTCTAAATCTAACAATGCCATTTCCAATGTGAATTTCCAACTAATCCGGGGGTAAGCACTAAGAAGATGTCCACTGTTATCCGCTGCTGTTCACGAAGACGTCACTCTGTTTGGCCCTAAACCGCATTGAGCGCCTAGGTTAAGCTCGGTCCACATGCCATTTTACTGCACTTCCTACTTCTCTCCTTCACATAGCATCAGCTCACCCTCTGTCTGGTGAGATATCTGGGAATATTGTCAGTAAGTTGTCCTCATGAAACAGATAAACTCGAAATCCGTTACGTCCTGCTATTAAGAACGGCGTGGAAAGTAAATTGATACTAATGGCCGTCTTCGTCTCCCCACAGCTCCCGATCACTGTTAGTAACCCATTGCTATAGACGACGCATCTTGGGCAAGAACACCCCGACTGTCTGGAACAGGGGGATCTCCCAGAATATCACTTGAACCGCCCAATCCCGCACCACACCTCCTAGATCCCATTCGTGAACGCGGGGTCGCATCTTTGCTGTGGCCGTAATCGTTTCGGCCACCCATATCGAACCTATCCTTATAATCTGCAAATACGGATCTCAACGCGCCAATCTACATTGCGAGAGTGCCCCGGGGTACTTTACAACAGACTGAAGATAGAGCTGGGTTGGTCGGGCCCGTTTAATGAACAATTGTGGGACGCTGAACGGTCTACTCTAGTTCTGAGAGACCGCTTTGCGTTCCATCGGGTTCCCCAGCCTGCAAGTATAAGAGTCTGTGCGGAGTCAAACGTTCTGCTACGACCGGAGAAATATCACTTTAGACATTCCTCGCCGCCAATGGAGAACGTTCAGCGATGACTAGTGACAACAGTTCTGAACATGCACCATTACCCTCGTCAAATCACCACACAAGAACCGCCAGCATGCCAGACCGCAGAGCTTGGAATATGGACGAGGCCACACGCAACAGACTCCTCAAAAAGTACAAAACCCAGGTGGCTTCGGGTGCGTCAACCATTTGCGCGACGCTGGCGGTGGTGAGTGCCTGATTCTGCGGGACTTTGCTTGAAATTCTCACCCTTCATGGCTACCCTAACATTGGATATCAACAATGCTAATTCGTCGTGATTCGTTGGGTAGACTCCTTTGGAAAACGTCAAGACTCGGATGCAGACGTGAGTATTCTACGTGACCTTGGAAATGGGAACTAGCATGCTAATTGATCTGAAAGACACAACTTCAAGAACATATGGCAGTGTGTTCGCTATCTCTGGCGCACCGAAGGGCCTCGGGGATATGTTGCTGGTAAGTTGGTATCCATGAGTCGGTAGCTGAAGGATCGACTGATCGTCACACAGGCGCGCTTCCACCCTTGGCGAGTGTCACGGTAGTCCGTGTCGTCAACTTTACCGTGTACAATGCCTTCAAGGACATGATAGCTGACAACGTCGAACGCGTAACTGGTTCTAACCCGTTGGACCACTATAAAAAGCCTGGAAGCACCCCCACCGTGACGGGTATTCTGACTTTCACCACTGCTGGCCTTGTCGCTGGCTTGGTGTCATCGCCTATTGCTTGTATGTTTATATTGACCACATGAAAGAGCGGAAGGGGACAGCCTGACATTGAAACAGGCCCCTTTGAGTTAGCGAAGAATGTCGTCCAGACCTCTGTTCTAGTCTCGAACCGCGCGATGGCTGCCCCAGACGCAGTCCGAGACCAATCTCTGCGTCACAAACCCCGCTTGGGGACCGTCCAAGCCATCAGGCAGATCTACATACGACATGGATTCTGGGGCCTTTACACCGGTTTCCGTCTGCATGCGTTGCGCGACACTGTGGGCTCAGGACTATACTTCAGTGTTTACGAGACTGTGAAGCAAGTAGCAGCCAAGGAGTTGGGCCAGGACAAGAACCCCTTTGGGGCACCTATGATTGCTGGTGCCATTTGCAGCACTGTACCCTGGTTCTGCGTATGTGATCAGACCGATACGCCGTTTTGTGCCAAACATACACTAACGTGAATCATAGACATATCCCCTCGATACGCGCAAGACTCGTGCACAGAGTGTTCTGCTAGGAAAAACCAGCGAGATTGGCGAGGCCTCACAAGCTGTCGCCAAATCCAGCATGTACAAGGGGCTTTCCATCATTCTTATCCGGACCGGCGTTAACAACATGATTCTGCTCAGCATTTTTGAATACATTAGAATGCGCATCGATGAGCTGCCTCAGTAAACCACCCGTTGATATGGCCATGTCAGGATGAAATGGCGGTCCACACACTGAACATTTTCTTTGCCATCGTGCGTTGTGAACATCGAGGTCTTTTCTCATATTTATTATCCACATACATACATGGATGAGCTTGAAGCTCATTTTTCAGCAAATAGCAGAATGAATTATCAAAATTTGAAGTGATATGCAAGAAAGGAAAAATACCATCAAACAAATGAGCGCAATCTTCGCAGCGCTAGGGTAACTTCATAATCGGCAGCATCTTCTCGGCCATATAGTCTGAATGCCACTTCCAACTTCTTTACCCAGGTTTTCTGTTCCATAGCTAGCCCAACAATTCTCTGATTGCTTTCTGACTTGAACAACCGCACTGTTTGGTTTAAGCCTGGTCTCAACCTTTCGTCCATAAAATCATCTAGCAACCCCTCTTCTTCGAGAAAGAAAATCGACAGAAGGGCGTAAATAAATCTAGATGAAAGAGTTATGCTGAAAGTTTCTGCGACAAACTTCATTGTAGAGTCGACAATAATAGAATGCGAACTCGGTCTCTGCCCATCCAAGTCCACGCCACGCCCAAGGTATTGGAGTCCTCGAATCAATCGCCGTCGCATATCGCTAAGTTTTTGGAAAGGAGTACCGGGTAGACATGCCATGCAATCGCAGGTAAAACGTAGGGCTTGATGACGCTCATATCTAGTCCTGCATTCGAAATCTGTATTATAACAGAAATTGATTTCCTCACCAACGTCTATGTCCCTAGTCGCGAAGCTTGAAATGACCTCTCCACTAACAGTTGGAACTTTAGAGTTGGGTATACAAGAATGGTTGAAGCGCGAGTGAAGGGGGAAAAGGCCATGAGCTTCGGGCTTGTCGAGGCCTGAATTGATGTTGAACGAGTTTTCAGCAAAAGCATCATTCATACTTGTAAAACAGCTGGCTCCATTGTCACGAAGGAGCAGAAACTGTGATTTTTGACTTGGCGATAATTGCTGAAATGCCATAGCAACATGGTAATCCGTGATTTCGGTATGCGACTTCCGGATAATGAAGGTTGGCTTCTCGCTCAAAATTAGGGCTCCTCGGTCAATGCGTCTTGTAGCGAAAGCACCCCATCCTTTGCCTAGCGAGGGTCTCAGCTCGAACGGTACTTCAACAGGCACTTGAAGGCTTCGGTACGCTAGCAGATAGTAAGTTAGATGCATTCGCAGACTATTAAGCAAGGTAACGCACGATGACCTGCGGACATCGCAGTGTTTGTATGTGGGACGTTGTGAGCTGTTATAACAGAGCCTGGTCTGGACCAATTTTGGGGGGCAGAATCAATTCAGAGAATAGTAGAGTATAATAGGATAGATTGGAAGGCGACACGATAGCTCTCTTGAGGTGGGGGAAGCGGCTATCTATAGTCCAGGGGAGGCCTGGTAACCAGGGTGCATTTGCAGGGATCAAACTTTGATCTCCATAGTGCCCAACAAAGCATAAGAACGAGCCTAAAGGGTATGGTGTACAAATTAGTACGTTTTGTTGGAGCACCCGAATCGTCCTGCACCTCATAGATCCGTTTGGCCATGTCTGACACGTCGTCGCACCCCCAAATTTCGTTTCAGCAGTGGATCGCTAATACATGGACTGCCGAATTTGCCGAATACTCCAGCGCTTCTGGACAGTACCTGAAGCCCGTTGGGATAAAATAAAGGATATGTGACAAGTCTATTATGGGATATGGAGCTTGATTGCTTTCAGCTGTATTCAATCCAATATGAGAATGGGCAGTTTGGTCCCCCGAGGCGAAAGATCAATGGCACATTATTCAACCATTTTTATCCCAGGAAAGAGCTGCCATTAATTATACCCGGGTAGATCAATACTTAATGATGCGGATAAATGATGGACGGCTGGGACTGAAATTAGGAGATTGGGACGGGAAGCGAGATGGATCGTGTTTCTAAAAATTGCTATACTTGCTCTGCATGAACTTATTAGTTAGGCTCCCTAGAGGAGCTGTGGAGGTATTCTATTTGTTTTGCTTTTCCCAGTCTAGTATTCTTCCAATACATGGTACTACCACGGCCTCTTTGGCTCTCAGATAGCCTGACTGTCAGCTGGCATGACTGAGTTCCCGACCATCTTCCCAGGCTACTACATCTCCTGCACCACCCACATCCACGTCACCATTCGGACCAACGTGACGGGCAAAGATACCAGCTACAGCGATTCTGGCGCACAGCACCTGGGCCAACTGTTCTTTGACTAGGACCTTATCAACTCGGTCTACCAGCTTGCCCCCTACAATGATCACCTTTCGACTCCGAACCGTACCACCAGCTCCCAGGACTCGCTTTACTCCAGCGCCAATGGAGACGGCTACTCTGCCGTAGTCTCTGTGTCTCAGCTGGGTGATTCTCTCGCCGATAGTCTTGTGGGATACATCACTATTGGCGTCAACCGCTCTGCTACTTCTGTTGAGACCAATGGTGGCCGTTCCAATATTGTTGGTGCTCTGCCTACTGTGACCCCGACCCCTGGTGCTCGGGCTGCTGCTTACGCCCTTGATGCCTCTGAGGGCTACTTTGTAGAGTGCGATTGTTATTCATAAGACGACGGTTTGTAAATATGGTGTTCACAATCAGTCAATTCCGTGTAATTAACGTGGCATTGGGTGCTCTTTCAACGCTAACCCCAACCTAGCGTTATGCATACGCCATACAATGCTTGCATGCCAAGAACCCTGAACTCCTACGGAATCGAGATTAGCGCCGTTAATATAGTTTGACATCTTTACCACTGGTTTCTATATATAAACCATAGCATACCTACTGTATTATAGGATGGCAGGTTAATTTAGGCTACTTTGAGTTAATGGAATCCGAGAGAATCTGTTGTAGCTTCAATTTCAGGTATGAAGAGATCAGATAGTTTTACAATGACATTTGTCATATTTCGAACAAGTCTGCAAACTGATATCTAGTCCCTACAACAAAGTCTCTGTAAATTCGGTCTAGCACATCCATCACAATTATCTTTATTTTCACCTAATTACCGAGGGTGATCTGTACTGGTGTGCGAACTTGGATGAACTTGGCTCCATCATTTTGCAATATAGTAAACTACCCCTGAGAATAGTGGGTTTAGTCTTTCAAGAAGCCGGGTGGGGATCCTATTCGGTTATCCCTGGTCATGCATGGAAAAGTCCTCTCTCTATACGGCTTAAGTTTTATAGTGCGTTAGTATATTACACATCGTAAAGTGATGAGAGCGACATGCCTAGACCGCCCACTGGTGTTATTATTCTTATTCCTGGTGGCACTTCTAGCTAGTTATATCATCGAAAAGAAAAATATTGAAAATAATCCAAGAAAGACATCTGAAAAGGATATCAGAGTGTTACCTTGCATATAACATCCCTTATATCGGTTTAAGACAAGCTGCAAAGCCAAAATGAGTCAATTGCTAACTTTTGATAAGCGTTAAATATGAGGGGTGTGTGTCGAATGAAGATTGCTTTGAGCCATGTATCCTTCCAAGGCCGGAAGTACTGAATTCATGCCTCAGGCCATTAAACGTCATCCCCGTTGCCCGGTGGGGTTGAACTTCCCGCCGTCAAAACAAACGGAGACTTCCACACCCCGCCTCGAGCGACAATGGCGTCGTGAGTACCCCCAGCAGTTTGTGAGAGGTTGTGAAAAGAGAGGAATTTCACTGACTTGTTCTTTTGTTCCATTAATACAGTAATATCCTCCAACTCCCGTTCCGGCGCTCCCATACCGTCTCGCTTTCCGAAGCGATCACCCAGTACATCTCTTCCAAATATGACCAGCGCCCAGATATGTTTGCTGAGGACCTGATGATCATTGATCGTCTGCGATCTGAGGCTGTCAATGTTCAGGAACCGCATTTTAGTGGTATCAGCCGCTTGGTCACATATGCGGCTCAGCTGAAATGGCTGAGTGGAAAGTTCCCAATTGATGTGCGTCGTTCTTTCTAGGTCATGGCTCTATACTTTGGTACTCGAAGCTGACATTCGGCGTGCTATATAGGTCGGAGTCGAGTTTTCGTGGTATCCGGCTTTTGGCTTTAATGCTTCGCGGCCAGGTGAGTTAGTATCTTGGGGTCACACCCTCCACATTGGTCCGATTTGAAGGGATATGAGGCTAATAAGAATACACATGGCTTTTAGTCTCACAGAATAACTTGCGCTTCGAATTAGCCAACGTCATATTCAACCTCGCCGCATTATACTCCCAGCTTGCATATGCGACCAACCGAACTACCGCAGATGGACTCAAGCAGGCGTGTAACTACCTCTGCTCTGCCGCTGGGGTCTTGAGCCATCTTCGAACCGATATCATCCCAGAACTCCGAACATCGCCGCCAGAGGATATGGACGAAATGACACTGCAGAGTTTGGAACTTCTTTTGCTCGGACAAGGCCAGGAGTGCTTCTGGCAGAAAGCTGTCAAGGATGGACTGAAGGACGTATCTATTGCGAAACTTGCAGCAAAGGTGTCAGACTTCTACGGCGACGCAGGTGACTTGGCTGTCAAGTCGAATGCAATCAGTACGGACTGGATCCACCACATGACTGCAAAGCATCACCATTTTGCTGCTGCTGCTCAGTTCCGACAAGCGCTTGACTGTTTGGAAAAACGCAAGTACGGAGAAGAGGTTGCTCGGCTGCGCGATTGTTTGGTCTGTGTTGGCGAAGGTTTGAAAGAGCAGCGGTGGATTAATCGGACTGTACTAGGTGACTTGACTGGATTGAAAAGCCGTGTTGCGGAAGACCTCAAGCGCGCCGAGAAGGATAATGATATGATCTACATCAACCCCGTGCCACCCAAGTCTGAGCTCAAGACCATCGAGCGTGCCAGCATGGTTCTTGCCAAGGCACCTTCGCAGGTTACGGATGCGATTTCTATGCTTGGGGATAATGGACCTTTGGGCCAGCCGCTGTTCTCGAAGTTGGTCCCATACGCAGTTCACATTGCCGCCAGCATTTACACTGATCGTCGAGACCGACTAGTCAATGATACCCTCATTGGAGAATTAGAGTCGATGACTGACAAGTTGCGAGAGTATGTATTCAAGGGAATTACCAAAATTCTCAAGGGAAATTTTGCTAACATCAACCTTAAGCTTGCTTTCATCGCTCAATTTACCAGGGTCTTTGCAAGCGCTTGAAAAGCCATTGGGCCTCCCGCCAATGCTTGTGTCGCATGCGGAGGAAATGCGCCAACAAGATGGCCTAAATCGCTTGCACCGGTCTATCGAAGACACCGCCAGAGTCAAAGGCAATGACCTGGCTGTGTATAATGAAGGCGTCGAGCTTCTCTCGGCTGAGAAGGCCGAGGACCTTGCAGCTCGCCATAAATACGGCACCGATCGCTGGACCCGCGGAACCTCAGAATCCGCCGCGCCTAAGCTTTACAAGAGTTTGACCGAAATCGAAGGCTATTTCACCTCCGCCCAGGGCAGTGATGACCTCGTCCAGCGCAAGCTGCGAGATTCACGATCTGTCTTCATCGTTCTCACTGGCACGAATCGGGACTTGGAATCCTTTGTGCCCAGTAGCCGGAGGGTTGTGATTCCACCAGAAGTTGAGCGCGAGTCTAACCGGTTGCGCGGCTGTTTGAGCGAGGTCACCCGAATGGAGAATCGGCGGAGGCGGCGAATTCAAGCATTGAAGGAGAAAGCTCGCGCGGATGATATTCGTATGTGTTCTCTATTTCCTTGGTCTTGAAATCTACTAATATATTGCATTTAGACCCGGCGCTTTTGACAGAGACAGCTCGACTGGAGCGGGAATTCCCCATGCAGCCCATCCAGGCAAGCCAGTTTGAGGATTTGTTTGAAGAGCAGCTGAAGCTATATGATTCAGACCGTGAGATGCTGGCCCAGGAGCGGAGAGAGCAAGATCATCTTTCAGATCAGGTCCGAGAAGCCAACCGGGCATTTACTGGGTCTCATAAGGGTGACGCGTCCACAAAGGAACGAGAAGCAGCCCTGCAGGATCTGGAAAATGGATACTTGAAGTATAAGGAGATCATTTCCAACCTCGATGTCGGGCGAAAGTTTTACAATGACCTTGCAAAGATTGTAGCTCGATTCCGCGACGACGCAAAGGCTTTTGTCCACCAGCGTCGGATGGAGGCAAGCCAGCTGGAAGCGTATGTGTTAGCACCCATCATCAAACTAACGGAGTATCGCTGACATTAAATTTCCCCCAACTAGAGATATCTCCAATGCCACAGCGATGGCCTCACTGCATATTTCTCAGCCACACCTGCGTCAACAACCTCAGGAATCAGCTCGAACCCATCGCCCTCCCTCCGCCTACTCAGCTGCGCAGCCCGCCCAGGCGCCATCACAGCCACTCCCACCTGTTCACGCCGTACGACCAGCTGAGACGGCACCCCCTCTGACGGCACCCCAACCGGTGCGTGCACCCGTAGCCCCGCCCCCAGTTTCTACGCCGAGCATGCCGGGGGGTATGCCGGGTATTTGGGCCCCCGAAATGGGGATTCGATTCGGATCCGCCGCTGCACCTCCGAATGGTACTCCCAGTACAGGAGCTGGACCAGCCCCGGGCCAGCCCACTCGTGCCCCTCAGCCGGGAACCTGGGATCCCAGCAAGGGACTACGCTTCTCTTGATTATGTTGTGATAAAAACTTGTTTCAATCTGCTTTTGTAGATCCCATATTCGTACATAGCTCTGGAGTTTTGTTGGATGTTCAACTCGTCTTGCTCATGATCTACAGCGCGAGCAATGAGGATATATAATTTCTACACATTGCAAACAACCCATTGGAATGGGTTATCTGTTATTTGCGTTGATCAAATCCTCGTTCAAGTAAACATTATCATTAATATATCCAAATGTATCGTAGTATCGTACATCTAATTACACGAACTGAGACATAACAAGTCCGCAACAACAATAACAATAACAACAGGAGAACAGAGAACAACACGTAAAATTGAATTGCCATGATATACATTGCACAACATGAAAAATTAAATGGACCAAGCAAATATTTCCGTTCAAAATCGTTGAACGGCTAAGCCAATGCGTGGTAAGGCGAAAGGTCATCCTGGTGCTTTTCGCAGTGCCGGATGCACCCAAAGGAAGGGCCAGCGAGCCACATGAGTCCCATTAACGAACCCCATTAGCCTTAATGGAGACACCAGCACCATTGGTGGCGGCGTGGAACTTGCCATTGGGCAATGCACTGCCATTCAATGAAGCATGGCCATTAATTTCCCCAACGACTTTGAATTGATCGTGCTCGATTTCAGACTCATCCGGCTCAGACCGATCATCCTTCTTCTCGCCCGTTGCGAGGAACTTGAAAGCGCTGCGCAACAGACAGTACAACCAAAATAGATTGAGAGCCTGGAGTACAGCCAGCAGTCCAAATGTGATTATGTTTGAGATCCAGCACTTGTATTGTTGAGTCTCCCAGTTGAGTTCGTAGGGCCCAACAGTTCGGAACTCGGTTAGAAGGGAGTAAAGGATCCGAAGATTCAGCACGTGGCGGAGATATATCCAGGCGCCGATTGAGGTTGCGTAGAAGGGAATCATTATGTCCGGAGCTATGTAATGGAGAGATTTTGAAACCTAGCGAGCTTGTCAATAGGTGCGCGGCATATTTTGGGTTGTGTCGAAACGAGAAGAATTGGTTTAGGCGGGAGACATGCGACTTACGGCAAGGAAGAAATCACTAATATCATGGGTGATATAAACAGCAATGCCCATATACGTAAAGTGAAAGCGATAGCTGAGCGCAATAAGCGCCAATGTCACAATATGATGCGCAACAAGCTCCATAAAGTCCTTCCGCCGCTTCTCCATTCCCAGCAGCATAACGATAGCCTGCTGCGCCCAATACGCCGCCTCGAACAAGTAGTAGAATTTGAACTCAGCCGCATGGGTCCTATGCGGGAAGAGTTCGTACATTCCACGCGTGTTGAAGTACCAGACCGGGGTCTGGCGCATGACATACAACCCCGCGGGACCGAGGACTGAAAAGTACATCGCGGTGTACATCTGCTCCATGAAGCGGGCCTGTTTCCCCCGCGACTTGATGCGCGAGGCTGCTAGAGGGCGGAGAATTTCTTGCATGATGAATTCGCGCGTGAAGGATAGCACAATCACGTAGAATGATACGAATGCTATGTCCCACAGACCCTTGCCATACTGCGTGGGGGCATTTGGGTCAGCCTTATTCAGGGATTCCTCTTTGTAAGACAGAAATATGAAATGAGAAATTGGGTTTGACTCGGTCGGGTTGATCGCATATAGTGAAAGGAAGGCGAGCACGAGACCTAGTGGGATCGTCCAGGTGTGCTTACCCGCGAAATCCCTGCAGCGACCGAGAAGAGAGCCCTGTTTCCTGGGCTTCGGGCTTGAATTTGGTGGGCTTGTATGGCCATTTCCAATTGTCTTGGGTTGCAGGCCTTTGTTATTCCTGCGCCTAAGGGAGTCTTCTTGCATTGGGGTTTGGTTGGTCCCGTTCAGGGGTAATGAACGGGGTGTCATGTTTTGTGATTTGGAGGTGAGGTTGAGATGAAGAATATATAGAGCTAGGATATATGCCAGTGATAAACATAATATAACCTCGGAAAAGAGACTAGTTAAGCTAATGAATGCTGAAGCCCTTTTTAATAAAAAAGCGTTGAATTTTCCCTATTCAGCTAGCCGGTCGTATTCGGATATCTTGGGGCCGGACCCCCCGACACCAAAGAATATTTTCTCTTTCATATGGCCTTGGCGGAAATGAGTGGAATTTAGTAAAGTAGAAGCAATTGGCCAATCTCCATTTTTGTTTTATATTTATGAGAGACTACGGAGTACGGAGAGACTCTTTATGACTGTCCACCGTCCACCATCCACTTCATCTATGTCTCAGACTCGCCAGATCGGGAGCTTAGCCTGGTAGATACAATCAAAACTCATTGGATAGCTTTATCAAATGTAGTACGACAAAAGCAGAACAGTCCATTATAGAGCAGTAATCTGAAATGGTGTTCAGGGTGTATTTTCCGGGACACGTAAGTAGCAAGAGTGTGGATGCCTAACCCGATTTCGGAATCTTCTACGGAGTACGGAGTATGTATATGCCGTGCAACATATATATCGGCTTGATTTTATGCCGATTATGTTAGCGTGGCAGCTAAGCACACATTATACTGATCCACATTAGGATTCCATATGGCCTAGCGTATCTAAATTTGACTAGCATGTGGGTATCATAGCTTACCGTTCCCTTCGTTCAACCTTTGAGTGGAATCCTTCCTCATCTGCCTGGAATTATCCTGTTGATTGAACCAGGGGCATGCATATGCAGCATCAAGTTTGTCTGCCACGTAGTTTTGAGGGGGCCCCAATTGTAATTCGATCTCTCTGGCATCACCAATATCTTCTACATTGACGCGGTATTCCAACGTATGCAGTGTTATCACAAGGAAATGACACCAGGTACTGCATCGCTCCGTAAATAGATGTGGAAAATATGAATATACTGTCGGGTAGTCTAGATTGATCACTCATTCACTATTTTGAACTTAATGTGGTGGTAAACTTATGTCTCATTAGCCCGTTGACCATCTATGAGGCCGAGTACATTTCCTCGATGAACCCTATTTCATGGGCTTGATCCAATAGACAGCAGCGATGGCCTTGGAGAAATACACTGCATGGCGAAGCGAGATCTGTACCAAAAGTGGTTGTACGACAATTAGCTTCTTTGGCATGTCCATCTCAAACATGGCTACTGCATAGTATATCCCTAGGCCCTATTCCAATCACCTAAAATGTGCCAAGACATACGTAGTAAGGCTATATAAGTAAGCCTACGTGCACCTCTGGTTGATCGGTGTATGCTTTTGATACCAGTCATTCGGGTTTCATTCACTCCCAATTGCACAGCACACCCGCCCAGACCAGTCAGTCATGGATGCGAAACAAGACGAACAGAACCAGTGCCAGTTATCACTTCCACTTGGTCGTATCGAGCCAGCTGTCCGACGATCGACAAATAGAAGCCCACCCTATTTCTGGGGTGAGGTCAAACATGAAGTGGCCCAAGAGCCCAGCTTTCCTATCCATAGAGGATATGCAGAGGCACGCATCATCATCGAAAATGGTAGATTAGAGCTACTTGAGGACCTTTCAAACATTGCCATACAGTATATCACGCGGGTATTTGAGTGCCTCGACTCATCTAAGGAAGGATCACAGAAAGGCTTCGTGGAGATGCATCTCTCGGAGGATCTGCAGAAATGGCGAAGGGAACAGCACGATTCCGGAAGGATTTTACCTAGCAAAGGCTATGGACTAACACCCGCCTTGGAGAAGGTGATTCGGCTTTTTGGTGCGGAGAAATGGCCGAAACCACTGACCACTACCAATGCGTTGTTCGGTTGCGGAATGATAAACATGTTGATCGGGGCATATGATGCTGAAACTCTCTTCTCCAATTATTGTACCGACATGGCTTTCTACTATGAGCACGGTTACGAGAAGGTTTTTCCGGAGTTCGAAGACGCGATCAAGTCGGCCGTTAGCGATTATCGTGCACTGCATACTCCAGCCGGTGCCGAAAGGCGGGCCGCTGTCGAGATTAGTATGGAGTATATAAGGGCGAAAATCGCTTTAGAGGAAGCCCACAAATCGAAACTGGTCAATAAAGTAGCCAAGCTGAACAGACGGGAGGCCCAAATCATATTTTCCTTCGAGAGCAGCTTGATGGGTCTGGCCAAAGAGGCTATGGTGCGTGGTTTTGATCCTGCTGCGGCGATGAGCGACATGGTATTTGGCAATCCTGGGACGGACGTCCTCGATGTGGGTTCGGATCTAAACAACTCGGAGCTGTTGAACTCTTTCCTCAACACCGCCGACATGACTTCGACAGGCATAGTTACCGAGGAAGCACTACGGAGGGTATATGATGCTTACGCACATACGGGCTGCAGGATGCTATGCGAACGCTGGATGGAACCAGCGGCGCGCATGTGCTCCGGACTGTTCACATGGCACATCCTGAATGACAGACACCGATTCCTGCGACGTGCTCTGCTTGGCTACTCCAAGGCGCGTAAGACGGCGGCGGAACCACGCGAGGCAGATTTTGATGAAGCCTTCGACTCTGAGCTACGCACTACTGGCTTTAGTAGACCGTTGCAGGGGGCTTGTAACGGTGGCGACCCATGTGATCAAGTAGATGGGCACCTATGCGCACACGAGGAAAGTGATGGCGTACTGGCTGAGCTCTGGCTGTGTCTCAGTACTGAGCCAATGCAATATGTCTCCAAGGGTGTTGTGGATCCGGAACTAGAGGATTACTTGTCTGAGAGACTCCAGCTAGCTATGGCACGGGCATACTCACTTGGGTTTGTGGATGAGATGACATGGCTGATCGCCCATGCTGGACATCATGCCTGGCAGGTAAATCGATTGTTTGAAGCGGCTATGTATGGCAGTATCCTAGATGATGGTGGTCTGCGGGGTAAGCTTGATAGGCAAGATGATTTGTGATAGGCATCGTTAACTGTGGGGTTATTGTGGAGTTAGAAGACATCAGGAAGATTTAAACATTTTTCGCTGTTCGGTTTATATCACTTTGCTTGTTAGTGGACTATATAGATCACACAACATTCAATGTTACTCTAGGGATTAGATTCTATTCTTTCTTGCAGTTGACTCTTTCCCAGAACATATATGTACATGTAAGTATGGTTGTTATATTTAGTCAACTAGTTAACTATCCAGAGCTACTATGTGTATTCGTTTTGTACGGATAGCAGATATACCATAGTTACTACTTGATACGCTGTTCTGGTATGGAAAGTGGCTGTATTAATACGTATTTACGTAAAATTTGATGAGCAAAATGATTGGCTCCCGAGGACATTAATCTCCCGACCCTATCGGCCTGCGATAGAGCATCGCGGTACTTAATCTACTTAATTCACCTATTGGCCTTGGGTGATCTCTTCTACTGTCATAGCGGTACATTTTGCCCTCACAGTTGTGCTTTCAACATTATCTTGTCGGAAATGTCTCATTTTCACCGTGGACCACCGAGCTAGTAAAACAATAAGGGGAAACTACGCTTGTTGCAAGGAGACACCATGCTCGCAGAACCAAGAAAACGCCATAATGGCCAACCGCAAGCCTGCGAACCATGCCGCAAGGCTAAGATTCGCTGTGACCATGAAAGTCCGAAATGTTCGCGTTGTGTCCTGCGCAGCCTGAATTGCATTTATCACCCTGCTCCTATGACCAAACGCCGCCCTCCGACCTCCTACACACCCATGCATTTCGACTCAACGCTGCCCACGGAACTACTGATCACTCAAAATGTCACCAACACATTCCATATATCTGGTGAGTCTTCGGCCGGGGCGGGAATCTCTGTTCCCCCTGGGGATCCAAGCCCAGCTGCGAGCTCGGGGATAACAGCCCGTTCGAGCGCATCAAAACGGAACATGCTATTTCAAGAGCAGCTGGGCCAACACGAGACGACTCGTTTCTCTGCTGTCTTTGTTGAAAACCAAGATAGCTTTGGCGCTGTGATGCTTGATGCCACGAACTCCGACCACCACGAGTCAGGCCGAGAGCCTGATGTAATGGCCCGGTCTCGCGTGGAGTTGGCCGTTAGGACACTGCTCAACTTCCCCACAGCTCGTACATGTGAGATGTTGATGACAGGAATCCATCATATCTATGATGTATGGCTATCACCCACCATGATCCAGCAGTGCTTGAAACAAGTATGGGCAGAATACGGCAGTGAGCTAGGGGAGCCTCGGACGCGGGAATCTGTATTGAGAGTGGCAAATGATCTATTTCTCACCCACAAAAGGCCCCACTCAACACCTGATTGCGATACCGCAAGCAATTCCGACCATGCTTCCTGGATAAACTGGTTTGGTGGACCTCATCTACGATGGGAAATGATCGGGATCCTCTTCAGTTGGGCTGGGATTGCGTTCAGATGCAAACAAGAGTGGGACCCAGTATTTAATCTACCCGAGCAGTATGGGCGGAATCGCAACACTGCCGCAGACAAGATGAGAGAGTGTGCTGCTGCCTGTGTGAGGCTTTGCGAAGGGAACTTTGAGATCACCGATACCATGGTTATTTGCATGAAGAATAGCACCAGACTGCAAAGCATCATTATCAGTGACGAGAGTGAGTCGCAACACAACGGCACAAACCCTGGGTTTATAGAATCAAGCTTATTCCATCATAGGTGACCGCGTACGAGTCGACTACGGAACTGTCCGCAGTGCTTTCATAAGTGCAGGGTTGCACCGCCTCTCTCCTTCAAAGGAAATCACCCCATTTTCTCAACACCGAGCATCACTCGCTTCGTCGATGTATTACCACGACAAATGTCACAGTTTGTTCAATGCGCGACCACCTATGCTCAGTAATCATTACTGTCAATGCCCTCTCCCACTCGATTTATGCGAGGAAGATGTATATGGGGGCCGCGAAAGACTCACCATGGCCATTGGGAAGCTTGACTCAAATGGTTGGAACACCAATGGTCGCATATACACAACAACCTGGCTTCGAGCATTGACGATGCTTAGTCCTATCCGGGAGGGAATCCTGGAACTAACACTTAGTGTTAATTCGAATTTTACAAAATCGCAGGTTGAGTACGTTATTTAGAAGAAATATTGCATACATTTCGCTGACTTTAAGTTTATTTCAGAGACCTACAAGTTCAGTTAGGGAAGATAGTTGCTTCATATCCTCAGCATATTCAGTATCAGGGGAACTCCGAGTGGCACCCGCAGTCAGGTTCACGACTCCATGAACGGAGTGCCCATGAAGTCTATGTTATCACCCGCATACAACTTGATGTATTGCAATGCCAGTTCCTCCTCCAGCGCCTACTTGTATCGCGAAAATTCAGTGGGGGCCAGAACTTGTTCAATATCGCCCAAGAGACAATGTCTGTTATCCTGTCTCTCTGGCTTAACCGCGATCAGCTACAGGAATTCCACCATGCCTTTGACTGGATTGTAAGTCTTTGACCAGCCTAGCCGGTTATTTGAGTTGAGAGTGCAAAAGTAACTAATATTCATCCAGACAGTATCATATGGAATGCCCTGTGCGGGGATTTTATGTGTCGAGCTTCTCCGAGCAAGTAATCTAGTACCACCTGCCACACAAAGCGAGGTCCCAGCGACGACCGACAGTCACGATTGTGTTAGATTCTCACGGTCAGAAGTCGTCCAAACTCTGGTTATGTTCAGAGCCTTACTTGACTGGATACGGCCTACGGATAACAATGCGCAGCTCAGCAAGAAGTTCAAGACAGTTCTACAGAGAATCATTGACGCTGTGTTTGATTCTTTGGGGTCGTCGTGTGGCATGCAAACACAAGGGATGCCGAACGAACAGCAGCCCCAGAGACACTATGGTCCGCAAGATCAGCAGTCTCCAGGGCAAAATCTACCCACTGCGACGGGAAGAGAGCATGACATTGATCCTGAGATGAACACATTTGATGATATGGATTGGCTGAACACCGTTGATTGGACTCAGAATGGCTGGCTTGAACAAAGTAATCCACCTTTTCCGTATTAAGCAATGTCAACAGATTGACAAGCCCAACTCTGCGGTTTTGAATACATCGGAAGGCCCCTTTTACGATAACATGCCTTGCTGATTGGCTCAACTGATAAGATAGCCCGGAGTTGGTTCGGAGTACTTTTTGGTTTGTCGGAGTGGGCCACGCCGGGCGCGACAGGTTGCGGGGTCGATAAGCGCAGGTCACGGCGTTTCGCGGCGTTGATCAGTCGATGTTTAATATCGACAAATCGGAGTTCGTTCTCATTCGCTCCATTTGCGAAGGTATCCTCATCAAATGATATCCTCATCGAATGATGATCAAGAACCGAACCACCCCCCGCCATTACTTAATGTCGACAAAGCAGGCCGTCAAGTAGCCTAGCACATCAACCTGTGGAAATTCCGAACAGCAGGAATCAATCCCATCTCGCCCACTATGTCTCCGAACGACTCATCCAATACATCCCGGCACCCTGTCGAAAATGCAACTGTCCCATTTTGGCATCGAGACATTCACGAACTGCACGATCATCGGACCACAGAGGAGCTTCCAGTTTCGAGTGACGTCGTCATCATAGGCGCCGGCTATGCAGGAATTAGCACGGCATACCATTTGGTCAAGGGAGAGGCCAGTGACAAGAAACTCTCTATCACAATACTGGAAGCACGGGGTGTCTGTTCGGGCGCAACAGGACGCAATGGTGGCCACCTACGGCCTGACATGTACACCCCTATGACCAGGCTCATCGACCGAGCAGGAGTTGAACGTGCCTTGGAGGTGACGGAATTTGAAATCGCTCATGTCCACGCCATGAAGTCCTTGGTCGAAAAGGAGAAAATCGACTGCGACTTTACCCTCACAAGGTCTATCGATGTATGGACTAATGAGGAAACTGCCCGAAAGGCTACGGAGATGTATGACACACTGGTATCCCGTAATCTTGAGTACATGAAGGATGTTTTCTTCGTACTTGGCAAGGATGCGGAGGGTATCTCGGGTGTCAAAGGCGCCAAAGCATGCGCTTCTTTCACGGCAGCAACTCTATGGCCGTACAAAATGATTCTCCACCTGACCGCCTCAATTCTCAAGACTGGCCTGGTCAACCTCCAGACCAATACCCCAGTGACGTCTGTGAGTCGGCAACCTTCGGGCAGTTATATTATTACAACACCGCGAGGCACGACAGTCGCTCGGAAAGTCGTGTATGCGAACAATGCCTATATCGGGGGTCTTCTTCCACAGTACCGCGAAGCCATCGTTCCCTGTAAAGGACTGTGTACTCATATTTCAGTTCCTGAGGGCACAAGAGCGCCTCTGCTGAACAACTCCTACATAGTCCGCGAAGAGGACAACGTTGTTTCATACCTCATCCCTCGTGCCGACGGTAGCATTGTTGTCGGTGGAGCCAACTTGCTTTACCACCCTGTTCTGAGTTCATGGTACGACAACGTGGACGATTCATGTCTCATTGAGCAAGTCAAAGACCATTATGATGGGTATATGCAACGGCATTTCAATGGCTGGGAAGACAGCGGCGCCCAAGTGGATAAAATCTGGACCGGCGTCATGGGGTACAGCTGGGACTCCCAGCCCCACATCGGCGCCGTGCCTGGGGAGGATGGCCAGTTTGTACTTGCGGGCTTCAATGGTCATGGAATGCCTCAGGCGTTCTTGTCTGCGCTTGGGGTTGCTAAGATGGTTCAGAATGGGATCGACTTCGAAGATACTGGTGTTCCGAAACTGTTTCAAACGACAAAGGAGAGGCTTGACAACGCAAGCAACGGTCCTTTGGGAGGTGATATCCTCGGCATCAAAAGATGAGATATATCCATTGCACGTTGAAGAATGAGAGGCCGAGTTATCCAGTTATGCTGTTCTTAATGTTATCTAGTAATGTTATATCACCAACGAAGGTTCCTTTTTTCAAGATCCAACGTGGTGTAGTGGTCACATGCAAAGGGTCCCATTAGTAACCTCGATTAATTTTACTTATTTGCAATGAGCCTATAGTATGAGCAATGTAGCACAAAACGGTCTCCGCTTGTCTTATATCTAGCTACAAGTATCATAGTCAAGTGTGGAGACTATCCAATTAAGCTTCTCCCATTTGATATCCCCCGTCTAAAATGTTACTATCTCCGGGGTTTTTGTTTGCATGTCTTAGGGTGTTGAAAGATATTCTCATTGAACTACATCGGATTTCTAATATAATTGATCGCTTAATCGATATCGGTGCTTAAACTGATTCCTTCATACTTCATGAAATTCCGTTTCTCCTCCTCTAGCCTCGCTAGAATGGCTGGATAGGCATCTGTGCCGAGCAAGACTCTCAATGGCGGGTCTTCCATCATGGCTAAATCGTAAAACGCTTTTGCGGCCTTTCGAGGGTCACCAGGCTGAGTCCCATTGCGGGCCATCATGCTGCCTTTAGCATCGAGGTGGTCATATTCTGGATGGCGTTCGGTGAAAGCCATTGACCGACCAGCCCAATCGGTTCTAATAAGACGTATTAAATCAGACACAAACGCAATTTGTCGAGGGATTATCCCAACTCACCTAAAGCCACCTGGCTCGACGCAGGTAAACTTAATACCCCATTCAGGCTTCACTTCCTTTGAAACAGACTCCGTAAACCCTTCAACTGCCCATTTGCTCGCGGCATACAGGCTGAAGCATGCAGCTCCGCGTTGTCCACCCACACTGGTAACCTGTTGAATGACACCGCCGCTGGGCTTTTGGGCTCTCATGGTAGACATTGATTCCCGTGTAACATTGATGAGACCGAAGAAATTGACCTCCATCTGCATCCGAATCTGTTCTTCGGTGTATTCTTCGAAGCATCCCGTGAGGCCGTATCCCGCATTGTTCACGACGACATCGATTCTCCCGAAGCGCTTGATGGCCTCGGCGAAAGCTACTTTAATGGATTCGGTATCGGTCACATCGAGCTTCAAGGTCATGTAGTTGTTTTCGGTAGTGTTATCGAATTGCAAAATCGCCGGAGTACGTGCTGTCGCAATTGCAATGTCTCCACGATTCAATATCTCTTGAATCAAATCATGGCCAAAGCCGCTTGAAGTCCCCGTTACCAGGAAGACTTTCGGCATGATATTGATTTGCTTCGGACAACTTTTGCTGAAGTTCGGAAATGGAATCCGGTGATCGGACTACTCGACAATACGGAGATGAGGTTCTGAGCTTGTAAAACTTGTAATAACAGACGAATATGAAGTAAAATATTATATATAAACACCCTGAAGTACATCTAATATCTGTCTCGAATACATTTTCTGAGAACTCGGTGTTATTACTCCGAGTTGCCAGTTCCAAACCAAATCATGCCACCTTATCTCTCGGAGCTGCTATCTTCAACGGAGTGGATTTTGCGGCCTTGGAGTTTGCGGAGTTGATCTGCACCCCATTTATCATCCGTGTCCTGCTATCTCACATTCCCCCCCAAACCTTGTCGCAAAAATACTTAAGTCTGCCGATTGGGTGCCTGTCATCTTGTATCTTCATCCATCTGCCAATCAAGGTCTCCATGTCTTTCCTCTAACTATTTTTGAACGACACTAAAGGCCACGCTTGATTTTACTTTCAATATTGCCTTATCCGCATAGCTTAACTGTATAGATAAAGAATATGTGGCTTGCCATGGTGACTTCAGAGCGATATGGCCACTAACAAAAGGTGTCCGTAAGTCAAAGCTAAATTGTCTCCGGTGGAACCTCCCAGTCTGCTATCTATAAAGGACCACCCAATATTGCCAATATCACCCTTCCTTTCTACAACGAGAGAACATCCAAGTCAATTGAGATGTCCACGATCAAGAACTTCCTTGGCAACGAGGACACCCCAGACATCCATGAATTTACAAAGGATGTCAAAGCCACAATGCAAGACCCAGAAGCCCCTATTAAACCAGAAGATGAATATGTTGGAGACTTCGAAGAAATTTCGACCGTGAGGCAAGGCCTTCATCAGAGACATATTCAAATGATCGCTTTGGCTGGTACCATCGGAACTGGTCTCTTCCTTAGTTCTGGTCGAGCGATTTCGCGGTCTGGTCCCCTGGGAGCCTTTCTGGGCTACCTGGTCATGGGATGTGTTGCCGGCACCGTGACCCTTGCCGTGGGCGAGATGGGTACACTTGTTCCGTTGAACGGTGGAATAGTCCGCTACGCGGAATACTTTGTTGACCCTGCACTAGCCTTCGCCAATGGCTACAACGTGGTATATTCATACCTTGTGTCTATTCCCGCAGAGATCGTAGCCGCTGCTGTGCTAGTGCAGTTCTGGTCTGACCTCAATAGTGCGATTTGGGTCACTATCTTTGGATTGCTTATGATATGTACCGCTCTGGTCTTTGTGAGAGTATATGGAGAGCTCGAGTTCGCTTTCTCTATGATGAAGATCTTGCTGATCATCGGAGTCAATATCATGGTAAGCTCAAGTTTAATTCCTAAAAGATTAGAGGGCTTTGATAAACTAACAAAGATAAACTAGGCTCTTGTGATTACCTGTGGTGGCGGTCCTGATCATAAAACCATTGGATTTGAATACTGGCGCAGTCCTGGGCCTTTCGTTCAGTACCTTGGAATCGGTGGCGCTCTTGGTCGTTTCCTTGGTGTTTGGACATCCATGAATAATGCCCTTTACGCATATTCAGGTATTGAAACAATTACTGTTGCTGCCGCAGAGACAAAATCGCCAAGACAGGCTATTCCTCAGGCTGCCAAGCGGGTTTTCATTCGTATATTGGTTTTCTACGGTATGTTAATTCCAAAGGAGAAAATAAGTGTTTTCTTTTGATAGCTGACCTCTTCCTTTCAGTGATCTCAATCTTTATGGTCGGCCTTGTGGTCCCCTCCAATGAGCCTAGACTTAGCGCTTCTACCGGGACAGCTTCTGAGTCTCCCTTTGTGATCGCAGCTACTCTAGCTGGAATCAAGGTAGTGCCATCAATTATCAATGCTGTCATCATCACGTCGGCATGGTCTTCAGGCAACTCGAACATGCTCGGAGGGACCAGGGTGTTGGTCGGACTGGCGATGAACGGTCAAGCCCCCAAGTTCTTCACTCGACTTAACAGATTTTCGGTCCCCTGGGTCGCAATTTCGCTCTATGGTCTATTCATGTGTCTGGGATACATGTCACTCTCTGCAACTGCCAGCACCGTGTTTAATTGGCTACAAGACCTTGTCTCCATCACAACTCTGACCAACTGGATGTCTATTCTGGTCACATATCTTCGTTTCTACTATGGCTGCAAGAAACAAGGAATCTCTCGGAAATCTCTACCGTGGGCGACGCCGCTCCAGCCATATATCAGCTGGGCCTCGCTGTTCTTGCTCACAATCCTGCTTATCACGGGCGGGTACTCAACCTTCATCAAAGGGCACTGGGACAACGAATCATTCGTCTCATCTTATATTAATATTCCCCTTTTCCTGATCCTCTATTTTGGGTACAAGTTTATTCGCAAGACAAAGATTGTCCCCTTGGAAGATATCCCCATTCAACCCTTTATTGATATTGCGAATCGGAATCCAGAGCCTGAGCCAAAGCCAAAGAAAGGTCTTCACAAATTGAACATTCTATGGAGCTGAGCGGGAGTTACTGTGTCCATGAGATCTTTTGACTCGCTAGACTCGCTAGTGGAGTTACCAGATTAGCCCTCGGAACTTCAAGTTTGCCTGACTTCAAGGGGTGCATGTAACAATGAACTGGATTTTTTCTATATGACTCTATGTGTTGAACTTCTAGATAGTAATCTATAAATTGCATGTAATGAAGCTTGTTTGTATACTAAGCAGTATGTTATGGAATGAGAAGTGTGAATTGTCCAAGCCTCTAACCATGAAAGAATAGAAGTGAATATTCTAACCCCTATATTGCTGTGAGCCCCATATATTATGCGCCAATTTTCTGGGAACTCCTTGGAGCTTGCATTCCGGCATATAGAAATGCTGATTTCGATTGGTGCACATTGACTCTTCCAAGTATGAGAATGGTATTCTCAACACTATGTGTTTACTCTACCCCCTGAATCACCATTTCTGTGCAATTGAAAGTGGGTCATTCATTTATATATTTATTTATATATCTATATAGATATCAAGTCTTCCATATCAAACAATTTTGGAACGTAATCCCTATGTGCCGGAGCTCAGGTGACGAAGCTCCGAGACGGAGTGGGTCTGGTCCGCAGATAGCTGATTTCCGGATATGGTTAGATCCGGAGTGCCCACACCGCCATTATCGGTGCATCATCTCTTGGAGGAGCTCACATGTACGGAGTGAACCTCTATCTTATCTTGATTCGAGGATAGAGATTACCGGATAGCGGCATGCCGCAATCAGACAACGATTTCAATGGACGCGGTGAAGCGCATTGAATAAAAGGCCTTGAAAAGCTCGGGACCAGTACGCATCCCAAGAAACTTTTTAGTCTACCAATTCAATTCCATTCAATCTTCAGTCAAAATCTTCTATTCACAACATGATCTACCCCAGGAAGCACGCCGTTTTCGATGTGGTCGGCACCTGTGTGTCATTCGACGTCTTTCTCGACACCATCGAAGAGGTCCTCGGCCCCCGACTGCGAGCACACCATGTTTCGGCCAAGATATTTGGTTTTGCATGGATGCAATCCTCCGAGCTCGAGTCTCTAATGCTGCACATGTCCAAGCGGAGCGTGCCATACAAAGAAGTTTTCAAGGCGCTCTTTTATCGCGTCTTATATATGTCCGGGATCGAAGACCCGAGATCATTCGCCACCGACGAGGAAAGAGACATCTGTCAAGAGGCGTATTCAAAGCTAGAACTCCGCCCAGAATGCCGCGCCATGATGGAGAAATTGCGGGAGAATGGTTTCACCATCTGGTGCTTGACCACGGGCGACACAGAAAGAGTCGGCGGCTACTTTAAGCGCGCCGGTTTCGAAATGCCCGCCGAGAACCTTGTCAGCTGCCATCAGTTCATGAAATATGAGTCCGCATTGGAATCCCCGCTTGCTATGGTCAAACCTTCGATGGGGTCCTACAAGCCCATGCTGGATAAGTTCGGTGCCGAGGATCAAAAGTGGTTTGTGGCGGCGCATATGTGGGATGTGAGCGCAGCTGTTAAAGCCGGGTAAGTTTCGCCTGTTGCCTAAAAGAAAGATATTCTAGCTAACTTATGTCGAAATAATCAGCTTCCGTGGTGCTTACTGCTCGATCTATGAGAAGGAGTCGTGTATTGAGATCTTTGATACTAAGATGGATGTCATGGCCGACAGTTTGCTCGAGATGGCTGAGAAGATGATTGAGGTTTCTTGAATATGAAGTTCGGCTGTACTTAAGAGATTCAAGAGACAGATTGGACTCTGATTGCTCTATATATCAATCGCCAGGCACAAATAATTATATTAAATGATTTCAAGCGAGCTGCGGTCTTCCTGTTGATTTCCATAATATCATGTTTCATGCTATGAGTACAAGTTCTTGAAAACCCGAGTTAATTCTTCATAATTAACATGCAACTAGGTCCAAGTTCAACACTAAGCCCTAATTGATTCCGCGCATGCAAATGATCCTCGAAGCGCTTAAACTCCTACGGAATCGGGATCAGCGGCGTCGATGCAGTTTGACGCCCCTATCACATATCTCGCCATACAAACTCAAGTATCCCGAATCTCAAGCCTATATTCTAGTTCAGACTGCTTTCAGTCAATGTGATCTTGAAGAATTCAGTACTTACTACTGACACCGCTCATTGAGTTGATTCTTCATGATTCCACGTCACATTTCTCGTCACAAATGTGTACTAGTCAGAAAAGAAGATAGGATTCACAGGGGTGGAGATGAAACCATAAATATGGCTTCATCCCCAGGCATTGAGAAGATTAGACAGTTTTCAATTCATTTTTCATACTACAAAGTATTCCTTTGTAAAATATTTAAATCCCAGTTACTACATGCTGTTTAGTGTTTTATTCCTATATTATACTATTCAACATAAGTTTAACCAAATAGTAATTGAATTACAAAGAAATTCTCTGCATTTACTAAAGCTAGCATGAGAAATGTTGAGTGTGTTCACAAGATTGTAGTTATATATATTTGTAAGTTTTTGAACCAAGTCCCTGAGAAGGTTTGGATGCAATAAAATAAGAACTAAGGCATGACGGGCACATTATACAACTGTAACTTGCAGAAATGAAATAATCAAATAAAGGAGTTGTATTTATTGCTTCCTGATTATCTGTAGACCGATTCTGACTCGTTGACTATCACTTCCCTCTTCTCTGTCGATGACAACAGGCGATCGAAAACATTTTCCAGGCGAACAACGGCATCATCCACAATTTGACAGTGGACGACTATTCTTCCACCGAACAATTTAACTCCTTCCTCTTTACCCACGTTGATAGCTCTCTCCACCGTGATACCACTGGAAGGCAAATCCAGACAAACCATGTTTGTATCGACTGGACGACTGATTGCGCCACCGCGATCAACCCACATCTTCTCAATACACTTAGCCTTCTTGTGGGTTTCTCGCAATCGACCACCTTCACCATTAGGTCCCTTTCCGAAGTTCTCCTCGACCGCTACACGGGCTGCAGATGAAATGATTCCGGCCTGTCGAATGCCTCCGCCAATGCTCTTCCTCACCCATCGGCAATGTTGTAGAGTGCTTTTCGGACCAACGATAATGCTGCCCACAGGGGCGGCGAGCCCCTTAGAAAAGCACATCTGGGCCGTATCAAAGCAGTCTAAATATTCAACCAATGAGCCAGCTCCGGCAGCGACAGCCTCCCAGATTCTTGCGCCGTCTAGGTGCATCTTGATATTGTTGGCACGAGCGAATGCAGAGATCCGGCGGACTTCCTCTAAAGGAGTGATGACGCCGGCGAGAGTATTTTCTAGCGATATCACGCGGGTTGGCGCAATGTGGATATTGTCACGAGTATCCACGTCTCGCTGAATATCCTCGAGGGTCAGGTACTGCCCGTTCGCTGGGATGCACGGCTGCATATGCGCCTGAGACAGAGACGAGCAGCCGCCGGCCTCCGACTTTAGAATGTGAGATTGATAATGGCATAGAATGGCATGAGGCGGCTGTGTTAAGAGCGATCGGAGGGCAATCTGGTTTCCCATTGTTCCCGACATGACCAGCAGACTGTCTTCCTTGCCTGTCAGGTTGGCCATGAACTTCTCGAAGTCATTTGTCGTCGAATCCTCTTGATATACGTCATCCATCAAGGTTGTTTGAGCAATCGCCTTCAGCATAGATAAGGTCGGCGTCGTGATAGTGTCTGTTCGGAAGTCGTAGGCCGCAGGTCCAGGACCACACCAGGAGCTAGAGACTTGGATGTGCTCAGCTGGTTGGCTAGTCTCATTTTGACTAGAGAAAACTTCAATGCCACTCATAGTGAATCAGGAAACAAATGGATGGAAGTTGATTTGAAAGGGTTTGGTGTTGAGTTGAGAAGACGAGTACAAGGAAGTTATGGGAATATTGAGGATAAGTACATATACAGAGATTGATATCGAAGTTGCGCTCAAGATTCCGTTGAATAGCAATGCCTGGAACAACTCGTTATCAGATTCACATCATTGAGTACATACATAGGTGGCATGCCTTTTCTGTCCGACTCCGCTCTTCTGGGGACTCCGTAACTTACTCCGTCGAGGGCCGGATCTCGGACTTGCCGGTGTGGGTCAGGTCCACACTCTTGAATTTCAGTCCGGTGCCGGACTGGTGCCATTCTTAATCCATTTTATCGACCTTGGAAGGTTCTAGGCTAGAAGGTGAGCTGCTGACTTAGCTTTCCTGTTTTCGTCACTGATTGAGTGGGATTGAGGGCTAAGGGGGTGCTCAGGGGAGCAATTTGAATGATTAGGTAATACTCAAGGGGCGTGCTCAGTTTTACTCAGTAAAAGGCGGCAAGGCGTGAGTACTCAAACGGGAAGCTAAGCCTTCTTAAGGAACTATCTAGGTATGTAGTACGGAGTACTAGGTAGTTAGCTGGTCCAACTAGGCACATTTCATATGCGCACTTGTAAGACATTAGATATAAAATAGAGCACCTCGGATCATAGCAAATGTTGTGTTAGTTTCGACTGAGACACGGGGAAAGCCAAGATTTGCCAGACATCGTCAGGTACAGGTGCTTTCTCGAGGCAGAGAGTAGTTATACAGGGAGTGCACAAAGAGTGTACAATGTTAAACATACGCAACCCGGTTTATTTTCGGTAGGTATAGGGTACCGGAGAAAATATGTAAAAGGTATTCGGTGTAACTCAGGGTGGATCAAGAAAAAATAAGCTCATCGAGTGACAACGTGGGCTTTTACCTAATGCCCCCGTCGTGGTTGGAGTCTATTGGAGTAATTGACTGTCTTTTCTTCCTGAGATCCTTTTCATTATATGAATTCCTGCGTCCCACAAAGCTATGTCTTACCTAAATGTTTTCGAATCCTACATCGGAGTTAGTATGGCGAAATTATCTTATTTAGCAGTACACCCAAGGTTGAAATCTTCACTTCGCCATTTCCACCCTCCATAATCTCAATATCCCATCAATTAAGCACAAATTTTAAAAAATGGTTCACCATATTCACATCGCCGTCTTAGACGTCGACATCCCAGCCCGCAAGCTATACGAGGCTAGAGGGCTCTGCAGTGCCCACTTCAGAACCATCCTCCGCGAGACCGCATCTCGCCTGAACGAGACTCTTTTCTCCGAGAAAGAGCAACTCGAAGTCAAGATCACCCCATATGATATCCGAGGAGGCCATTATCCCGACCTATACAAGCTCCGCGGCCATGCAGGCGAGGACCAAATACCCGTGCAATCCCCAGTGGATGCAGTCTTGATCACCGGCGGTTCGCCCGGCGTATACGAAATGGACCATTCACCATGGATGCAAGAGCTCGAGAAATTCGTGAAGACAGTCTACAACCAATACCCACAAGTCCGCATCCTTGGCACCTGTTTCGGCCACCAACTTATTTCGCACGCTCTCGTCCGCAACGTGGAAGACCCGGTCCGCGATGTCTGGGTCGAGCAATGCCCTCTCGGTCGTGAGGTCGGAATTTATACCGTTCAGTTGGAAAGTGCGTTTGTGAAGTCGTTCCCAGGTGCGCTCGGTGATCTTCCCGAGGGACGCTTGCGCATTCAGATGTTCCATGGCGATCGTGTGATGGCGGTTGAGAAGGGAACTGCTGTTACGCTTACTGACTCGCCGCCGGTTTCGCTGCCCGCGCCGTGGATTAATATTGGAAGTACACCAATCTGCCCTATCCAGGGACTTTACCACCCCGGCAGAGTGCTCTCTGTGCAGGGTCATTATGAAATGGATGCCTTTGGCATGACTAAGATGTGCTTGGAATCTGCACCAGTCATGGGATGGAAGGAGTCGAAGTTGGCATTGTTCTTGGAGCAAGTTGGGGATGATCGTAAGGAATGTCAGGATGATTCTAAGGCCTTTGCCTCTGCTGTGGTGTCTTTCTTGGCTGGCTTTGAGCAATGACACATGGAGGATGAGACATCAAAAATAATGAGGTTTTCTGCTTCCACCACTTACGGTGTGAAGATGAATAGAATGAAATTGCAGAGGAATAAAATACATATTATGCAAAAAGGTCATACCTGTGCAACAATTAGTGCTGTACAACATGGAATCGATAATTCCCCTCAAATATGCAAGCAATTCATTATATACAGCGCTAAACGCTCCTCAAACCGCCCATGCACGCAGGGAGAGCCGTTGTCGGCTTCGGATGGCTACTTTTTCAAGAATGTCAAAGCCGCGAGGCACAATGCATCCACCCCAGTTTTCATCGTGGGCTGGATCACGGGTGCAAACAGAGCCGAGTGATTCCCAGGGATCTCGTCCATAGAAGTTTCGTTTCTCTGGCCCTTATCCCAGAGCTCTGGGTCGATTCCTCCAATAAACCAAAAGGAGCAAGGAAGTCCCTGAGAAGTACCCAACGTAGAGAAATCCTCACTGACATTGGTCCTTGGAGTATCAGCATCGACGTCCTCGAAATGATCTCCGAAAGATGCAGCCAGTTGGGAGGCCACCTGTTTATCGTTGTCGGTGGGTGGAAATCGCCTCGTTGGTGTGAACACTGGCGGTTTCGGCGATCCACTAGCAATACACTCGGCCTCAACGATGCGCCGAATAGCAGAAATTATTTTCTCCCGAGTCTCCAACTTGACAGTTCTAAAGTCAACTCCAATTTCCGCCCGGTCCGCAATAATATTTTCTGTTTGTCCTGCCTGCAAGCTCCCGACCGTCACGACAGCAAGATCAGTCGGGTCAACCTCTCTACTCACAATGCTCTGAAGTCTGACAACAACATGAGCAGCAAGAAGCACGGGGTCTACCGTTTGATGCGGCTGTGACCCGTGACCGCCGCGGCCGTAGAGAGTGATCTTCATGCTATCAGCAGCAGCCATGATCGTGCCAGGTCGGGAACCAACACTTCCCGCTCGCATTCGCATGACGTGCTGACCAAAGACGTAATCAGGCATGGGGATCTTTGAGTAAAGTCCATCATCAACCATAGCCTGAGCGCCTCCGCCCCGCTCTTCGTTCGGCTGGAAGAGTACGATTAAAGTCCCGCTCCATGCACTCTGTGTACGGGCCAGAACTTCAGCTGCTGCAAGGAGACATGTAATGTGCATATCGTGGCCACATGCATGCATCACTGGTTTCTCGTTGCCGTCGGCATCAGACATAGTCACTGAACTCGCGTAGGGGAGGCCGGTCAGTTCCTTGACTGGAAGCGCGTCCATGTCGGCCCGGAGAAGAATTGTCTTTCCAGTCCCATTCTTGAGAATGCCTACAAGCCCGTAGCCTCCAATATTGGTGTGAATTTCATAGGCTCCAAGCTGGGACAAATGGGAGGCAATCGTTTCAGAAGTGGCCTTCTCTTGTAGCGAGAGCTCGGGATGCGTATGAAAATGCTTGTAGAGAGTTTCATAAGGGGCCAAGTCCACACCCGCGTTGGCTAATATGTCCGACAAGCGTTGCTGGGCCATTTTATAGATAGGCGACCGACGATGTGTTATGGAATCTTAGATGATGAGGGGAGCTGATGAGGGGGAGTTGGTGAGGTGGTGCCCGGGAACGGGGCGGGAGGGGAGATTGGTCAGCCAATCGTTAGGCCCGCACTTAGGGGGCCAGCCCCCACCTGCAAAGTCTATGATCAATGGGTGTGTCGGTGTTGACCTGGAGGCCTTCTTCATGTCGCTTTTGTGGAGTTCATGGCGTTGTTGAATACTGATAAGATCAGAAGAACAGAAGGGAAAATGAGTAAATGTCAACAGCAGAAAATGGGAAGGCACTACTCCGTACTAATAATATTGATGCCCTAGGCACCAGGCATCCAACAAATTGGGTGACGATAGGTAGTCTTGTGCCTCTTATTTTCACTAGGTTGAGTAGAATCCGCAAAGTCTTAGAGAAAGTGCAGAAGCTAATTCTTTTCTCATTGGTGTTCTCATTAGTGATCATTATTAAAATGGACTAATAAATCCACAATCACCAAAATAAACTAAATATGTGTCACATATCTGACAACCAAGGTTTAACGCAGCAAAAAAGCAGTGTTCTAAAGGAGTGGTGCAAAAACAGCCCACAAAAGACCAATCAAGCCAATATGAGGGATATTTGAAGATCCAGCCGCATTGTAGGCCGGAGAAAATGTAGAGGTAGTTGCCGAATTGGTCTGACTTCCGCGACCCGAGCCCGATGAACTACCGGAAGCATTATCAGATGTGCTTTCACTGCCAGCTCCTGCGCCCAGGGTACTCGACACCGTCTTGATTGAACCGGACAATGATGTTGTGATAAGCGAGCCAGATACTGATGTTGTCGCAATAGACCCAGGCACTGAGCTTGTCACGAGGGAGCCTGACGTTGAGATGGTGACAACATATCCAGAGAATGAAGTTGTGACAAGTGAAGCAGACACCGAGGTTGTCACAATTGAGCCGGAGGCGGAGGTTTTAATGAGAGTGACTGGTTGAGTTGTCTCGACTGGGCTGGATGTTTCCTCGGTCCCAGTGGTAGCAGTGCTTTCTTCAGTGGACTGATTGCTCGTTGTCTCAGTAGTTGTGGACTCAGTGCTCGTATTTTCAGTGTTAGTAGCTTCGGTGCTGCTAGCTTCGGTACTCGTCGCTTCACTGCTGGTAACTTCAGTACTTGTTGCTTCGGTGCTGGTAGCTTCGGTGCTGGTAGCTTCGGCGCTCGTCGCTTCACTGCTGGTAGCTTCACTGCTGGTAACTTCAGTGCTTGTTGGTTCGGTGCCGGTAGCTTTGGTGATGATAGCCTCAGTGGTGCTAGCTTGAGTACTAGTAATTGTGGCTCCTGTCGATGCTTCAGTGCTGGTAGTAGTGGTGACCTGAGTGCTCGTCGCTGTAGTTTCCATTTTAGTGCTGGTGGCACTTTGTGCTGTTGTGGAAGTGACCAAGTCGGAGCAGAAATTCAGCCACTGTGCAAACGTCGGCAACATTCTGGATGAATATTCATTAGAGCCCGATTCAGCGTTGTTGGTGATGCACTCCTCGCAAACATCCAAGTTTTCCATGAACGCCGAGTCACTCTTGCAAAGCTCAGGTGTTTTACCAAGCAGTTGGGGCTCATGTGCGGCATCGCTGCAATCATTGTAACAAAGAGTTGGAATATTCGTTATGTCGACTATTTTGACCTTTTGGGCGACAGCGAAGTCCCACAAGGACATGTCCCGCTTACTATTGGCTGCAACTGGGTCTTCCGGGAACTGGAATATAGAGTAATTAAGACCGAAGTCCTCCGGGTTGAGGTTGTAATAATTAGTCGAGACATTGTACTGCCAAGATGGGTGGACGTCCAAAGGCGGAGCGACAATGCAGTCTGAGGGGGCGCAGATGTATCCGGGATCGGGAAGACCTGCTTCAACGTTGCATTCCGAGCGATCACCTATATGAAGTGGCTTGCAGAGATACCCAGGTGCGCAGCCCCAGGTATAGTTATTTGGCAACGGGGCGGAGGGCGTGTAGGTTGGGTTGCTGATAAGACTGGAGCATACAGAGACGGATACCGTTGTAGTACTGCCAGAGCTCTGGGTCAATGTGGTATCAGGCCCGCTAACAGTGGCAGTAGTAGATGGAGGGATAGTTTGGGTTGTTTGTGAACCTGATGGTGTTAGCTGCTGCAACAATACTCAATATTCTGTGCTTCGGAATTTACCTGAGATAGTGACCGTGTCGATAATGGTTGTTGAATTACCGACAGTCACTGTACTTCCAGGACCTGTGATAGTTGTGGTGCGGGTAGAGCCGGGGAAAGTGCTAGTACCATCCGATACAGTGACGGTGGTGGCAGGCTCAGTAATTATTGTCGTGATAGTTGTCCCTGGAAGTGTTGTTCCCGGTAGAGTGATAGTGGTATTTGGGATAGTGACAGTTGAGCCACCGGCAGTAGTCGCTGATGTTGTCGACACTGGAATAGTGATAACATCCACGGAGCTAGAAGTGGTTTGGGTTGTCACTGTAGTGGTTGATGCGGTCGTCGTCCTTGGAGTAGTAGTAGCCGAATCACTGATAGTGGTTGATATTGTTGGGGTGGTTGTTACGGAGACAGGTACGCTCGAAGTAGTTGTCACGGAGCTTGAAGTGGTCGTGATAGACTCGCTCGAGGTAGTTGTGATAGGCTCGATCGAGGTAGTCGTGACAGGCAAGCTCGACGTAGTCGTCACAGAGCTCGAAGTGGTCGTGATAGGCTCGCTTGAAGTGGTCGTGATAGGTAAGCTCGAGGTGGTCGTCACAGAGCATGAGGTGGTCGTCACAGAGCTTGAGGTAGTCGTGGTAGGTACGATCGAGTAAGTCGTCACAGAACTCAAGGTGGTCGTCACGGAGCTTGAAGTAGTCGTGACAGAGCTCGAAGTGGTCGTGATAGGCTCGCTCGAGGTAGTCGTCACAGAGCTCGAAGTGGTCGTGATAGGCTCGCTTGAAGTGGTCGTGATAGGTAAGCTCGAGGTGGTCGTCACAGAGCATGAGGTGGTCGTCACAGAGCTTGAGGTAGTCGTGATAGGTACGATCGAGTAAGTCGTTACGGAGCTTGAAGTGGTCGTGACAGGCTCGCTTGAGCTGGTCGTCACAGAGCTCGAAGTGGTCGTGATAGGCTTGCTCGAGGTGGTGGTCACAGAGCTTGAGGTAGTCGTGATAGGTACGATCGAGTAAGTCGTCACAGAACTCGAGGTGGTCGTCACGGAGCTTGAAGTAGTCGTGATAAGCGGCCTCGATGTGGTCGTGACAGAGCTTGAAGTAGTTGTCACAGGGACACTCGAGGTCGTAGTCGTAACAGTCAAGTCATCTGTGCATGTGCACGCGGTAATTATCTCAGTTGTGTAATCTGTGACCGTCCTTATAGGTCCATTTTCGGGCAGTGCAATGGCAGCTTTTGCAACAACCCTCACCGGTCCAACGCCAACATTGGCGACTGCACTCAAGGTAGGGGCATTTAAACAACCATTAATAGTCTGAGTAGTGGCCTCGGTGATAGTAATTGTAGTGGCGCCTGGAGAGCTATTTCCAGTCTGCGTAGAAGTGTCGGTGATGGTTTCAGCGGTGCAAGTCTCGCCATCACCGAGCCAAAGCGTAACCCCGACTCTTACTGTGGCAGCCAATCCATCCTCTTGTTCCGCCGACAGTGCGGGGGATCTGTTGATTATACTGCTATAACTTGATGTCACCAAACTGAAGACAATCGCCAACAGCGACAACCAAGCGACCGCGTCCTTCATCTTTGCCTGTCTGTAGAAGAAATTCTTCCGGGGATGGCCAACGAGGTAAACAAGCTTGACAAAGAAAATGATTCGAAGGAATTAGAAGACATCCAATACATACGCACGGCCCCCTTGGCGCATGAAAGAAAGCCCAATAGTTCGCGGCTCAAAATTCTCCTCTGATGGGCATCGGCTCAGACAACGCACCATAGCCCCATCGCGAATTCGAATTACGAGGAAATACATCAGATTTCAAGCCTTTGAAAATTATACATCGACCGCAAGGGGGGGGCCAACTCAAGCACACAATGGGGCACCTTCAGTTGATTCGGCTGTGTTTCCCGTAGCTGCATGATTCTAGCCATGCAGGCATACCATCATGGTAATGATCAGAACGGTCGGACCACGAGCTGAGAGTGGGCGTATTACATCCGCATTTATTCATTCCCCTTTCTGCTTGGTTGCTTCGTATAGGGCGGGGGTGTAATTGACAACAAAGAAGATCAACAAAGCCGCATCGCAAGTTCCGATAGACCCCGCCCCCCTCGCTTTTTGCATTTGGATTCGAGATGTCAGCAGTAAATCAGAATACCTATGGAAGTTGTCATGTTCAAATTATGATAACTCAGTAGTGAGCTCAACTGATATTTCTTCAATTGAAAAATGCGGTTTATTTTGGGGACGGTGCTGACCCTGCTGGTTGTGATAGACTGTGCAGTGGCCGTATGTAGCACATTTCCGACTCAAATTAATGTTTCTATGTGCAGCTGGCAAGGCCTACGTGGTAAGCATTCCTTGTCCATTTTTCTTTTCTTTTCCCTTTTCAAATAGATCCTTCTTTTTACTGACATTAGTAGCCAATATCCTGCGCGATACAATCTACCTCGATGGCGGGGAGCTATGGTATCAGAAGTATGAGGTTCCCCCTGGCCAATACCTACTTTCACTAACAGCTACAGAGGATATGACGACGGTTGCGTTGAGCCCCAGGCAGATAACAGTATGCGCGACCAAATATATGTTGATATTTACGCATAGCTAACTAATAGCAGATTTGGAAGCCACCATCTATTATCTGAACCTCACCAATTCTTTCAACACTAAATCCGATTTTATGAATCTCCTCAGCAACATGTCCGTTGCCGGCGGTGCTGCTAGCATAGCCCCGAACTACGTTGAAGGCACGATGTTTGCCAACGACAACGAGTTCTACCTCTATGGGTTGGTGTCCCTCGTCTTCCCCTTAATAACTCACTGATTCTGATATAATTTATTACAGAGGGATGCACCATAATACTGATAGCTCCGATCCTCCGCCTGCTAACCAAGTCCTGTCGTACGCCGCGTACCAGTATGGCGCCTATAGAAGCGCATGGGCGCCCGGTTGGAACCAAGAATATCTCACTACTAATGTCACACGATATATCACCAATGGCGCTGCTGCGTCAGCTTCAAGAGAAAACTTAGGCTTTTACTTTAGCGGCATGCGTGCGTCGGACTGGGGCGACTTCAATATAAATCAGCTCCAATCTAACCAGACTGCCGACACGTTAATCACCCTGGACATGTCGTCGATGAGCAATGGGAAGTGGACAAACAGCACACTGCCAAGCTATATTCCTGCTCGCTCTAACGCGGAACTGGTATGGGTCCCTGTGTCCGAGTCTGGAGCTTTAGTGGCCATTGGCGGAGTGGTTGAACCCATTCAGTTTTTCCGGAATGGAAAGGCAAACTCGACACGGACGGAAGAGAGCAAAAAGATTAGCCCGACGTTTATGGAGAAAGTCTCCGTCTTTGATGTTGGGAGTGGAACCTGGTATCTACAGAACACGACGGGTGATATCCCGCCACAGTTGACAGAGTTCTGCTCTGTGCTTGCTAGTGCGGCTGATGGGTCATCTCATAATATCTACATCTATGGAGGATACGATGGTCTCAACTATAACGCCAATCCGTCGGATGACGTGTATATATTGTCTCTACCTTCCTTCAAGTGGGTCAAAGCATACAACGGTACAAACACACACAGTCGCAGCGGTCACCAATGCATCAAGGCATATCCCAACCAAATGCTGGCGGTTGGAGGACAGCATGTCGACTCAACACATTGCCTGGAGGGTGGTATCATTGTTAATTTCAATCTTAACACCCTGAGCTTCGAGGATAAATATGATCCCACAAATTGGAGCGAGTATAAAGTGCCAGATCCCGTGACGAAACTGATAGGCGGCAAGTGAGTATAGATCCAGAAGTAAATAAAGTGAATCATCATGGCTGACAGTTTATTAGCTCCGATGGAGGCGCAACCGCCACGGCCCCAGAATCATGGACCAACAGCTCTCTAGCGGGAGTTTTCGGCAAGAAGTATAGCAAGTCTATCGAGACATATTGGCCGTACAATAGCACCAGCGGCAATACCAGCACCAGTGCCTCCACACAAGATCATAAGGGGAGCAGCGGATTCCCTGGCTGGGCTGGTGGAGTAATTGGCGCGGTCTTGGGTCTGCTTGTGATTGCAATCCTTGCCGGACTCTGGTTTTATCGCCGTCGTCAACGCCAACGCAAGTCCGCGGAAGTTGAATCCGAAGCCGCAGGGGCTGAACCCAAAAGCCGTCCTCCAGAATGGATGTATGCGGGCGGCCTAGCCTCCCCTGGACCTGGGCCAGTATCATCATCGACAGGTATGGAGACGGCGGAGACGGTGCGGACGACACATACCACGGGAACACAGCCGTCGACAGCGCAGCAATCGATAACTCAGCCATCCATAACACAGGCTTCAACTGTGCCAGATTCACTCGTCTCTCCCGCGACCCCTGGCACAGTGGAATCAGGAGGAGATGCGCTATATGAGATGCATGGTATGTCAATTACTTTCTTTATTCAGTCTTTGGTAGCAAATAGATACTCCAGAGTACTAACCCGGACCCCCACACAGATTCATCACCCGTTGAGCTTCCCACGCCATTCAATGCCGCCTACTTCGCTCACGATGGGCCTCCCAAACCCGAACCTGAACATGGTGGGCCCAAATCCGATCTGAGACGAGGATCCCAGTCTCCCGTCTCGCCACAGACTCCTAGTGAGACAGGCTCGGAGTACTCCTATCCAGCAGGTCACACCCGGCGCCCGTCTTCACTATCATTAACTTCGCCAATGTCGATTGAAAACGTGATGAGCGGTCGGTCGTCGCACTTTTATGAATCCTTTGATAGTTTGGATACCCGGCGAGCAGGTCATCGATCTGAGGTTTCCCAGTTGACTGATAATTTGCAAAAGGGGCGGAAAGGGGGTAATGAGACGATCCGGGAGGATGAATAGGATATGCTCCTCTAATGTGGTAATACCATTTTCGTATGTAGAATAGAGAGATTGATTAGTTTGTTAGTGGTGAAGCTGGTCATAAATTCATAATAATCAAAGTGGTTTGCAGTGCTAAAGTACAAACTCCAGAAAAGCCCGAGTCATGCCAATATACTTCGTCGTCCCACGTTCTGGACATATTGACCTGATATATCTGGACCCCGACCATACACAGTAGCTGTGGTTAAAGTGGCCAAAGATGCAGGTATCTCAAAATGCTTATTGATAGCCGAGCTCCGTGGAGAACCCGGTTCCCATGACGAGTTGAGTATATTGACTGTTGCTCGCTCAGCAACTAATTGAGGTTCTCGATCTAGAATATGTGAGCCTAGAATCACAAAAGACCTCTATGCACTGGCACTAATACCTTCCACCAAAGGTTGAGAGATGAGAACAGGCTGACCATCCCCGTCCCCCGAAGAAGATCTGTCTCCCTTGTCTCGCATGTCCCATCTTCGCTTCGACCGTGGGGGTATAGATTCCTTCACGGGCTTCTCAGCGCCCGAGTATTTCCCCCGGGACGCGATACCAGCCCCCCAGCGCAATCGGATCTCGTATCCCTCGCAAGTGAGACCCCGGTCACTGCACTTTTGGCAGGCTGGACGCATTTCATCGCATTGGATCCTTCTTTTCTTGCAGGTCCAGCATCCCTTGAAAGAGCGATGACGGTGGGAGAGGTCTTTTTGCTTGTCGGTCGGAGGCATATCAATGAGAGAACTGTGGTGAAGGTAAACAAGAAGAGTACAAAAAACTCCAGGAAGTACAACAATTCACTCATATATACTCGTGCGAGCGTGGTCCTATGTACATCCTCGCACGTTGATTGGCCGAACAAAGATCTCAGTGAGCGAAATAATACATTCTAACCTCCTATAGGGAGTGCTTCCCGGGTTATCGACAAGGACATATTTTACTATGGGGTAATTACCTCACATATTTCCAGAAGATGTCTTATGATCAGTGCAGGGAGTCCAGTTTAAAAGTCGATGGGATGTTAATGTGAGCTTACCGCTTTGGGAAGGTCCACGCAGGAGAACAAGTCTTCTTCAGCCCCTCCATTGACATGTGTGAGATCTGCCCTGAAGACAAAGCTAACCCGTCGAAAAGTCAATTATCAATTCAGAGGGACGACATCAAGACTTTGCGACCGTTATGTGCTTCAAAATTAAATATTTCCGGGTGAAGCCGTCACCTAAACCTGACCCGGCTTCGGGTCTGAAAGCTATGTGTACGCAGGGGTACTCCGTATAGGGGCTAAGGTTACGGAGTACTCCGTACGGAGTACTTTCGGCGTTAATGCAAAAAATGGTGCCTTAATGCCTTAATTTGGCACGGCAGAAAAAGAGCCCCGGGTGAATTGATATTTGCCTGAGGCAGCATTTAGCCTCAGGAATACGAAGCTATTTCTGCCATACAAATCTATGCATCGCATGATTTTTAGGCGGTTTAAACCAGAATTTAGGGATAACTCTATAAAACTCGATGACTGCCTCATAATTTGACTCTACCAATATAAGCTCAATGGATTTGAATTTTATTGCATTAAATAGAGAACTGCTAATACGGAATTCTTTATTTACCCTATGCTAGTTCTCTATTTAATATAGTAAGCACACTGAAATCAGACACGGGCGCCAAAATCCAGTTGATACATATTTCTAATCATTCTGGCTAAAATCAAGCCCATTGTTAAAAGTCAGAGGCGTTTGCTCCTACATATGTCTAACACATTATGTATCCTGCATTAGTATATCTAGCCAGATATATATTTCCCTTCTTCTTTTCACAGAGAATTTATCTTTCTATGCGTGGTTCCTAGAGCTCTCTTCTTCATAGATAAGTTCAACCAAAGCCACACATGAAGAGAAAGATGGAAGAAATGCCTGAAGACCAGCCTCCGAATTCATTGCCAAAGAAATGGGATACCAAAACCCTAATGGAAGTTAGTGAGGCTCCACCAACCCCTGCTGCTGATACTACCGGTAAAGCTGTTACTCCCGTCAAATCCATGGCCACATCCAGAGTTACACGCCCATTCTATCATGTTCCAACTATGACATTGAACCCTAGTCACAAGCGGAAGGCACCTGTAGACGATATATTATCTGCAACACACAAGCGCGTGAAGGAGGCTCGGATCTTGAAGCGATCCGCAGTAACATTCCCTCCCCCCGGTCTTGCCAACTCCAGACATGGTCCATTTGATGGGATCGAGGGGGGTAACTCTATCTTGGAGGAGCCTGAAAAGCTCCGCGTGGACAACTCCATGGCTCTTGTTGCAGTTTACGAGGGCATTTTGGAAACCCTAGCGCAGATGAATCTTGATCTTCAGAATCTGGAGGACATGATGTTGGATTATGGATACATTTCGGGATATGTGAGCGAGGACGAGCATGCAGAAGAGGAGGAATCAGAATGGTCATATGCGGTGGAATCCTGAGTATTGGGCTGTCGTGGACCTTTCCCTTCTCCCATTTCACGTTTGATATGTAGTAAGGGTCGGTCCCCTCGCGATAAACCGTCGTTCTATCTACCTGGCACTACAGGGACTTGCCAACACCGTATTTTCAACTCCAAAAATGCCTGATGTCCCTCTCACACGACCACCAATTTGAGGTCCGAAGATGCTTTGTCAAATGTGAATGGTTAAATTTTGCTATGTACAATATAATATGCCTTCCTTAAAGATTAGAAAGCCCTGCAAGTCTTGTCCTTAAAGCTTCGACTTCATGTTCACATGAATAGCCTTAATATTCGAGTAAGCAGCAAGACCAGCCTCTCCAAGCTCGCGACCAATACCAGATTGCTTCACGCCACCGAATGGAATGCGCCAATCGCTATCATTGCTAGAGTTGATCCAAACCATACCGGCCTCAATTTTCTTAGCCACGCGATGCGCACGAGTCAAGTTCGTTGTGAACAGAGCACTTCCAAGGCCATAAGTCGAGTCATTGGCCATCTCAATAGCATCCTTTTCTTCGCTGAATCGGGCAATCACCACGAAAGGACCAAAGACCTCCTCTTGGTAGATACGCATCTTGGGCGTAACATCGGTGAAAATAGTGGGCTCAACAAAGAAACCCTTGCCATCACCGACACCAGTGAAAGGCTTGCCACCAGCGATGAGAGTGGCCTTCTCCGATTTACCGACATCAATGTAAGACATGATGCGGTCATACTGGGCCTGCGTCACCTGCGGGCCCTGGAAGGTCGACTCCTCAAATGGATCACCGACCTTGGAGACATTCTTCACTTGAGCCTTGAATGCCTCCAAGAAACGGTCGTAAATCTCGTCTTGTACCAGAATGCGAGATGTGGCTGTGCAAATCTGGCCTTGATTGTACATGATACCGATATGGGCCCATTCAACGGCCTGCTCGAGATCTGCATCGTTGAACACGATGAGCGGGCTCTTACCACCCGTCTCTAGGGTGATGTTCTTCAAGTTCACGCTAGCCATCTTCATAATTTGCTTAGCTGTTGCTGTGCTGCCCGTGAAGGCGATCTTGTCCACGTCCATATGCGAGGCGAGCGCGGCTCCGGCGACGGCGCCGTGCCCGTTCACGATGTTCACCACACCGGGAGGGAAACCTGCTTCTACGATCAGGTTGGCAAGGAAGAGGATCGAGAGAGGGGTTTGCTCCGCTGGCTTAAGAACCACTGTGTTTCCGCAGGCGAGGGCGGGACCGAGCTTCCAGGCGGCCATAGCGAGGGGGAAGTTCCATCTTTAGTATAATAGTTAGCAATTAGTTTCAACAATATTTGGTGACAGGTCCGCAGAACTTACGGGATAATTTGGCCACAAACACCAACGGGCTCCCGCACGGTGTAGGCAAACTTATCCGGGGTTGTGTCAATGACCTGGCCAAAAACCTTATCGGCGTATCCGCCGTAGTAACGGATTGTCTCGGCGGTTTCGGTCAAATCGTCATTGAAGGAAACGGAATACGGCTTTCCATTGTCGATCGTCTCGATAGTGGCGAGCGTGGCGCGGTTGTCCTCGATAAGCTGTGCCAGACGGTTCATCAGCTTGCCGCGGTCAATGCCAGGCAGATCACGCCAACAAGGATTATTCAAAGCAGCACGAGCTGCCTTCACGGCCTTGTCAACATCTTCGGCGGAAGCTGCGTGGATTGATGTGATTTCCTTTGCGGTTCTATTTTGACCACCAGTCAGTTATAACACTGAGAGACCGAATGTTAGTTCTTTCGTCTTGTTACGTACGTGGGATTGATGCTGGCAATCTTCTCGCCAGTCGAACACTTGACCCATTTGTTATTGATGAACAAGCCGGTGGGCTGGGTCCAAGTGTGGCCGTTAGGAGCTGTGAGTTGAACAGATAAATCGGCCATGATTGTATGTGCTTTGTATTGTGAGTGTCTTCTAGGTAGGAGAAGATAATGAAGCTAGATGAAATGAATCTGTTACTAGATATTAAACCCAAGCTCAGCTAAGAAATTGCGATAAGTGCTTCGGCTGGACATGCCATTCTAGGCAGCTTATCGGATAGATCATGGTCTAGGGGATCGACCCCACACGAGAGAGATCAACCTCCGGATTCTGGAGGCTAAAAGCGGGAAGAAGTTGATGTGGATTGATGTGGATTGTCGTGGATTCACTTGAGACAGGCCGAAATCGCCGTTGATAGGCCGAGCCGCTAACCCAAAACAGGCAAGTCCACCCACAAGCTATGGCATCCTTTGGGCAAATGGTATCTGAGATAAGTTTCTCTTCTAGTTACATGTCAAATTTGAATATGCATCGTTTTTTCTATATTGTAAATGTTTTGTGTGTGATAAAACTACCTTGATGGACTAGGGTAGCGCTGCACTGGAGGCTTTGGAGGCTTACATCATGTCCATGTGGAAAATAAGCTTGATTTAACGCCTTGGCATCCCCAACCCTTGCCCACCCGCATTCTCCCCTAATTCGTCCATTAGATCAGATATTATCAACCTAGGGCAGGTCTTGCCTAGCACTGACGCACGGTCTTTCATATAAGACTTGCCTCATTAGGCCAACCAAGTAGATGACTGTGGCCACATCTTTCCGAGCCGTTGCAATGCGATTGGCTGCAGAATTTGATGGCAAACGCCTTACGCAAAAGATATTATGGCATAGAATCAAAGTCTCAGACAAGTACTGTGCAAAGACACATCTTCTCCAGACTTTATCCCAAATTGAGCAACGGCGAGAGACCCCACTCTCGGGACCATTCGCTCACTTTCTTTGAGTTGCTTATATTGCAGATTGAGATCATGATTACCCAACTAGGAAGGTACATGCGGGGAGGTTCAATCGTATGTTCAAGCTCTATTGACTATATAAGGTCTATCGTAGTTTTGGAATGAAGGTTCTGGTTTTCTACAACTTCACAACTCCTCTTTCCCCTTGATACCCCTTCCACACTTTCATCATGGCGTCTGCCCCTGATACCGAGTCAATTCCTGGCTACACAATCTTTCGTGAAGGAGATTATGAAAGTGTTGCCGCCGCTGCCATGCTGCCACAAGGCACACCTCATCCGTTAGGTATGAAATGCCCCTCTATAAGTCCGGGGAGTACTGCTAACTCCAAACCCTAGATCAACTTTCTATTAAGGAAATTCCCGAGGCTGCAAAGATCATCCGGGATTATGCCAACCCCAAGTCTATCAAGTTCAACTGCCTCACACTTCGCGAACCCCGCAAAGCGGAATACCGGGCATTCCGCGCTGGCGCTGTCCCAGCTCCTGCCCGTCGCGCTTTCGCCATTGTCATTGTGCGTGAAACCAACAAAGTCGCAGAGGTGGTGGCCAATCTCGACACCGGCAAGGTTGAGGAATGGAAAGACGTTCACGACGTCATGCCTACCCTCACCCTGGAGGATCTTGATGTGATGGAGCGTGTTGCCCGCAAGGATGACCGCGTCATCCGTGCCTGCAAGGACATCGGAATCACCGACATGAGCAAGGTTTTCTTTGACGCATGGGCTATCGGAATCGACGAGCGCTGGGGATACGAGCACCGCCTCCAGCAGGGTCTGGCATACTACCGCAACTCGGTGTTCGATAACCAATACGCCCACCCTCTGGATTTCAGTGTTGTCGCCGACACCGACACGGAAGAGGTTCTCAGCGTTGACATTCGTTATGTGAACGGCGAGCGGACCGCTGCCCCTCTCAAGGAACACAATTACCTCCCCGAATTCATTGGCGACAAGTACAACCACGATCGCCTCAAGCCCATTGATATCACCCAGCCTGAGGGCGTCTCTTTCAAGGTCCGCGGCAACGAATTGACCTGGGCCAACTTCAAAATGCACATTGGCTTCAACTACCGTGAAGGTATTGTCATTTCCGATGTGCGCACCCACGACATGTACGAAGATCGCGAGCGCACTCTCTTCAACCGTATCTCCGTCGTTGAGATGGTCGTTCCCTACGGCTGCCCCGAGAAGCCCCACCACAAGAAGCATGCTTTCGATGTTGGCGAGTACGGCACTGGTCTGATGACCAACTCCCTGAAGCTGGGCTGTGATTGCAAGGGTGCCATCCACTACATGGATGGTGTCATGTCTACTTCCAAGGGTGAGGCAGCCGTCATCAAGAACGCTATCTGCATTCACGAGGAAGACAACGGTCTCCTCTACAAGCACACCGACTACCGTGACGGTACAGTGATCTCTGCCCGCGACCGCAAGCTCATCGTCTCCCAAATTATCACCGCCGCCAACTACGAGTACGGCTTCTACCACACCTTCACTCTCGACGGAACCTACAAGCTGGAGATGAAGCTGACCGGCATGCTGAACACCTACTGCATGCACCCAACCGAAACCGCCGCTCCCTTCGGCACAGAAGTCGCTCCCTCTATCAACGCCCACAACCACCAGCACCTGTTCTCTCTCCGCATCGACCCTGAAATCGACGGCCAAAACAACTCCATTATCCAGAACGATGCCGTCTCCGCCGAAGCCGCCGTCGGCTCCCCAGAAAACCCCTACGGCAACGGCTTCTACAGCAAGAAGACCCCCCTCCGCACATCCCTTGAGGGCGCCGCAGACTACTGCTACGAGACCAACCGGTCATGGGACATCATCAACCCTAACCGCATGAACACTATCGCGAAAAAGCCCGTCGCCTACAAGATCCTCAACAACAACTGTCCTCCTATGCTCGCCAAGCCCGGTAGCACTGTCTGGAAGCGCGCTGCTTTCGCCCGCAAGCCCCTCTGGGTTACTCCCTACAAGGACTACGAGCTCTTCCCGGCCGGTGACTACGTCTGCCAGTCTGACGGCTCTGAGGGCCACCCTTACAATTCCACCATCGCCGACTGGGCGCAGCGTGATGAGAACATCGAGAACACCGATATCGTCTGCTACCTGCAGTTCGGTCTGACACATTTCCCGCGTACTGAGGATTTCCCTATCATGCCTGCTGAGCCGGTTAGCATTATGCTGCGTGCCTCAAATTTCTTTGAGAAGAACCCTGGTCTCTGGGTGCCTCCTTCGGCTATTTGTGTTGATACCCAGTCGAAGAATGCATTCCCTTCTTCTTGCTGTGCCCCGAGTAAATCCCGGATGTGAGGGGTGACGGAGCGATGGTATTGATTTATGGCATGGTGTTTGAAAATGGGGTTTCTTTGAGTTTGTTTTGTTGTACATAGTAAATAGCATTTAGTCAGTCATACCTTCTTTGTTTAAATCAGATTCATTTTGATCAACTTCTCTTTTGGCTCTGAGTACGGTTCCAATCGATTTTCAATTGATTTTCTTCCATTTTGTTACTCCTATTTAGAACACGCTGTATAGTTCCGCAGTGTCATATTCATATTCCAAACCGTGCCATGGAATTCTGCTGTGATCTGTGTCACTTCTAAGGGTTCTTCCAGGTTCTCACTTTCATTGATGTAGAAGCCCATTGGTGGCCTAAGACCGCCATTACTTATAGTCCGTAAGGATCCTCTATTAGTGTTCTTCCTTCATTCACACTAGGTAACTTTTATAATAAGTTCCAGGTCTCGATTATGAGGATGCCAGATTCACTGCTAAATTATGTTTACACACACTAAGTCATTGCTTTTAGGCAAGATCCTGTAATTCTGCAGGGGTAAATCAAGTCGACACACTCCAGAAACACTCTGAACCTACTAGTGATGCATGCAGTAAGATACCAAAATAGTATCTACACGGCGAAACCATGACATCTAACCTTCATTTCATCTATGCATATGTATGTGTACTCAAAAACTCTATCAAACAAGCAATGTCCGCATTCACTCCATCCAACACTCAAATAATATTCTTCAGCTCCTGTCCAGCAAGATGCCGTCTCAGATTATACGCAATAAGCGCCTCAGCTCCACGCGGGCGTCCACCAGCAGCATGAGGCGAGAGAATAAGATTAGGCGCAGCATAAAGCTTCGACTCCTTCGGCAGCGGCTCAGCGGAGAAAACATCCAACGCCGCACCACCGATACTACCCTTTTCAAGTGCCTCAAGCAGCGCATCCTCATCAACAGAAGTGCCACGGCCAACATTGACAACCCAAGCGTGATTCGGCAGCAACGCCAAGCGCTCAGCGCTAAGCGCACCATTAGTACTCGCCGACCCAGGCAGGATCATAACAAGCGCATCTGTCTTGGGCAGAACCTCGTGCAAGCGATCCTCCGCAACAACCTCAAACCCATGTCGCACACCCGTACTCCGCGCAACACCGGTGACATTAGCCCCGAGTGCGGTTAGCACAGGTGCAAGGCTCTTGGCAATATTTCCGAATCCCCAGATAGTAATATTGGCACCCTTAAGGGTACGGAAAGTGCCAGGGGCACGGTCAGGCTGGGCGCCGCCCAGATGGGCGGGCCACTCGCCGCGGGACTGGTAATCACGCATTTCATAGAAACGACGGGCAGCATTGAGTAGCAGGCCGAGGGTGTGTTCAGCGACTGTTTCATCGTGCAGGCCGGAGCCGGTTGTGATAGCGATGCGGGAGGCATCGAAGCCCGCACCGAGGACGTCATTTGGACCGGCTGCTAGTGACTGGATCCAGCGGAGGTTCTTCATGCGGGAAGCTGCGTCGCGAAGGTTCGTGGCTTTGTTGCTCCATGTTACTAGGAATTCTGCGTCGATTAGGGGCTCGGGAATTGGGAGTGTGACATCGTATGGGTGCAATTCGACGGAGAAGCCTTCCAGGGACTTTGTGTCGAGGTGGAGGGAGGTTGGGTACAGGAGTTTCATTTTGAGGGCAGATTGGAGGTGGTTTGTTAGAGTCTTGAGGCGTCGGGTGGGCGACATGAGGAGGGGGAGATCAAGGTTCTTATGTGAGAGGAGAGAAGTGAGAAATGTGTTACAACGCGGGGTGTCTCGGCGGAGCTCCGCCGAGACCGGGGTAACTCCGGGTGGGAAGCACAGATGCCGGCCCCGGGGTGATCGATGAAAATTAGTAACGCAATTCCGTCTCTAGAACTACATAAGTCTGATCCTTCATATTATTGAATTGAGTACAGAATTTAAAAGTATACATGTAGTTTGTCAAAGTAGTGAAGGACTAAAAGCACCTTCAGAGGTATTTCGAGCTAGCCGCATCTAGTTAGCACGACATATTGCATCTTCCGATGCAGAGAGCACCTTATATGTACTATATTCTAGGTACAACTCAGAAACACTCAAATCTCACGTAGTGGGTAAGTAGATACAATGAGCACAATGGGTATCAGTCAATTCGGCCACAGCCTATCAAAAACACAAGCTATACAGTGAAGGATATACACAGAACGAGAATATATACGGGGAAATCATGATCACCAACACCAATTTTCCACCTACGAAGCACCACCTTTCTCAAGAGGAATATCCGTATCACCCTCGACGGCACCAGTACCTGTCAAAAAGAACTCAAGCTCACTAGGCCCGCCCTGTGAGTTCTCATTTTCAGCGAGCTGTTCCAACAAGCTCAGAAACGGGTCTTTTTCGGACGCGCTCTCGCTGCCAGTTGCGGTGTGGGTGGCGCTGGTTTGGGACTGGGCACCTGGAGTCAGTGCAGTGGGGCCAGACTGCGCCATTCCGTTTAGGTTTGCGTGAGCGGTGTCGAAGGGGAAGGTTGCGTATTGCGGGTTTGGGGGCGGTGTTGGTGCTATGTTCATGGCAGCGTCGGTGAGGAAGGCGGGCGGGGAGAAGCCGAAGGCTGAGGGAGAAAAGCCCGGGATGGAGAGGTGGGAGTTTTCTGATGTGCCGGCACCAGATAGGTCGGTTCCGGTTGGGAGGGAGAATATGGAGGGCAGGGATGGTGAATGTTGGTGTTGGTTGCTTGGGATCGTGTGGAATTGAAGGGTGGGCGAGAGAGAAGTCGTGTGAGATGGTTTCTGGGACAGGGAATGGGAATGTGAATGGGAGTGGCGACGGTCGATATCTGAGGTTTGTATGGATGCCAACGGGCTCGAGGGCCCAGGCCGGGAATTTGAGAAGTAGGACGAAGCATTTTGATAGGAGGGTGCGGCGATTGGTCGTTGGTAATAGTGATCTTGACGATCAACGAAGTTTGCAGAACTGTCTCCAGAATCAGTAATCATATAATATGTATGCAAAAGAATGGAATCAGCAGCCGACTTACCTTGGAGCCAGTTCATCCCCCGCATCTATGAGCCGAACGTGCGATCCATCCAATGTCAGACCAGGATATCGGTCGAGAAAGTCTTCAAGGTGGAAGACTGGCGAGAAACGCATTGGGCTACTGGCAAGATTGCGTACCAATTCAGAGTGACAAGTATAGATAGTCTGAAGCAGCTCACGCTGATGTTGCGCGCCAGTCCAAATATTGCGCAACCAAGCAAGCTGGTTCATCTCCCGAGTCAAGAATTCGGCGCTGGAAGAGAAAACCTCTCCTTCGCGACCCTTGTAGTGCACACCGTGAACATGCACAGTGCCCGCTGTGCACACACAGTAGCCGACAAAAGCAGGCCACTCAATCAGCGGAGAATTACGACCCAGTTCAACTAGCTCTGCGATGGCATTGGAGTGCGAAAAACACAAGTTTGTCGCTTCGATTTGCCAGGACTGATGTTGCCCCGTGCCTCTGAGCTCTACTAGGTCAATGGGTAGGAACGGGCGATAGATCAAACAGTGCACCAAATGGTAGATCAACTTGCTGAGCAAAAGTGTTGTACTCTCGGGGTGGCCGAACAATGCATCGATAGAGGCAAAGACGTCCTGCGTCCCGGCCGCCCAGATATCCAATTCTTGTCGGATCTTAGATAGATTAGAAAGCGCATGCCATGGGAAGTGGGAGTCGCCTTTGACTCCGCCAGCCGCTAAGTATTTATTGGTGACTCCAAGGATACGCGTGATATCAATCAATAAAGAGGCAGCACTTGGTGATTTGCGTCGGGAATCAGCGGAATATTGAATGTTCGGGCCGACATGGAAGAGCTCTCCCTCCATATTCAGACCAGCTGCATGTGGTGACCAAGAAGGTAAGCGCAGAACAACCGAATGATCGGTGATCAGACATGGACGTCGTGATCCACAGTTGATGAATCTGTCCATCAAATAAACCGACCAAAATAGCCGACGCCTCATTTCGCGCTCGGCAGGCGCGATATTGGGCTTGGGGGGAGCCTCGCGGTACAAATCCAGCGCGACAATCATGGCCACGCAATTTGCTGATCACCATTAGTGGAATTCATTCAGCCATGTAGGAGCGAGGGCAATCATACAGAATGTCATATAGGCTTTCTTTCCCAAACCATATGCATAGAAAGCTTGCGAAAGTAGCAATAGAGTCTGGAGTCCTTCTATTGTAGGATTGTCGACATCAATCATGCGTCTTGCCTGTAGCGCCGCATCGAGTCCGGTACGCAGTGACTGCTCCACTTGACCAGGCGAGGTCGTGTATCTGAGACTTGTCAGTCAAACATGTAAAGCATGCGGACTTGGCAGCTTGGCGGTTTTACCTTACTGTCAATGCTGAAATAGCCATAGCCAAAGACGGAGGCAATTGGTTTAGTTGATGGCGCTGTCGCGTCGTCGCATCGTCTAGAATATAAAATGGTTTACCGTGTAATCGGTCAAAGTAGATATCGAGGATCGCATCCGATACGGGCCCATTGTTTGTCGGAGAAGGCTGTTGTGGAAGATTTGCTTGGTGGCCGGGCGGCCTAGAGAATGGATCCACATGCTGCGAGAGAGAAGTTGACAAATTTGATCGATCGCTGGAAGAGTAAATACTAAAGGAAGTGTCGATGGTGTTGCGACGGGTGGGAAAACTCGGCGGATCGTCCGGAGTATCGGGGGAAGTGGGCGAAATAGGGTTCTTTTCATCGTGGAGTCGTTTCTCCAACCCATCGACCCGCTTGAGTAGAGCTTCTAACACATCGGTCTTGGGGCCCCTTTTTTTGGGGACGGCATCTTTGAACATCACAAAATCAATGGGGGAATCATGTGATGTGGGGGGGACATGATTGACTTACCATAAAGACATGGGCACTGGAAGACCTTACATGCCTCGCAGCTCGGTCGCAAACGATTACATTTGATCTATGATTAGTTAGAAACAGCCAATCGCACCCAAACTGACTTGACAGACCTTGCGCTTGCGACAGGATTTGCAGTTCATGGTTTCGCGCGGCTCGACCGTCGCACGGCGGGGCGTGAGACGGTCGATGCTAACCTGAGGACGAGACATGGCACATCTACATGGAAGAGAAAGATGAGAAGAAGAAAGAAAACTGCCAGGGCCAAGAGAGACAAGAAGTCAAGCGCATGGCTGTGGCGTTTGGAAAAAAAAAAAGAGCCTATACCACAACCAGGTTGCGGAGGAAAGAAATGCGGAGAAGTGATGTGCCGCCGGAATTCCCCAGTTTAGGCTGACATGGGGATATTACACGTGGAGTACTGCATTTTGTATTTTGTATTTTGTATACTATTAATTACCTTTTAATTACTTCAATTATATCATATATTTGTATATTCTTATGTATATTCCTTGGTATATACTCATTTTAAGTTTACTCTACTTCTAACATCACATTCAACGAAGAACCCCAATCCATTCCCCTTTAATCTGTGGACAACATAGAACTGGCGGGAAGAATTGCTTTTTACGGAATACACCCGGCTTAGGGTTTCGACGCCAACCTCCGAGATGATCCAGGTACACCGTGATGGGGGTGATGGACAGAATAGAGCTATTTACTGGTTGGATAGATCAAACTACTGCAACTAGGTACAATGACCTCCAATTATGTGCTTGGGCCCCTATTAATTCCCCTCAATTTAACCGAAGTGTCTCCTGCAGAACCATTTCAAGTATTTTACCTGCACGTGAAAAGTCTGGAGTACGGAGTAGCCTATTGCTATTACTATTGGCCCCCGCTTATTACACCTTGTCCCTAAAATTCGACAAATCCCTGATCATCCCCTGAAGCTACTATATTCGATACGGAACTCCACCTTAGTCTTCTTTTAACTTTCTAAACAGTTTGTAATGCTTATGTTAAGTATTACCCAGACTACAATATATGTCCAGGTGCTTTCTTCTCTCTTCTATAAACGTGTCAAACCCACTGCTCCGTACTGTGTACTGTGTAGGCGCTGGTGGCTTAGTACGATTACTCTATATAGTATCTACTCCGCATACCCCTAAATTGTATACTACATATCTTGTATAAAAAAATACACAAAAGGCAAAATACCAAGCTCATTGACCGGGCAAAACCTTCCCTCTCCTCACAAATTCCGCCATATCCCTCGCCCTCCCACCCATCCTGTCCAGCCCCTCAACAACGCCACCACGATCATTCACCGGCCGTTCCTGACTAACCTTAAACCGGCCCTCAATCCGCGTGATTTCAATCCTCATCCCGACAATATTCTTCAAAAGCGCAGCAATGTACTCCAATGGCGCATCGGCAATTTTCCAAGGCGTCGGCAATGCCGTGCCGTCACCATGCCCGCTAGCTCCGGTTACCGCCGTCTTCACCCCCTGATTCAGCTCCAGGTCTGAGCTCTGGTTCTGATTTCGGGGTGGATCCCCATCCCCAGTTCCACATCCGCTTCCGCTTCCACTTCCACCTCCCCCATGTTTGAGATCAGATCCCGAACCCAACCCGGATCCATCTTGGAAACCCATTACCCCTTCCTCTCCAAGTCGAGCTAAATCACCCAGCTGTCGTCGTAGAAACAGCTCCGTTTCCTTATCATTCACGTTGTGGTAGATAGTCGCCCGACCGTAGACCTGCACTGCGGCGTAATTCCACGTCGGAGCGACCCTTCCCGTGGCTGGTTTGGACTCTGTGTAGAAGTTCGGGGTGATGTAGTGATCTACTGGACTGGTGAAGACAATTAAGACCTCACCATGTAGTGTATGGCCTGTGGATATCGTTGGTTCCTCTGCAGAACTTGTTATAGGAAATGCGCCCGGGATACTGATTGTTTTGGTACCATACTCCGGGGCAGATTCTACCATTGCTTTGCTTTGCGGGTTTTGGCGCGCGATGTGACCGCGGAGTACTCCCATAGAGGGATGTAGTGGTGCGGGGGTGTTTTCATCGGCTAGTTTTGCTTCCGTCACTAACTCAGGGTCAAGGGTTGTTTCGTTGTCCAACACCCAGGGGATGTGGCTGCATTGCAGGGTCGGGTGATTCTCCGAAGGGAGGGAAGTGGTGAGGACGCCTAGTGGGTGTTGCTTGATGAAGGCATGGAGGGTTGGGAGGTCTCGGACTGCATGATCGGGACGTAGATGCATGTTTAATTTGTGGAAATTAGGAAAGGAAGAAACACAGCGAGCTAAAGAGACACGAAGCCTGGGGTTAAAGGGAAATGAGGGGTTGACCCCGGATTTTTTGATAAGTTCTTATCTTGCAGCATTCCAAGGTTTCAAGGTTTATATATCGCTTGTTAGCATGAAACATGGATTCTTATGCATCCATATCTCAAAATACTAAAATGGCAGAGCCAAGCGCAACAATTCCTACCAATTACCACCTGCTAGCTGAGGCATATATATACAGCAATGTCAGAGACACCCAGTGATGCAGTTGATCCTACAAAGTAGTCATAGGAACAATAAATAGAGCGCCATTTCCCTAGACTTGAACTAGTCACAACACTAAACATCCAAGGATCCCACATGATGCAGAGAACCCTACAAAAACATAGCATATAATCCCTACCCCAACCCATTAAAACAAAATGCCGATCCAACATCAACATCTATTGCATCAGCAACAGACAATAAAACCGAACCGCAAATTACCTACGTAGGTATGCAGTAAAATATACTATATAACTAAAACAAAGGCCTCCCAGACGCCATGCGCACAAAGTCAAACGGCACATTCTGCCCAACAAGCAACCTCAGCGTCTCAACCGTAGTCCAAGCACTAACATCCTCAACCCCATACGCCGTCCACCCAGCACCAGTAGCAACAGCCAAAGGATCACCCTTCCTCGGCCCACTCGTAAGATCAAGATAAACCTTCCCACGAGTCGAAGGCGGCGACGAACGACCATTAACACCATAATGTCTCAGCAGAGGCTGCACCAGCAGCGATTTCTCCGGCGGCAGCGCAGAGACAATAACAAAAGGCTGCTCGACCCGTTTGACAGATTGGATGGATGTAAATGGCTCAAGACCCGCAGCGAGCGGGCCACTCGCTTTAAACCCGACTGTATAGATTGTGCCAACGGCCAAACTGCGCAGTGCGAAGATCGCAGCAGAAGCGTCTGCTTGGGAGCTGGCGAGGATGATTGCTGCGCGGCTGCTATATGCGGATGGCACGTATTCGCGCGTCAGAGTTGCACGGATACCCTTCCAAGCGGCGTTTTCACCGATGAATCGTGAGGTTCCTGGTGTGGCTTCGCTTGGTGTCATGGCGATAGTGTCTACTAACCCGATTGCGCGGGCTGCATCGCTGACGGCGGGGATGAAACCAGTTGTGGTTGGAACTGGGGGGTTGAGGTAGGCGCCACCGAAGTGCGGTTGTAAGAGGACTGATTCGATGGAGCCTTTTGGGCCGCGGTCGACTGAAGTGAAGTTGTGCGGCAGGCCAAGCTCGTTAAGGCATTTCTCCATGAACATTGAGTGTGGGGTTGAGCGGAATGAGCCGATGGCGTAGAGCTCGCGTTTGGGGAGTTGGCCCATTATGTGTAGGGCTTCGTTGATCTCCGCTGCTGTTAACTGGCCTGGGGCGGCGATCATTGGGAGGAGGGGGTGGGTGATTGGAGAGAAGACGGTGTTGAGAGCTCGGGATAATTGGCCCATTTGGCCCATATTGACTGCTGACAAGGGTGGGCCTGAACCGCGGCTTTTGATGGTAGAGCGGAAGTATTCTAGTTCGTAGTTCTCCTCGATTGTGTGGACCATGGCGATCATCTTCACGATGTCGGCGTATTTGGCGCTTTCCGTGAATATGCGCTGCGCCTCTTGGGATGTCCACTTCCAGGTCCCGGAGAAGTCATGGAACGCAGATAAAATCATACTATGGCCCTTTTTCTCAAATAGCTGGCGCCGGATCTCCTCTGGCAGCCACAGTTCCACATCAATATACTCCACTCCCCACTGTATCGCTCGCCGCAAGTACTTGTAAAAGAGCGCAGGGTCATCTACCGGAAACTTCCCATTCTCTCTCGTACAACGAACAGTAAAGATAATCGGCAACTCAGTATGCTGCCGCAACAACATCAACTGCTGACCAACATACTTCAAACTCGGAACAGGCGGAGTGGTCCAACCCTCCGATACAGGCTCGACCAGCAAGTCCACACGGATCTCCACAGCATCAGATCCCACAGACAGGATATCCAAATTGGGTAAAGCAGCATGCACATCGGGGAAAGTGGTCGAAATAAAATTCGTCCTGGTCTTCGTCCTCAAATCATCATGCGGCCTCGTCTGGCCAAGAATCAAAGACAAAAACCGCGACAGATCCCGCCGCAGGAACGGACTCCGCGAATATAAGAACTCATAATCACAGCCCTCGGTGAGCGAGTCTTCCGGCGCAGACCCGTCTTCCACACAGTACGTGTTTACCAGAACAAGAGATGAGCGCTCGCATCCTTCCAAGCTCCGTACCAGATCATGTGCTAGGATCCCCACTACCACTGCATCGCTGGTTCGCGTGAGTGTCCCAAGCGATGTGTCCGTTGTCCATGGTTTGCCCAGAATCTCCGCGACCAGTTGTACAATATGCTCTTGGTTCCGGCCGTAGATGATCACGACAGTCCCATTGGCAGTCGGCGCGGCATTTTCCGCAGCTGTTTGGCCTTTAGGCCCGGTAGCCGGAGGAGCAGGAGAGGGGATTGTTGTAGCATTGGAAGGGACAGCGATATCGGGGTTTGCGCTGGGAGGATCCTGGGCTTTGAGGGCGGTGGAGACAGGGGGATCGTCGAGCAGCGGCGTGGCCATGTGCTGTGGAAAAGCTGTCGGAATCATGGCATAGCAGTCCCAAGTGTTTTCATAGTTCGTGCTAACGAGGAGATATATGCAGGTCGAAGTATGTGTCAAGACGGTGTAGAAATGGGAGTCGGGGAGGGGGGAACGAAGGAGCGCAAGGACCTAGTAGAGAGGCTTTTTGCAGTTCGCTTCTCAACAGCCAGGACCCGGGTAGCGTAACAGATAGGTAGTATCAGAGCATATATTTTTTTACAAAACAATTAGTGAAAAAGGGAGCGGGCCGAACGAGGCTAGCTCCAAGGTATGGGGTAATTGGGGACAAATGGAATAAAGTGACGCTAAGTCAATCCTAGGAGGTATTAAACCCAGCCGCGAGGGTAATGGAAAGCCATTTGAGGCGACATGGATCGATGGAAGAACTTGTCGCGGAGGTTCCACCCAATGCGCGACAATGGAATCCCACGCAGACGGCGGACGCGGGGAAAAGTGGGAGCGGCGTTGGGTTTCTCCACCAATCATATGTCGCGATATATCCTTAGACTGCATATGGATATGGGTATTGGAGCTCTATGAAGTGGAATAGGGAGTGTGCAGTACAGATATGCTTAGAAATCTTACCCAATTGACACATCTACAACTTCATGTGTTCATATCAATGTAACCATCAAGCTAGCTGGAGGCACCCGCCTAGCCTCATAACCTGACAGGGGCTTGCACTACAGCGCTATGATCCGATACGAGGGAAAATCACAATTTAAGCCACAGTCTCAGCCTCGGCCAGGGCAAATGATCGGCTTTTGATACAGATGTCACCTCACCCCGTTGTATCCGAGGGAGACGGGTAAGCAACGAATCAGACACCGGGATTGGTGGAAGAGTACATCGATACTTGTACAAGGGGCAAAGATGAGGATGAGATGGTCCCATATTCACAATATACACAATAAAACAACGATCTATGTATTCTTCTTTCTGTCCTCGATGCACGAAAAGCAACCAGAATTATGTGACAATGTCAAATCCGATCTGAAAGGGAAACTCACCCGAAGCATAGTCATGAACCACGTAGCATAGACATAGACGATGATTTGACACCGAAAGCAAGACAGATATGAAAAAAAAAAAACGGAAAGACAGAATCGAGACTAGATCCGCCCAACATTGTATTTCAAACAACCAATTAAGACACAAGGAAAGAAAAATACCAGCCAAATCAAGAGGGGGTATTGGGTAGTAACAGGTAGTGAGGAAGGAAAAGGGAGAAACGCAGGCCGAGAGATAAGAGGAGTAATAAAAGGCAAGAAAAGCAAGAGGTATTGGTCCAGAGAATAAACACGGATGTATGTATCAATATCAGGCACAAATAATCACCAAATCGCTTTGCAAACCAAGATGGCGCTTTTAGGGGGTTTGTTCATGGTTCCGTGCATCAAGCCGGAGTCAATACTATGTACGAGGACAGCAAAGCAACCGAAGATCGGCGCGTGGACTGTCTGACATCGTTTGAGACGTCGGGTGTCTACCATGACAGAGCATGGTAGGTCAGGTAAGAGAAATAAGTTCAAGCAGGAGATAGACCAGAGGTGTGCAATCATGCATGCACCGTTCCATTTGCGGGTTATTAGCGGGAAGCGAGAAGTTCAGCCGAGCCAGCGGCTTGTGATTCTCGGCTTGGATCGACACACATGCCCAAACCAAGAAACGCAGGAGGCAATACACAAATCCATATCTGCTTAACGTTGGACCAAGCGTGCATGGGCAACGCTACCAACCGGGGAAATCGAGACCCGAGCCGGAGTCGGAAGGAGTTTCAAGTTTCAGACTCGCGCAAGGAAACAGGAGGAAGTGTTTCGAGAAGGTGGGCAGGGCACATCGCCCCCTCAGACAGGACCCACCCGCACAAGGGTAAGGCAGATAACGATGAAATGATAGACCGGCACTCGCGTGTGGAATCGCACCAATTAACTCGGCGGAGAGATGGCGAGCCCATTCATCAGTTTGGGCAGCGGCTTTCTACGGGCAGTATTTGCCGTCTTGGAAACCCGTGGTGCACCATGAATCATGCGAGGTTCTGCCATCAGGCTAGTGTCTAGGTTTGCTGGTGCTACAGGGAGATTGTCAGTGAGTAGATTCAATTGGGTGTTGAAACCTTCGAGCGTACCTCTTGTGGGAACTCTGCCGTAGTCCACTGAAAGATTCTGCTGGCTGCGGCTGGTTGGGGTGAAGAAGGTAGCGTTGGCTGTACGCCAAAGATGGTTCGAGGTGTCTGACAGGAAGTCTGTTGTCGAGCGGCTGGAGAAAATGGACGTGCGGCCGCGGTTGCGCTTTGAAAGAACAATCTCGTCGAATAG